GATTGTTGACACTTCATTCATTTGCAAAATGGCTACTGATACTTCACTCGTGGAGAAGCTAGATGCTTTGGTGGCCGATATTCTAGCCGACTGGAATATTTACACTACCCTGGTTGCTGGAATTGTCCTCGCCTTTGGGCTTTACTCTCTCGTCTCGTCTCAAGACCCAGATATACATCCGTTCCTCCTTGCTCGCCAATCGACAGCATCCCCAATTCGCCAACAGAATGAATCTGCTACTTATAGGTGCCTGGAAACCCCACATGGCCTGCCCCTTCGTTTCGGACTGAATGTCAAGGATCCGGGCGCTCCGAAATGGACTGGCGGGCGAAGAGGAGACCTGCGCGACATTTGGAAGACCGCTATGCGTGGAGCTCTGAATGAGGATGGTACTATGTCAGGAAAGCAAGGCAAGATCTACACTGTTCTAGGTCGAAAGGCCATCGAACACTCTTTGGACCAGGTGACGCAAGAAATCAACGTTATCGGTCATCACCTCCAAAACTCTGGCGCGAAGACGGTGGCTGTTTGCCTTACGGACTCCATCGAGCTTTTAGCTACAATCTTTGGTATGTGCATTGCCATTCCGTGTGTTAGTCTTGACATCTAACCTTACGCAATCTAGCTGGTGCTTTCTACGGATACAAGACAGTTATTGTGCCACACAACCTTCCAGCAGAGACACTATCAGCGCATCTCCAGCACGCTAACGCGGATGTGCTTATTGCCGAAGCCGGATCTCTCGACCTGTCTCTTATCGCAAAGGCTAACAACCAACTATCGCTCGTCCTTTGGGTCGCCAAGTATGGCAACCGACACATGGACTGGAACGCAGTTCCCGAAGATGCTAAGGCCAGTCTGAAGGTTGCAGTTTGGCATCAACTGGTTGAGGAGTTCAAGGAACTCGCCAGCTATGATGTACCCCAGTACGACCCGAAGACAGAAACCCCCGCCATCAGCACTGTTTGGCCGTCTTCCTCACAGTCCGGCAAATTTATCGATTTCCAGCCAGAGGTAAGGCCAACCCAACTGGTGTGGTATCACTCTCACTAACATTCAACTAGAATCTCGTGTCTGCCATTGGAGCCATAACCTCCACCATCCCTCGTACCCAGCGTTTCAAACCGACCGATATTGTTCTTTCTATCGACTCCCTTTCACGGTCCTACCCGCTTTGCACGACTTTGGCTGCACTGTTTGCCAACTCATCCATCGCCCTTAACTCTGTTGCTGGGGAGAATGTGGATTTCGCTTTGGCTACAGCTGGCGTGTCTCCCACAGTTATCGTTGCTTCATCGCAAACCATGGCTGAATACCACGACAATATCATGCGTCCGCATACTGGTATCATTTCCTCTCTTGGACGCTGGCTCCAGGCACGGACTTTGGATGCAGGAAATATGCCGACACGTAACTTTTTCAGCCAATTGGCTCGTGTCAGCCCGACTTCCGAGCTTTCGCTAGATGAATTGCGCTTGCTTTGCATCTCTCACCGCATTGATGGCAATCCTGCCGCTCATCTTACCTCCGAACAATTGACTGAGCTTAGAATATTTACTGGAGCTCGGGTTGTGTATGCCTTGACCGGTCCTGGTGTTGCCGGTGCCATTGCCCAAACAAATGCCTTTGACTATAGGTGCCTCACTGGGCCTAGCCACTTTGGCGCTCCACTGAGTAGCACTGAAATCACTCTGAAAAACGTGCCCGAAGGCTCTCCTGACGATGCACCAGAGGGACAGGTATGACACGCACAATTCCATCGCTTTCATACATGGCTAACATATACCTCTTTAGCTCTCCGTGTCCGGCCCTGCTGTTGTCGGCGGCAACACGACTCTTCCCGGCCGAGCCCGAATCAGCAAGGATAATACCTTGGAATTAGTTTCATGAGCGCGTCAAGCCCAAAGTGACCGTTTGAAATAGCATTTCCTTCGAGCGTACTTGAGACAGGGACTGCCCTGAAATTTGGTAATGAGATTGAGCAAGCTATTGCGTAAATCTGAAATAGCACCTAGCGGGATCAGATGTGGCAAGAAATAAAATATCTATTCTCTGAAATACAGGCCAGCTCCAAAATATCTGGGAAGTACAGTAATATACATGCCGATGTGGCTCAATCAACACCAAAAGGAATCACAACCAAGCTCATGCGTCTTTTTCAGCCTTTTATTTGCGCTTTGGCTCGAGCAATTGCTTAGCCACCGTGTCATTAAGCACATCAGCGTTCTTCACTTGCTTCAACTGCGAAACCAGGACAGGCTTCAGCGCATCACAGCGAGCCTTGAAAGTCCCAGTCTCTTCTTTCAACTCGGACAACTTAAGGCTCCCGATCATGCCGTTGTAAAGGGCAAGGTTCTCCTCGACTCTCTCGACGTTTCCAAAGCGAGTGGTCACATCGTCCTTGAAGTTTCCTCGAGACCAGGCTGCATCAAGCTTTTGAGCGTAGCCACGGACCAAGGATATATCGGCCTCCTTAATTTTCTCACAGGCGACACTGAGTTCCAAAAGTGTGCCGATGACGAAAGGCTGGTATTTCGGGTCTTCGTCGATGTTCTGAACGGAGTGTTCCGGAGCATCCATCAGGCTAGCTGCCTCCCTCGCCAGTTTCAGAGCTTTGACGGTTGCGGCCCCCTCGAAATTCGCTTTCGCGGCTGTCCTGTGAAGCTCGAAGAACAGACGGCGAGCGATGTTCTTGTTGCTGAGACTCAAGCCGGTGCGGTGGGACTGCCTGGCGCACTCGATAATGGTTGAAAGCTTGCCTGCCTCGCTGGTTTTGCGAATAATGTACTCCCACCGATCGCTGGTGATGGCATAGTTTGACATCCGGAGGCCGCTGAGGTACGGGAAAAGGTTGCTAAAATTCTTGGTCGCGACCATCATGTTGAGAACCTCGAGAGCTTCTTTCTTCGATGGCAGCTCGTGGTGTTTCTTGGGCGTTAGGGTGAACTCTTCGTTCTCGCTGATCTTGACGACAATGGGCTCATTTTCCAATTGCTTAGCGTATTTCTCCCTGAATACACTCTTTCTCTGTCGCTTGGGAAGACCAAGGGGTATGAACAGCTCATTGCGGAACCGCTCCAGAGCTTCGTTTAACTCGGGTGAGGGTGTTGAGGTGAAGGTTGGGATTGCTGCGTCTCCGATGAGCATTTGTTACTAGAATGGATATATTAATGCATACCTGCGTTTGAACCGTAGCTGCGGGCCTGCATCGGTCTCAGAATGGACTGGCGCACTGAGCTGGTGGTGCTCTGGCGGAAGAGCCTGCTCATGGCGAATTGCGCCATAATGTGTGATCAGAGGCTATGTATGAAGGGATTCCGAGTATGAGAGCAGTAACCGCTGGAATGATGAACTTCTCCAAAAGCAACAAGGTAGAGTGGTATCCTAGAGTTGGAGGAGAAAAAAGAATCGCGTTATCGTCGAAACCCCCGAATGGGCAACAAGAGGCTTGGCGGAAATTCTGCCGATCCGGCCAAAACTCGACTCCGACTTTCTTGACTTGACATCCACATCACAACCATGGCGGCTCTACCAGCAATGCGCCCGCTGGGCTGCTTAAGGTCCTTGATGAGGGCTTCAGAGCCTATTCAACCATTCATCAACCGGCGATTCATTTCGACGGCCTATTCCAAGAGACCCGAACGGGTACCTCTTCCCCCGAACATGCCTCAGCAATTCCTCTCCCAAATACCTCTTCACTACCGCCCCGATCCTGGTATGTCATTTCAAATTGAGTGAAATGAGGCGATTTTTACTAATTGTCGCTAACCAATATAGACCGCGAGCCCCGCAAGATCTACCCTGCTCCCCCATCTGCTGCCAAAGCATGCAAGGACCCCATCGCAGCGGTCACCGAATCGCAATTGGCAGTTCTCGACCCCACGGGTGAGCGCAAGGCAATGTTCGACTACCGACGAAACCCCCGCAGTGTCAAGACCGGCGATATCGTACGAGTGACATTCAAGAACGGCGACCCATTCAACGGAATCGTTATGAGCATCAAGTTGCGCGGAGTTGAAACCTCGTTCCTCATGCGAAACGAACTTACTCGTGTTGCTGTTGAGATGTCGGTCAAGGTTTTCAGTCCCAACGTGAACAGCGTGGAGATTGTCCAGCGATCGGAGAAGAAGCGCAGACGCGCGAGACTGTACTACCTCAGAGACAAGGCGCACGACCGTCGCAGCGTGGAGAACGTTGTTGCCAGCTATGTTCGCCAGAAGAAGGCCTTCTTGGGTGGTGGCAATCGTCGGAAGTGATTGAGTTAGAGGGCGTCTGGCGTGACCCTCATTTGCATACGTGTGGCTGTATTACTACCTATCATTTTGTACTTCATCTGTGTTTATAAATTGCGAAATACAACTTTGAGCTCTTCTGTGATAACATCCATGCATTCTTTTCTCGCGACAGTCGCCGCTTTCCGACTCCTTTCAACGCTCTTTTCCCGCATTTGTTTCTGATCTTAACCACCGTTGGACCTGCTGGATTATGACTCGATGTCTGTCTTATACAAGGAATGAGCGTCTCTGTCCAAGTTGGATATATGTTGTCCCTTGCAACGCACGCGTATTATCATCTCTCAAGATGTCATCTGCAATTCGATAAAAGGAAATCAATTCAATCCTTCGATCTATATTCAAATACCCGATCCTTCCATACCTGGAAGAAACACCTCATCTACACATCCTGGTGAACGAATGTATCACGCCCTTCATCCAAAACGAGGATTCTCTGCCTATCAGACCATCTGGACTGAGGTATCTTATCATCAGAATAATAAAACAATAGATGAGACGTTTATACTAGGAGTATTGTTCTCGCTTCTATCATCTTGATAACTACTATTCTTTAATCAAACTTAAGAGGTGGGTTCAGGAGTCACTTATGCCATTTGATCGAAACACCTAATATAAATAAATGCTTCAATAAGTATCCACCCAGTGTCGTATATTCGTATATGCGTAATCATAAAGGAATCTAATACTCAATAGATGTATCGGAAACTATTGCACACCGTTAGTATCTTTCTCACCACTTGTGAAGATTGCAAAAGGGAAGATGGAAAGGCGTAAAGAGACATACTTCAGGTTTTCTCGGTCCGTCAAGTCCAAGAACGCAGTTGCATCCAGATCTCTCCCCTCGAGACCACCCTCCATCTGAGACTGAATAATATCGCGCTTCTTATTTTCCCAACGTAGCAGTAGGCCAAGAATGCTGATCAAAACGGCCTCAATCAAGTGCGAGACAATCATGGACCAGATGCCCAGCGAGTAGGTAGGTCTGTATTTCGATTTAGCTCTCTAATTCTGGAAATGATAGAATTACCCTCTGGTGAAAACGCACGATTGTTCTGTCTTGTAGAAGAATGGTCCAGCAATGTTTCCAGTGCAGTACCCCAAGAAGAGCACGGCGTTGGTGACGACTTTCTTGGTATGGCCTAAATACACAACATCAGTCCATGGTAATCTTTCGAGTTCCGCATCAACCGAAGATAGATGCTACTTACCAGCGGTGTTGGCCATTTGCATACTCAAAATAAGCACAAATGCAGCGTTGTAGGGGCCTGTCAGGTAATAGCAAATTAAGCGACCCACACCGTGTTCAATGGGAACAAAGCGGAGACCAAAGGAGCCGGCAAGGTTAGGGAGCAGGAAGATGAGGACGAATACGCATCTTCGATTTTGGTAGCGGTCGTTGAGGTAAACGCATGTCAAAATCGAGACAGCAATGATAAAGCCGTACGGAATCTAGCGTGCATATGGTGTTAGCTAAAGATTATGTAGCTGTTGAATTAATCATACCTGCATGAGAGTGGTCACCAATGTCGAGAAACCAAACCCTTTAATGATGATAGTACCAAAGTTCGAGATACCACCGTTGGGGATGTTGCCTGTATAGATGTTTTAGTTGGAACCGATTGGGAGAAGGCGCAAGTCACATACAAACAGTACCAAGGACAAAGAATATGTAGAGCTTATAGTCCATGAAAGCCTCCAGAATTTGATACGGCTTGAGGTGTTTGTTCTCGACACCAGTTTGATTTTCTCGCAAACGCTCAACAGCCATGCGACGCTCTCTCCTGCTAAGGCCGCGAGCTGTGACGGGTGAATCTGGGAGGAAGATAAACATGACAATACCCCAGGCAGAACACAGGGCACCACTAAAGAATGTTAACTGGGCGATTTTCAATGAGGGCGGGAATCAGCGTACATCACGAGGAACTCGTATTTCCAAGACGGTAGTGCACCACGAAGATGACCAATTCCGTAGCCCAGTAGTCCACCCAATGCAATGCCGAGGCCATTCGCTGTATACCACAGTCCTAGACGCACTGGCTGTTCACGACGGGTATACCACATACTAGTGATGAGCATAAAGGCCGGATCGGCGCAGGCCTCAGCGGCACCGCCAAGGGCTCGAAGGACAGCGAGGGTCTCGAAACTGTTACATGCAGCTTGGATCATGAGGAAAACACCCCTTGAAGAGAAAGGTTAGTATCTGGTTGTATTATCTTGGATATTAGCCCAACTAACCACATGAAAATATTCGCACCCAGATATTTTCCTAAGACACGTATCAGACGGGTATACGGTTGGCATAATGGGAGAGTGGGAGAATCATACCGATTGGAAGACGCTGCATCAGAAAATTGGTAGGAAATGCCCATGCTAAGAAACCAAAATAGAAGATACTACTCAGCCAGCTATACTGAGTCCCGTGTAGATCAAGATCTTCCTGAATCCCAAAAATAGCAGCATAGCTCAACGTTGTCTGTTTCCAAAACGCATGGTATTAGCACATTTTTTTCGGGCAACAAGGATTTTCAATTAGAAGAACTTAAATAGGCTGACCTTATCAATGTAGAAGAAAGCATAGCAAACAGCCAAGTAGGGCAAGATCATGAAGTCAATCTTCCATAATAGCTTCCTCGCTTCCACGGGATCGACCTCTTCGTGGAGCTCGTCCGGGTCATCGAAGAGCGCCATAGCCGTATCACCATCGGCATTTTTGGCAGACTTGAATCTAGAGTGTACTTGATTGCTTTCTGCATGGCTAATAGTGGGGAGTTCGGCGACATTACCCTTTGAGCCAATATCTGGGGGAGTATGGTTAGCCATAGTGGAGTTATTTCGTATAATAAGAAGTGGAGAAGAAAATCTATGAGATTGGGCTACACGGAAGAATATATATAAAATGCTAGACCAATGCTGCGGGCAAGGACGGCAGGAAATGTATAAAGTGATAATAATGACCTCGGTACGAGGCCGAGTCTCCCCCCTTGATTCAAAACACCTTGGAAACCATTGAAAAGCAGCCATCTCTTTGATTCCCCGCGAATTTCAGAGCCTACCTGCCACAAATGGACTAGCTAAGGATCATCTCAAAGGATCATCTGCGGGGAAACCCCAGAACGGGGCCCCCACGCGGAGACGGCTCATCTGGAACGTGGGGAATATTGTCCTTGGCTGACGAGTAAAGGAATTCGATCTGGTGTATTGGACTGGTCCATCTTAACGAATGTGGCTGAAGGCCAAACTTCGCTTAACACGAAGACTAGTCGGTGGAAGTCCGAAGACTCGGGGAAATGCCGCTGGACTCATCACTCAAGTTATTGCATTGCTGGGCGATAATACAGATCTTGCCACACCATTTGTATCATTAAACCGTCGTAGGATTTTCCAAAGGAAGCCTTCAAAACTTGACTGGAAACCAAATTTTGAACGGGATAAAGTGCCAAAATATATATGTTGTGAAAAGGGCTACTAACACTCGCTTAATAGTAACATACTGCGGCAAGTGAGAAACATCTCCGAAGTAGTTTAGCGGGGAGACTGTTACTAGGATAAGCGAGTGTCAGTAGTCCTTCTCTATTATTGTGACGGCAATTATTATTATCTAAAAAGAGCTAATAAGGGACTCGACCAAAGTGACCGAGTGGATTTTGATATTTGTAAAGCTAATCTTTCGTTGGAAGAATGGATTTCCTATTTGAGGCCAATTACTCACTATCTGGGTTATCCTATTGTAGACCTAAAGGAGGACGAAGGTTAGTAGTGCCTCCCTATTTAGTCCCTGCGGTTACTGGTAGAATCTAGAAATTCAGGATTGGTTCGACAAAATGACAGGAAAGAACAGCGGGTCATTCATTACGTTGGAGTGTGAGTGCAAAAGAAAGAAATTGTTGTGGGTATGTCCTTTTGAATGTCACTGATATTAGGAAGTCAGTTTGCGTTTATCTCAATAGCTTTGCAATGGCTTCGACTATAAGCACCTGTTAACATTAGATGCATCGATTACAAGCCTATTGAAGTTGAAAGAGTCGACTATCATTAAAAAGGTATCAAGTTGGTATATATTTATACAGCTGTTTAACAGTGCTTCTATCTGCTACATCAATGCTAAGATAGAGACTGGAACTCATAAGAAAGCTAACCGGAGCTATGCGTCATTTGGTGTCTGGTCGTACGCGCCAAATTTGCGTGCCGAGATCTTCTGTTCAAACAAATGATCCAGCTGCTCAAAAGTCCTGCCTTTGGTCTCTGGCAAGCAGAAGTAAGTCCAAATAGAGGCAATGATTGAGAATCCGCCAAAGATGAAGCCCGTCTTACCCCGAAGGTGACCTTGGTCAGGGTTTATCATGTAAGGCACAATAAGGGTCATGATCAAAGTCCAGAAGTTTTGCGTGAAGAAACCAATGCTGACAGTGTATGACCGCAACCGAGTAGAAGACATCTCTCCGCAGATCACGTATCCAAGAGGTCCAAGGGTCAGATCGTAGAAGAAGTTCCAGATGATAATTAATACGCACTGGCCCATAGCAATGGAGGGTTTATAATTCGGCACAACGTCGAGAATTCCAATGATGAAGAGAATCGCAGTGAGAACGAGCATGCCAGGGAAAAGAACTCTCCGACCAATAGTGTTGATGACGAACCACGAGCAGATGTTTCCGAGGACACCGACTGCAGTTACACCAACACCCATGTCGAATGATGCAGAGGTAGGGATGCCGGCGACTATAGTTGGAAAATATTATTAGTGAACATATCTAGCTTGCGTTGAGGAGACTTACTTTGGAAGAAGTAGGTTGAGTAGCTCAGCACAAAGTTGACTCCACTGAAAGAGTTGATAGTCCAAACGGACATGACAATCAGGGTGCGCCGAAGATCAGTCCCTCGGAAACAATCCAAATAGCTAGCAGATGCTGCTGATTCCTCTTCTATGCGAACTGTTTCTTGGATCTCAACGAGCCAGCTATCAATACTTCCGCCAGTCTGGAATCGCTCGAGGGCCTTTTTGGCATCAGTGTGCTTGCCCCTTTGGACGTACCAATAGGGGGATTCAGGGCAGAACCACACGCCAGAGAGAAGGATCACCGGGAAAACCCACTGAAAAGCAAAAGGGATTCTGTAGGCAAAAGCGTTTGGCTGTCCACCGAAAGCCTTGATGAGGCAGTTTCCTAGGAGCTGACCGACGACTACAAAGAGATTGACCATGGCAATGGTGATTCCACGAAGCACGACAGGACACGCCTCAGAACAGTAGGCACATGCAGTGACGAGGAACATGCCGAGTGCGATTCCGTTGATCAATTTTCCAGCCAGGAGTACAGCCCGAGTGGACGCAAAGAACTGTAAGAACACGGAACCACTGGAGATGACACATGCGATGGTCAAAGTCATCCTTCGACCCATGTAAGGCGAGAGAGGACCACAGAGGAGACTTCCACCCATTCCACCAACCGTGGCGACCATATTGAAAGCAGCTTGCCATTCCGCGGGAAGGATAGTAGTGCCATCGGGTTGGGTGTATCCAAAGACCGCACGGAACTCGGGTGCAGCTAAAAGACCTCCGCTGACCTGCATGTCGTACCCCCAGAGGATGGCAGAGAAGCAGAAGAACAGACTGTAGAGCATAGCATTTCGGTAACTGACAAGAGCTACCTTTAAGCTCATAATAGATCCTGAGACCTCATTGGGGTGCTCAGACTTCTTTACATCAGTGGGATCCATCGTCGGTGTAGCCTCCAAATGGGCAATTTCGACAGGTTTCTCTTGATCGAGACCCATAATGAGGGTAAAAAGGAAAAGAGAAAAAAAAAATAGGGCAAGTGTCCAAAGGGTATCTCAAAGAGAGTCAAGATAATTCATCAATTTCTCCTGCAATTTAGTGGGGAGTTTTCTAGATTTAATACTCCAGGCTTCTCATACCATGTGCCTCCGCATTCTTCTAGCCCAGCTTCGGGGTAAAAGTTTTCGGCCGCGTGCTCAGAATCTGGGGAAGTTAGCTGAAAACTGTTTCGCTTTGCCGAAGGGGCTAAAGTACAAACTTGGGCAAGATGAGCCACTTTCGGGTTCCCGATATCCCCGTGTAGATCCACATATCTATGTGATGGGATGGGATTGGACATCTTTCATCTTTTGTGGGCATCTGAAATCTTGTAAAGTTTATATATATTCGGCTCCGATTGACGCGGTGCCGATATCCCCGGAAGATGTCAATTGGTTAAAGAAGATCCATTCTCTCCGCAAAATCAACCCCACAACTCATCGGCTCCGATAGACCCGGGGAGTTTTGGGAACGGACTGTATACCGAAGAATCCTTTACCCATGAGGTCCATAAAATAAGTATTATAATCTTAGGTACATATCTTAGGCAAGTCCAGTTTTAGTCATCTAGTTCGACACTCTGGTATAAAGGACGTACAGTACCAAAGCTGCCCCAAATTCTCTAGACGACCTGAAAGTCCGCATTCATACCAAAAGTCCCATTCCACCACAATGAGCTCTTCTCAGGCCACACCGTTGGCCCTGCAGGCTGATTCCGAACGGCCAGATTTTATGAACCCCGCCGTGTTTCGCAGAAATAACCTCCCCGCACGTTCCTATCACATCCCATCTACATCTCTTCTTCTCAATGGAACCTGGGAGTTCAATATGTCCCGATCACCACCGGAGGCGCCGGAGCCCACTGAGAAAATCTCCGACAAGGACTGGTCCAGCATCAGTGTTCCAGGTCACTGGCAGTTGCAGGGTTGGGGGAAACCGAATTATACCAACACGCAATTCCCGATCCCGGTGTGCCCTCCTTTTGTACCCACAGAGAACCCAACTGGTACATACCGTCGAAAATTTCAAGTGCCGGCCGAATGGAAATCCGAAAACACTGAAATTCGTTTGCGATTCGATGGCGTTGATAGCGCGTACCATGTTTGGGTGAACAAGTCCTTGATCGGGTATGCGCAGGGCAGCAGAAACCCGTCTGAATTCGATGTCACACCATTCTTGCTCGACGGTGATAATGAAGTCTTTGTGCGGGTATATCAGTGGTCAGATGCTACCTATATCGAAGATCAAGATCAGTGGTGGCTATCTGGTAAGATTTAAATTGGGATATGCGACTGTGGGAAATAACCTGCTAATATGTATGATAATAGGGATTTTCCGAGATGTCACTTTGATTGCATTACCAACCAATGATCGTTTGAACGATTGGTTCATTCGCACTGACCTCGATTCAGAATACAAAAATGCGACCCTTCTCGCAACAATCGATTACCAAGTCTCGGAGCGAAGCAATATTGCTCTCAATTTGATTGAGTCAGTGGAGGGCAAAAGCCATGTCATTACTTCCACAGAATGTACCGTGGAACCAGCAACATCCGCAGTTGAGCTGAGATTGCCTGTTGTCGACCCCAAGAAATGGACTGCTGAGCGGCCGCATCTGTATGAAGTGGAGATGGTCCTGACGTCTCTAGGATCAAACAATACTTTCAAGACGACACAGCGTATTGGTTTCCGTAAAGCTGAGCGCAAAGACGGCTTCATCACCGTGAACGGAAAGGCTATTCAGCTTCGTGGAGTCAACCGACACGATCACCACCCGCTTTTGGGTCGTGCCGTACCGCTCGACTTCATGAGAAAGGATTTGCTTCTCATGAAAGCTCACAATATCAATGCACTTCGCTGCAGCCATTATCCCCCCGACCCTCGGCTTCTGGACATGGCCGATGAGCTTGGCTTCTGGGTTATCGATGAAGCCGATCTTGAATGTCATGGCTTCTATGACGCTGTCTCACGGCCAATGGACATAGACGAAACTCTTGGCTACGAGGAGCGCAAGGCAATGACCTTCCCCAAATGTGGTGCTCATACATCAGACAACCCCGCCTGGAGGGCAGCCTACGTTGATCGTGTTCATTCAATGATCCAACGAGACAAGAATCATACCAGTATTATAATCTGGTCTATGGGGAATGAGTCGTTCTTCGGCACATGTCATCACTCCATGGTAGAGTATGCCCGGACCTTCGACAACACTCGCTTGATCCACTACGAGGGTGACATGGATGCGGAAACCACCGACATGTATAGTTACATGTACCCAGAAATCGACCGATTGAAGTCCCTAGCAGCTACTGAGGGAGTTACGAACAATGGCGAGTTTGACAAGCCTATTATTCTTTGTGAATACGCCCATGCCATGGGCAACGGACCCGGTCTACTTACGGATTACGAGAAATGCTTTGATGAGATCCCGCGTTTGCAGGGCGGTTTTATCTGGGAATGGGCCAATCATGGGTTGTACATTGAAGGAGATACCGAGAAAGACGGGTTTTATGCCTACGGTGGTGACTTCGATGACTTTCCAAACGATGGAACATTCGTTATGGATGGTCTTTTAAACAGTGTCCATCAGCCTTTGCCAGGTTTGTTGGAGCTAAAGAGAGTTTTCGAACCAGTCAAGTTGGAAGTGCGCGGACAAGTCTTGGCTTTGAAGAACCGGTACAATTTCTTGGACCTAAGCCATCTGCAGGCTTCATACAAGCTTGAATCATTCAACAAGCAGTAAGCACATAACTCTCGGTTCATGAAATTGAAGACAAGCTAACCTTCCAACCAAGAACAAAGACCTTGGCAACTGGATCGCTGGAGCTACCTGTTGTGGCCGCCGGGAGATCTGCTGAGATCTCACTTCCTTCAGAGCTCTTCCAAAGCAACGCCCATCCGGCGTACTTGACCATTACACTTGAACAAAGGGGAAATGTTGAATGGGACCAGGGGTCCTATATCGTTGCCTGGACACAGGAATTGGTATCAAAACCAACCGAGAACACCCCGGTCAGCAGCCTGAGCTCTACTCGTGGGGTTATCTCGATCAACTCCACCAAGACAACCGTGTCCGTCAGTGGATCCAACTGGTCGTTTGAGTTTGATAGCGTTCGGGGACATCTCATGAAGTGGAGATACAACTCGATGCCCATCCTTGAGCCTCATCCTGATACTGGGCTTGCCATGGTACCCGGTTTCTGGCGTCCACCGACGGACAACGACGTACCATCCGCGATGCCATATTGGAAGCGATTCGGAGTGAACTGCCTCACAAATCAGCTCCGTTCCTTCAGTACGTCATCGATGAAGGATGGAGCAGTTTGCATCGAAAGCGAGACATTCATCTCCCCTCCAGTCCTTTCCTGGGGATGGAAATGTCTTACGCGTTATATCATTCAGCCCAACGGCTCGTTATCCATCAGCGTAAAGTTGCAACCCACTGGAGCGGCGCCGACAACCGTTCCTCGCGTTGGTCTCAATCTTCGTGCAAACTCTGACCTGCAGTCGGCACGTTGGTTAGGACCCGGCCCTGGAGAATCGTATCCGGACAAGAAGATAGCCCAGAAGTTTGGTTTGTGGAATGTCGATGATATCGCGTCCCTACAGACGATTTATGACATCCCGCAGGAGAATGGGAACCGGACAGACACTGCTTGGATGGAACTTCTCGCTCCCAATGGCACGGGCTTCCGTGCAAGCCCGCAGGAAAGTACTATGGTGAATGGAGGAGCGGCAAGCTTGAGCTGGACGGCGAGTCAATACTCTGATGAGACTATTGAGGCAGCACGACACCCTTGTGATCTGTCCAAAGATGATGCGGTATTTGTGAGATTGGATAACCAAGTTGCAGGCGTAGGAACTGCCGCCTGTGGCCCGGGGCCTATGGATGAGCATCTAGTTAAGGTGCAGGATATCACGTTTGGTATGCTATTGGAGCCTGTATCTTTGTGAAGCTAGAATTTCGACTTCGATTTGTTAACTAAGATACGGTACCACGTGTACAATTCACGTCATCCAAAGAGAATGACTCGCTGATCAGGTCTCCAGTTTCCATCGCAGTCGATTGGGAACCGAGCTAGACAACATCCACCACCCCCTGGTTTCGTAACATTTATAAACGCGTTAGCCAAAGCAATGGAAACACCCTAAATCCCACAGATCCTAATTGTACTGTCTCAAGGCACGTAATCCAAGTGATATATTGTCAAGGATGTCTGTCCCCGAAATATGATATGAACATTGAAAATTGTGGGTTTCGAAAATAGCGTGTAGCCCACGTGTGGCGCCCCCGGAGGCATCACGTGCCGGGCATTCACATCCAACTTTCCAAGGTTTCCCGTCACTCGTTCATTTGCTACCAATAGAAGCTCATTGTTAAAGATTAAGAGCAATTGTGGATTCTTGATCAGTATCCTGGCGCGGAATGAAGAGATTCAGGGCCGCCCGTGCGGTTTGTCTCCCATTCTCAGTTGGATCGAACATCAAAACTAACCCAACCGCAGTGCGACTCATGCCGCCAGCGCAAGACAAGGTCAGTCCATGTTATATGTGAGTTCAAGACACATGATTAACGAACTGATAGATGTGACGCGCGGGATCCCTGTGGGCCCTGTGTGAGCTTGAATCAAACATGTCTATATGGAACAGAAGCTATTTCGTAAGTGGGCTCAAGTCATTTTGAAGATCAGAAATTAACTTCAGATCAGAAGAGGAAAAAGTGACATGATCTTGGATACGGTCTTGCGAATGGAAGCTTCTATTGAAGAACTCAAGGGCATGGTTGTATGTAACGAGTGGCCCAGTGTTATTTCATCCCCAGCACTGATAAATTCCAGGCCACGGGTTCCAGTTCAAATGCAATGGGTGGTGTACAGGCCAACTCAACATTTCCAAGTTCGACAATGACCCCGATGTCTCAGGATGCACGCCATCGTCCGGGTGGGTGCACCCGAGTCAGGGACCCCACTGAAAGTGCCATCCTTTCATCAGGACATCTTTCCTCGGCTGAGTCTCTATTGAAATGGACAGTCTTTCATGATCATCCTTCAATATTGGAGGAGGCAGAGCCTTCATTTTTGTCGCTTGAATATGGACGACCGCCATTTCAAAGCAAACTCTATGGCATATTCCCCAGCGTGAGCTTGTCGGATGTCAAAAATATGGTAGGTGTATTCCAACGCACATATAACTTCTGGTTCCCTACAATTAGCTTGGATGATCTCAAGGCCTTGCAATTGAGGATATGGCAAGAAAATCTGGAGCCCAGTTGTCAATCGTGTCTCGCATTATTGGTCATGGCTTTGGGTTGCGTCGGGGCTTCTGTGACAGACGAAGAGGGCAGTTCTGAAGAGAAGTTTCAACAACTGAAGCTGCAAGGAGCATCTTGGTTTACTGCCGCAATGAAGATGCTTCACTTGGCCCAGATTGAGATGAATGTGGAGGCATGCCAATGCCTCTTGCTTACTGGGTAAGACAACTTGTCACAGTCGAAACGGCGGGTTGAGACGAAATTAACAAATATGTAGTCTCTACTTCTCCTTCCTGCAAAGACCGCTGCAAACGTGGTCTTATGTGAACAGCGCGGCGACTCGTTGCCGTTTCCTACTCTCCTGCCCTTTCGACAATCCTGACCGTGATGATCGAGAACACATCACTAGAATATTCTGGTCATGCTTTGTACTAGAAAGGTAAGGGGATGATATACCAACTTACGCTTATCACCGTCTGACTCGTACTAGCAACTATATCTCAGAGTTACCATCGCTTCCGCAAAACTGCAATGCTGAAATTGAATCAGTATTTTCTCTTCCGGGCAAATTCCACTCACATGAGGCTATTGAAGAGGAAGAAAAGTCAACCTTCTACTTTCTCGCATCGATAGCACTCCGTCGCCTGCTCAACCGAGCTCACTATATGCTCTACGATCGAGATATTGGCCTTCAAATCGACTCCAATAATTTCCCATCCGTGAACCAAGAACTCGCTCGCCAACTGCAGGACTGGTATCACACACTACCTCCAAGTCTACAATTCCCCGAGGACGGAAAGCCCGCAGACGACCCGCATAGCGAGTATTTGAGACAGTGGTATCTCAGTTGTCGAAGTGTCATCTATCGGCCTTATCTGGAATGGGCTCTCGCTAATCCGCTATGGGATCTCAACAACAACCTCCGTGTGCTTGATGGTTGTCGGGTTGCTCTTGACACTTGCTTATTCAAATTAAGATACATGAGGCAGGTTCCATATACTGTCATGGTAGATACATGGCCCTGCTCGCTTTCGTAAGTTTGATTCTCGATGGCTCTTCGCGGTTGTGAAGTATTGCTGATACAACGAATTTTGTTGTTAGACTTGAGACAGCCATGTTAACTCTTATGGGTGGCTTCTGCCATCCACAGCTCACAATGCAGCTTCGTCACATTGCCTTGCTAGAGCTAGGGCCTCACCTGCAGCAGCTTTTACAACGATGGATGACGATCCATGGATCCTCTGTTTCTCCTGGTGTTGAGAAGGCATTGAGATTGATCGTGAAAGCCCACGAGTTCTTCGAAAGCAAAAGTGCAGACTTTCCTCCTTTACAGGAGAAGGAACAACACCTCTCTCCTCGGTCCCTTCGAATGTCTCTCGGATAGTGCTTTGCGCGTGGCCCTTTTGGAAAATATTACCCAGGCAAAGTACGGGTCCCCGTAACTAAGAAGTCGCCATTCCGAACGCTTCACATAACTTGGGAGTGGTGTTTTGAAACTAAAGTTGGCCGAACACAGCCACAGCGCGAATGGATTCTACGTGCTAACTAGAGTCTCAACAGAGAGACGCTGTCCCGGTCGCCTGACATCGTAACACTCGCTGATATAGCCAACTGCTGCGCGCTTCAGGCTGTTTTGTGATGTCAAGTAACATCCCGGCGAACTTTCGACATCTCTAATCCTGTGGAGACGCCTCCAAATATATGATAATCTACTTTTAATGGAGCTCTAGGGTGCATTGATCGTGACCTAGGATCCCGAAACTGTGTGCTGTTGGTGCATATTGCCCCGAATGGCTTCCGTCCAGGTCCAATTGGATCCATGGTGTTAAACCAGATGTTGACGAAATAACAATGTATCAGGCGAGCCCGCCCGATATCTAATCACTATCTAACCAATGTCGACGTGTTGGATACCTTGGGCACCATACAGATACCAGATCAACAAATTCGCATAGAAGGATATGAAATCAAGATTGACAAAGCGCCAAAGATCCGACAAACAAATTCTATGGAAACAAATTGTCAAACAAAGGATATGGGATCATGGATTTAGTAGCATAAATTGGGCCTCTCTGTCCCCATTTCTCCTCTCGAGAAATTGTCCATCATACTCTTTGCACATACTCTAACTTCCCTCATTTCGCGGTTGACATAGAAATTCTAGCTCGTAGGGGCCGAACAAAAAGCTGACTTATAATTTGACATCTGTCGAACGAATTTGATTCGGATTAAGGCCAGTGGATGCCTGGTGCTATGAGTCGCACTTTTTCATCTGGGATCAAGCCCTCTCCGTCAAACTGCAGTAATAACTACAACATATGCTAGAATATGGATCAGACAAAAGAAATACACAACTTGATAGGTTGGTAATATGTATTACGTGTCATGCATAAGGTAGCTGTACAGACGTAAACCTCAAAACCCCCACCCTACTATACAATACCTACGTGTTTTCTCTTAGTGCATATGTAAAACCTTGAGTGGATGCCGCCAAACTTCGGATTGCCTCTTTATCTCTGTCACTGCCACCAATAATCTCTGCTGAGAAACGACTTGAACCCCTCGAGATCACTTCAAATTCCATATGTCAGCGCCTTCTATATCGGCAGCTAAGGATGAATGAATCACCCAACGATCCTTTTACCCAGGAAGTCCAACGACTGAGGGCTGATTATGAGGGAAAAGTAGCGCGGTCTGACTTGGGTTCTGGTGGTAGCCGACGGTTAATCGACCTCAGTTTAGGATTGATTGACGGTGTGTTCTGCTACACGTATTGGTACGAGCACCAATGCATCCGGCTGGCTGATATTCCCGGCACTATCTCTGGCGACATTCTCCGCCTACAACGAAATCTGCCCGACTCAGTTGATATCGGTGATTATGAAATCATTGGTGACCAATTACGCCCCCTTGTGAATCCGCCACCGCTTCTAGAGCTAGATGATGACTCCGAAGAACTTGAGACCATTCTTGCCGCACTCCCAATTGTTGAAGTCGATTCTAGCAAACACTTTGTTAAGAGCGGGAAATATAAGAGTGAAATCAGCAATCTACTCGGATGCCAAGGCGGATCTTGTCCAGGGGCCTCAAAATCATCCCACATCATCCAATTACTGGGAAAGTCGCTAGAAGGGAAACTGGTTTTCCAAAGATTCAAGCCACGATATGTCTTAGGATACATTTATCCCCTCGCTACATATAAAGACTGGCTTTTGCAGATAATCTCCGGAATGAAGACACTTCATTCCCTTGGAATTATACATCGTGACCTTCGCATCGACAACATTGTCTTCTCCTTTGACATATCCCGTGTGCTTATCTGTGATCTCGAGGGTCGTTGGGGAAACCGTCTAGCGCCTGAGGTTTCTCGCGAGCCGGTGTTGGACGCTGGCTGGACTGAAAAATCGGATATCTATGACCTTGGTTATCTTATAAAAGGTATGGTATACGGAAATGTACCGATAACAATGGCGGTGGAATGGTCTGTTCCCCGTCCTCTTGCTGCTATTGTGGAAGCTTGTACGCGCAATAATCCCGAAGAGCGCCCCAGTTTGGATGATCTATACGCTATGGTTGAGAAGATCGAGATCATTACTTAAGAATATAGGTACCTAGGTAGTTATGTTAATCACGTTATTCCATGTCTGATAACTAACTAGTTAGTGTATGGCCGGATTGACTTGATTACAAAAATTCATAATATTCTCTTCGTTACGAAAGGGTTGTTTGTTTAGACTCCTAGGTCGCAAAAGTTCCATTCATATGGGGAGTGACTCAACGGATTAGGAAATATAGGTGAGCTTCTGGCGTAAACTATAGCAAGCCACGGTGAACATTGAAATAATAGCCATGGCAAATCCGCACTAGTATAACTCTCACGTACTTTCCCCCTTATAGCCTGGTACCTAATTTTAATATAGCTTACTAATATATTCTTTCGACTATAATAAACGTATATCTGCGTAAGGAAGGGAAAAAGAGATGTAGACCTTGCTAACTCCTATGAGAGTGGTCCTATAGGACCATATGGAAGTCCTATCAAGTCCTATGGGAGTGCCAAGAATAGGACTAGAGGGTTTAATCCGCTCCTATGGCATATATACCACTCCTCCTCTTCCTCTTCTTTTTCCCCTTCCCTTAGTCAGTTAATATTATCGAGCCATTCTGGTATCAATATTTCCTTTTCCATAGCCTGTGCCACAACCACAGAACAGCTGGAGGAGCAGTATATAGAATTGAAGCGACGATGGGAGAAGGGTAACCATGTGATTAATGACGCTATTTTGTCTGGGTTTCTTTTGAGACCCGGTTTAAAGGACGTGATTACTACATTTGAAAAACTCTAGATGTATACATTTGATTATTGGGGAAAGAAGGAGAGGAACAGGAGCTGCTCGAAGTCCTTGGTATACGGATAATTGGACGAAGTTGAAAGTAAAAGTTCTGCGTAAAGCACAAACTAATATGTTTTCAATCACATAAGATTTCGATATTCTTAGCTGTCTCCTAAAACCGTGAGGCTGGTAATGACTAGCAGGGCATGATCCCGATGCAAAATGTGGAACATGATTATACCTTGCTGCTTTCCTTCGTTAACTGCAGTGGCGGGACGCCGGTATCGTGTGCCCAAAGCAACTTGTCAATTTCCCCATTGTCACTGTATTCAAATACAGCTTTCCAGAAAGCTGGCCCTTGGTCTGATTCCACCCAGCGGCCACGTCTAGATAACTCGTTTCGCGGAAGTAGCCAAGTAAAGGTATCATCTTCATAGTGTTCAAGTTGGAACCTTTCTGAATCCAGCCCTTGCAGTCTCCAGTAAAGCTTGTTGTCCACCAAATCCACAACAATTTTAAACACATTAATGTTATCCCAGTAAGTACCAACATACTCCTCCAGTGCTCGTGGTGATGTTCCGTTCTTCCGAGCATTGTTTAGCTCCTCCACCAGCGCTGGATACCACTTCAAATTTTCAGCGACTGAGGTATGAGCTGCTTCGAGGTAATTGTTTCTCTCTGATTCTGGAACCCCGAGCACCTCTTCAAGGATGAGTTGGCCAACCCAGTCAGGAACATCATTTAGGGCCAAAGAGTTGGATAGAACAACAATAACATTGTTCGTGTCTGGAAGTAGAATCACGATTGAGAGGGCGCCAGGTAGGCTGCCCTGGTGAAAAAGGGCAAGCTGTGAGGGGACACCTTTCCCAACGGTAGGCATACCATTGGGCATTAGACCAGGATTGATTCCGATCTGACCTAGCCGGTTGGGAAGCTGGGCTCTGACCCATCCTAATGCGTATGATAGCTCGTTCCTAGAGGGTTGATCCATAGGGATTTTGGCGGAAGTGAGAAACGAAACTTGTCTGAAAGGGGAGTTTTCTGTTGCTTTTTCCCCGGTGGTGAACTGATCTTCAAAGCTAGTGGTGAACGTTTTGTATAGCTTCAACAGATCACGAACACAGGACCATGCGCCACCACTTGGTCCTCCAAACCAATTTTGGCCTCCCTTAGGGTGAGGAATCTGAGTGGCAGAGCCATCGTCAAGTGTATTGTAGCACTGAGTGACATTTCCGATGTCCGATGGTGGAGCCTTGAGGTAGGTTCGATCCAAGCCAAGGGGGTCGAGAATACGGCTCTGTACAAACTCAAACCACGAAACGCCACTGACTTCCTCGATGACATAACCTGCGAGATTATATCCAAGATTGTTATAGGACATTCCTGTCCGGAAGGGAAGAAGCCGCCGTTGTGAACTTATGTATTTCAGTCCATCCTTTTTCGAAATGAGGATGTTGTTCTCGGTACCGAGGACCACGTTACCAGCCCAAGCCATGCCTGATCGATGAGATAGGATGTCGGTTATAGTCAAGTGATTCTGCGTCGTCTCGTCTCTTGAATCAAAGAATGGAAGAACGTCTTTCACCAGTGTATCCCAGGTGAGTTTACCCTCGTCGACAAGAATCGCCATCGCAGAGGCAGTCAGAGCCTTTGTCAACGAGCACAAAGGAAATATTGTTTCATCAGTGACGGGTAGACCAGCTTCTTTGTCTCGGACACCAAAGCTTGACTCGTAAACTGTGCTTCCACTCGACATGACTGCCAGCGAGAGCCCTGGGGTTCCGCCGATGCGCATCAAATCTTCGATGGTGGAGCTTAGGCGATCCAGTCGTGCAGAGAGTTTTGCCATCTTGAATGCTCGGGATGCGATGGTCAGAGTGAGGTTTTCTAAGTTTAGATGATGTGGCAGAGTATGAGCGAAATGGATAAAATGGATATAATAGGTGCGGAGTAGAGGTCTGATAAGGCAAAGACCCCATTGCACTATATTGGACTAGTACGAGGTAGCATTGGGGGCCTATATATTACGCACTAAACCAAAGGGAGGACTTAAGCGATAAGGCTTTATTGAAAAGCCTGCAAAATGAATTTAGAAGTAGGCAGATTCTTATAAAGACTTCTATTTTGTTCTATTAGAAGGCCTATCTATGACGCGGAGAAATAGAGCGCAGCACGACAACTGGCTAGTCAGCAATAATAATAGCGGTTACTAAGTATCTACTGAAGTACCCACTGCCCGTTTCCCACCCTATCCTCTCAATAATTTTATATTGTAATAATTTGTCTGATAATTTTCAATGAAAAGATTTTGTCAGATTAATAAAATATCTCTTTTCGAATAGTCCAATATATATGGCTGTTGAGTGGCAAGTAATTGAAATCCAAATGTCAAGATAAATTGTCATTATATATACTGGCTCTCAGTTACAACCTTCCAATTGTAGAAAAGATAAAAAGTAATTCAAAATAGGTTACAATATAAATCCATTGAGAGAATAGGCTTCAAAGTCAGTCACTTTTGGTGAGAAAATGGGCAGTGGGTAGCTACTTAGTAGCAGGGACTGTATAAAGACTTGGAAGATCACTGGCATATAATGAAATCTGAGATGAGAGGTTATTGCATCTAATAATAGAGTTTGGTCTGATCCTTACTACTGAGATCCCATAGTACTTGAAGTATGATAGAGTATTGTATGTATACGCCCAGAAGACCAAGGTCTCTAGAAGAAGCGCCTGGCCACAATATCATACATATGGCAAACACGTTCCGAAGTCCCTCACAATATTCCTCGTTTACCTCTAGTCAACAATCTCGAAGTCACGTTCAGCCTCACCTTCCATATTCATCGAAGCCTTATCCAACTTCTCACTCTCTCATCTCTATCGATACATTCATCACATTGCATTCTCATCTGTATCGGCAATCCATCTACCTTCTCTCACTCTCATCTCTATCGATACACATTCATCACATTGTATTCTCATCTGTATTGGCATCCTCAACATGATGACCTTTCGCGCCAACCTTGTCCCAAACAAGACTACCTCGATCTTTGAGATAAAACCACCCGAAGACATCGAACAAGAAGACACCAGAAAGAAGTGCGAAGACTGTATCGATCCACCCCCCGAAGCCCAAACAGCCACTGATACCCCAGACCCAGACCTTACAATAACCAAGGAGATGTTCAACATATTCCGACAGAAGGGAAAAGACTACCAAGCCTGGATGGATTACCCAGACGACACCAATTGCCAAAGATCATGCATCGTTTCACCAAGCAAACTGAGATTGGAGGATCTATTACTGACCTCCGACGGCATGCCTCAATGGGAGATGTATGCCGATGCGTGGGTAGGTCCACCCGAGGAAATCGGTGATCCCCGTCTTCTCGGTCTTCCAATTGGTACATATTACCACAAGCTATGCATGCGCAGCCGCGGGCTCGAGAAATATGGTTCGGTGGGTTGGAATAAATACCACGGACGTGTGACGTACAGTGCTGTCTTCGCTGACAACAACGTGAGAGTTGACGGTCCTCAATGGTCTCAAATCGCCCAGGCTCACTATCAGCAGCTATTTGAGATTGATTCTCTAAAGTACGTTTTTCGGATTACAGTCGTCAATGATGAGACTCATCCTTTCGTGGATGAGGTACTTTATCCGAGATATGGGCTTGAGCTTGAAAGCGATAGTGAAGTGAGGACATGGCAATATGGGAGTGATGATTACCAGGAGATTATGGGGACTACGCTGGGGAAGGCTGTCGGGGCGCTAGTTTTGGGGGCTTTCCCTCGGGGTACGCGTCGCATTGATCTGATTCATACTTGGCAGTATGAGGGAGACTTGCAGATGAGATTTGATATCTCAGAGGTCCTAGGCCGAGCTCAATTGAGTGTCTAGCAGTCTGGTGTGTATCTACTTTTGTGCCTGTTCGTGGCTTTCATGTATTATATGCTCTCGGCGTTTTCTTTTTAGAATAATCAGAGCAAACAGTACATGCCTTAATACTTCTATTTTTTTTCGACTTCCATTCTAACAGTGAGGATTTTGGGATTGCTACAACACAAATTACTTGGAACTTCAAATAGTCAGAGCAAAGAGTAATATCATAAAGAGAACATGTGCATTTTGAATTAAATTTTAAACCACCATTGCGGCCTGGAAGGGAAAATTATTCTACGCAAAGCCCTGGAGATACTTTACGGTTAGTCAATTTTTCGACGTGGATTAGCACGCATGTCGCTGTTTATCGCCGGTTGAAGTTCAAGAAGCGAGACTATCAAAATCAGTTAGCATCACAACCACAACCCCAGAAAAAAAAAAGAGAGAAGATATCCACTTACCGCTAGGAACAAAATGGCCAGATTGGACACAATAAATGCAGCGAAGATACCCAGATCCCGCCACCGGTTATCGAAAGACATACTGAAGGTCGCGTAGAACTCCTCTCCAACCTTGAACGCACAGTACTTGCAAGCCTGCACCGCATCATCGACAATGTATCCCTTGCCACCGCGCTCAAAGAACGGCTGCATGTATTCGCCACATGTGAGATTGTCAGGGGCATTGAAAAGATTCAGCTCGGACTCTGCGCAAACAACGTCCCGACCTTGTAGCTCTGTCACGACCATTCCGCCGATCAGACGGGTGAATGGGTCGAGCTGGTACAGCCATGCGCGCCAGAAGCCTGGCATCTGCGGCTTGGGGATTGCAACGCCACAGAATAGAGAGAAGATAATCACAATGGGAGGGTTGAACTGAGAAGCGATGAAGCTGTTGGGTGTCAGAGCTGAGATCATCTGGCCCAGAGTCACGGAGAACATCTCTGTGATGAGGATTATGAGGAATTGGTAGCCGGCTCGATTGGACTTGGTATGGAATCCTGGGATGTAGTACAATGGGACGAAGAAACAGACGGCGCAGAGGAGACTGTAGGGAATTTCGGCGACGACTAGTGATAGTGCGAAGGCGAACTGGCTGTAGGTTTTGGATGCGGATTCGCGGTAGAAGATCAGACGGGCCATGTCGTATCGCGGTTGAACCATTTGGAGAATGATAGCTGGGAGGACGGTGACGTTGAAAATGACGAAAATGCGGTATTGCAGCGAGGATCGAGAGTCATCGAGGTTCAAGAATACAAGACCGGTGATGATGGAAATCACAACGTGCGTGTAAAGCCTGGTGAAACCGTAGTTTCTTGAGCGCCAGAATGACAGATTGGTTCGTCGACCGACTACCTTGATCTGGTGCCAGAGAGGCGAAGCGTACTCCCTGTCCACCTTATTCTCGTCATAGTTGTCCCGGACAGCCTGCGCACGAACCTCCTTGATCTGGATAATTTCCTGCTTGACTGCATCCAGTTCGGGAGAAGTGCGCCAAATGTCACCCCAGTCACGGTCTCCAATCCGACGTGTTTGGCCAGCGCCGATTGCATCCAGCATCCACTCAGCCACGTTAGAATTCGCAGGGCACTCGGCTCCATTGCGACGGAAGTAATCCAGGAGGATCTCGGAGTCAGTGCCAATGTCACCGTGGTAGATGCATTCACCTCCTTTTTGGAGTAGGAGCAGACGGTCGAAGCTTTCAAAGAGAGCGGCGTTCGGCTGATGGATGGTGCAGAGAATAGCCTGGCCTGATGCTGCAAGCTTTCGGAGGAAACGAACAATGTTCCAGGCAGATTGACCGTCCAGACCAGAAGTAGGCTCATCCAAAAACAGAAGTAGCTCAGGCTTCGCTGCCAATTCGACGCCAATTGTGACTCGCTTTCTTTCTTCGACTGACAGACCAGTTTCAGGTGTACCGATAATCGCATCTGCCAGATTCTCCAGCTCCAAGAGAGTGAGGATCTCTTCCACATAGGCGTACTTTTCCGATTGGGGTGTGTCGAATGACTGGCGCAGATCCGCGGAGAAACGCAGCGCTTCTCGTACCGTTTGCATGTCCTCGTGAACATCAAGTTGCTCCGCGTAGGATGTACCTCTTTGGAACGCGGTGCCTGGAGGCTTGCCATCGACGAAAATATCACCTGTGACCACACCAATGTTCTTCCTTGCCGCCAAAACGTCCAGCAGGGTTGTCTTTCCTGCGCCGGATGCTCCCATGAGTGCTGTCAACTTTCCAGGCTGAACATAACCGTAAACAGAGTTAAGAAGACGTCGGGTACCGGAGGGGACAGGCACTTCGTAAGAAACGTTCTCCCAGGTGAACACGGACTTGGAGGTAATATTGAGGTTTGATCCTGCATCAGGTTCGAGAGTTTTCGCCTGTCTGCTCGCTTTCTTCTTCATCAAAGCCTCATTTAATTCTTTCCGCTCTGCGTTTTCTTTCTGGTAGAAAGTGATGGTTTTGCCGCCTGCACCGAATTGAAGCGTTTCTCCGAAATATAAGTTAGAACAGAGGAAGCCAACAATCAGGGCAAGCATAATGCCAAAGTTTCGCCAAAGATCGCCATTCAGATAACTGAAAGTTTGTGCAAGGTAGTTTGAGCCAGGGATGATTGCCGACCCAGGTTCGCCTCCCGCTAGAGTGCAAGCCTGGTGCGCAATGTCGCCATAACCAGGTCCAGTTGGGACGAGTGAGTCTGTCGTACATGCCAGAGTAAGGTGTCTGAACTCGTTCACCATCAACGAAGCAAATCCAAGACCGAAGGGGTTGATGAAGTAAATCCATCGCAGCCACACCTGAGAGGCAGACCACTGGATAAGATAGCCGGACGTCAAGACGAAGAATGTGATGATAACGGATGCGAACTTGATGGCATAATCGAAGTCAGGACATAGACATCCAACAGTTCTGAAGAACACTGTCATGGTCACATAACCTTCGAGGATGATCAAAACAAATATAAAGAACGCCCCGGCATCAAGGACCAGTCCGCACATAAAGTAGACGATGATACTGAATACGAGAATCCTCGCGACGGCAAACGCAGTATCAACCAGGATCTGTGCAACGAAAAGTGCGCTGGGTCGGTAGAAGGTGAATGAACGGTGCTTGTTGACAATCGAGCGGCCCATCATTGTGGCTGCAAGTTCCGAGAATGCTTGGAAGCCATTGAACAGCAGACTGATGAACAAAAGACCTCCTCGAGTGAAGGCACCGGCACTGGTCTTTGGCTGATTGAGCCATACAGTACCCAAGATGATGGCAATACCAACAGAGGTAACCCAAGAGACAGTCAATGCAAACTTGTCTTGCCATTTGAGAAGGAACTGACGTTGCATCAAAGCCCAGGTCTGCAAGTAGAAGGGGATCGAGTATACAGATGAGTCAGAAGTAAACTTGCGCTTTGCCTCTTTGTTGGCGATCTCGAAATCATCGTAGATCTTCTTCTCCTTCTGAATCTGCTCGCGGTAGGCTTTCATTTCCTGGTCTAGCGTCTCACTGTAGACGGATTTGTCGAAGGCTTCGACGAGCGCTTGTGGCGTGGACGGTACATCGTCAGCGCTTCTTCCATCCTTGAACTCTCTCTCGAACGGATCAGTGCATCCTGTTAGGTAGTCGGGAGTGGTCTGACGAGGCTTTTCGCGGAAGCCGAGGCCCTCGAAATATGATCGTGCCTCGGATGCAGGACCGAAGAATACTTGACGGCCATTATCGATCACAAGGACCTTGTCGAACTGTTTATAGATGTTCTCGGACGCTTGGTAGAGTGAAACGAAGGTTGTTGTTTTGTATATGTTGGTCAAAATCCGCAGGGATTTGGCGAAATCGAGGGCAGTCGAGGCATCCAGACCGCGGGTGCTGTTATCCCAAGCCAACACAGTCGCAGATGTAATCATCATTTCTGCGATTGATACGCGACGCCTCTCACCTGCTCAAATTAGATATAAATTCCATAGAACCGTATACAGAACAGACTGCTCACCTCCAGATACACCACGAATAAACTGATTTCCGATCACAGTGTTGGCAGTATGTTCAATATTGAACATTTTCAGAAGCAAATTGGTCACTTTCTCTTTGAACTCGGCTTTTGACACACCCAATGGGCGCTTTCCAGGGGTCTTTGTGTCGAGGGCGAATCCAAGGGTTTGTTTCACGGTCAAGGTGGGTTGGTGAACATCGTCCTCTTGATTATACACCGCTTCTCCACGGTATCTTTTAGAGAACGCATCCGAGTCAAACGGACCGTAGAGGACTTCGCCGTCCACCCCGGTGTATCCAAACCGTTGGTTCGCGATCACCTTCAAGAAAGTCGTACAACCTGATCCGGGACGTCCAAGGACCAAGACCATCTCACCGGGCCGTGTGAGACCTCGGAAACCTTCCAAGATGTTGTACTCTTCGCCTTGCTTTCTCCATCCGAATAGGTCAATCAGTGTTCCTGGTAGATTGAGGAAATCGATGATTGCATCTGGGAATGTTTTGATGTATGTCTTGACACCGCCCATTCCACGAACTGTCAGGTTGTCCCAAATGACACCTAGGATGATGGTCAGTACGTATCTATTTTCTTTTGGATCAGTTTCTACTAACCGATGTGCTTATCTTTGATTCCAGCCGCTTCGGAAGCGGCACGATCGCCACGAAGAGTCGTCTCAAGATTCCATGAATCATCCGATGCTGTCGAGCCCTCGGCTTCGGCTTTCTCGATATCTTTAGCGGTAGCTGTCTTGGATACTCGTGATTCTTGTCTGGATAATCTGTGGGCCTGGTGCGAGATGTTGGAGAATTGTTTGCTCAATTCCGAAAAGTCCTTCTCGGCGGTCGTAACGTCGACACCGGTCTGGAAGGTGGTATTGGCCGGCGTGTTAGCGATGCGAATTTCTTCCAGCTGTCGTCCATAGCTGTTAGAGTCCAGCGTATCGACATCGGATTTGCTGCTAGTTTCCGCCATGGCCAGCTTGTGGTCCGACTCGTTTGATGTCATTGGAGATCTTTAGTGCCGAGGGCCGATCCCATATAAACTCCGAGCACGTCCACCACACCCCAAGAGAGCGTGTAGAATTATTGGTGTGTGAAATTATTGAATTACCTCCTGGACAGGTACCAACAAATAGAATATGGAATACTGTCAAGGTTTGAAACCCCTGAAACAAAAGTGTTAGAGAAAGGGAAAAAAAAGAAGCTAGAGGATAACGAAGAAGCTAAGCCCGAATGATCCTTGGCTTGAGTTAGGTAGCATCTAGATGAACGTACCCTCTCGGGGGCTAAGTTTTTACAGGGATGCAAATAGCGGTGTTGGGCTTCGGAATAAAATTACATCCAAGCGAAAACTCCAAAAGCTCAAACAAATGTGGGGGGGCGACCCTGTTCGGACGGCATATTCCGCGGTGGAGTGACCAGATTCGAAGATGCCAAGCAAACGGGGACCTAAATAGGTTTAAAGCGTAAAGAGTCAACATGACTCGTGATGATTATGATTATAAATTCAATCATCTTGCAGAAAGATCTTATTCTAGAGCAAAAGATATCTTGATCTGGGGTTGTGGAGAGCCAATTAGTGCCCTCCACTTTACGAGGTGCAGCCAACGACAAATGCATGGATTGAACATGGGTATACCCTGATACAAGAGTGGGGAGCCTGGCTTCCAACATTGTGTGGAGCATCTATTTACTCCATACCGAGTACGAACTATAGAGTACTATACTGTCCATGCATTCTAGTTTGGGAACATATGCCCTTTAAAGTATTTTACACTTGGGCAACCTAATAACCTTGAAATATCTTCTCCATTCGCAGATCAGAAAGAATCTGCAAATTACAAAATAATTATGGACCCCATTATGCCAAGCAACTCATATGGTTAGCACCGGGATATCTTCGGGTGACAATATTATATGCATCATTTCTCTGTTCAAGGGGACTGATATTGCGAGGAGATGACACGTCTAACCTGGCAAGCATTATTTGCTAATGATATACGGAGTAATTGATACTCTCTTGGCACAAGGGCGAAACATAATCCATGTCTTTGTTAGGTAGCATCCCCACGTGTAGATGGGCCACCTTGCATATTCGGAGTTTGTGGGCCAATCAATGGCGATATTTCCCCAGACCGTAAATATCTCGCTCTATATAGCGAGTACCGGTGTTCGGCGCTCACAATTTTCACAGGGCGCTGCTTTATGACCCTCAGATACTTAGGATATATTTGGACATAGACATTGATGCTCACCTTACAGCGTAAAAGAAAAAAAAAAGGGAAAATGGTGATCATGTGATATGTGGATCAATTACTGCCCACTTTGTTGTTAGTAACTGAAAATCTATTTGATATTGACAACCCCTCTCATTTTGATAATAAATCCCGACGGTTGAATGATACCCTCTTGCGTACTTGATCAATCGTAAATAGTTGCATGGCAATAGACGTTAAATCCAGTGCAGGTCGATAAAACCACCGCCATGATGCAACTGCTAATTTACCGATTTGGCGCCGATAGAGTATAAACTACCTTGCATTTGGCGGGGCTTCGTGCAATGACTCGAAGAGCAGGTCTGGACAATCGCCAAGATAAACAACATTTGCGAGTTGCCAATGGCACAATTGGCGCAGCGTGCCAGCACCGAGCCGCAGTAGTCAGCATAAATCAAAGCACTTTACGCACAAATCCCGCATCTCGAAGGGTGGGTAGAAGAAAGGAGAAGATGGATGCTGGTTTTCTGTAAACTACTGGTTTCAAATATATATATATATATATAGGCTACCACACTCGTCTCTCACCTTCCTTCACCATCTATCTATCTCCTTTCCAGCACCGCGAAACCATGGCAGACCATCAATACCAGTTTAATGTCCAGATGGGCTGCAGTGGGTGCTCCAGCACCATTAAGGAAGCTGTGGAATCCCTCAGCGGTGAGTCCCCTAGTGCTACTTTTATGTCACCATTGTAACTCTTAGGGAACTGACAACTTTATTGGCACGCTACAGGTGTGAAGAGCCACTCCATTTGCTTAGAAGAGCAGACCGTCTCCGTGTCAGCCGACCATTCTCTCCCCTACGAAATCGTGTTAGAGGCAATTAAGGCTAAGGGCAAGAATGTGCGCAGCGGGAAGGCGGACGGAGTGACTAAGGCTGTCTAAGACCAGAGGATACCAGTCACTGTTGGCTTTTTCCGGCAATTCTCGTACTATTGTATGGTACTTCTAGTCGGTTCAAGCTACATGGAAATCACGAGGGATGCAAATCACATCCGCTCGAACCTTGTCAGAGAGAGTCTGGAAACAGTTCTAATCAGCATCACCATCAGCACCAAGAGTCCCCTTGTTAGAACTACTCTTTTTGCAAACTAAAGTATTCAGTAGCCTTGATATACACTGTATTGTTCATCTCCCGAGCAACATTGGAACGAGATTGGCGCCATATTGATAATTCATTCCACAATCATTGGCAATCAAAGTCCCCTGAAACCACCACCATTAATGGCAGCTGTGCTTTCCCTTCCCCTCAACCATTCCCAGACGATTCACTTGCGCCCAAGCCAAGAATCCGACACATATTGAGATTCGCCATAACATTCTACGACTGAATCCTTCGCGTCGAACGCCCCAAATAAGGGTCAGGATAGATATCGCAAGAAAAACATTTCGCAGTTTCTCGATGCCAGCAGTGGCCACTGAACCCGCAAAAAGAAAATCCAGGACAGTCTAGCAATCAAAATCAACATATGCATTCGACAGCCTGTAAACGTGGAAAAAAAACATACCGGCAACCAACAACACGAAGACGAAAGTAATGCGGATCCCTCTGGTAGATATTTGACGACTAATTGAAAGGGTCTTTGTAGAATGAACCCTTCATGGTCTTGATTAGACTCGCATAATGGCTTTTCTGAGGATTTTTCTGAGGGGCAGTTGCGACATGACATGTTGAAAACGAAAATGCTGTACTATGATGCTCGGTCCATAGGTCTATAGATATATGGCTGCGTGATTTTCGCGTTAAGACCCACATTGTTTTTCCCCTGAGAGTGCCAAGACCGGCTAGTCCATATAGAAAGTAGCGTGGCATACAGTGCAAACAAGTCAAACATAGCAACCGAGGTTACTTGTCTACAGAATGGGAGCTTTCTACAACATACATATGGGTAATAGTGCGAACTAGACTCCACCGAGTTGGCATGACATATGTATCTTCACCACTCCCATCCTGTGTAAATTGGCGTGTTTAACGTTTATAACAGTGGCGGCACCAGTCACGCATCCCTGCAATGCGGCTCTGTCGGCCAAAAACATTAAAGCCTCCTAAGGCATTTTTCTGGGACCACTTTGGTACTCAACGCAGTCTACTTATTTGTATGTCCAAACACAGCAAAACCACTGTTTGCTTGCCTGCCTATGAGTCAGACCTCTCCCTTTGTCCCTATAGAGCTATATAAGGAGCTCTGTGGCAGTACGTAAATCCATCTTCTTCATCTATGCAGAACCAGTTCCACCGCTCTGCTACTACCCTTCCATTACAGTCAACCCTTCTTCTGCCTCAAGGTATTTGGTGGTTCCAAGACAACAATGGCCCCACTCAGGATCATGCTGCAGGGCACATCATCTATCACCTGCCAGGCAGAACGAGGTGACCTCAGCTTTATCGTCCAAGCGAGAGGCACAAGCCAAGACAGCGTGTCTAAAGAGGTGACTGAGGCATCCAACCAGGTTAACCAGCTTTTCAAAGAGCTGTCACCGAGAACGGAGACCGGCGAAATAATCTCAGGATAACCAGTGACCTCTTTCTCCTCTACAATGATACATACAGGATCTGAAAAACCACTGTATATGTCCGGCAGGCCTCAACCTATGGAGTACAGTGCTAGTCTGGTGCTCAATGCAGTCTTTCATGACTTCAATAAACTTAACGAAATTGTTGGAAAGCTGATTGCTTACCCCAATATCGAAATCAAGTGCCTTAATTGGCGTCTCACCGAGGCGACGAAAAAGGCCCTCAGTTCTGAATCCCGCCAGGAGGCAATGCGCAACGCCGTCCAGCAAGCAAACGACTATGTTAGCGTCATCGGACGAGAAGTCGTTGCGGTGTCACTCTGCGAGATGGCGGGTGGATCGGAGAATGTCTTCAGCTCTTAGCGATACAATCCACGAATGCATAACCCAACGCCAATACAGCAAATGACGCAAGCCCGTATTCTGCCTCAGTCGAACGCGGAGCCCATGTATCAATTTACTGACCCGGCTTTGAAGCTGAACCCCGATTCAGGTGCTTCTGACGCACTTAACTTGAGTCCGCAGTTGATTCGGTACACGAATCCTGTGCAGGTCGAATTTGACGCCGTAACCGGTCGACAGGACGCTTCCTAGGATATTTTACTGAAATCTTGAATTTACTTCATTAGTTTTTGATTCACCTCCCATAGCTTTGTATTAGTGATAAGGTAGGGAGTATCTAGAAATATCGTAACCACTAGAAGTAATCAAGTGTTGCGATGTCTCACATAAAGATGTACTAGTAATTATGCCCGGAGGATAATCGCTCTGCATCTGACGAGGGCAGGCTTTTGAGTATTTATTCACAGATTCCTGGCCAGGGGAGGAAGGATAATCGGGTAGGGCGTCCTGTGCTTTAGCCCGTGCTCTATACCACTCCATGGTCAAAAGCAGCATAGTGGGAGCACTAGAAATGAAGTGATAGATATCTCAAGCAGCTTCAATGCCCGTGCATATGTTCATGGGGATACACGAAAAGATAACAATGATGAAAATTACGACCGTTGCTCAACATGACAGTCGCCCTACAGACACGTCTGTAAATATTATGAAGCGCTGTATAGAAATGAGGCGACACGTTACGTCACCTGGCCCTTTGACCGGTGAAACCATCTGTTGGATTCCTGGCCCATGAAACCAAACATGGGGGATAGTTAGTTAACTAGGACCAGACAGCTAGCTAGCTATCTCCCCGTCTTATTTGCTTTTTATCTGTCTCTTTGGACTTCGCCCATAATACAACCCGGTCTTTCTCAATATCTTCCCAGCATAGCCTTCCCAATACCGTAGGACCAGAACCCCTTGGAAGTATACATTTGCTTAGTTTGTAAATCTCTGAAATATGATTTAATATGATGATTTCTGAGACCTTGTGCTTAATATAGAGGAATGATGAATGCAGTATAATACTGTTAGCATTCTAAGGCTAGGCCATCCCCTGAAGGGAGCCGTCCGCATGATGTTGTCCTAAACGACCTACCCCATGACACTGAAGTATATTTGGTCAGAATCTGAAACTGTTGTTTTAGAGAATTTGTCAATTGATTGGTGCGGATGCTGCGCTCCGGGGTGCCAACTCTATCACTATCGTCAGACCTATTTCAATTTCTAGAGCAAGAGAGTAAGAGAGTAAGAGAGCATGAGAGCATGAGAACATGAGAGCATGAGAGAATATTATCTATATTAGCCTTGACTATGAGAACATCAAATAATTTATCCCCCGGGTATAGATCTGTCCATTTTGTGAGATCCCACTAGGTAGTTGAGATCATGAAACAACAAAATGTCATGTATTGTGGGTGATGGTAGTTGTGCAAGAGGAAAGGTAGGAACTAGACTACTACAAATGTAGGGACACATCATGCGACCGAATAGAGATCCCGAAACATGTACATATATGTATTGTACAAAATACTAGGAAATACTGTGTTGGCTGTGCTGTTGCTCCCAAGTGATATTAACATCCACCGTCTTTGCGATTCCATCCCGCCCTGGCCCCGCTCCATCGTCACTTTCATTGGCATTAACAGAAGTCCTAAAAGTCCCAATCTCAATTTCCTCGCCACGTGCACCCGAGAAGAAATTCTGCGTACTTCCAGAGGCCTCGTGATTCATATATGTGCGATTCGTCGTACGTTGTTGGCTTGCTGTTCTATTCCTGTGCGATGAGGTGAAAGGCAAAGTGCTGGACTTATCGCTTGCAAACAAGTGGCGCACGGAAGAAACCACTAGCGAACGAAGGCAAGGGACAGAGGCGGAGATTATAACGAGGTAGCATTCGATCATACCCCAGCAGGTAAGTTGAATTGCCTTAGCTGCACTAGCCCAGGTCAAGATTTGTCCAAGATATATAGTCTTCATTATAGCACCGACTGTTGCTCTATATAGGTAAAGGTATCCTCGTTAGTAAGTTAGGGTAGATAGGGGGTCTTGTAACTATATGAAGGGAGGTACATACACAAGACCCAAACTTGTGAGTATCATAAGGCTCCACTTGATGATCGGCTTTAACTTGAGATCCCAGAAGATATAACACGGAAAGACTGCTAGTAGTAAATCCGCGGAGGAGTTACAGACTATAATTTGACATTATTAGTTAAAAATCCATGTTTTTATCCAATATAGCGGCTGTTAGTAGTGGATAGACATACCGCAGACAAAGTAACCAAAATAGAGCTGGATAGTAATTTCCATACAGTTCATAGCGTACTTAGGATTCCAAATCCCACGGATATCGCGGCATTGAGTTAGGATGAGAATAATCATCACAATATTTGCCGCTATTTGTACCGTAAGTAGTACCCATAGACTGATCTTGAAGGCTTTCCGTATTGCAAGAACTGGCAAAAGGTAGAGGATGAATGCAACCCGACCTAAACAGGTACTTGCAATACTACAGATCTCCATTGTTATATTCAACTTGAAAATGGTAGGCTTATCGAGCCCGGGACGACCAGATGCAAATCCTTCGTCAACAACCGAGATTGTAAATAGTATCGATGCGGCGAGGGCGAAACACTGCAATAAATATATTATAAGTTAGAATTGATAGAACTTATATCATCATCCCCCCTATACCCCCCATTTATTATCATAAACTTACCAGAGCTGCAACCATTACAGCATCATCTGTTCTGAGATGGCGAATCCTAACTTTTGCAAATACCCGGAGTGCTACCACGATGATTGCAATGCCCCCAAGAGCCCATGTGCCCTCTAAGACTGACTTCGGATCAGTAGTGGGATCAGCCATCACAAGAGGTGAAGTCGATAGGGTATATGTAGCAAAGCAAGAAATATTCAACGAAGTTTTGGAGTATGAACTCGTTAAATTTTCTCAGTGTTGATCTCAAAATCAACTAACGAGGCTCCTAACAATCTAGACCAGGACCAGACACACTAGTCTTCTCCTTAGCATTATAAGCGTCATTTCATTTTATTCCCTGGTTCACGAATGAAATCGCGGCTCCTGGCGGAGCATATGCTTTGACTATCCCGCTTTTTACGTATCTAAGACATGTCCCGGTTTGAGCTTCGAACAGGCCACTGATATCTCACAAAACATCAGCATGACTCAGTCATCAATGGATGATTGCCCCATAAGTTGTAGATCTTTATAACAAGGATATAATACATGCCAACTAGATCGGCAGTTCTTAATTGAACAGGAATTCTCCGGTTCAATTTGAAGTAGTAAGGTAACTAGGTAATAACCTAGTTTTACTTTTTCTCCGAACGGTCCTAATGCCTCGAAACTTCTTGGATTTCCAAAGGTTCCTATCAATATCTCTTGTGTCAGCATATCAGAGCACGAGATCTTGTATTACGCTTCGTATTGACCCCCGTTTCTGGTCAATTCCCAGAGTGAGGCCGAACTTTATTTTGTACAGTTTACCCCCTTTCCCCATATAAGAAATGGACCTCGGGAGGTGGATGAATCGGACATCACATTATTAGCCCGCGTGGATTTTAGCTTGCCAATCGAGGCCATTGACCCGCTATGCCCCTTCGCATAGCCGCTATCGATATCTTATCCGAGGCGATGGAAGTCAATCCCCCTTGGGGAAGTCAATTACGTATGTCTAGAACGGCCTAAAGCTTTGAACCGAAATTTTGTGGGATACTGAATAGAACAGCAGAGCAGCCTTGCGAATTCTTTTAAGCTTTGGTGCAAGTTGCGTAGAGCCCAAAACAAGAATTAGCACTTAGTTAATTCATCCACCCACGATTCCAATTCGCTCCCGAAGCTCTCAAGATTCGATAGAGCAAGAGCGTAGGATCTTATGAGCCAGGCTATCATAAATGAAGAAATCATTGTCATTTCCGAAGTAGCGCGTCGTTTTAAAGTTCCGAAATCAACTCTCCTCCACCTAGAGCTTGACAAGTCCCGCCAGCTTGTTTTGGTGCTGCCTTGCCACCATCATACCGACCACCTTAGGGATTTTTTTATTGGCTAAATACGTATGGTCGCCACAGCGCAGCGCCATAGTTTATTTCGTGCTGCGGGGCTTGTCAAGGTCTACCACTGTCTAAAGAATATCCCCGCCCGCGCGTTTTCTCGCGCTAATAACTATAAACTGACTAAAATTGTAGAGGAAGCTCTTCGAAAATAGATTCTCTCTATAGATTCTCGTGGATCAGCCTTCCCCCCGCATTTCTACCGTACTAGAAATGACGAATCATTTGCTTGAAAAGCGCGGATCTAGCCCGGTTATTTCCGTTGGCAAAAACTAGGCAACGAATTATCTGAAACCACACCCTCTCCTATCCTCCCGGTTTTCAAAACGGTATAACTACTCCGTACGAGCGTACGGAATGTCAGGATCCGAAAATTATTATGGAGTGATTTAATCTTGTTGACAGAAAGTTGGTGTAAGAACAATCTATAGTATAGATGATCAATGTTGACAGTTCTAATTAAAATCACAAAACCCGCTATTCAACAATCTGTGCGGATATCGATGACTGATTGTAATATTCACTGTTATATGGTGTGTCCCCAATGTCACATGACGTTTCCGGTATACTGGTTTCTACCATGTATTCGGACTTCGTATTCGGCGCTTATTCAAAAACTATCTGTTAATTTAGAATCACCCCTGATAGCATTTATAACTTTGATGAAACCGGTTTTGCGATACTTACGACAGCCACGGAGGTTATTACGGGAAGCGAATACTATGGTCAGCGAGCACTTTTACAACCTAGAAATCGCGAGTGGGTGACGGTGATTGACGAATGCTTCGGAGTGGGCGCTTCCTTCGTGCTGTTTTTACAAAACCAAGTTTTGAATCTTAGTTCGACGGCGTCCCCGATGGGTGGCGATTTGAGTTTAGTCCTAATGGATGAAGTTCTAATAACATTAGAATTTGCTCGCTTGAAGAGCTCTTTATATATGACAAAGCGTGTGATCATATAGATCATGACAAAAGTATCGTGTTAGGCTTTTACTCTGGCTGAGGGGTTAAAAAGCAGCAGACCTAGGTAGAATATTGACATTTGATAATCTTATAATGAAACTTTATAAGGTATTGAGGAGCAATACTTGAACCTTGGATATTTTCGATGAAGGAGGAGAGATCAGGATATCTTTGATGTATATTGATTCTTAGCATTAGCAGCTATAGTTATTGCGAACAGGTAATAGAATTTAAGCTCCTGGGAGCTGGTTTTGTCTCGCTAATTATATTGTGGCATGAAATGTCTGAGAGCTCCTATGAATCCCTATTAAACTTCATTTAGTTATTAGTAAAGTATTTTCTGACTGCTACTTGGAATATGCTAGGCAAATAAGGGACCTTTTCAATAGATATGGTCGATGGGCCCCAAACAATACAAATATGCCTAGAATTTAGGGACCAAGTAAAGTTTAACCTCCTTTTTCTAATTTTTCAATTACGCTTCGTTTTACCCCTGTTTCTAGGCCTTATCCCCTAAGGTAATATTCTATTTAATTATAACTATATGATCTAGAGCATATTATTAGTCAGTTCGTAGTATCCGTATCACGTTCAAAAACGCGAGAAAATGCGTTAAAATTAGAGGGGTTCACTAGAAAGTAGTGGTACTCCCATCTGATTCTGAAATATATGTCTGATATCAAAGCATTAATATCAATACTTCTTAGGATATCTCGTCCTCTACTTATCGGATCTTATTTAAAATAGAGATTTATACTAATTTAGCTACTGTAATTCAATACTCCAGGTCTGAACTTTGTATGATTAGTAGAAAGGTTGTAATATAGCGATTACATATGCCAATTTATTAGATACCGATAGGCTTTAATGGGGGCCTCATGGGCTGTAGGCTGGGCTGGGCTATGAAGGTTAGGGCCACTGCGGGCTGGGCTTTGGGTCCGAGGGTCGGGCCCATTAGTGGGCTTTGCGGAAGTCTACTAGAGCTGATATCGTATTCCTAGGAGTAAGCGGTAGATAGTACGAGCGATAGTCTATAAAAAATCAAGCGAAAAGAAAAGAATCCAAATTAAACTAGATTATTGGTAAGCCACTCAATCGGAGTGTTCTAGGATACTCTTGAATGTTATTACACTAAGCCAAGATGTTTGGATATTTCCCGCAACTATATAGACATTGTATCGTAGATACGAGACTCGGCAAGTTAATAAGTAATATAGCCATAGAAAGGAATGCTAATATATTTAGGCCTACGGTATATTTACTTCCCAGCTAGAGGCGAAACAACTTGGGTCGGCTGCCACATTGATAACGCCAGCCTTTTGTTAAGGGGACAACGGTCAAGATGCTGGGTGAACGACTGTATTGGGATGGGGCTCGCGTGGTGCATTTTATTGAGGTGAGCTACTGACTCAGCTGCTCTCCAACTTTGCTTAGGTGACTAGGCTTCCGCAGAACCTAGTCTAGCTCTGGGTCGAAAGCTCATGTTAAAACATAGTACATGTTTGATATAAGTGTGTTTGTATTGTTTGTGACCCACTTTGGGGCCCCAGACCCATTACTGGGTCGAAGGGCTTGACCCAAAACCCAACCTAGGACTGGGTTGGGTCTAGGTTGGGTCTGGGTTTTACTGGGTCGTACGGAAGCCTGTAGGTGACGCTCAGTGCGCAAGCCCTTAAATTTATGTAATAATCAGGTCACGTTCAGTGAGCGAGCTCAGACCTCCTTCATCCGGCTTATTTATATCGTGATCAGGTGATCCCTAGTTTTACTCAGTGAGCAAAGAGCGGCAAGGGGTGAGGACTAAAGCGGAAAGGGAAAGCCATCTCGCCCGGCCTAAAATCCGGTGTACAGTGGCGGCATTTCATGAGTATCAATGCCCAAGTCCGTGTCAATCTTACCGAAATCAGCTGATAACAGTGAGCCTGATCTCAGGTAAGGTGTGCATGGTGCAACGTCAAATGATGCGTTTATTTGCATCGACAGAGTCATGTCACAGTTTCCATTCATGATTCATGTGTTACACTCCTTACACCAAAACAACCATACAATTCCTCGGGTATAAGGCGATGGACGCAATCCTCTCCTAGATTCTGGAAGATTACCGAGAGAGCAAGGCAAAGCGCCAAGTAAAACCCGTCTATGCTGAGATCTCCTTGATTTGCGCCTCCAGCTTCTTCATGTCACCGCCAACAACGCGGTTGACCTCCTTGCCATCCTTGAACACCACAAAAGTGGGCATAGCGTTCACGCCCAGTTCCCTCGCAACACCCTGCAGCTTGTCCACATCGACCTGGATAAAACGAACGTTTTGGTACTGCTCGCTCAGCTTGCCGACAACGGGGGCAACGGCCTTGCAGGGTCCGCACCAGGTTGCGAAGAAGTCAACAACGACGGGGCCGGAGGAGGTAAGGGCTTTGAAGATGACTTGGCTAATGCGCAAAGATTAGAATCAAATGTATTGATCGCATAATAATAGCGACTTACTTGTCGATCTCGGTGACCTTTCCGTGAGACATGATGGTTGCTGGGCTGCGTGATTTAAAGAAGAGGCGGATAGCTTATGAGGGGTTAGTGTTTGTTTGCTGGGCGTGGCCCAAGTATATTGTGTGTGGGCAAACATCGCGGGAGGTGGGACATGACAGCACTCACCAATGTATAGCGCAGCGAGAATTGCAATAGTCGTGTACTCCATCTTCAGTTGCCCGCGGTTCCCACGTTCTTTGGTGGAGCGTCGTGGTATTTGGCGTGGCACGTGACCTGGAACTATGCCCTATCTAGAGGTCCAGGATCACGACATTTGAGGAGCGATGACATGTGGTCATAACTAGGTCTTACCTCAAAGTGTCTCATTCTGATCAAGCTAGATCCAGGTGTCAGAATTCATCAAGTTAAGTGCGATTGCAGCCACCAAAAGCCTCAGCCATCAACCTCAACGTAGACCGGCGACGATCTATGCCTGGTAACGTCTCTCATCACAAGTTATACGTAGAAAATTTGTCTACATAAATTAAACCTTTTTCTGACTTTCTTTGCCGTCGACCTATAAGACTGGCAAGACAGAATGATATCTGAAAGGACCACTGAAGTGACATCACGAGGCCGCTTATGCGCCCGACTATTCTTGTGTATCTTGAAACCTTAGCGCCATAAAATGAGCTTATTTATTCTCTAGTAGTCTTCGCCACGAATTGATGCTTTTCATAGGTTCCAAATAAACATGGATTCAAGCAGACCCACGTGTCATCTTGATAGATCAAAAGATGAAGCCATGCACATATTTGTGGATGCGAACTGAAAAAAAAATGAAATCTCGAAATAATAAACTAGCATACTATTACAATGAGCGTATACATGCTGCTAATAATCAAATATAATATTCTTGCTTAATTTGCACCTGACCTAACTATTCCTAGCGCGAGTATTTCAACCTTGCGAATATTTTCTGTCTGTGAATCCTCTGGTTGACTGTCAAGATCTCGCCATAATTGTTGTAGTCCATGCTATAACTTTCTTTCTATTGCTATCATACGGCTGGTAACTACCAAACCTCCCAATTGTGTAAATGATGTCTCACATTCCTTCTACCAGGGTGCATACATATATGTCTTTGCCCTGGAATGTATCATGCAAGGGCTCCAGCCAGCCAAGGGTTGCATATATGCTCCTCCTATCTGCCTATACCTTTATTGTCAACAGCCATGAACTGAACGCAACAAGCAACTATCCTTTTTCCTATTCCAAACCCGCTCGACATGAATTTGCGACATCCAAGCCCCAAGATAGAGCCTGAATCCAGCTCTAATGACATTCTCACCAAATCCACTACCCATCATGTTTTACCAAATAATTCTGCCAGTACCACTGGGTCCATGTTACGCCTGACATTGTGGGTCTCATTTGCCGGATGGATCTCAAACTTTGATAATGGCTACGCGGGAACAGTCCTGATCATGCCTTCTTACAAACGCGCATTTGGAAGCTGCGAACAAGTTCTAGACCCGAGCACGTATGCCGATATACAGCATTGCTCGTTAACTCCATTGCAACAATCTCTCATCAGCCTCAACTTCCTGTTCGTCGCCATTGGAGGCGGAATTGCCGGTGTAACCGGTCGATACATCGGACGGAGGTGGTCAATCCAGATTGGAAGCGCACTGGCTATCATCGGTGCTGGCGGAATGCTTGGCACCAGCGGAAGCTTCCTTCGCTACATGGTGTGCAGATCAATCGGTGCTGTGGGAATTGGACAGCTGATAGCAGCCAGTCTCACTTATGGCTCCGAGTGCATCATCGCCAGCAAACGCGGGCTGTCTTTGGGACTGTATAATGTCGGACTCGCCGGTGGGAATGTTGCTGCTTTCGCGGTATGTGCTGGTTCTGCTCGTCTGGAGCCCACCAACGACTGGCAGTGGAAGACGCCTATCCTATGCCAAATACCCCTAGGAGTTATTCTTGGTGCTGGAATCTTGATGATGCCTGAATCTCCGCGATGGCTCATGGTACATGACCGAGAGGAGGAGGCACGGAACTCGTTCGGCGTGCTATACGGCCAAAATCCGTTTTCGCCAGAAATCACCGCGCAGATTGATGAGGTCAAAGTCAATCTTGCAAATGAGCGCGCAGGCCACAAATCTGTCTCGTGGTTTGATATTTATGGCAAGAAGCATATCGGTCGCACCTTGATATCGACAATGATTATGATTGGGTCCGCCATTACTGGTATCCAATTTGTACAACCGTACGCTACACTTTTTCTCAAAGGAGTTGGTGTCAGTGACCCGTATTTAATTAATGTCATCATTGGCTTGTGCATCTTAGGAGGATCTCTTTTTGGTCCCTTCTTTGTGGAATATGGCGGAAGGCGAATCGCCATGCTTTCAGGCTATACTGTTATGGCTGTCTGCATGCTCACTCTCTCCTCTGTGAGTACCGCTCTGGGGTCAGGTGAAGATGCGGAAATAGCGATGGTTGTTCTTCTGTGTTTCTGGGCTTTTGTCTTCGGTGGAACTATTGCTGCCAGTGTCAACCTGGCTTCTGTGGAGATGCACAGCGTCTCACTTCGCACCTTCGGACAAGCCAACACCACAGTCTTCTACGGCATATTTTCCTTCGGTGCAACATTTTGGACCCCGTACATGTTAGGCGCGGATTACGGGAATATGGGACCCAATGTGGGTTATTTTTATGCAGGTGTTACCGCCGTCATCGGAATTTTAACCTTCTTCCTCGTGCCAGAGACTGCTGGAATTACCCTGGAGCAGATTGACGAAAGGTTTAATTCAGGAGCAAAGGCATGGAAAACGTCACTGTCAAAAAATAAAGCCATGGCTTCCTCGCATGAACGGAGCGTGGCGAATGGAGACGTTGGAGCTTAACGAATAACGATGAGCCATGGTCAGTTAGCTATGAATATGATATAAAGATTATTGTACAGGGCGCAGGACTATTCAGTCGAATTTTAACGTATCCGACTTGTGACAAAAGTCTGGATTGGATAGATGATATCAAAAATATATATCAAGTGCAGAAAAGTAAACTATAGAACACATGCCTTAAACCGCAATGAGGATCTGGTAATGGAACCAGACCCCGGAAAACATCTCTACAATACGTCTCTCGGATTTCTGTTGTCTTTAGACGGTTTTATTGATCATGTTTTGGAAGATGATAGTACTGCATGACGCACGTGACCATCTGGCCCTAAGGCGCGCGTGCAACCACGTGCTTTCTCCGACATACGCCCACTTGAAAGTGTTGGTGGAATGAATAGAATCTCAGCAAATTTTCAGATTCATAGTGAGAGTTATTAGGCTCAAAAATCCTGCAAGCTAGAACTATTTTTATCTTAATTCATGGCGATCGCGAGATGGAGCAAGTGACAGCATATTCCGCGACTTGTGCGTCAGTAGATTATTAGCTGAAGTTATATGAATCAAATATCTCTTCTGGACTGGGAACTATGCGATGGACCTTTCTAGGCGTTCAAAGACGGAAAGGATGTTTGATTGATCTTGAGTGAACTTTGTAAAATGAGACTTCATTTTCGCCGACATAAGCGTTAAGTTTTGTTGACTCGACTCAGTCGCAATTGCCTGATTTGCGCTTTTCTGACTTCAAATGAAACCTTTAAATTGATTTCTCTCCTTCCTCTTCTTCCATTCTTTCTTCCCTCCCGCATCTACCCAAACACTTCTTCAGACAGAAGACGTACAGGCTTGATCGCAAAGCACCGTCCAGAGTGAGTTGATGACTTCCTGGAAAGAAACAAGGATTTGCTAACAATATTTTCTTCCAAGCGGTAAATCTCAATTATCACATTCATCTTCACAACTGCTCGTCTATACCTACCTATCATGTCGTTCTTTTCGGAGACTCCTCGTCGCCGTAGGCAGGATTCCGAATCCAACCCTCACCAACAACCACCACGCACTCAGGCCACGGATCTGCCTAAGGAATCTTCCGTCACTCTTCTGAACATCATGAAACTCAGGCCAGACACCAGCCTCACGGTCTGGGGCAATGAGATCATTCATGCCTTGCAACCTCTGAAGTTGGATGCACTCGTGGCCAATGACCTCCCAAGGCCCAACCCAGGCGACGCCAACTACAACAAATGGAAGTTCTGGACTCGTACCGTTGCTAGATGGCTGTTGAATCAGGTGGATACCTCACTTCAACAGAAAGTGAGGGCACACTCAAGCGACTTCACTTTCGCCGATGAAATTTTCAAGACAATCAAGCACCTGAGCCTACACAACCAGTCCAAGTTTATTGCAAACGAGGTGAAGCGGTGGGAGAGTATCAAGCGAGAGAACTTCCGCACCCCCGCCGACTTCATCCTGGCCTACCAGAACCAGTACAACCGTCTGAAGACAGAGGACCACGCGCCGACTTGCGACTATGCACTTGGTAGACTTCTGGAAGCGCTCCACGGGGAAGTGTTGAAGGTTCCGTTCCTCCAAGAGGAGGTGAAGGATTTGGGGCGACCAGTGGACTACAAGCTTTTCGTCTACTACTGCAAAGTCTTGGTCGAAGAATCCCGCAATCCGACTGCCTCAAACCGCCCCGCCTCTGGAGATGCCTCTGTGGAGGCTTATCAGGATGTACGAGGCCGAAGCCGAACCCGTGGACGTGACATCTCCTACCGCGGCTGGAGGCAAAGCGCTAAGGGACACGGCCCGGCATGGGAGTGAGTGCTTTGCTGTATGCATTGCCCTGACCTTGCAACTAATAAGGTCTTGAACACGGGCACATGCATTGGAAGAATTTTGCATCTGAGTTCGTTTGAGAAAAAGAAAAACGAAAAAAAAGAAAGCAATTATTACAGGCATAGGAATGAAATATGTCATCTCCCTCATAATTCCCATTTGAGTAGATTCTATACGTAGAAACCAAAGCTTCCACGTAAATTGGTTTCTAATCTAACGCGCAATTGAAAGATTGACCGATCTGTGGCATACAACTTAGAAATCAAAATCTAGTTAGCTATCTCTGACATCTAACATACAACAGCTCATTTGCGACATTCTAGAGTGGAACTTCTGCCTAAATAAAAGGTAGTGACAGCTATGTTCTGTCACCTTCCGGCTTGTATATTCCCATCTTTGTTTATTCCAACATTGAATGTATTCATCACACTAGATAGGAAAATAGCCTACCACCATGCAGGTAATTTTAGTCTTCCTGCCTTGTTCAGCCCTTGAAGTAAGCAACTAGCCCGATGGGAGGTAGGTCTATTGGGTCAACGTAAAGCTGTTTCCATATGTATCCGGCATAGTTTGCTGGGCCTGGCGGTGGACGGAGGAAACTGATGAGGTTGATGATGGCTGGGAAGTATCAGGAAGCGGAGAAGGCGTTTGCGACATCGGCACAGAAATATGAGAATGTCCCAAATTACACGAAGGAGAAGAGATCGATGGAACCTACAACATCAAGGTTCTCTCCAAGCACTGGTTTCTAACTTTATTTTTCAATTCCGAGCCACGATATCTATCTATGATCAATTATTCATACTTGACACTGGAACACTCTCAATCCTGTCGTGACAGTAGTGGGACGCCCTGATACGTCCATAATCTTTTCGATGGCTTGTAGAAGCTCTTGGTCTTTTGTTGGAGCACCCGTAATGTCAATTACAACTGGTAAGTATTCAGTTCCCTTGGTGATCTTTGACTCATATGGTACCTCGCCAATAGGAATGGCGATATCGGGGGCAACTAAGATGGGCGGAAGAAAAAGCTGATCTAGCGCGGATTGCCCAAGGGGCGATGGCGATGACTCCTCCCTATAATTCGGAGCGAGATTTCCAATGGGAAGCACAACCAGCGGTTCAGCCTCGCTAGTAGATCCGGCAAGCATTCTGGTAAGCAACCAATCCCTGTAGATGCCCATCCGCTGTACGGCATCTTTGTGCTGTTCCTCGGACACGGCTGCACCCGTTTCCCATCGGTATTGTAGGGAAGGAAGTGCATATGGAGGCTTTCCACTATGTTTCTCGGCGTACTTTTCGCGAAACGCGACAAACGAGTGATAGAACGCATTATAGTAAGCTCTTAACACCGTGTCGATCAGGTAATCATCGAGATTTTCTGGGGTTCCGAGGGGGTGAGGTTGCTTCCAAGCTTCTCGTATCGGGTCGATGTGTTTGGGATCCAAGTCTGAGCAACAGCCTTGAGTATGGCGAAATTCCTGGCAAATACGACGGGTGTCTCGAAGCGAGCGTAGGTCCGAATGATACCGCTAAGAGATATCAATTTATGGGAAGGTCAAAATTGCCAAAATCTATTTACCATCGCGGGACGCCTTCCACTGCTACTGGTATCTGTGCCGATAGCGCAATCAATCCAGTCATATCCTGCGACGCATGCGGCACTACCATTGCTGCTGCCGACCAGGGACTGATATTCCTCTCCACGTGAATTGAATGAAGTGCGGAAGTCAACAGCCTCCAGAGGCTCCTCGCGGCCAATCATCGAGCTGAGTTTTGTTAGACCAGGACGACGGCTCCCTGTTTTACCAATAACTGCACTGCCTCTGGTGTAAATGGAGCCGGGTCGCTGAAGCCGTAGTAAGATTTATTACACAGGGAGTTCTTCAATCCTTCCAGGAAGTAGCAGTCCTTGACTGCTACGCGAAGCTGTGAAAGGGGATAATTGTCCGGTGCTGACGCCGGTCTTGGAGGAACTGCCACACCAAGACAGTCGTAAAACGTTCCCTCGCCCTTGAGTTGCTTATACGTCGTAGAGAAAGGTCTGTTTCTGCCAAAAATCAGACCGCTGCCAGAATGTAATTTGTGTTCCACGGCATACTCACGAAGTGGGCTTCGGCTTGACGGCTGTTAGGAAAGTTCTATATGTATCATCGTGCAGTCGATAAACATGTTTGAATGCCTTTTTGATGTATAGGTATGGACCTGGCTGTAACTTCGCAGGATTGCCTCTATCCTTTTCCATCTGAATCCAGCGATTACCGAGAGAATTCAGATACTGTCGGCAGTTGGGTAACACGGTATGCGTTGCCATGACTCGGGTTATAATCAAGCCCGACAGAAATGATTGTTTCAGCTGGAATCGCTGCTACATAGTCTTTCAAGGTAATCGTCCAACCAAGTTGGGCTGAGAGGTGTTCCATCATCGGCTTCCACTACTGTCACGAGCAGCAGCCCGACATCTCCCGTGAGATCTTCGGTCAATTCAAACTACAATGATCATCTGTCAATTTCTCCGGGGGCATGCGACAAAGGGGAATGGGTATTTTGTACCGGAATGTGCCCAGTCGTGACATATCGGAAGTCTCCAATCGAGAAATAAACATCTACACATCCTCTTCCAGTCGATCACTTTGGGGTTAGCATGCTGGGTGTATCGAGTCCTCCCTCAATTGAGCGTCTGCTTCGGGTCTTATGTCTCGCTGGAAAACACGGCAAGCGTCGCAACATTGTGTCAAGTCGTGCTCTTCCGCTCCTTTCTGTTCAGCTTTACAAGACGACGCCCGACTCAACAAGTTGGGAGAATGTAATACGGGTCACAGAAAGAATATTATGCATGGGAAAAACAACGTTTTTTCTTTTCTTTTTTTTTTTGGTAAATAAGCAGATAAATATCGACTCTGAGAGGTTGAAAAGTGGGTTGCGAACAAGCTGGCGTGGAAGGTGAAAGGGATCAATCAGGTTTAAGCCATCGCGCCAACTGGGGTAATGATCCACACCTTTGCCCTAGAGCCCTAGATACCAGTTTATCACCCCATATTCTTACCCAAATAGCAAAATAAATCGGCCGAATTTGCTGGATTTGTATGAATTCGACGATTAAAATGCAGTTTTTAGTGTTATTGTAATACTAAACTAGAAACCGTCATTCTGAGATATATCTCGTCTTTGAGTAGTTCTAGATCAATTGGGCCTGGTATCTTGACGATAAGATGAAGCATACAATGAGAATGGCACGATAATAATTGCCTATAAAGGGACTAGACAAGGAAAGTACAGTCAGAAATAGCTAGTTGTCCTCCGAATATGCACTGCGGCCCGATTATTGACATGGCCGTGGTGGCCTACGTGGCGAGGGTTGACCTGGCTTTGTTGCTTTCTCTATATAATTTCCATATCTTTAACGCCATAGCAACGGGAAACTGAGCGGCGACATTAGGGAGGTGACGCTAGCGAGAGAAACGCTGGCAGGGAGGATGCCAGTGAAAGTGTTCTGTTGATGCTAATAATCCCAATGTAGACGAATACGAGGAGGCCGGTGCAGACGCTAACGCCCCGGTGCCCGACCAGCTGACAAAGATACTAATTATCCTTGATTCAAAAGATAATGGTATTTAAATATCTCAGACCGTGGCTGATCTAGTAATAACAAGACCACCAAAAGAATCAACATGATTTCAACGCAAACAAAAGCGAAGCCGATTGGGGCGACAATAACGCTAGTGACGATCGAGCCGACATCAAAACCCAAGACCACGACTACATCGGAGGCAAAGAGCAAGATCAAACCAGAGACAAAGACTAAGGCAAACCCGGAGGCAAAGACTAAGCCGGACACGAAAACAAAGGGCAATCCCGAGGCTAAGGGAAAGCCAACGAAAGAAGCAAAGATCAAGTCGGACGCAAAGGCGAAAAGCAAGCCAGAGACAAACAGCAAACCTGAAACAAGAACAAAAGCTGTGCCGAAGGAGGCCAAACCCGAAGCAAAAAGAGGGCCACAAATAAAGACAAGAGTTGTACCGAAGAAAAAGATCAATCCTGAAACAACAACAAAGCCAGAAGTGAAGGCAAAAGTGATGCCAAAGAAAAAGACCAACCCAGAGAAGAAGATAATGATTAGCCTGGGGACGACGACGAGGATCTTGCTGGGATAAGCCTGGTGACGATGAAGCTGACGCCAAGTATTGGACTGATAATGAATATTCAGACGATAAAAAATCCGAACCTTACGATAAAGATAAATCTGCTTCAGACGGCGAGGTCAGTAATTGACGACTCTTTGGAAATACTTTGAAAATATACCAGCGACCATGGAGTAAGGTGGCCAGACCTTCTTCTCATATGCTTCTCAACGTGCGGAATATCCCAGTGGATTTGATTTAAAACCCGGGGAATGACACACCAAACAAACGAATAGTAAACCCACCTAGGGAAAACACATGAAAACCAACATGGGTTACAAGAAGCAGGAATTGGTCATTGATTTATCCTCCCGAAAGCTGCCCTTTGTGGTCTACTACTCATCTTCGATATTTAATCAAATTGTCAATGTTTTGCTCGTTAGGTCTCTCCAGATGTAGGTGACTTGCTAGTCAATCTCCCCAAGAAGCTGATATATCCCCATTTGCAACTGAGATTGGCGAGCCCTCGGTTTCTAGCGTTACTCGCTGCCAAAAAAAGTTCCAACCAAGAACTAGGTATTTAGCGCTTATAGTGCTGTTTCTGCTCCAAGCCACGTGGCGTATGAGACCATAAAAAGCACAATATGCTATTGAAGCTGAACCTATATGGGGGAAAGAAGAGACGAAAACCGTAATGATCAACTATGGAAGAGGCAACTAGTCATGTACTATCTGGGAGCATTCAACAGCTTCCATCGAAAGTTTGTAAATCTTTGAAGTATGTGACATGTGTGAAAGTGAGGCCTTGTGGTGACCAGTCGCCAGATGCAGTTTCATAGAAGTTCCGACGTCTCAGGGAGGAGACTACGCCCGGATTTAGCACAAGGCCATCTGTGCATGCTTTGCATAGTCGAACCGGCCGAAGCGGATCACCGGAACTCAGCCCATGGCGCAAGGCGATCCAGCGTATGAAATTTGTTGTGTGGAGGTGGAGGGCCCTAAAGAGTCAGTATTTGCACATTGAAAGACAAAAAAAAGTCTTTAGATAGGAAAAAATCCGATATCAAGACTATAAGTTCTAGAGGAAGTTGACTCAAGAAACTTGGCTTGAGGTCGATAGGCTTGGTAATCGAAGATGGTCGACTTTGAGCCATATTGCTTACCTAGGTAGAGTATGGCCCGTCAGTAAGTTATGGCTGGCCAAGAAATATTTGTGGAAGTAGAGAGAGTGATATCAAACACGGGTGTGACTAACTTGCATTGAATGATTTCCTGGGCCTGGAGGATTCGATAGCTCTGAACCGTGCCTCAAGGCAATAGATTAATTTGGGGCGCAGTGCTCCGAATAAGCCTCGCCAAAAGCCTTGGAAGAATATCTTGTCCCTATCCGAAATCCACACCACTGGCACACCCCAATCACCCTTCTGCAGATCCTACAGGACCGTGGTCGCCCAGTCATACCCCTTCCATAATCTGCGTCAAGGATTTACGACTGTCCTTGAAATTGGAGTGTTGAGCATGGTACGAGATATGAAGGTACGAGATATGAAGAAGGATAGACCCGTGTCGGAGAAAATATGAAGAGACTGGGTATTTATATCCCTGAGAACAGCAAGCAGACAGCATGGTTGATATGCTGACTAAAAGTAAAGTAAGAGTCCAATATCTCTGATTACTCTTGGGCTAACCTACAATGTAAGGCACGTTATATTAACAATATTTTGAGGAATCTCTTCAGAGTGCTTTCAAATATCCTTCAAGTATCTCTATCTTGTCCCTAAAAGAATGACTGAAAATGAATAGTCATAACCGATATAATAACGGTGAAAATAAGCTACACCATCCAATCAGAGCTCTATCAATTGCTAGATTTCTTAGTTCTCTGAAGGAACGGTGTTCCATCAGTTCACGAGCCGTCTTCCTTTCTTCCGGGAGCCAGGCTAGCATCATCCTTGCAAAGGACAAGAAATTCTCTTTTTCCTTTTCTTCCAGCGAGGGAAGTGTGTCGGCGAGATTTCGATTGGGGATCAAGTCCTCATACAAGAATTTCCCTATAATTAAAGCATTAGCAAGATGCAAAGACATCACTTTTGTGATACACGGGATGGGATTCCAAATACCATTATGATCAAAAAAGGGACCGTCGAAATACTGCTCCGCACTATCGTAGGTCACACCGTCTACAGTTTTGACAGGTTCGGGCCATTGATACTCCCGCATCGAATGAAGTCGTGCCAATAACTCCGGTGGAGGATGACCCAATAGAGCGAACATTTCTGCAAGGTGCGCTTTTGCTTGATAGTTACCGTGCGCATCGTGAACATGGCAAAAGAGTCCTGTTCCCTGGATGATATCCCAGAGCTATTGTGATATTAACATTAGCAATACGATCAATTTGAGTCAGAAATATATGCTTAGACGCGCAAGAACCCCAAGATTCCAGATATCAGCGCTCGTTTTCCAGCCACAGCCAAGGATGACCTCGGGTGCACGGTAGTGATCTGGTTGAATGGGATATATACCCCGTTCATCTTCGTGATCAAATTTCGTAGAACCGCCAAAATCAACGATTTTCGGAAGGATTCTTCTTATGTTCCTTATTGGTCCGAAGTCGTTGTGACTGGGATATATATGTCGGTCTGTGGAGTCGAGTTTACACTGAATTGGTTGATCGAGCTGAGAATTCAGAAAATCCCCAAGCACGGTTGGATCTTCGAAAGAGACCATAATATTTTCGAGTTTTAGATCTGTTAAAGAATGAGCACTGTCGTTGGAAGCCTTGGGCTAGTGAGATAATTACGCACCTGTATGGACAACCTCCTGTGTGAAGATAATCAAGGCCTGCAAGAAGAAAGAGAATGTACGTTTTCGCAATCGGAAGGGGAATCAATCGGTCTTTAAAACGGCTCTGAAAAAGTAAGAATGACTCCCTCATGGGCCATATGCTAGACAAAGATGTCTCCTTTGCGGACCGGTGACCTCGAAGGAATCTACGTTTGGTCGAAATAATGCATAACCGCGATGTGACGGATCTGTTTTCGCAATGTGATCCTCAATTTGACGTTCTTCCTCGACAGTGTTTTGATTGAGATTTGCATTTGTTATCTTTAGCGTTACAACGCTTTCCGGTTCTTCTTCGTGTCTGGATTCATTAGATATACAAAGGTAGGAGGATAGTGAAAGTAATATACCCCCTCATATCACGAGCAAGCCATACAGTAGACGAGCTACCCCAGCCGACTTTGACTAGGATTTGATAGCGATTGGCGAGTAATTCACCTGGATTTGCCGGGTAAAATTTGGTGGAGTCATAGCCTGGACAGATCTCTTCGTCCACTAATTTGTTTTGTGGTAGAAGAACTTCCCGTGGAGGCATCGGCAGGAGTTGTCTGCGAGCTGGAGCCAACGAGCGCGTCATTACGTGTCTAATCGACTTCATTTTTTGGAAATCGCTCAAAATAGTGTCTCATGTGAATACATATTGAACTCTGATATCTCAAGTGGAAGAATGTGAAGTAGTTAGAAGTGAAAGGAGAAATGGAAAGGGGGTATTGGCATGCAAAGTAATCAGCAGGGAAGTGTATATAGGTAGCCCCGCTAGGAAAGAAAGTGCTAAAAATAATGGATTAAAACAAAAGTCTATCAATTTCATAGCTCTACATTTGCTATGAGCAAAAACTCGATTCGTAGGTGCCTTTGTGGTAAATACTCATAGGCGAACCCTTGCCAGTTGGCTACGTTCGCTGAGCACAACGGCGCAAAACAACCCGAGACATGATGGAAAGGGCAACAATTAGAAATCAATATCAGAAAATAATTACAGGAAGAACTTACTATTGGACTAGCATACCTTTGAACATAGCTTAGAATAAATCATCTTTCACGCCCATAGGTGTTGCTAGTCTCAATGTACGATACAAAATACGAGTGGTGCATTTTGTGAAATGTTTTACTCATCCAGTAGATATTACGAATGCAAAAGTATTTTCAGGCATAGCCTAAATTCAATATGTAAACCACATAGCTTCAGCTCGAGATATTCACAGAGAAGCCCAATGGGGGCAAAGAAAATAGAGCACACGGTAGCACTGGAACAGAACTCCCATACATCGCGTTTGCTAAATGGGATAGTTTCAACAGTTCCACCCATGGAGCGAAAAAGAATAAGTAGCCAGCACGCTCAAATGAACAATCAGCAAGAAGAGTAGCAAAAAAAGTAAGAAAATCGAAGCCGGTAGCTCGTAGACCGGTACAGACAAGATAGTTGGCGCTCATGTACATGCAAGGAAAATCTGCCCACGTATCGAAGGATATGGGAGAGGTGGGATAATGACTGTGAACTTTTCAGAACGAATGTGAAAAGAGGATATCAACACCAAGGGAACAGCGCTGCTTGTTCCCATGACAGGATAACACCCTGAAAAATGGTGGATAGTAAAACAGGTTATAATGACAAGGAAATAGATTTTGTGTGGTGTTGGGAGATTGGGGACTTGTCTAGCAAGAGACAAGTTTAGAAAGGAGAGAGGATAGGGAGAGTGATTGGTTGGTTTTTATGTGCAAGGAGGGACAGCCATTGATGTCCATCACAATTCGGACTTGACTGGCTCGTCCACTTTCCAGTGAGCTTTGCGTCTGTCCATCATCTCCTCAAGGACTTCGAGACGTTGGCGTGTGGTACGGAGGGCATGGTCCATCTCACGGTCAGAGACCTTCTCTTCCCGTAGGCGTTCAGTGAGCTCACGCTCGTCACTCATACTGACTCCAGATGACCTGCGACTTGGGTGTGGCTCGGGCGAGCGGTAAACGTTTGGAAAGACCATTCCGTCCATACCAACTCGATCTTCCAGCCAGTTCCAGAGCTCAGTCTCTTCACGTCGCCACATCTCCTCGTATGCAGCCAGTCTTTGAGGCAAGCCGTGACCGGGACAGCCGGCTTGGTGCGATATCATGGACGACGATGATAGGGATCGGAAGAACGCCATGTAGAACAAGATCCCGATAACTAAGATAGCGAAGTTGCTACTCCATAGCGGACTGAGAATGCTGGTAAAGGGCTCCAGGAGGGGGCGGACCGGTTCGAGTAGTCCCCATGATTCTTGCTTTCCGGCTTTGGGATCCACAGCGACCTTCAACGAAGCAGCTGCGGTCGACTCCCGCCCTACGCCATCGCCCTTCCTGCGCTTTCCTTTGCCGCGTCCAGCGCCATTGGACCGCCCGCGGGGCATAACTCCAACCTGCAAAGCTTTGAGAATATCATTACCAAAGGCCGTCTGCCCATCAATTGCACCTTTCTCGATTGGGCCCTTGAGCCAACTCTTGCCTGACCACTCAATAGTACAGGTCATGAGGAAGCGAGTTTGGTTGCCAGCAGCCCATGTGAAGAGGTACTTGGTCTTGGTAGCAAAAACATTGCCACTGGGCACATCAGGTGTTTGGGTGCTCAGAGTGACAAGAACGGCCTTTTCAAGATCCAAGAAGTCCAGGTTCTCGGTACTGATACATTTTGTCTGCTTCGGACCAATGGAGCCATTGAGAGGTTTGATGTACGAGTACTTCCTGGTTGGGACTTCCATCGTCAACCCCTTCGCTGTTCCCTCGAACTGTAGCTCTCCGCATTTCTGGTTTTCAGCAAGGAACTTGGTCATAAACTCGCCAGACGCTGGGCCGAAAACCAAAGAGAAGACCTTGCCGAGCGGTGCTGGAATAACCTCATCCTTGATGACTTTTTCATACTGTCCGTCGGGGTTAACGTACTCAGTAGGTGCATGAGTAGCCGGGCCTGGGAAATCGGGAGGCGCCTCCTTGGAAGTGCCTTTGTCGCCGTTCTTCTTATCACCACTCTTTTTGTCGACGTTGCCATTTGTGCCGGCCGCGGGCATAGCTGCATTCGCAGATAGACTTGAAGCCTTGCGGCTCAAACCTGCTCGTGGCAATGACGCAGCACTGGCGTTGGCACTGCCGCCGGCCTCAAAGAAGCTATCGGCATTGTCACCTTCCTCGTCCTCGTCGTATATTTCATCTTCATCGCTGAGATCAGTCTCGGACTCGCTCTCCTCCTCCCCAACCTTCTCTGTCTTATCGCCGGTACCATTGGTCACCCGGGTTCCATTCACAGAGCTCTTGATGCTGGGGTGGTTGATCTTCCAGATGTTGACCATTAGGTCATATGTGGACTCGCGACTAAGCAAACTGCGGAAAGTATGACGGGCGTGCAGTGTCTGAATTGCAATAGCATTGGGGAACACCATAGCCGTACTCTCTTTTTCAATGGCAACAACCTCATCGAAGCTGATCACTAGAGTTGTGACCCATCCCAGGATGTTACTAGAGAAACAGATGTGCCCTTCTGAGATATAGATGCGGCCGGCAAGAATGATCTCACGTTGCAGGGCACAGCTATAATCTTCAATCAGATAATCGTCTTCAGGTACACTCCGGAATAATTGGTGGAAATCTCGATTGCGCTTTTTACTCGCAACGGCGAAGCCGGTCAATCGAGGTACACTTGAATTAGCGCCAGGAGCACCAAGTGCAATGGCACTAGCGGCAATCGCTCCGATAGTCGAGGCCGTGGCCCCGGACGAGCCACGATGACGCCGAGCAAGTCTGCTGCGAACACTACCAGTGCGTCTGAGGCCCCCGCTCAGGTCACCATCAAGGACGCTGCCACTAGGGGGAGTCTGATCACCCATAATTATGCCATCTCTTGGAAGCGAGGTCGTAGACTGACTCTCTAGGGCATCTTCTAGGTCTGAGGGCTTTTCGTATGCTACTTGAACAGCGCGCGCTGCGCGTTTGTCTTCAAGCTTGGCAGCTTCCTCGTCGCGCCGGGAGACAGCTGTGTTGTTGCGCTTGTCAACAGGGCCGCCTGGCTTTGTGATCACCACGCCGTCAGGAGTCGTGATTGACTCACCTGGTTTGGCGTCAATGTCCAAATGGCTGAAGTTCAAATCTCCTGCCCCAAGAGTTTCTACGGCAGATGGTCTCCCATCCGCAATCTTGCTGCTGGTATTTGAAGCTCTGTCACTCCCCTCCGAAGCGGCCCCATTGACAGATTTGTCAGCCTCGGTAGCAACAGGCTGAGAAGTCGGACGATTTTTCTGTTGTGCGTTGATGGTATTACTGAATGAAGTGGCGGCGTTTTGTGCAACTGAAAACACCGAGGAGAAGAAACCGAGTTGCTGGCTTGAAGTCGGACTCTTCGTACCCGGTGCTTTTTCTTCAAGTGGTGTCAATGCAACAGACATTGAATTGGACAGTTTGCTTGGGCCATGAGCTGCAGAAGCGGATCGCACCCGGCGGTGGGAGATCATATTTCCAGAGGGGCTCACGGTGGTGACTCCGGATGGAGAATTTTCAGATTGCATGGACTCGGGCGAATCGGTAACATTATCTGACAGGATTCGCGCACTGAGAGGGCGGTGCTCAGTTGGAGTTGGAGGTGTTACAGTTGTCGCTGGCGCAGGAATAGCGGTATGAGGTGGGGTGTTCGGCATAGGGCTCGCTTGAAGTGAACGAGGCTTGTTGTCCTTTAGATCGGTACGAATAGGCGCAGGCAAAGGCGGAACATCATCAGGGGCCGCCTGTACTTGTTTTGATGAAAGACTGCTCCGTCGACTGCCTCCAAACAGACCCCGCCCACTTTTGTGGCCCCCGGGCTTGATTGATGAATCCTCGGGGTCGTCATGAGCGCCTTTCTTATCGGAGGTGAAAGCGTCTTTGAGGCGTCGTCCAGGGGATACACTGCGTTTCTTGCCATTTGCGTCCGTGGGAACATCCAATGCCATACCCGATGTTGCACGTCGGGACATTCTTTCACTCAGATTTGATTCTGATCCAGTGGCACTTGGACCGCTGATAGCTGACTCGGCATCTACCGATGTGGTCTTAAACAATGGCGAAGATGAGGTGTAGAATCCGGTATGGGAATTATGTGAGGTGAGCGGCGGAGTTCTAAACGAAGCCAAACGGTACAGCGGGTTAGGAGTAGCTCAAAACATTAAACAGGCCAGTTGCTCAACTTACCCGTCCGGTTCCTCATCATCGGTCAAAAGGTGATTGCCTTCACTCTCCGGCGTAATGCTCTCTGCAGCCGACGACGGGGCTGCGGAGGTCCCATCCCGAGACTCATTGGAGCGACTTTCATGTAGGTCGTGTTCCACCACCACAGTCGGCACCGGCGGTTCATCTTCTTGTTTTTGGGTCTTCTTTTTATTTTGTTTCCGCCTCCGACGCGCATCGAGTAACTTCGAGAATCCACTAGGTCCAGCCTTGGTGGGATCTGCTACTTCTCCGCCCTGGGTTTTCGGTCTCTCGAGGATAGAATCATGGGATGTCCGATCATTGCTCTCAATTGCACTTGATTCTGCAGATATCGTCCAGGAACGACGCGATCTGTTTTCGCCTTTTAAGCTTGAGGACGAAGAGTCGGCCATGATTGAAGGAAATCGGGAATCCGGGGGTTGGTGCGGGCAGACCGGGAGACTTAAACGAAAGTTCTCATGAGGTGTATGTATTGGAGAATTTCTCTCTCCCTTTTCTTTTTTTGAGAGTATTTCTGTACTGAGAGACAAAGTCAAGAGAGAGAAGTGCGCAAAGTGTCGAACTGTCCGATCCCCTGGAGCTCCGCAACTTAGTCACCCGCCAAGTTGGGGTCTGAGACTGAACTTGTTTCGTCTGTTTTTTTCTGTTCAATTGATTTTGTATTGCTTTTCTAATTTATTAAAAAAGACTCTACTTTCTCTGTTCTCTCTACTATTCTCCCAATTTTTCCTAGATCAAGGTAGTAGTGTAGCTTGACAGTGTATAGCTCTAAGTACTCCGCTTCTCCACTGTGTAGAATGTGGATGTGACATTTTGGCTGCTTTCAGTTGATTTGGATATGAATTTTTCATATAATAGTTAATCCTAGAAGAGAATTGATTTAAATTCTATTATATGTGTCTGTATCTTGTATTTCATCCTCACATTGTACTTCGTATTACCCAAAACCTCCAATTCACACACAACGTCACTTCTCCAACATTCCCCGGATAAATCTCATCAAAGGAATGCACTTGATTCTTTCTTTCTTACTCCTACAGTTGATATTGTCTTCGCCATGGAAGTAGCTCCTTTGGCCTTGGTAAGTCCTTAGCCCCTCATTTTAAGGGTAATCTAACCCTTGCCAGGCCCACACCCATGCACGAAACGCAGTGCTAGAAACTCGCAAGGCCAACCCAGTAGCTGCTAGCGAGGAGCATGATCTAGCTGCTGGTGAATTTGCAACAGCTGCACAGAGCAGCTCCGACCATGAGGTGAGTCTTTGAGACGATCTACCCCCGCTCGGGCTTTGAGCTAACCACGTCATACCAAGGCCCTACGGACACTACGTTTGCTCGAAACCCATCACAAGAAGCTCGCCGAAATCCTTCGCTTCCAGCATGAACATCGAAATACCATCCCTGCTGAACCGGCATCAGCTACTACATCTGCTACTGCCTCAGCATTAGCGACCCAGCAGACCGCTGCCGAGCTCGGGGGCGCAAAAAGTGCAAGCACAAACCAGGATGCACAACTACCACCAAGACTGGTGGGCAACGCTCGTCTGCCAAGTCGGGACAAATCCTCTATTGCTAATAACTTGGCTTCTGCCCGAGGAATCCCGTCGCATCCCCGACGTGGATCGCCAGTGTCACCAACACTTACATCGCAACATGCCGCAGCAAAGATGACCGAACCTCCGCCGAGGGCTAAAGCCGGCGAAACAAGGCTACACGAATCCACCAAAAATCGACACAGTCGTATCTCTACATCCAGACAACCATGGTCTCCGCCGACACCAAGTTCCACTGAGATGATTTCCCAGCAAATGGTACCTCCTAGTGGAGCTCAAACTAGAGGATCGAAAAATAAGCCTGCAATTGCTGATGAGGCATTTAACCGCTTCTACTCGGCTGTCGGGGGTCTAGTGTCCAAGGTATCAGGGCCTTTAGCATTCGCAGGGATCCAAATGGCTTCTGTGGACCCAACCAGCGCTGAACAAAGCCGCAAGTCCTCAGCTGAGGTGAAACTTGACCGCGAGCATGCTGTTCTAGACCGGTCAATGACTGCTGGTGAGCCCGACGTCAACAAACTCTTCTCTCGAGCCGCGTTGCGCTCAATTCGGGACGGCTCTGGGGCAGGTCCCGGGAACCCAGCAGAGTCCTTCTACGTAGTCCCAACCACGGGCGGGACTATGTCATACGCAGGGATCCTCACCCGCGCTGAAAAGCAGGCACGCAGGAACAGCATCGAGGATGGTGATGATGACTTTGTGGATGCACGAGAAACTCCCTCGTCTCCTGAAATGCGACACAGTGCCAGTAGTTCACGCATATGGGCAGGACGCCGTGGCGCACCCGATAAGCTTACCGGTCCGCAGACACAAAAGACAATGGAAGAGATGCAGGTTGAGAACGAGACCTTGAGGGGTTTGACCGATTCGCTGGCGACACGATTGCATATGTGGGAGGTGAGCGCGCAATCTTCTTCGATGGCGCTACAGCAATCAATCCGAATGATGCACCGCCAGAGCGGAGGGACTCCTGATTATCTCCAGCCCACAACGGCTACCGCCTCTCCTGTTGCTACACTGACTGCGCCGCCGGCTGCGGCTGATACTGACGCGCGGATCAAAGAACTTGAGGAGCAAGTCCGGCGTAGTGAGCAGAAACTTCAAACTGCTTCTCAGGAGAACGACAAACTCAAGAATGTTCTTGGGCGATATCGAGACCGCTGGGAGAAATTGAAAGAGGGTGCCAAAACTCGGAGAGCGGAGGGTCGCTCCGGTGACAGTCAGGGCAATACCCCTACTAGAGCTGTTAGCAAGCCATCAGAACTCCCAGCCTCTGTAGATCCTGGTCAAGGCCCCTCTACTACTCAATCCGGATCTCATGCTGCAGGTGATAACCCGGCATAGCCTCGCAACAACCATTATCGAAGGTCGGAAAGTCGAAAACAGCGCTTAGTTTCTAAGGTTTGATCCTTTTTTATGAGATATGTCCATACCACTATTTTATGAAGCTCCGAATTCAAGTCATTATGATTTATGTCGATCGTGTAGTCTAGTAACTACTAGGCTTCTCATATAATCCCAGCCTAATGAACCTATTCAGATGGGATAGACCGTGTCAGGATAGGCCAGGTGATCATTAGTGTAGAATACACATAATCTTCTGGATCATCTAGTTTTGGACAAGAGAGAATATGTAGGGAAACGGAACGGAATAGCTGAAAATTCTTAAATGTTTCATTTTCAATTATCATGAAGATATATACAACCAACGATCTGACACGCATTAAACATATACACATCGAACCAAGTACTAAGTACTAATCTCCCCCAGCAGAAACCTCTCAGTGACCACGGACAACGAATGTAGCGTTACCACGAATATCCTGGGAGCTGCTACCAACAAGGGCAGTGAAGGTACCGGGCTCAACAACATACTTCATGCGAGTATTCCAGAGGCCAATATCCTCAACCTTAATAGGAATTTTGACAGTTTTAGTCTTTCCAGCAGGAATAACCACCTTCTTGAAGCCCTTGAGCGAACGATTAGGCACAACAACAGAGGCGATATTATCCTGGATGTAGACCTGCACAACCTCCGTACCCTCACGAGTGGCATGGGTGTTGGTCACATCAACGCTGACAGTGACAGTCTTCTCAGACGCGGAGATCGTCTTCTTGTCAACCTTGACAGTTCCATACTCGAAGGTGGAATAACTCTTGCCATAGCCGAAGGGGTACCACGGCGAGGCGTCACCGAGAACGTATGAGTGACCGAACACGAGAGTTCCGTTCTCATACTTGTGACCGACATCGCCCATGGAGCGGCCGGAGTTGAGGTAGTCGTAGAAGATGGGGATATCGCCGACATAGCGGGGGAAACTGACGGACAGCTTGCCGGATGGGTTGTAGTCGCCGAAGAGGACGTCGGCAAGGGCGTTGCCACCCTGCTCGGAGGGGTAGAACTGTTGCAAGAGAGCAGCGGTGGAGTTTGAGATCCAGGTATCGGTGATAGGCTTTCCACTGGACAGGACAACGATGGTTGGCACGCCGGTGTCGGCAATGGCCTTGATCAGAGGTCCCTGGGCGCCGACAAGGGAGAGATCATCGGCGTCAACGTGTTCACCGGTTCTTTGTGTTTGTTAGTACTGCCGCTTCGAGATATATCTTGGACCAAGGTCGGTTTACTCACGTTGCATTAAGTCCTGTCCACAGTTCACCCTGATCACGAGACCAGGTTCCGACAACCACGACAGCCACGTCGGACTTCTTTGCGGCCTCAATTGCCTCTACAAAACCTGACTGGTCATTGCTATCACGATTGCATCCCTTCGCATAGTGGACCTGAGACTTGTCGTCAACTGCAGCCTCGATGCCTTCGAGGGGAGTGACACCCCGGTATTGACTCTTGTAGACAACGTAGTCACCGTACTATACAGGTTGTTAATACTCAGACTAACAAGTGGGATAAGAATGTTGACGTACGTTCATGAGGTCAGCAGCCATAGGCCCAATGACCGCAACCTTGCTCGACTTCTTCAGAGGTAGAACATTTTCGTGGTTCTCAAGCAGAACGATGGACTCGGTATCCAATTCTCTGGCAATCTTAACAGCCTTGGGACTGTTAATCAGCTTGCGCCACTGGTCCTTAGGCGCAGCAGGGTACGGGTTCTCAAAGAGTCCCATCTCGAACTTGACGCGGAGCAATCTAGAGACAGCAGTGTCCACAGTCTCAATATCTAGTTTTCCAGACTCGACAAGCTCCGGAATCGTCTTGAAGTTGCTATTGAGATGTCAGTGTCTGTAGCTGCATCGTGTGGGTTGCAATAGAGCTTACAATGAGCCACCGCCCATCTCAATATCGGTCCCAGCATTCAGCAGCTGCGTGGTAACCGCCTCGCTATCGATAGGGTTGTTCTCGCAAAGCTTGAAGTAGGCGCATATTCTGTCACTGCCACCGGCGTCGCTCATGACGAAGTATTCATACCCCCATTCTCCTCTCAGGATCTCAGTAAGAGTGTGGTAGTCAGAGACGGCTGGGATTCCGTCCCATCTAGCGCTGGATGTTAGGAGTGCGATACAAGATAAACCAGTCCAGGCTGGACTTACGAGTGGTACGCAGCCATGATGGACCAAGCGCCGCCATCGATGATAGCACGTTTGAAAGGAGGCAACCAGCTATGCAATAGTTAGTCCACTGTTTGGTCTCTGAGTTTGAGGCCGACATACGTTGTGCGCAACTCTCTCTCACCACCATGAACGGGGCCGGTATTGAGTCCCTGCTCGGGGGCGCTGACACCAGCAAAGTGCTTGACCATAGCTGACACTCCCTTGCCCTGAACTCCCTTGACGTAGCTGTAACCGATTTCACCGGCAAGGAAAGGGTCCTCGGAGAAGCATTCTTCGACCTTTTATCTCTGTTGTCAGCTTTATTACGTCTAATGTATTAACTTGTAGATGTAACTCACACGACCAAATCGAGGCTCACGAGCTAGATCAACAACAGGGGCGAAGAGCTGGTTAACACCAAGTGCTTTGGCTTCCTGCGCGGTGATTTCCGCCATCTTTTCGATAAGCTGCACAATACCGCGTTAGATCTCAAAAACAGTATGTATGATAGTGCAAGTATCATAGCCTCTTACATCTGTGTTCCACGAGCATCCATAGGCAATGGGCGAATTGAAGATGGTGGCATTACCGATCAAGAATCCGTGGATACCTGGTGTGAGAAATGGTATAAGCTCGGGATCGAATATAGCTGCGGATTGTATCTTTGGAGTACATACCCTCAGTCTGAACAATGGCTGGAATTCCCAGAGTCGTGTTTTGGACGAGATAATCCTGTGCTTTTTTGATGTTGTCGGAGAGCCAGTCCCAAGAAACAGGGTATCCGACTGCAGCCCGTTAATATTTGTGTTTCTGCGGACTGATCGAAAAGTATCCAACAGTTGAACAAAGGAATTCATACCATAGAACATTCCTGCCTTCATCTCCATACTGGTCACCAGGCCGGTGTAGTTGAATTCGCCGGAGGTTTGGTTCATCCAATTAGTAAGATCGCCTGTACAAGAATGCATCAGCAATTGAAACATACCCATGTCGGCGATTGAGATATAACCATACCCTGCATCAACTGTGCCTTCTTGTCTTCAATGGTCATCCGGCTCAGCAAGTCCTTCACTCGTTTTTCCACTGGAGCCTTGGGATCCTTGTAGAGAGGGGTCTGGCTCGGCTTTCCCAAAGCTAGGGCAGCAAAGAGCTGCACGAGCACCAGCCCATTGGAAAGCAGATTGGCCACCATTTTGATGACAAGACAATCACTTCTTTCCCAAATTCAATAAACAAGAACTGTTGTCGAATGACTAGCGTGAGACTAGAATGAAGAACGATAAATTCCTGGGGAAGCTCTTGCATATAAGTCCATCAGGCCCGCAATGGACATCCTTGCATTGTGGAGACAGGTAATTTGGCTAGAGACTAGTCACATCGCATGACATGATTTAATGAGCCTGTTAATTGAAGTAGACCGGAAGGGGCAGGTAGCTCATACCATTGTGCAGCGGAAATGAAGCCGTCTTCAGCACCAGAGCGGATCAAGCTAGACTCAACGGCTGCAGTAGTGTGTCGCTTGGCGTCGTTTGAGTTGAGCTAGGACTATCAGGAGACGGAGCAATATCCCGGCCTCCACACTGGCATGGCGGTATGGGGTTGAGGGGAGATAACTGCTGGTTATCCGGTTAAATTACCTTGAAATGTGGAGGATAATGAAGACATCTGGGGTAGCTAGATGGGCCTCCTTGGCAGTAACATGTGGCTCTCAGCTTTTTCCACCTATTAGGGCTGCGCGTGGCTGCGCGTTTTACCCGGGAGGTGAGATACCCCCGGAACGCAGAGCTGAGGAATTACATGTGGCAGGTGATCAATCTAGATATATTGAAGGATGCGAGGCAAAAGGTAATATTAGTGGCTAATAACGCTGAGAGGAGCCCATGAGGTGTACAGTGTGGAAATAAATAAATAATACATTGATAAATGCTAAAAGATATACCCGAATGCAATGCCAATTAGAAGAATGTACCGATCTACCAGAAAAAGCGCCAAGGGGAGAAATCGAAGAAAGGAGAAAAGGGGGGAAGTGTACGAAGTATGTAGTGTTCAAGTGAGGCGACCACTCAAGTGAACTGCGCTAATGCATCAGAACGAGGGAATCTCGGGATGATTATCGCCGAGCTTCCGTCTCGGTGTCAGAATCACCGGGATTGTGGCTTGGCCCAGGCTGTATCTCATTGTCTGGTGTTGGCGTTCCTATGGCAGCAACACCTTCCGCTGTTTTGGTCTGGGGTTTACGGAGAGCACCACCCAGCCACGCAAGGCCACCACTCCACGAGTCACTGAAGCTGCGAAGACGGGTCACGTCTTCGTTGGTGGGTTGAGCTGGTATAGTATTTGCGTCTGCCGCAAGAGCTGACGTCGAACGGCCAGCCTCCGTAGGTCTGTCCGTGGCGGACTGGAGTCGAGAAGTTGCAAGGGAAAGCGCTGTGTCATTGTTTCCTTCAACAAGAGACGGATCTGCGAAAGCGCCGTCGAGCTGACGCCGACGTCCCAATTTCCGCCTTGTCCGATCCTTGAGAGGGCTACCATCGCCACGCCGGATAGAATCAGCGACTACGGCAGAGAAGCCACCGGAAAGTGTGGGAAGGAGAGGGCCAGGGGAGAAACGAGAGATAGAGTTGCGCAAAGCCCGCCGCGATGGTGTTTCCAGGGTAGTCTCATTGCTAATAGGGTGGTTGGTTTGGTCCAAAAGTGTGGGGGTTGAAGCACGTCGCGCGGTACCAGCGTTCCCATTGGTCTCCGCTGCTTCTTCAAGACCAGGGGCAGGAGGGAACCGCAAAAGAACCGTGGAAGACTGTACTGCCTCATTTTCCTGTCCAGGAGGGGTAACGGGGCGAATATCAGACTCCGGGGTCACGACAGCCTGCTCCTCGATGTCCGCCCATGGGTTCGACATGCGAGATGGCGGCCGCAACGGGGAAGTGTAGTCAAATGACGGAGCAGACAGGGGAGATGCATCGATGAAAGATGCACGAGGCGAAGAGGGCGCGGCAGAAAGAATACCTCTAGGAGTAAACTGATCGTCATCAAGTTCATCAATGCCTCGGCTCAATATGGACCCTCTCGGAGACTGTGGGACATCATAGTGTGCTTCTGTGGAAGCATCTGATATCTTCGGCAATTGGCGACCAGGCGGAGTCAAATCAATCCTGTCATGATATCTTTCCCCATTGAGTAAACCAATGGACCCCTCCTCGTCTTCGGATGAGAATGACGACTCATCATCGGCGCGGACTCTGCCGCTGGTGATGAAGGAAACCCCAAGGAAAGTCAACAAACACCCGCCAACAAACTTTGTGGCACGATCGGCCGTTATTGATTCAAAATCACGGTAAAGGACCGCACTTCCTATGATGACAGCGAGGGTGAAAAGAACAAACTGCGTCGGGATCACCTGGGTGGAATCGAAGCGTTGCAGAGCACGATTGATGTAACGGACTTGCATCAATGCGCTAAAAACAAGGACGAAGACAAGCAGATAGGTAATAGGGAATGTAATAACATGCCACAATGTACCAGATAGAAGTGAAGAGACACCCTTCGTAGAAAGTGCCGTATATCCGCCTGTGTGCTACAAGTTAGTACCAAGATGAAACAAGCCTCAAAACGAGAGATGACTAGATAGAGACTTACCAAACAATCCCACGAGCCCAACATCGATAAGAATCGACCTCGAGCCATACCGGTGGCTTGCCCACATGAGACCGATAATCAGCGAGGTGGTCAATCCAAGATAAAGCTGGAATTCCCATCGCGTAATGTTCACCCAAATTTCATGAGGCCCGATTTGTTCTTCGGACGATTTAGCACTGAGGACCACAATGACGGCACCAGCAATAGAGACGAGCACGCCCCAGAGATCCCGCTTGCGGAATTTCTCCTTGAGCAAGCATGGCGCAATAATGCAATTTGATATCAAAGCCACAACACCCAAGGGCGAGACAATGGAGGCCGGTGCGAAGCCGTAGGCCATGAAATTGCCCATTTCCCCTACAACCATGAGCACGATTCCAATCCACCAGTACGGAGACTTGAGGTAGGATTTGCGGTTGCCGTCTGCGCCATCCTTGCTTCCGGTGCTAATGTCCCGCGAGCTTGAACCAGTGTTCCTCCCCTCGGTATCGTCGCTATCGTCGTCGCGATAAGGTCCGAAATCATCCTGCTCGGAGTCTCGGTATTGCTCCCGGGATCTTCCTCTTGACCCAGCACGCGATCCATTGTTTCCAAGTTCCCCGTTGCGGATCTTTGCCTGCTCCCATTCCCTTGCGATCCGAATGTGCGCGTAGCGTTGGATATTGAGGGCTAATGAGATCAGAACATTGCCGCATAAAGCCGTGATAATACCGATCAGCGATGACCATTCATGCATGCTTCCACCATTATTTCCATCATGGTCATGAGGAGTTCCTGAAGTTGAATTTGATGGCGCGACAAAGAGTTGGTGGATAGAAGAAGCCGCAAATGAGGATGATCTCGCGGGGGAGGTGGCCGAAGAAAGAAGACCAGGCAGTAGGGTTGCTACCAGCGGGGACTGAGAGGATGCCATCCGTTCGTCTAAAATACTGCGATCAAGGTTCTCGAGTACTGTTTATCGCACAATTTGGCGGGAAGCCTTCCTAGTTGTTAAGCACCCCTAACAAGCCCCAACTCTCCGGCTGTACGGCCGATCAAAACAAGCTCCCAAATTTGATGGTGAGCATTTGGTCTCAAGTCGCAAAAGACCGCATTCTGTTCCGGGCGATCCGACGTTCTTGCGCGAAGATTATCACAAATAAGGCGAGTAATTTAGTAGAGGTTTGGGTAGGCGGCAATCACAGAGCGGAGGCGCGGAGATAATTGATATGTCAGCACCAAACCCCGGGGGCCACTCCAAGACCTATTTCTAAAGGCTCTAAGGTCCCGTGCGGCCACTGGAGCCTACGCGGTAATTTAACGTTTCACGGCGCAGATACGAATTGCAACAAAGCCAAATGTGAAGTTTGCGTGAGGTCAAAGCTCATGTGGTTCTTTCTAAAGCTATCATTGGTGGTTCAAGCAGCTAGTGATCGTCGGGTTTTTGGGGGACGTCATAGAGCAACAAAGAGGGGACCCAAGGCGAATGTAAGGGGGTCGATTAGACTTGGGATTCCTATATAAAGTCAGACATCCATACTATAAATTGTATATTGCACCCTTTTTACATTAGAATAGTGAATACATTGTACATGCCCAAGCAGATCATCGCTTTGCTTTCTTTTTTTCCGGTCCTTGTTCTTCGCCGTCACTCAGTTCCGCGTAGATGGCATTTGGTTGTGTCTCCTTGTATGCCTTGGTGAATATAGGCTCCTTCTCCGCCTGATCCGCATATTTCAATAGTGCTTCACGTGGATCCTCGTCTCGCATGGAGCTCAGAGGAATATTCTCGAGGATATGTTTCTCATCCGGGGTATTTTTGGCAAACGGTGTCTGGAACGGCATATGCGGTCGGCGAGGATCCCGAGAGCGACCAGAGGCTGTAAATCCAACTGTAGGATGACGAGCAGACCTAGTTGCAGAGCTGTAATGTGGAACACCGTCGGAACCGACGACTACCGAATCGCCTGCCAATGCCTGGTGCAGGTCAGGGGCGATAGTAATATCATCGACGTGGCGGAGTTTCGGTGCCTTGGACATAACGGTCGCTGCGCCCTTCGTGGACATAGTCGGGTTATAGAGGACGTGGGTTTCGGCATTGGCGGAGCCCGTCATAATCTGGTTGAGCTTTTCGTGCCATAGAACAGTAATCAAAGGTGACCCAGGTGTCACAGGAGTGACGAGCTCTGGCTTGAGAGTAGCGGGATTGAGGATGTACAGATGGCCAGTTTCAGAGCCTGTGATAATGTTGGCAGACGAAGGAGAAAACTGGATGTTGGATGTCGGGTAGCGGGAAGATGTCGAGGTATGTGTGACAGTTGTGACCGGAGTCTTAAACTTTCTGGTATCCCAGAGCTTGATCGTATCATCGCCACCTCTGCTGACAACAAGCCTTCCATCAGAACTGATATCAAGACCGCTTGTCCATGTATCTTTGACATGAGCATCCCGGATTTCTGCGCTGGGTCGTGTGTATGGGCCCTTTCCACTCCACATAACTAGGCTCCCATCAAGACCCGCGCCTATGAGAATGTCGGCGCCTCCTTGTTTTGGGGAGCCCCATGCGATGGCAGTCATCTTAGTCCGACCAGCGGATCCAGCTGCCCGTGACTTGTGCACGATCACCTCCTTCTGTGAGCGGCCAACATTGGCATCCCAGATGCGAATTGTGCTGTCGGTTCCAGCAGTGGCGCATATGTTGGGATCAGATGGGCTCCAGGCACCACAAGTAACCTCAGACACATGTCCTTTGGTATTGTGCATGTCTCGCAGATACATATCCCCCTTCACAAATTCGGTGAGTATCTCACCATCACGGCTGAGAATCCGTGGCTGTGGAGTGGCAGTTATGGCTAGAACATAACTAGGGGAGAGCGAATTGAACGCGGCGTAGTGCACAGCGTGGGTGTCCTGGGCCGCCGTCGTTTTCTTGGCTGAAGGATCGACGGTCTTAAAAGCGCGAAGTGTGGATGGAGTCATCGAGGCAAAGTCAAATAGCTTCAATGTACAATCGGTAGAACCTGTGATTAGTCGCGCGCCCGAAGGGTCCACGGTCATGGTGGTGACAGCACGCTCATGAGCCTTGAGAACGAGCTCATGCGACACGGGAAATTCATCCTCGTCATCATCTGAATCGTCAGAGTCTTCGTCGCTGTTATCATCACTGTCTTTTTCTTGATCACCACTCCCTCTTGCTTCGGCGCTAGGGGCTGCGATCCCAGTGCTTAGTTCTTTGCCCTCGGGATTCGGAGCCGAAACAGCGACACGCTTAGATCGGTCGATTTGGGACTCAACATCAACCGATTTCGCCTGCTTCCCAAAGCTGGAGGGAAAGAACTTGTTGAATGCCTCCTCATCGAATTCATCCATGATTGAGTGTGTGAGAAACTTTGCGATAGATGGGGAGAGGCTCTCCAACCTGATAGTGAGCTTGTTTGCAGCGTTTGCAGTGTGTGGTTGATAAGCCGATGGGCTTGGCGCAGATAAGCTCGCCCAGCAACTATGGATATCCATGGGCAAATTAGGTCCTTTGGATGGATTTATAGGTGGATTTAGGGAAATTGCTGGGCAGGGCGCCCTTGACATTCGTTCGTCACTCGATTATTACAATACACAAGGACCTAACTAAGTACAGGTCTCCAGCGCAAGCTCTCCAGCACTCTGCCCCCAGAAGAATCGCCAGCGCTTACAAGTAGAGACCCTCAACAGGACCGCCGTCCTGCTTGGTCTTCATGATGCGCTCACGAGCAGCCCGGAAATCGTCCATCTGAACCCTCATGCGGCGCTCTCTCAGGGCCATCAAACCAGCTTCGGTACAGATGGCACGGATGTCAGCACCAGAGAGATCATCCTTCTGGTTGATGAACTCCTCGAGGTCAACATCGTCACCGAGAGACATCTTCGAAGTGTGCAGAGTGAAAATCTTCTTCTTGGTGTTTTCTAAAAAGCAATGTTAGTAGGCCACGACAAAGTAGCAGACAACAGGGTATCACTTACGGTCTGGATTCTCGAAGAGAATCTTACGGTCAATACGACCAGGTCGGATCAAAGCTGGGTCCAATGTTTCGATCTTGTTGGTAGCCATGATGACCTTCACGTCACCACGATCATCGAATCCATCCAGCTGGTTCAGAAGCTCCAGCATGGTACGCTGGATTTCACGCTCACCGCCAGATTGTGATTCATATCGTTTTGTACCGATAGCATCAATCTCGTCGATGAACACAATTGATGGAGCATGCTCGGCAGCAACTGAGAAGATCTGGCGAACCAGGCGGGGGCCATCACCCAGATACTTCTGGATGAGCTCACTACCAACGATTCGGAGGAAGGTCGCGCTGGTCTGGTTGGCAACAGCCTTGGCAAGTAGCGTCTTTCCTGTACCTGGGGCACCGTAAAGAATCACACCCTTGGGGGGCTTGATACCCATCTCCTCATACAGCTCTGGGTGTAGCAAAGGCAGCTCCACTGATTCTCGAACTTCCTGGATTTGTTGCTCCAGACCACCAATATCAGCGTATGACTCTGTCGGCGCCTTATCCAGCTTCATCACTGAGACAAGGGGATCAGACTCCTCCGTCAGTACACCAACGACGGACACTGATTTGTGGTGTAGAAGGATGCTGGCACCTGGCTCGAGGAGATCTTTATCGACGAAAGACATGATCGAGACATAGTACTCCGGGCCGGTAGCGCTTGAGACAATAGCATGGTCATCGTCAATCAACTCTTCTAAGTTGCCGACGCCCATCGGGCTGCCTCGCATGTCATCAACTCGACTCCGCTCATCAGCGTTCCGATCCATCACATCCAAGTCACCACCTCGGCTAGGATCCTGGGTGGCCTGGGCCTTGGCCTTGCGCATTCGTTCCATGTTCTCAACGTACTCTTCTTCTAACAGTAGGTGGTCGTGAACACGCTGCATGCGAAGGTATCGTAGCTTGCATCGCGATGTAGGGTAGATATCGGGGAGCTTGGAGGCAGTGCTTGGGCCTGCAGCCTTGCGCTTCTTCTTTCCAAGACGAGTGGTAGGTGGTGGGGGAGGTTCGTATTTAGGCTTGTCCTTCTGAAAATGGTCTCAGCACCAGTTGTATAGCAGAGGCGAGTATGAACATACCTTCTTATCCTTGTCATCGCGTCCATCACCTCCAGGGCCGCCGCCTAGGTTAGACTGCTGTTGACCCTATTTTTGAATGTTAGAATGCAAAGCCGAGATGACCTCTCAAAGGCCAGGAAGATTGGGACACTCACCATGTTTGTCAGCCACCGAGAGGGAGACAATCAGAATCCTTGGTGTGAAGTTGCAAATGGAATCAGAATAGGGTTGATCCCGAGCCTTAATGGTAGTGAATGACGGAAAAAGCGAGGCGAAAGGGATGGATTATCAATGCAGATGTGGTATCGCCGGAGGTCAGACGCTGGGCAAGCTGGAAGCTGTTAGGTCCACACGTGACTATATAGGCCTCAGGCCGCCACTGCGTCATTCGCGCCTTATTGCCTCAATCTTATCGGCACCCTTGTGCCTCCGAGGACAATCAAAGGGACTCATATTCTACCGAGGCTCTATACTGATCTATACTGAGATTTACCATAAGCAATCCAGCCTTAACAGTTGTGTTCCTTCGTGGAGTCTATATATCAGGTGCATATATATCGGGTGACAGGTGTTGAGCTCATCACTCATACTTAATTCCCGTATAGTTCCAAGCTCCCCCTCCATTGGTGAGATCCTCGTTTCTCTTAAGTTCCTTTCATTTCCCTAGGGGATTTTGTACTCCGGGTGTGATATTTCTCTATCTGATATGAACCCTTCCTAACACCATATGGTCCTCCTACTATTAGCCCCACTCTGTCTTCCTCTCCACGGCAGTTTCTACGCTCTGTGCGGTCTTTGACAAAACCGGAATAGATCTATTTGACTCCACAATTTGCACATAAAACGGTCTCATCTTCAACATATCGTGTTTGACCTCTTTCTGAAACGAGTCCTCAAATCACCATGGCTAGCAATCGTATGCGTCGCATTGGAAAGGAAATTGCGGACATCCACGCCGATGCCCACTCTCAAATCAAGGCTGAGCCATTTGGCAACCAGGACGATGTCACTCACCTAAGGGGATCATTTCCAGGGCCACCCGGAACTCCTTATGAAGGTGGCACCTACAATATCGATATCAAAATCCCCACCGACTACCCTTTCCGACCACCTACCATGAAGTTTGAGACTAAAGTGTGGCATCCAAATGTCAGCAGCCAAACGGTCAGTGCCATCTTCACAATAAACATATGAGAAAATTAGGATTCTGATAGCCAATGTAGGGTGCAATCTGTCTTGACACGCTTTCTACTGCTTGGTCGCCAGTTCTGACCATCAAGTCTGCTCTGCTTTCGCTGCAATCTTTGCTCAGCACACCGGAGCCCAAAGATCCCCAAGATGCTGAAGTGGCTAATATGCTTCTCAAGACACCTAAAGAGTTTGAGCGTGTTGCACGCGACTGGGCAGTGGTCTATGCTGGAGCTCCCGTGCGTAGTGCTGAAAATGGAAGCAGCCCAAGCCTAAAAGACTCCCGAGAAGCAGCTGAGGAAGCCAGTCTTGCAAAGTTAGACATTCTTCTATGATTTATTGAGTATAGTTGCTGACTATTATCTATAGATATGATGGATACAACAAGAATTTGATCGACCGTTTCGGCAGCATGGGCTTCGATGTTGAGCGCGTTGTGGCTGCTTTCCGCTCTGCTGGTGTTGAACGCAGAGGAGGTCAGGACTATGAATTAGGAGAAGGTCGTATGGGTGATATTGCTGCCCGGCTTCTCGGTGAGTGATGTATATTCTGGTGTTTGCGATGAACTCGGGATGAAAAACGACAAAAAGTACATATGGAACATGAATGTATTGCATTGGGTGGTTTATGCATGTCAAACATTGAATATTTGGTACATAGCTTTTAATCGAAATTATGAAAACAATCAAATAAGACCAAGAGAACAGTAAAATGATATGATGGTTTGATGCTCACAGGTTTAGAGGGAACTGCGGGTTCGTGTTATCGATAAGCACACAAGCTCCGATCTTCAATGTCTTCTGTTGGATCACCCCAGGTGGAATAATTGTTGGGCTTATTGACAATTGTCAAGTACTTATTCTCATTTGAAACTTCCCGGCACTTTCTACGCCTCCATACTCAGCATTTCTCTTTAGTGATACCCTAACCAGCCAACCGTCATCTCCGGCCAAGAATAAAGGTTTCTAGCCTTTGATCCTTCCAAGCCAAGAGCACCAACGCCATGATTGAAGACGATATTTACAGGGCCTCATCCCAGTATCGATTGTGGTCATACACCGAGCCATCTCTGCAATCCCTCAGAGCCTCGACAAATGCTGTTGCCAGCGAGCGTGTGCGTGCGGCTTTGCGCAGATCGCGCGAAACACATCAGTCGACCGCATCCTCCGCGGCGGGGACACCACTACCGGAAAGCAATATGGAAATGAACAAAAATGAGAATGATGTGGAATGCTTGACGCCAGAGGAGGAGCTCGTTCTCGTACGGTATTACTGCGAGAAGACCCTTGAGCTAGGAGAGACATATAAGCCACCAATTCCGACAATGGTCCGGGTACGTTAACCTCTAGGGGACTGCATGCTCTCCTTGAAAATTGTCTCACACAAAGCTTGACAAGCTGACCTTCCTCATTCTGCCCATATAGGCCACCGCGATCCAATACCTCCGTCGCTTCTACCTGACTAATTCACCCATGACATACCATCCAAAGTCTATCATGGCTTGTGCGCTCTTCGTCGCTACCAAAACGGATAATTACTATATCTCTCTTCGGCAATTTGCAGATGGAATTCCCGGTGACACAACGACGGAGGACGTCATCGCACCGGAATTCCTACTCATGCAGGGACTCCGTTTCACATTTGATGTACGGCATCCATTTCGGGGACTCGAAGGCGGCGTTATGGAACTACAAGCCATTGCGGAAGGCCGAGGCCAGCCAGCCCCCCATCTACCACATGAGACGGCGGAAGATCTCCAACAAGGATTGCTGTCCATCGCACCTCCTCCCGTCCCATCGTCATCAATGTCAGATCGAATTGCTCGGGCTCACGGCACAACTCGCGAGCTGCTGAAATCCGCTGCGCAGATGACAGACGCCTATTTCTTGTATACACCTTCCCAGATCTGGTTTTCTGCCTTTTTACTGGCGGATCGTCCGCTAGCCGAGTTTTTGCTAGATGTCAAACTTGGTGGTCCTGTCACAGCCACAATTCCTGCCCCGGAAACAGACGAAAATGGCCTGGTGAACCCTCTATACGAAATCCGCTCCAAGCTGCATCACGTATTGACTCAATGTTCTGCTCTTCTCCAATCATACACACCCCTCTCTTCGGACCCTGCGCAAATGAAGAGCCTCAAGCGCATCGCGAAGAAACTATATCATTGCCAGAACCCCGAGAAGGTGAATCTAGCTGCTGCTCGGAAACGGGATTCAGCCCTGCCATCGACAGCTGTTCAAAGCGACACTGGAGTGGCAACTTCTGAAAGCGAAACAGAACGCCTAGCGAAAAAGCGAAAAATGGAGCAAGAACAAATCATCCGTCAGGATGGTGATGTTTTTGGCCCGGAGTTGGTCACTCAGCGGACTAAGCAGTAATGGCCATAGAAGTCATGGATTCTAAATACACAATTAATATCAAATACGAAAGCAAACATATCTAGATACACCAAATCTCGAACACGATGATACATTGCCAAATTCCCAGATCTTAGGTGCAGCCATGAAACCTCTCGCTATTTGCCAGCCTAAGACCTGCATGTGTCAACTCCAGACGAAATGGATACATTTGTGGCATCATCGGACAGAACAAGCTTTGCTTTGCTCTACTCTATTATAGGTAACTAAAGAAATGCATTTGACGCGGTACTAATGGTTATAATTGATATTATTCTCTTTGTATCTCTGTCGACTCCAGTAACAAGTATATCCTACAAAGTATACCAACGCCAATCCAAAGTCCAGTTATTACCAGATACTCTTCTACCTGAGGACTCAAATAATCACCTCCAGCACAGATTATCCTACAAGCCTTACTCTACACTACAAACAAGCACCATAGCCATAAAAAAACATATATTCAAAAAGGCAACGCATCCAAAATCCCAACTAGTAAATCAGCAACTATCAGCAAATCACCACCAGAAGCAAGCTCCTCCTTAAGAACATCCAATTCCCACTTGATCTCAAAGCAAATCTCCTTAATAGAAAGCGAACCCCACCGCGCACGCACGCGGTTATCACTCCTGACCCCGAATTCGCCCACCTGGCCCATGAATCCAACCTGAACGATACGCTCGCCGAGCTCCTCCAGTCGTGTTGCGATATCTTCCATATCAGGGCTTGGGGATGGGCTTAAGAGAACGAAGACTTGGCATTGGAGCTTGTGGGTGAAGGTGTCGCAGGCTTTTGTATAGATCTCACGGAAGTTTGCTGGGTGTATGCGAGATCCGTCCATTGGGCTGGTGGGTATATGTGCCTAGTATCGGGTGTTTCTAGGTGGGTTAATGTGTTAGACTTACGTATGGCAATGGGTGAGGAGAATGAGACGGATAGGTGAAATGGGTGATGAGAGTCGGGGGTATTTATGTATGTGCTTGTTGTGATGACTTGGATTTGGTTCTTTGTTTGAGAAGAGAGGAGACAATGAGGGCTCATAGGGTCATTGTTGATTTCCTTTGTGTCTCAGTGCATGGCACTTTGTGAGGTAGTGGTGTTAGGATGAGAATAACAAAGGGTAAGTCGCTAGGTCTCGAACAATCCAATGACTGATTCTCAGTCATGACAACAATGTCGACGGAGGTTGTCTACATAAACAGAACATCGACAAGATATCAATCTAGAAGGCTGCAAACATATAGAAGTAGCATACGGATATATTTCAGCCTAACCGGCATCCCTTATATTCACCTCGGAGGGGACTAGATACTCTATCAAGGATGCATAAGACAAAAGCAAAAAATGGGTAGTTCATAACAATAAAACGCAAAAGTCCAATCCTCCATCCAAAATCTATTCGGGCAGGAGGGCAGGACAAATCTAACGGACAAAAAGGAAATAAATGAAAACCATCCCAACCCAAGGAACTTTTTGTTGTGTCCCTGCGGGAACCAAACTTTTAGTGCCATGTGGGCATTTTGTATTCAGTTCTCGTCTAGCATTTCGTCATCAAAAGGGGAAAAAAAAAGTTGTAACAAAGTTGAAGCATAAACAAGCCCTTAAACGGCACCGGCGGACAACATCTTGTTACGGAGGTAGTTCTTGTAGTCACCGATGGAGCCGTCCCAGCGACGGATGGTCTTGTCCTCACAGACCATGATGTCCTTGGCAATCTTATCGAGGAGACGGAAATCGTGAGAGACGACGACAACACCACCGCTGTAGGCGTTGATGGCATCGGCCAGCGAGTCAATGGTGGGGATATCGAGACCGTTGGTAGGCTCGTCAAGAAGAATCATGTTGGGGGACTCAATGGCAAGCAGGGCGAAGACGATACGAGACTTCTGACCCTCGGACAGGGTACCCATGAGGGCGGTCTGGCCCTCACCGCTGAGACCGTAACGGCCGAGCTGCTGGCGCCAGTACTGGTAGTCCTGGGACTTCTCGGGGAAGCGGTCACGGACGAACTCCAGGGAGGACTTGGTGAGATCGAGCTGCTCAGAAGAGTGCTGGCTGTAAACACCGAGCTTCAAGTGAGTGTGACGGGAGACACGGCCACCGATGGGGCTGAGCTTGCCGGTCATGAGACGGAGCAGGGTAGACTTGCCGACACCGTTGGGGCCGACCAGGGCGGTACGGGAGTCCATGTCGACACCGAGGTCGAGGTGCTCGTACAGGGTGTCATCCCAGTTACCGGAGTAAGAGAAACTGACATCATCGAAGGAGAGAACTGGGGGAGGAAGCTTCTCGACATCGGCGAAGCGGAAAGTGAAGACACGGTCGGCAACGACGGGCTGGATGAAGCCATCGGCCTCCATCTTGTCGAGAATCTTCTGGCGAGACTTGGCTTGACGCACCAAGTTGGCGTAGGTACCAGCGGAAGCAATGAACTTCTTGATGTGCTGGATTTCTTCCTGCTGCTTGGCGTAGGCCTTGGCCTGGTTGGTCTCCTGCTCACTACGGGTCTTGTGGTAAGAATCGTAGTTACCACCGTAGTAGAGGAGCTTCTGGCCACGCATATCAAGCATGTTAGTGCAGACACCGTTCAGGAAATCCATGGAGTGAGAAACCAGGATCAAAGTACGATCCCACTTCTTCAGGTACTCCTCGAGCCACACGCAAGCTTCCAAGTCCAAATGGGCAGTGGGGTCATCAAGCAAGAGCAAAGAGGGCTTGACGAACAGGGCCTTGGCAAGGGCAACACGCATACGCCATCCACCGGACATATCCTTGGTCTTCTTGTTGATGGTGTGCTTGTTGAAGCCGAGACCGGTAAGAATGAGGGAGGCACGAACGTGGAAAGTGGAAGGATCCATCTTGTCCATGCGCTGTATAGAATAATTAGCTTGCGTTCTGAAATTAAGAGTGAAACTGGAAAAATACGTACGTCGTAGAGGTCTTCAAGAATAGGGCTATCAGGGCCGTCATTCTCAAGAACTTCCTCGGCCTTCTTCTCCATATCTTCCAACTGGCGTTCGGCCTCGCGAACAACCCAGTCAAGGGCACCGAAATCGGTGGGGGGTGCACCCTCGTTCAGAAGGTAGATATCGATGTGCTCGGGAACGGGGAACTCGCGGGCAGCAATGGACTTGAGGATAGTGGACTTTCCGCAACCGTTCTCACCGAGGAGACCGTAGCGACGGCCGAAGGTCAACTCGAGGGTAGAATCGGTGACGAGGACCTTTCCGTGGAACACAAGGGAGCAAGAGGTAATCTTAACGTCGCGAGAGGCGGGCAGAGATGACAGCACACCGGTGGTGACACGATCGGACAGACCGTGCTTATCCATCTGGGCTGTGAGCTTATCAACGGCGGACTGATCCTTGGTGGCAGGCGCATCTCCGACAATTGGCTTTCCGTGGGCATCGAGTTCGACCTTAACATCCTTCTTAGGCTTCTTCTCCTCGGCACGCTTGGCCAGGCGGGCAGCCTTCGAGGCGGAAACCATATTTGCGTGTGTGACGGGGTATAAAATAAAAAGGGGGAATATTTAAGAAGAAAAGTAAGGGACAGAAGGCACACAGGGAGAGAGAGAAGAAAGGATGATGCAAAAAGAGATTGAAGAGAAAAGCAAAAAGGCTGAGTGGATCGCCTGGCGGGGCGGGCAGGAAATGGAGGGGCGTAGAGCAGTGGAGTTGTGGTTTGCCCTTATCGATAAAATTCTATCGATTGTGAGATTTGGAAGAGAAATATGAAAGAAGTTGAGAGTGGAATGTTACCTATTTTTCACTTATAAGTTTAATTCTTTTGCCTGTTGATGTGTTGGCAAAAAAAATTGTCAGGGCTTTAAGAAATTTCAAGTCCAAAAAAAAAATTCAGTGGGCCGGATATTAAATGGAAGCTGATTGGGAGAGACGTCACCGCAGTAAATGCCTGAGGTGTAAATTTTGCCACTTTTGTGTGATGATAAGGTACAAAGGGGAAGGAGGGGGAAAGCTATATTTGGAGAGATAACAGATATTTAATACACTTTGCCCCTCAAATTCTTTCACTGATTCTCTCTAATACTTCTTGCTCCTCAACTGAAAGCAATATCCCATCCGGCAATGAAATATCACCACGTTCTATTACTAACCGTCGAGGAACATCAGTCAGACTATCCTCATAATGACTAGGAACACTAGGTGTTTCCTTATGAATAGGCTTTTCAACATCCTCCCGAGACCGTGCTAGAGGATGTGATGTCCACCAGTACAGCGGATAACGACGCTGCACATTATTAATGATCACGGCCGCAACCTGCATAAGACTAACACCGAGTAACATGACCGGGAAAAGCCACCAGCCCAAAGCAACAGTTTGAGCATGCGTCACTGCCAGAACAGCAGTTGCACCCGCTGGTGGGTGTGTAGTATTGGTGAGGAGCATGACAGCCGTGGTAAGACCGCAAGCGAGAGCGCCTCCTAGCTCAGTATACGCTTCAGCACGAGGATCCAAGGCGAACAATTTCGATATCGAGACACCGAAGAAACATGCGATGACCTGGCTCAAGATTGCATTGCGTGGTTGTGCGAAGGGCGATTCGATTGCACCGAATTCAATAACCGCCGCTGCGCCCTATCAAAGAATCATAGAGTCAGCCCTATGTTGTTTTCTGATTCCACTCTGCTCTCTTGCGCATCGGATTCCAACTCACAAAACTACCAATAATCGTTGGTGCATCACGGGCTTCAAAGGCAGGTACCCGTTTCGAAACAGATGCCACCAAAGCCACACCGCAAAATGCTCCAAGCAAGGACCACAAGGCGATCAGTATGTTGCCTATTGGCTTGGGTGGTCTATCCCGATATCCCAGCATATAAGCCACAGGTCGTGGTACGAGATGCCATCGTGGTGCTGGCACGAATGGATTCAAATATCGATCGATGTCGAAATTCCAGGTCGTCGGGTGGGATAGCGTTACCGGTCCATGCGGAGATGGCGACATGCTGGAGTTCTGCAATGAGCAACTATGTATCTTCTGGGCTCTGTAGGATTCCTAGGTTCCCAGTGATCTTACAACAGTAAGTCACAAACACCTCTAGGAGTCCCTACCGGGTATGTAGAGGAAGAATCCCCCCATCTGCCGTATACCCGTACCTAGTAAGCAAACCCTCATGTGCGTCGTTAAAGGCGCAACGCTCCTCTCTTTCTCCGCGGATTCAACTCTCCGAAGCGTAGGGCTTGATGCCGCCACCATCCAATTTCTTCCACTCAGGATTTACATTTGGTAACATAAACTACGAATTGGGACTAGCGCCTTGGCATAGCGTCATTGTCAGAGATGCCGTCTGACGTCGGGACGTTTTCGATGTTTAGTTACTCCGTTTATGGACAATAATATATTGTTTCAGACTATTCTTCAGCACAAAAATGGTGTTAATTACCACAAAATCACTTCTTGCAGTTATTGGCTATTGGTATATATGCCTGGTTTATACTAAAAAATAGTGATACCATGTTCGGCATAACAATAAAGAAATCAAATCTCACCCCCAATATCCCTTAGACACTCCTCCCCTTCTCCAATAACCAATGGCAACCCTACACACCAAGCTCGCGGATACTCCATCCCCCATTTCGCCATAAGCGCCCTGAGATCTGCCTCATGGCCAGGGACAACATTAACAAAAACTCGATCCCCATGCGATCGTGGCTCAGAATGCACCGCGCCCTCGTCCTCGCCCACCCTGAAGAACACACACTCCCCTGCCGACGCCTGCACAACCCCATGTCCACCCAGTTCAACAGCTAGCTGTGCTCGCACCGAGTCCGCCACCATGGCACAGCCGACACAGCGCACAGAGGCGCAAGTGTGGTCTGGGTTTGCGGCACGGGCGGCGGTTTTGGCGGCTTGTTGCGTAGCGCGTGCTAGGTGATTTGTTGTGGGTGGGATGAACAGGGTTCCGGGTCCTAGGAGGGTTGTTGTGAGTTTCCAGTTTGTGGGCGTGGGGCTGATAGAAGGGATTTGGGCAGTTGGGGTTGTGGGTGGGTGGTCATGCTCGTCTTGGGGGTTTGAGGGTGAGATTGTGGTTGGGGGCTGTGACTTTGTTGGCCCTGCCCAGGTGGATTTGAGTAGATTAGTGATTGGCGAGAAGAGCGATTCATGTCTTGCATGTTTTATTGGTGATTGGGAGGGAGAGAAGAATAAATCGTCTGTATGCCATCGTGGGGTGTCGAACTCGTCCGAGCCTATACTTGCTCGGATTGTGAGCCAGTAGTGGGATTGGTTGTTTTTGGTCAAGAAGTCGTGGACATATAACAGAAAGGAGAATAAGGAGGGTAGTATTGAGCCGTTAATTGTGGCTTCTGCCCAGGTGTTAAAAGAGGATGGCAGGTTACATGCTTCAAGGGTCAAGAGGGGTCCGCAGTAAGTCCATGAGGACGAGGTGTTGAGGGTAATTGGATCATCTGTTGGCAGTAGTTCTTTAGATTCGGAGGGATATTTGGCTGGATATGGGAAGAATCCAAAAGATGGTAGTTTTTTGACATCCATAACAAGTATCTGAAGAATTTTATCTCTTGGGGACCTATGGAACAATTTGAAAAGCTCCTGGATCTCTCATATGTACAAAAGGACGTTTTTCAACTTCTATTTTAGTACCCATCTCTTGCCGCTTTTTGACCAGGGGTAAAATTGAGCACGCCCCTAAGTAGCCGGACTTGCCTATTTAGATCTATCAAAAAGAACTGGCATTTATATGACCTTTTATCCTAGTTAGAATTATTATTCTAACATTGCGTGTGTAATAGAAACAAACCACCGTGACCTGGGCACGATAGAAGTATTTATAGACAGCACATATTTTTGTACGCATCGAATACTGACTTATCCACTAGTTTTATTTTATCAGTTGTGATTGCATTCTTTATTTAGATCAGCTAGATAAAATGCTTTAGAATTGGAAATAAATACATTGGAATATAGAGAGAGCCAGGTCTAAACAGGAAGTTGAGCGCCACAAAAGTTGAAACAATAAGACAGCTCAGAAGTATAAAATGGCTGAGACCCAATGCCTCCAACAGTCTACCACCTGGAAGGTGCCATGTGATATAAAAAGGGTGAAAATGGTGAAAGTGGGTGACAGGAAGTGACAAAAGGGGGAAAAAAGAGTGAGTATCAGACGCATGGTGGTCCTTTGAAACATGTCCAGCTAGAAAGATGTCGACCTGTAGTCTGGATTGCGGATGTCCATACTCAAAACAGTACCATTGCCAAAAACGGTCCCGTTACGGAGGATCTCAACGCGACCCGGGTGCAAAGTTGGTGAAGGATTATCGAGCTTGGTGCCATTGGCGAAGATAATCCCATTCCAGGCATCTGTTGAAAGCAGGCGCATACGGGTGGTGGATGATTTGGTCGACGGGAGCAAAGGCGATCGATCTTTACCAATGTCACAGTTCTCACCAACCATATATAGATTCATGCCGATGCAAAAAGTGTATAAGTCGGCGCTGAGTGAGTCCCACTCGAATTCCTCCTCAACTACAACCCCGAGATAATCGATCTGAAGGACGTTCGGCCAGTGCTCCGGGTCCATCCCATTGATACCATCCCAGTATATGCCCGGGTTTGTTGCTTTGATACCCAGGTTTTGCACGCCATATTTTTCTAAGCTGATGAGATCAGCAGTGATCAATTCTTTGAGGTCCTCCGCCCAGTCGGTAGTACCACCAAAGTTGAGACCCGCGTACCAATTTGCCCGATTCTTTTTGGTGGCTTCATCCATGTATGCGACCCAATCGGCCTTATCTGATGTTCCAAAGAAAAGAATGTTGGAATCTGATTTGCTATCGAACGTGTTCTGGAGTACGCTGTAGTCCTTGTTTTTGCCATCAATGATTTCTTTAATCTCAGCGTTGGATATATATCCAGCGGTGTCAGTACACCGGCCTTTGTACGCATTGGACACTTTGTTAGTATTTGTTAGTACCAGTGAAGGTGCATAGAGGGCCACTGCATTTTGAATCAGACATGCGGAAGCTGCGTCCATAGCTTGTGACACCGACGACGACCTTGTTGGCTTCCACTCCGGCTTTTGTGATCATAGACAATGCTGTGAGCGTCTCTGTTATGTTGACGTGTGATCGTAGACAGTTTCCCCCTGGGCATCCAGGCGATATGTTCGGGTTATCGTAATATGTGGACATTAATGTTAGCAATGGGAATATTGCAAGAAAGTAGCGGTACTCACCCCATTGACCATGAAGGTCATATGTCATGTAAATAAAATAGTCTACAACAACTTGCATCCAAGTGACAGGGTATGCCTTGAGGTACCAAAATGAAGAAGGAAGCGCAATTGACAGTGACTTCCCTGCCGACAATTTTACCTTCACGAGACTCAGCAAGCTGAGATAATTCGTGGCCTCTTAAGCACTGCCAGGTGGAATATCAGGTAGATCGGGGGCACCAGGATATTCCCAGTCAAAATCCACTCCGTTCAATCCATTGTCAGACACAAATTTGACCACATTATTTGCGAATGTCTCGCCATTTTCGGCCTTCGCAGCGTCCCGAAAGAGTTGGAATGTGTCCGGATTAGTTGAAAAGTCCCAACCTCCAAAAGAAATGATCTTAAATGATCTTTTTGACAGAGGTTTTCATTTCCTTGAACTTGTTGAACTGCTCTTTGACATCTTCCACCGACACCTTCTAATCTGGGGTGACAATAGCGAATGCAAAGTGGATGTGCGTGAGGTCGGAGTTGGCGAGCTCTGTAACATCCATATGGAGACACTTTCTTTTCGCGTTCCATGCCTCGAAATATCCGACCCGCCGGGAAGACGCCGGGGCTTTCGCGTTGTTGGTGATCTTCGTGCCGCAATTCGAGATACAACCATTTGTGTCTGGCTTTGCGGTACCAGGCGCGCCTGTATCGGCTGGGGTTGGAGTGCAAAACTCCGAGGTGACTCCACACCAACCCAAAACATCACAGCACGCTTTGAGCGGACATGGATTCAAAGTTGCGATGTCGGTGCCAGCGGCGGGCTTTTTCGTCCCTGGTACTCGAGGCCCGCAGATAGTGTTTTCCACCGGAGACGGAAATGGGGGAGTTCCCTTACTTATACAAATGACTTGACCGGCTTGTAGTTGGCCGCACCCTGCCCATCCCCAAGTTTTCAAGTTATTGTTCTCGATGGACAACTCAGTAATACCAAACGCATCCGCGATAGCCCAACAACCATCCTGTGGTTGGATAGTGTATGTCATTCAGGAACCATCACTCCCAGGTTGTGGACCGTGATCAGTCAGTGTACCTGGTGAGCAGCAGACCTATTGCTTTGCTTTGAGAGTCGAACAGAGCTTTGGAGCCGGGTTGTATTCTGTGAATTTGGCCCCAGAAATACCACAACGTATGGCCAAGGATGGACAGTCATCACCTTTGGCCACTTCAATATCGCGACATGCGGCCCTCGCGTGCAAATCGCCTCCGTCGTTTGATGTTTCTATTGAGGAGACGAGAATGTCCATCTCAATGCCATCAAGGGGGCTCATGAGATCTTGGTCCAGACAGTTGGCATCGGCCCAGATTTTGACAGCATCTTGAACTTGGTCCATCTCCACCACGCTGCCTGCAAAGAGACCAAACGTTTGGGCTGCTTTTTCGAGGCCTGCGCATGTTTCAAAAACCGTGATGCCGCTTTCTGCGTTATCTTGGAAGGTCTCTATCAGCCTCGCACTGCTAGCCTTTTGGACTTCAGCCCCAGAATAGACTCCCACAACGATGTTCCCACTTCTGGCGAACATGATTCTGGTTCCGCATCCAGCTGCCTCTCGGAAATACGAAGTAAGCATATCAGATGCCTCAAGTACATCGAATAGAAGAAGAGGATGAATGTCATCCGCAGTAGCTTTCACATTTGCGGAGACTTGCTTTCGCTCGACAGAGGCACCACAGTTTGGATCTGAGAGTAATGCCTGCAACCTTTGCTAGATTGTCCGAGCTATCATGTCGAGCTGTTGAGGGGGAAGAAGAATTGAATCCCTGGGCTCCATCTGCTTGGGAGCATGCTCGGATCGTGATACCAGTCGCATGGTCACTGACCGAGTTATGAACATTCAAGTCAAACAAAAGTGGCGATTTGCAATGCTGCAAGTTGTCGAGACTATGCAAGTATGTCCAGTCCGCTGGATCGTTTCCAAGGAGGCCGCACAGGCTGGGGCATGGGCGCCGTCCTGGACTGGCAATATTGTCGAAATTACTTTGACCAAAGGCAATGCCTCCAAGCCCAGTCAAAATAATGAGATGCAAGCACCTCATGATGTATATGCCTGATTTCCAGCTCCTTGGTCGAATATATCCTCCCCGTAGTCGAGGATTTCCGTCTATTTATGTGATCATATCTTCGGCCCCCTTCTATTGATTTGAGCATGTCTTCGGCCCCCTTCTTCTCAACGTTGCAATTCCCAAAATACCAAGCCTTTAATTCCCAGGAGTAACACTGTTAGGAAGATATAGAGACCAGCTTTCTCTTCTCAATCATGTGAAGTACTACTAATTGTTCGGCATACCCTGATGGGGGACCAGTGGTAATTTTGTTCATTAAATTGCAGGGATCATTTCTCCTTATGCGGTTTGAACCGACCAATATCCTCGCTAGTGAACAAGATGCTAGTTTGATAGAAGTACCTGTTTGTCTGGGCAACAGGTTCGAGCGCTAGCATCTGGCCGAATGAAGTGGTTAGTTAGGAATTAGGTAGCTGCACTTGGCCATAACGTAGCTCTGAATATAATCCCTTGCTATTAAAGAGTCGGATTCCAGTTCGAAAATTCGTCAAACGCGACATCTTGAAAAGTCGAGGCATATGCAGGGCAAGTTTTTCCAGCAGATATATAGTCAGCAATAGAAGCTACCTATCAGGGTTCCTTGGAAGCCTAAGGTTGTTTTTCTGGCTTCTCACGCAGAGACTGCCAAGGTCAGCCCTGCTGCAATCGTCTGCAATCGTTACGGAGTCCATTTAAACAGGATTCAGATTTCCTCTAGCGTCCAGTGACCAAAATTTGTGTATAAAACCCAGCCAATTATTTGCTAGTATAGTGTCGGTTGTTGAGTCTTGGCCTGTTCTTAGGTTGGATGTTGTAACATACTGCAGGGGTATTTCTCTATTCATTCATATAGGCACATGCACTTAGTCTAAGCTACTTGCTAGCGTTGGGCTTTGACATATGGCCCCCTATTTTTTAAAATTATGTCCTAATTTACGCTCGGCTATATTCTCCTGCGGTTCTATTTGACATTTTATGGAGTTCCCCCACAATCTTATTAACTTTTATATGAACATCGCTAGGTAGCTTATATCTTCCCAGTGTCCACCTGGGCATACAAAACAATATTCATCTATGAATAGTTCAAGTAGGCATTGCTTTAAATATTAGTTATAGAGACTACTTGCTCCAGTCACACTGCTAGATCATGTCTTCCACATTTTTAGCATCGTCGACTGTTACACAAACTTCCTTCCAGGCACTGACGACTCTTTTTGTGGAAGGAAGCGACTGCTCCTCTCTATATGACCTAGTCACCATACCCATGTTGGTATCAGCAAGTCATGGGTCTTCCACGATTTCCTCTATTGATTTTTGATCTCTGGTACTGCCCATCATCTCTTTTCCGTTTGCCAGCCCGACGGCTGGGATGACCGGGAGCCCGCGAGCCGATTCCATTACAGCCCAGCCGTATGTCCTAGCGACTGGACGTACTATGATTTGAGACGCACATTCACTAAATTCGAAAATGACAACGTCGAGTTCTATTCCACAGCATACTGTTGTGCTGGGTTCGTACACAAACACCTACCGTGAGTGATATATTGAAAACGGATCACTAAGCCTATACAATCATTTTAGCGGATATCAACTATGGGATAAATACAAATCTCCACCTATAACTAGCCTCACATCAGCCTGTTACCAATCCATCGAGGCCGGTGGCACCACAATCACAGTACCATATTTATGGTCGGGGAAATACGAGACAACAAAAGTGTTTACAAAAGGCTATATGGCCCATGCAGCATGGGAGATTTCATGGGCGGCCTCGGACATAGCTACCATGTATCCAACACCGCCGTCGCTTGATTCAGACCAGTATATTCCGACTTGGGTGCCGGGGCAGAGCCTCACTCCTCCTCCGGAAGCGACGCATCGGGAACACAACCCGGTTGCGAAGGAGAACAAATTTCTCCAGATTGGCATTCCAATCATTGTCATCGCGGCCGTTGCAGGCTGCGTTTGGTGTTGTATCGCGATCAAAAGAGCAGATCGCCGGGAGGCGCCCCAACGGGCACAGTGGCGATTGGATCACCGAACTAGTATATTCAGATCTCAAAATCCAACAGGCACTGTTCACGATCCAACGAGCGCCATTCAGGATCCAACGAGCACTGTTCAGGATCCGACAAGCACTGTTCACAATCCAACGAGCAATTCACCGGAAGGCGCCCCAGTTGGAATAGTGGCGAGTGGAGCACTCAGATAACTTATAACAAGCGTCGTTTATGCAATCATAGCAGTTCTCGTCTTCTTTTTCTTCCTTCTCCATTCGTGCTCAAGAATTCTAGTCCGGCAGAACCAACACCCGTATGGTGTATTGCGAGCATAGCATAGCTATGAATACTTTGGAAGTTGTCTCCGCACTTTGTGATCACACGCCACGCCTTAAATCGATGGCAGGAAACATTATGGGGGACATCGGACCTTGGGACCTACAGGAGCTAATCCCTTCTAGGTATAGTTCGCGGTACCTAGGCTAAGCGCATCTGCACGTGACCTGCCAAGTCCGAGCCCATGCTGACATCTACTTAATCGGCCTAAGCCTCATCCATCGATAAAAGCAGCGACAGTTTGGGGCCCCTTGTTAGGCAGCAATAAGGAAAACAATTCCATGTGTTTATAGCGAAGATTATTCGTCGAACGCTTTTGTGTGACAGTGCTAATTTCCTTTTGTGCAATTTCCAACTGCAAAGGTATTTATTGTGCTTATTGGAGTGCAAGAGCAAACAATTTTATCCAAGCCTTCAATATATATATTGTCTTTTATCAAGTACATAGGTAGATCATAATCATCATTGCATTTACAAACACGAGCTTAGACGTCCAAAGTACGTCCAGTGCTGGAACTCTCACGAGCCAACTCGATCAAACGAATGACCTCGCGTGCTTCCACACCACTAGCAGGGAGCTCGCCCTCGCCATCAAGAGCGCGCACAAGCTTGCGGTAGTACTCGGTGTAGGTGGGAGGCTCGACGGTGGGAACAACCTCCTTGACGGGCTTGCCGTTCTGGATAGTAGTCAGAGTACCGTAACGCTCGCTGGGCTCACGGCCGTAACCCTTATCCTGGGGCATGATGCCGGCCTTGAGCTGATCTTCTTGGATATCAAGGTGGTACTATATAACCGGGTCAGTTTCCACTTTCCTTTACATTGTAGTTATTGGTGCAAGGAGATGCTCTTACCTTCTTGAAGCTACCCTTGTCACCGCGCACCCAGAAGCGCAGTTGCTCGTCTTCGGGGCTGACAACGGTTGCCTTGGCGGTAACCATAGAGCCATCGGCGTAGTGCAGCAGAACGGTGAAGGAGTCCTCATATGAGAACGAGGTGACTCCCCGGGCGGAGCCAATGAAACCGGTCACCCGCTTGGGTAGCCCGAGCAGATGCACGGCCTGATCCAGAAGGTGGGTTCCAAGGTCATAAATGGCGGAGCCACCAGGGATGACCTTGTTCTTCCACTTGTGGGAATCTGCGGCCGGCACCTCGGGACGGTGGCGGTCGAAGTGAGTTTCATACTCTGAGATGCGGCCAAGCGAGCCATTCTTCACGAGCTTGGAGAGAGTCACAAAGTCGGCATCGAAGCGACGATCTAGGGTAGGCATAAGTAAGGGTTTTGATAAACAGGATGACAAAACATACTCTGGAACACGGCAAGCTGCTTGTTGTTCTTCTTCGCAATAGCGATGAGGTCATCAGCTTCCTGGGCGGTGGGGGTGAAGGGCTTCTCGCAGACAACTGATATATAATATGTTAGTTTATCTATATCAATTCCTATCTGTGAATTCTAGGCATTTACCGTGCTTGCCAGCCTCCAGCGCAAGCTTGGATAGTGCAAAGTGAGAGTCGGGGGCAGTAGTAATGATCACCACGTCGATCGCGGGGTCCTGGACCATCTCCTCGGTAGTACGGAAAGACTTCACACCGGGGTGGTCCTTCTCGACATCATCATCCGGCTTTGGAGTACGCTGGACAACTGCGTAGAGCTTGAGCTGGGGCACTTCCTTCACGAAGGGAATGTGGAAGATCTTTGCGCTGAAGCCGTAGCCGACAATGCCGACGTTGTAAGTCTTGGTAGCCATGATGGAATAATTGAGATTTAATTGAGGAAGAAATGAGCGGGGACAATGAACAATTTATATGGCCCCGGAAATCATTTAGCGGGGGAGAAGGAAGGTCCTGGCGACGGCAATGTTGGCTCGAGTGGGTCCAAAGGCCGAGTGCGTCGGTTTCCCGAAGTGGCAATGTTCGACTCTTCTTTTCTATATACCCGTGGACTTGATTGATAATCATATTACTTGCAATCCCTGGTATGTTCTCGAGAAAATCAAAAGCGGGCACATCACCTTTACCCACAAAGGACGGCACCGTTCTTTCGGCCATCCCGGTTGTGTTATATGCCTGGGAAGGTCCAGCCTTAGCCGCCTCACGCTTCTGCTCAGCCCTAACTATATTGTCAGTAGTGAGTACTGCACTCGGCCCAATACCCCCGAGGTGCTCACACAGCTTGACGTCAGCACCACTGCCCATGTGGTATATGCTGGTTTGTAATGATCGAAGAGAAGTCCCACCCCCTTCACAACGTCCGACGTGATGAATTTGTGTAGGGACAACGTCGCTTCGACCGACGATGATGTGCACGAAGTCATGCAATCCAGCTAGCTCAACGATCACATCAACAGCTGTGGCGAAATATGGGTTCAATTCTAGAATGAAATAGCGGTCGCCGCCATTTCGACGCACTGCGTCGCTGAACAAGATCGCAGAATAGCCCATGTAGCAGGCGACCTCTATCATGGCCTTGGGTTTGAGTACATCGAATGAGTTGGTTGATGACTCTGCTCTTTTCGGCGCCAACATCTATAAAACGGTAGTCTTTCTCAAAGTAATGAACCGGATCAATCACTTTTGGATGTCCACAGATTGCATCCAGGTTTTACTGTCCATCAATCATCAATCCTCGAATTTTATACTTAGAAAAGTCATCTGCACAAATTAAGCCTTTTCCCGCGTTTTTGTGCTGTCAGCCTATAAACTTGACATTGAAGACATCTACACAGAATGATATCTGAGAAGACCACTGAAAAGATATCACATAGGCCGCTTATGCAGCCCGGTATTACTTAGGTGTAATGCTGGAGCTTCAGCTCCTCCCCGTCCCTTTGGAGTTAGGGATCATTTCTTATAAGCAAAGGGTCAAAATATAATTCCCACCAAGTATAGACATGACGTGAAATTAAAGCAAGGGGATCGGATCAGGAATTCCAGAGATGTGAACTTATAAATGGCGGAACTAAACCAAGGCTGGGAATACTTCGGATGACAGACCATCACTTTACATCCATCCCTTCAGACAATCAACGAGAACATAAGGGTCGGAAACCTGATCCCATGTGGTAATTACCGGATATTTTCCCTGGAGATTAAATCCGGGACCTCCGTTAGCTCGCAATTCCAGAGATCTTGATTTAAGAATAGATCGAGCTGCATCGTCACACCGAACTAGATCTGCAGGCCAAGCCCCCCCTCATTAACATCTCCCAACTTTTTTTTCTTTCACTCCCTGTGAGCGACTATGTCCTATACTCTAGGCCTTTCGGGGTTTATTATAGTCAAATGAGCAAACACGTCTATCCGCTTGTTGCGGTGAGACATAGACTCGGCATGTCGATCAAATCCGCCAAGGCCTCAGTCTCATCGGGGACTTTGTCACGGGTATTCTGGCATCTCCTTCGAATATGTCTTTTATTCTCGTTGTTGTTTATCGATAACACCGTTCTCGTGGTTGCGGGATTCTCGTCCTATTTCCGACCCACAGCCAATCGACGCAGAGCGACACAGCGGAATGTGCCGTTTTACCCGAAAACAATCCTTATCACGGGCATAGGTACAGCGGAAGGCCTAACTCTAGCAAGATCGTGGGCTGTACAAGGCCACTACGTGATTGGGGCCGATGTTACAGACTTAGACCTGCCTGTGCGCTCTGGCGGGAGCATGTCCAAGGCTCTGGTGGCATTCTACCGGATCCCTAAAGACCATTACATCTCCCGGTTACTCGACGTCATCCACCGTGAAAAGGTCGACTTGTGGATTCCATGCTCGCCCAAGGCATCTTCTATTGAAGATGCGACAGCCCGACAAGTCATTGAGAGTCGCACCAACTGCAAATGCGTCACCTTTGAGGCCGAGTTGGCGGCTTGCTTCGCTCATCCTGATTCCTTCAGGCAGTATGTGACCGAGAGAGGCCTCCCTGTGCTTGAGTACCACAGGGTCCAATCGCGCGACTCTGTGCACAAGATCTTGAACCGGTCGCCCGCCAAAACCTACCAGATCTCCCGAGCGACCCCATCTGCGAATGAGAAGGCTATGCTCTTGCCTAGGCGTACGCTGAGCAAGACATACTCGGTGGTCAGCGAAATCCAGATCTCAAAGGACAGACCCTGGATTCTGCAGCAACAATCTCGTCTTGGAGAGCTATTCGCAGACCTACTGATTGTGCGTGGCCACGTTCAAGCTATTAAGGTTCGACTTTCGGATTCCCGTTCGTCTACATGGGGTACATCGCGTCTGGATGAGGCTCTGGCTGCTTCAGTTCATAGGCTCATGCAGACATTGGCAGCCAAAGGTGGTGTTCGCTTGACAGGCCATCTCTCTGTTAGACTCATGGTTGACGAGGAGTTCGACGCGCATTCTGTTCGACACACTATCTACATCGCCGGCTGTACACCTGGCGCCAGAGCTGTCCATAACCTGCTATATAATGCACCTTGCCCCATTGCAGGTTATATGTCCGTGTTCCCCTCCAATCCGATTGATACAGCCAACGTCGCAGCAACACTGTCATCAACCCGTCCAGCGCCGAAGTTTGCCCGAGCCGCCATTATCCCCGCTGCTTTCTTGCAGTTTTCATTGTTCCACTTTGCACTCACAGCTCTTGAAGTTGCAGAGGCAGAGCTTGTGAGGCTGTTGTTCTGGAAAGATCCCCTGTTCTCTTTTCTTGATCCGGTTCCCTGGTGGTGGCAGGTACATGTCTATCAACCATTGCGAGAGATCTGGGTGTTGATGAAACAAACACGAGAGGCAGGATTGACTTGATTTACCGACTATGTATGTATGAATATATGAGAAATGAGACTATGATGTAAAGAGATAGGCATACGCCAAGCCAGTGTGGCGGAGTTCCCGAAATAGTAACGGGCTGTCGCCTGGGCAGCGAGAACATACGTATGCCAGGAAACAGAGGGTAAGGCAGATAACACAGATCTTCATTTAATTGAACATCGAACCCTTCATTTAATATATCTCATACCGTTGTGATTTCAATAAGTGCAAAGTTGCGACATTGGCACATTGCGACAAAAAATCAAAACAAAACAAAACAAACCGATACTTTTCTCCGAGCCTTAGCCTGGCCAAGATAGACCCAGTCTCATTCTCCAGGTCTCGACTCTGTTCTTGTCTCATCTCTCACTTTTTTGTGTGTACCGTATGACTTCACGATAGACTATCTCCTCACATCGAGACCAACCCCTCCCTTGCCCTCTGGGTGAATACGAAAAGCGCAACACCCTTGCAGCGCTCCTACACACAAAATCATGTTTCAAATGCCGCGACCTTCAGGCGGAAGCCTCGGACGGACGAAAAATATCCTACATTTCGTACAAGGATTCAGTATCTTCCTCGCATGGGCCATAACTATCGCTATCTGGACCAAAGGAGGTAGTGGTATCGATGGACGCACAGGCTGGTACTGGGGTCTGGTGAGTTTCACATTTCTGCTTTTCTAATACAAAAGAGAGCTCTTTCATTCTGACATATGATCGGTTGGCAGTGTTGGTTGAGTATTCCAGGCCTGATCTACCTGGTAGCAGTGCCGATGTGGCCACGAGCCCGGCGCTTCGGTAACGTTTATGCCTTCGCTTGTGTCGATGTCCTCTATTCGATTCTCTGGCTCAGCGCATGGATCTGTCTCGCTTCCTACGTCGCTCAAGGAAAGTCCAAGGGTGCGAGCAGCGACGATGACAAAAAGTCAACCGACACCAAGTCCACCACCAGGAGAGCTGAGGAGGCGAAGAAAACCGGATGCGATAATTGGGCATATGGAAGCGCTGCCAAGTGCAAGCTGAGCACAGCGACTACGATTATCGGTGTTATCATCTTGTACGTGAATTACTTCCAACTCCCATACACAGCGATTTCTTGAATGAAACTAACTGAAAAAAGCGTCCTATTCACCATCACCGCCTGGATGTCCTTCCGCAACGTGATGCACTTCCGCCGCACCGGCACCCTCCCCGACGCCGTCTCCGATCCTACCTTCGCTGCGCAGAGCAAAGCCGCCTTCTCATCGAACCCAGCCCACGACTTCGAGGAGGACGAGGATAACTTCCGTTCAGGCCGAGGTGGTGGCATGGGCGCCTCGTCTCGCGGCGACCAGGATGAGGACTACGCCCTCTTGCATCAAAGCGAGGTGGACGACCTAGGCAACGCACACGGCCGGACCGCGATGCAAGGCTCCTACGATCCCACTGCTCCCGCCCCCGGAGGCGTCCTGCATGATTACAACAGCACCGGCTACGGTGGTGCGCATGGCCAGCACTATACGGAACCGTCTACTCAGTACAATCCGTCGGATTACACCCCGTCTGAGTACACTGCTCCCACTGGGTTTGGTGGCTCATCGGTGAGTGGGTACGGAAGAAGGCCAAGCTAAGGAAAGAGTGTTGTCAGTGTAGATTGCCCATTGAAATACCCGGAGGATTGATGAGTCGTCTTGCTTTTTTTGCGTCTTGAACATTGGCCATGGAGCGGTGTTGGGCGCATCGCTATTTACCCAGGGCTGATGCCCTTGTCTTTACCATGTTTCCCAGGGGTTTTTTGGCCCTGGGATTACGATTGTATGTCCTGTTTGATTTCATTGGATCTAGCAAAATATAGATGTATGCATGTGTAAGAATATATGTCCCGGTGGTGTTTTTTATACAGTGGTAAACAACATATGTAGATGCCATCTCGCAGGTTGACGTTTCGTCAACCTATCCTAAAACAATATCCTTTTTGGAGAGTACAATGCCATGGTATAGTCACTTTTATCATCCTGTCACTTTACCTGCAATCCATGGATGTTCTCACCTTGCCCATAATAGGAAGAGATAGATAGCGCAAGGTACCAGTATTCTGCCACCGCTTTCCATATCAGTGGGTTTATGGACAGCTTGCCCTCTTGCCATCATTACCTCTTGACTAGTACAACCCCGAATATTGGCCTCAAAGTGAACTGAGACGTGCTGAACACTTAAACAGTACACACAGTACTGTATTTTGTATGGATTATCCCATTCCCTCATCACGCCTTACCACTTTACCCCCCATACACTCGCCTGTCACACTGCAGCGCATATACTAACAACCCTAAGACGCAATACCAACCTTAAAACACCAAACCCGAGACCTACGGTCTCCCCAACCCTAAATATGGCCAGCGAAATCGACCTCTACAACCAATACCCATTGTACATGGACCCAACCACTCAAGACCTCTCACTCACGCACTCATCCGGCCAAACACCCTCCCAAACAGCCGCCCTCAACACCGAAATCGAAGAACTCAATCAACTACACCGTTCCCTACTCACCCTCGACCCACCCAACATTCCCCCACCACCCCTCCCCGTAAACCCCAAGCGCAGCGCCCAGATCTCCAAACTCCGCGACAGCGCCAACGCCGCCCACCGCAAGTCCAACTACGACGAGGCAATCAAGCTGTACACCTACGCCATTGACATGGCCCTCAGCCGGCCTGGCTGGGAGCCCGTGGGCGTAGCGCGCGAGGAGCTGTCGGGTCTTTATGCGAATCGCGCGCAGGCCCATATGGCTCTGCAGGCTTGGCCCGAGGCCCTGATTGATGCTAAGTCTAGTGTTGACTCGAAGCCTATTGGGAATGTCAAGGCCTGGTGGCGCATTGCTAAGTCTCTTGCGGAGATGAGTCGCTATGAGGAGGCGCGCAAGTTCTTGCACAAGGCGCTTGATATTGAAGGGAAGGATTCGGAGGGTGGGAAGGAGTTGTTTGCGTTGCTTGGGGAGGTTGAAAGAGCTTTGTTGCGTGGGTCGTCGGCGTAGAACTGTGCGGCTGCCATTTTTGTTTCTGCTTGTTGGCTAGACATTGTGTCGAAGCTTTTATTTTGGTTCTGACTACATGATTCCCTCCCTATTGGGATGTTTCTCGGCGTTTATGCGTTGTTGACGAGATTGCATGATATGTATATCGTTGGTTTTAAGTGCTGCTCTCTTATCAAAAGACATTACAACGTATGGCTTTGCTTCCATTTTAGCGTGGTTCAAATAAGCATGAAGTATATATATATCACAGAGGAACTATAAAAGGTTGCCCTAGTGGCTATAAGACGGATCGACGCTATGGTTACATAAATAGCATCCCGCTTATTGCCTACAAGTCCTTGATAGACCAAACTACAGCAAAATATATAGTAGATCTAGGATCGGTAATCCGTTTCATTTGCCAAAAAGTGTGAATTATATACAAGTGCACGCCGAGAAAGTAGTAACCAAAAGCAACGTCTAGTCTCGTCAAATTAAACCAACACACTAGACCCATCACTCTTCTTGCAGGCACAAGCACTGGCATTAGCAGCCACCTGCGTCGGTGTACGCGCAAAGCTAGGAGGCACATCGAGGACTGGGTTTCGGTCAAAGAAGTTACGCGGACGCAGAAGAAGTGTCATTGGCTCCGCAGGCATAATCGGGTAATCCTCTGGCGCCGGGAAGTGAGTGAGACCAAAAGTGTGCCAAAGCACGACGTCTGTGTTATCAATAGAACAGTCAGGACCAGCAGCTTCGATCCACGCAGGCAGACCCTCCGAGGGCTCGCCTGATGTCTGTGGGACGTGGCGGCCAGCTGGGTGGACTTGATCGTCGTCATCTGGAAAGCTGGGTCAGAACAGGAACACGAGATAGGAACAGGGAAATAGTTTAACTCACATTTAGTGACATGGACGGCGTGGCGTGCGAATCCTGCTCGCTTCCAGACCAGTCCGCCTGCCTTGGGGAGCAGGGGAGGAACGTCACGACTGACAAGCTTGTAGCTGACGGGCTTCTTGCTGTATGGGTTCAGCTTGTTGGTATTGGCCATATCCCAGGTACGGCTGGTAGAGCCGTCATAGTCAGACATTGCCTCGAGAGGTGTGGAGAACTTTGTCTTTTTGGCGTAGAAGGCGTTGCCGTATTTGTTCTCGGCGCTGCCGACTTCACCGGGCCCTTGGACTGCATCGACTTGGAAAACGGTATTGCTCGGCCCGTCGATGTTAGGGTCTACACGTAGACAGAAGAGGTGCTGGTGGTTGTGGGCGTTGACGCCGGGGTACACCTCAGTTCCCCAGCCCTTGGTATCCTCGCCTGGGTTCATGGCGTATGTGTTGAGGATGCCGGTTAACTTAATCTCCAGTTGGACTGTACCGTCCTGGTGGAAGATCCAGTACACGCAGTATTCGTAGTTTGCTGCTGTGAAGATCTGCGAGATGATGAGCTTTCGGCCGCGGGTTACGACCATAGAATCGTCCCGGAAATCGGTGTGTTTGAATAAGATGCCGGCGTCTTCTTCGTGGATACAGATGGCGTTCTTGATTATTGTGCTTGCACCGGCCCGGTTGACGAATGCCGCGTCCATGTAGTGGATTGCCCCCTTGCAGTCACAGCCCAGAGCCAGGCTGTTGGTCATGTATCCGCCGCCGTATTCGCCTAGGTCGAATGCGTGCTTGCGTTGATGGGGATGCTCCGGGTTGCCGTATGGGACGACCATCTCGGCCAGTGAAAGACGCCAGAAGATAGGTCGCACATTGCCCTTGTCGTTGAATGTGATATTATTTAGGACAATGCCTTCCCGGTAGTTGAAGCCGACGTGGATGCTCCAGTTTTGCCATTCGATTGTCCGTCCTTTGACTTCGAAAGACACACCCTCTGGTTGAGTGATGTGAATTGGCTTGATATCAGTCCGGTATCCACCCTCTTTCTCAATTGCGGCCGGGTGGTAGTTATTTGGGAGCGCTTTGCTGACTGGTCTCCGCACAGGCGGCACATCAATGTGGATGATCTGCTTGGTCTCGGAGTTGAAGATAGGACAGAAGTCCAAGGGATAGGTGTACTGAGAGTCGTCGGGGTGAGGGCGGTAGTACATGAGGGCTTGTTGGAGGCGGACACCAGTTCCAAAACGCTCATCGTATCCAATTGTCCATGCTATAATGCCATTTGATTAGTATCAATCTTCGGTAAATGAGGGAAGTCCACTTACGGTCACAGTATACTTTATGCATATCCTCTTTGGGAATTCCAATGATACCGCATTGCTCAATGACTTTAGCATCCTTGCGCACAACATGTTCAACCTCCTGCAAATCCTCCATGGTGATCAGAGGCTGAACATTCGGTGTGTGCTGCCACTTGATGATCTTCTTCTGGTCGAGGTCAACGATACCATCGTATATTTTCCCACCAGGTGCAATGGCAACCACGTCAGCTGCGCGGGCGGGACGGGGAGTGCTCTCTGGATCAGCAACCCAGGCCATCATCTGGGCCTTGCGGGGCTCATACAGTGTGACTGCATTGAAGTTGAGCGAGCCATGTTCTTTGCGGACAATGGCAACAACTGTATCAATTTCGATCGTAGAAAGAGGATCAAGAGGATAAGGCGCCGGCGCAGTAGCGCTGACCTGGTGAGTCAATTGCTGTAGACGGTCGAGAACCATGCTGTGCTAGAGGTATAGCGAAGGGGATAATTTCAATGCGATGAGGTTAAAGCACCAATCCGAGACCAGTGAGAGAGTCAATTAATCTCACTTGATCCTTTCTCATCTTCGGGGCTGCAGGCTATTTAACAAGCAAAAAATATCCTCATATATCACTGTGTAACTACATCGTAGCTATACCTCCATCCGATTAGATAAAGCCTATTTGCGGAGGCCGGATCCGAGGACTTGATTGGGGTTAGTGTGCAATCTCCAATCCCAAAAGAGTAAAAATATGCTTGTCTGCAGCTTGATATATCCACTAGTGAACAGGATTCCTACGGAATGGCATCGACTTTCCGGGAGTAATCAGAAGCAAGTCCCTGCCACTCTCAGATTTGTCACTGACCCGGAGATGTACAACATACTCGACTGCCCAGAAAATCCAGTCAAATGAACGTGATTTGGCTAAGTTGGTCCGGCCCACCTGAAAGTTCCACGGCCCTCGAAAAAATTACGCGTTGTTGATCTTAGACTCTTAGTTTCCAGATATCATACCGCTGCCCATAATTGGGTGATCACTACAGCAGAAGATAGCAAGGAAGTATTATGTGGTAAATTGCGTACAACCGTTCTATCATTGAACATCAGTCACCTCCGTCATTGAACAAGAGATCACCAATGAGGGTAAAAGGAAGAGGACAGGTATAATTTCTGTTATGGCCGAGGGCTCACACAATGAACAATCAACCCGCTCGCTATCCGCCTAATAAAAGGTACAAGTATATATGGTTGGCGGACCCTTGCAAGCGAGTGTCTATAACTTTTGTGAAAAGCTTAAGGATCGGATAGTCCATACGATATGTAAAGATGCTACCTACGAATATAAGTTGGAAAATGGGAACTATCCCAACATAGTAACGTAATGAAATGCAATGTAGCTCTATGATATACAAAGTGGCCCGTGTCAAACAAATTGCGGGGTGATGTTTACCTATATACCACTCGCAAAATATCAGCACAACCCACGTCCACAGGTCTAGTTACATTACACTTCACTACATTTCACTACAATACATTGTAATACATTGCACTTTGTTCAGCGACTTTTTACGCTATCCTTTTCTATCTTACCTCAGATATAGAGGGCACTGCGACTCTCGACGTGGAGAGTCAGAAAGTTTTAGAAAGCACAGTCAATAACGTCAACGCCAAGGTTCAGCAACTGAGGAGTAAAGGATTGACCAAAGGTGATCGGGGTGTTATAAAAAATCGTCGCCTTTGGCTAGTATGGGGTGATGATGAGGAGGCAACCAAGACCTCCACGATATCTGTAACCGTATGGCGCCGATCCCGAGCCCGTCGTACGTATCAGGAGATCCAGGATTTCAGCAGCCACCTGTTTCTCGCTGTAATTCTGAGTCTTACGCCAACGCAATGCGGAAAGACTATCTCATCGCGAGACAAACCTTCATGTGCAATTCATGCGTATTTCGTGTTGTAACATATGACCAAGCGATTGAAGCGTCCATGTGTGCATGCGTTCTGAATAGTCTCAGACATCTGCAAACCATAGGTGTTCCAATACTTCGCGGGCAGTAAGTCGTTTCGCCGGATCTAAGTTCATGAGTCTTCCTATAAGATCCTTGAAAGCCATGTCAATGACGTCTGGCCACTCGGTAAAAGGCTTGTAAGGTATATTTTCGTCTGTCCTCCCATCCCATAGCATGTTCAAGACGTGGCAGTTAGTTTCGTTGCCACTGATATGTCTTAATAGACCACTGATCCCTTGCTGGTCGCCAAAGTATGAGACCTGGCGCTGTAGGCGTATGAAAGCAGGCAATGCACCCTGCGCTTGATGTAGCTGGAAATCATTGTCGGGGCCAAAGATAACACGCCCGAGGAACGCATATATACACTGGTATGGTTAGATTTGGATTGAAGAAGAATAGGCACACTCACGACCGTTCCAAAGGCGAACATGTCGGTTGGCTTATTGAGCTCGCCCCTAAAGTGTGCTTCTGGACTGCGCCAGTTGTCGTTACCAGCAAGCATGCCTTTGATGCATCTACCTTTAGGGAGATATGCGGCGTTTTCAAGGTCAGTTAGCTGTGCATTTTCGACGATTGTCTCTTCGTCGCCACATTGGCAGTTAACCATGACATTATCCGGCTTTATATCTGAGTCAAGTTAGTATCTGCAGCTTAATCGATCGGTGTACCAAGTCGCTTATGTATTACCAAGATGGACAATTTGCTGTTCATGTAGTTCAGCGATACCCAGCACGGTTGATTTAAGAATCTGTTTCCGAGCTCGCATTGAGATACCTCGCCTGCGACGATTTGCAGCAAGGAGTGTAGAGAGTCAGACGTTGCCAACCATACGCGGCCAATATATGGTCTTTCCTGGATAATCCTTTTGAATCGATAAAGAGATCCGGTGGCGCCAACGTATTCATTCGACGCATGAGCCATTCTAGTTAGCGTTCTTTGGAACATGACAATTATGGTACTTGAAATCCCTCCAGAAATCCTAAGGCGAGGCCTATGCCTATCACATATGGGATTGATGAAGGATTGAAGGGGCTGGGCTTTTTGAAGACTGACTAACACCCCCTGACCTCCAGTCCAGCGCTCTCCAGGGCTAGCTAGGTAAATCCCCCAACACCCAAATGACCGAACTTCCAAGAAACATACTGAGAGGATCCCGATGATGGTGGCTACGCTGGCGTGATCTGCGCGTATATTAATTACATTGAATTGCATTACACAGAGTCTATGATCGTGTTGTGGAGAGTCTCGACAACATCTCAGACCCTGCTGAGGGAGTAGCTTTGCTTTTTCCGGATCGGATAGACCTAGCATTCTTTGTTCTTTACGAGTATAGAATAGATTGTCTAGAATGTAGATAGATATATAAGCAGGTGATCTAACATATTTGAGATGAGTATTTAGTGTAATGCAATGTAGTGTAGCAAAATGTAATGTACTTCAATGTTGATTCTACGAAAAATTGTGAGGTTGAACTAGGCAAGCAATCAATTGAACGGTGTAAAATGGAACTTTTCAACAAATAGAAGAACATACATCTACGTGTAGAGTAATGAAAAAGCCAAGATACCAGGTGTAAAGAGGATCCTACACTGGTCAACGTATATTGTTTAACGTGACACAGTCTGTTCTGTTCAACAGTAGTTTTGAATCTCCCCGTCATAGCTGTTTTTCTTAGTCTGATCAGAGCAAGGCTAAACAAAAACATTGGGAAGCGGAGATCAGAAGACACCAGCTAGGGCTTGTAGGGTTGTTTTTATTTGCTATGATATACTAATTACACCAGTTTGATAATAGATTCATGTCGCTTGTTACATCGCGGGGTAAAATCAGAATTGGCGCATGAGAAACCTCAATTGGGAATCCGAGCTTATGCCTCAATGGCGGTCTGCAGGGACCTGGTCATCCGAGAGGATCCCTAGACATATCGAGTAGATCCCATAAGATGACATGAAATACACCGAGACAAGCCCAGCTTATGAATCTACAAACCAAGACAATTTTAGCGAACAGAAGCCAGAATTCCTATACATAGGACATAGACAAGTCCATCTAGCTACAAGAAAAATAGAAAGAAAAAGCGACGTAGATCACAAGAACGAAAGGCACAAGGCCATAATAGAGCCTATTAACGCCTCGTAAATGGATTCAAAACCTACCATATCAAACGCCAGGCACCTTCCTGCCCAACACCGTCGTCCAGACGCAAGAACCCAGCACAGGCAACAAAGCCTACGCAAAGCCACAGGCGTGAAGACAATGCCGAATATCGAAGGAAAAGCACACGATGTTTTCGTGTCTATGTACATACATCATATCATATCAACCCCAGATACTTTAGGGACTGTGCCTCATACCCGGCCCATTTGATAGGCTCCGGGAGTAGGGGCATTGTTGTAGCCAGCTCCTTGCTGCTGAGGTGTTTGGGCGCCAGCTCCGTGAGACCCAGTATTGGGAGTGCTGGGAGTGTTAGCCGAGTACATGGTGGCACCATTGAGGTTCGGCGTTTGTTGGGCCATATTGTAGGCTACGGCAGGCATTTGTCCGTTGAGGCCCCAAATTTGGCCAGAATATTTGCTGTCATCAATTGACCCCCCGAAAATGAGCTGGCGCGTCTTCCAGTAGATCTCACCGGTCACTAGGGAATCCGAGCCAGCCTGGTGGGCGATTCCAACGCGCTTGACGCCAAGTTCATCCGCAATGTCTTGTAAACCAGACTTTTGGCCTAGGTTGGTCAGAATCTGTGCTGCGGCCTGGGTGAGAGGAGAACCGTTGACAGCTTGGTTGCGACCGGCGTGCTTCATGAGGTACTTAATGTCGTAAAGTGACGGGAAAAAGATGGTAAGAAGCTTGTGGAATTCCTCTTCGTTTTCTGGAAGCTGGGAACAGAGCATGATCTTCATCAAGTAGCCAAAGTCGTACCCGGAGTGGAAAGAAACCCAGTGGACGTCATCCAGTAGCACCAATCCAGAGCTAATCAAAAGAGCACCGAACTCGAAAGGATCAATACCATTCTTTTCGTGCATGGCAAAATCGATTCCAGATTTGGCGAGCATGGCTGTTGACTCCTGGGCATACATATCCCCTTCGAGCGAAAATCGGAAGTTGAACTGCCATGTGCAGGGAGCGGGCACCCCATACGCTTGCCCATTCGCATCAGTGCCCGAGGCCGGTGGGACCTCTCCTTCGTCATTGAATAAAGTGATACCTAGTTGTATCATCTTCAGAAGATCAACATTGCAACGGAGGGTCTGATAATGGTAATCTGCTTTGTTCGAAAATGACCCAATCGGCCGAGCAACAATACCAGGGAACTCGGTATCCTAGATGATAGTCAGTAAACGTCACTCAAAGGAGACATCGTTGGTTCGTACCATGCTAATGTAAGGGTACTTGTCGACCAGCTGCCTCAGCACGGCCATCTCATGGGCGAGGTTATGCTTCCACACGTCTCTAATTCTTGACTTCACAGCACCGCCCTTTGCTTCGAGTGCTAACCGACCGTCATGACCCTGGTGTAGTTGTTGCTGTTGCATTTGCGCACCGCGCGCGAATCCCATCTGTGCCGCATGACTGGCCAGACCAGTGCCACCACCATCACCTGCACCGGCTCCCGGAAATCCGCCTACCGCCATACCATTTGTGATTCCGCCGGATAGTGTAAAGGGGTTGATGTTGGTGTTCGGATTGCCCGCGAAGCCAGGATGACCAAGCGAAGGGGGAGGTAGCGTATTTCCAGATTGTGCGTGTGCGGGGTGTTGGGATTGAAGGTGAGCTTGTTGTATGTTGTATGGAGCATTTAGGCCAGATGGCCCATATCTGCCAATTGGAGGTGGCATTTTGTTGTTGCGAGGATGCGCATGGATGAAGTGACAGTTTCGTCCCTCGAAGGCGGGAGAGCTACTTGGTCTACCGTATTCGGCTAGCGCGGGTAATTGCCAAGCACACCTCTTTTCCTCATCTTCGGCTCCTCACAGTGTCACTTTGCGGTTGATTGCGGACTAAGGGACCAAGTTACAGCCCTTTACATCTTGTTTCTCTTTATTTCCGTCTCTCAGTAATATTTACTTCCCGATAACTCCCACAATGCCCGCTCACAACCCCACTGGGTTCGACCTCGCCCAGTTCAAGGCCGCGGCCTCCCCATCTTCCGTCTGGGCCAAGCGGGATCCATGGGCTCGCAAGTACGTCAAGGGATGCCGATGTTAAGCCAATTGTGGTAGGCACTAATAATTTATAGTGAGACCTGGCGCTACACCGGCCCCTTCAGCAGATTCAACCGTTTCAAGGGTCTCTTCCCGGGCTTCGGAATCGCGACTGTCGCTTTCGCTGGCTACTGCACATACGAGCACTTCTTCATGAAGGATGATCACCACCACGGCGACGCCCACCATGGTGACGGTCACCACTAAAAGGTTGTCTCTGGAGATCAATTGAGAATGCCGCCGACCGATGGAACATCGAGCGGAGGACGTATACCCTAGGCGACAGAAAGAGTCGTCTCGCCTCCGCAAGAACCACAGCCGGGATTTGGATATAGCGCCTACAGCTTTACCGAGTCCGGTAGCTTTTGTCGTGTCAGGGCGGAGATGCAGCTTCTCATGGCTCATAGGGAGCATAGCTTCCAGGGCGCTTTGGGTTTGATTTGTCGAATGTACATAGCTTTTGTTCCGCTACCACAACCAGATTTTCTTTATTGTTCGATCGTCGACTCTACACTGGTTCTGCCATTGTATATTATGAGCTTGTTATCAATGTTGGTTTGGCTTTGAGCTTCTATAAACACGTAATATCATTATCGACATGAACCCCCACTATGCATGTTTGGGACCTCCAACTTTTGTTGTGCTAATTACTCCTCAAATACGAGCGAAATACCATCATCACCGGCAGTGACAATGCGCTTTCCATCCAGGCCTTGCACGAAGCCCATGATGCCACCAGCTTGCTCGCCCTCTTCATTTTCCGTAGCACCCATGTGTCCCTTCCACTCCTGCATCAGTCCCTGAGAAGCCGCGGCGGTTCCACCGCGTGCGTCCCAACGTCGGACCACGCCATCCAGGCCGACAGACGTGAGCATCCAAGAGCGGTTCTGGTTGGCTGCGGGGGCAGTTGCACCGAGCTGCTTGTTGCTAGGCAGGAACTCAACCTTGACAACAGCGCTTCCCTCATGGGCATCTCTAATGTGCCGACGGACCGCAAATCGATGAGCCGCATCGTACATCACGATCGAGCCATCCACAGATCCAGCCGCAAGAAGGGTGAATGGGGCCTGGGAGAACGAGAGGGACTCAATGTTGTCCGTTTGAGTCTGCAATGCGGCCATAATAGTGCCTGCAGCGGTGGAACCGGATTGGGTGGCTGCGCTTTTGGCCTTACCCTTGGTTGCAGGGGCACCTGCTGCGATCCGGGGGAGACCGACAACTCTAATGTTGCCCTCAGCACCACCCACTGCAGCGATACCACCGCTAGGAGAAATGGCAATAGTGTAAAGACCACCCTCAACGGCAAAGCGCTGATCCTCTCCATTCAATCCAAGGATGGCATTAGTACCCGGGGAGTACTCAATGCCGGCGGCGGCAGCAGCTCCAAATACGTCGTAAACAAAGAAGCTGCTGTCCTCAGAAACAGTGGCCAACAGATTTCCATCAGGTGTCCACGCGCCTGCCGTGCATGATTCGGTGTGCGAGAAGAAGGTCTGAATGATGGAGATAGGCTGCCCAGGGTCGGTATGATCGATACGGAAGACCCACGCGCTGCCATCATTGGAACCGATAGCAATAACATTCTGTGTCGCTTCGTTGCCTTGCTGGTAGGGACACACAGCCATCCAATTAATCTCTTCCACTTCCTGCACCTCGCCGAAGAACTCCCATGCGAGTCCGGTCTTCTGGGGTGTGGTATCCCGGTAAGCTCGCAGCTTGCCATCCAGACCCGCCGTAACGGCATACTCTCCAGCTGGCTCAGTGAAAACCACGGCATTCACAGTATCAGTGTGCCCGTCGAGCTTGGCCAGAGGCGAGAGAGACTCGCGCTCCCTTGGCTGAGGGTTTGATTCATAGCTTGATGGAAGCACGGGACGCGGTGCCGGGGTCGAATCAAAGATGTAGGCTGTGTCATCGCCAGAACCGGTCATTACAATGTTGTTGTATACCGGGTGCTGGGCAACACAGAATACGGAGTCTGAGTGCGAGTCGAAGTGTGCCACTGAGTCGTTTTGGAAGGTGATCTCATCTTCGATGGTCATGTTCTCGTCATCATACTCATCTCCATCTGACATATGATGATCCTCATCACGCTCATAGATCTCTTCGGCATCGTCGGCCTGCATATAGTCCTCTTCATTCTCGTGATTCGGGTCGTTTGACGACATTTTTTATTTTTTCAATGCGTGGGTATGTGGAGGATGAAAGTATATGTGTTATGAGTGATTGATGAACAGTCACTCTTGTTACTAACTGTTCCGAAACAATATCGAAACAAGAAGCAGGTTGTTAAGGTAATTTGAAATGCCCTCGATCTTTTTTCTTACCTCCCCGCTTAGAAATCCACCACCCCCGCGGCAGATTATGCTCTGCGTCCTACCGCCTCCGTGACCGCTTTTGCATCAGCGCGACGCGAAATTGTAGGCGTTAGCTAAATTTACAGGATTTCCTATGAATAATAATATATGGCCACAGTCCTGATTGTAGACTGTCTAATTGCAGATTGCATTGGTTTTTTGCATTCACCTAGGTGCTTTAAAAAGCCATGGACACCTGGCAGGAGTCTCTCACTTGCGAGCAATGCGGCAAGGTATTCGGGCGTAAACACCATCTCAAGCGCCATATTCTAACTCATACTCGCCCTGAACTCCATCTTACATGTGACCAGTGTGGCACAGCACTGACACAGCAATGCCATGACCGGGGACATTCAGGATCGAAACAGCACAAATGCCGCTTTTGTCCAAAGTCCTATACTCGGAGGTATGTAGTGTTCACGTTATAAACACTTGCTATTCATGAATTGTTCCAATTCTGATCCGCACACAAAGACATAGGCTCGCGGCTCATTTGAGAAAACACCATGACGGAGCAAGGATAACAATAGAGCCCTCGGACAAAATAACTCCTCTGTCTTCTCAAAATATCCGAGATCCGAATTCCATCTCATCAAACATGCGTACATCACCCTTCTCATTGGATCCAAACCTGAATACAGAGGATATGATTAATGCCTCGCATGACGTTATGGAAATGACAGATGACTCGGAAAATGAGAACGGTCCAGCATCTCAAGCAAGACCAGCTGCTAATACCACACGTGCGCGTGCTCCTCCTCTGCATGCCTCAACTTCAGGTGCTCGTGGCCCTGCTATCCCTGCTCCCCCGACTACTCCTGCTTTTATTGCTGCTCCTGCCGCTGCAGTCGACTATTTTAGGCCAGCCCGCCCATTGAAACTGTCACTCCCCAAATTGCGGCGGGCAGATGCCCGCCTCTTATTGCCTGAATCCTGCTACAACGTGATAATAAACGCCTCAATATATATGTCACTTAAATCATATCTTGTGGGCCTTGGAGAAACAGAAGATGCGAACTTTCCATGGTGGAGGGTCATCCAAGACTTTGTCCACTTGTATTTTGAACACTTTGACCATCAGTACCCGGTTGTTCACCCATACGCACTAGAATTCGGGCATGACAGAACCTCCTGGATGGTACTTCTAGCAGTGGTCACTGTTGGGAGTCAATATAGCGCTTTCAGCAATGCCAATCTGTTCTCAGCAGCTTTCGGGGAGATGCTTTCTTATGCAATAACACAAAACGTAAGTTCATCTGCTGGTGAATATCCGTACCCCATATTAATCAAATTAGCGACCTCAATCACCCGAATCAACAACTTTATCCTATGGACAAAGCGTATTTCTTAGCCATATCTGCCTGATGTTTGACGGGTCGCACAAGGCGCAGTTGAAGCTGCAGTATGAGCGAAGCGTACTGGTGACATCGGCTCGTGTCTTGAAGGCCGATCAATACATGAATACATTAATGTCACAGGCTCCACGACAGTGGAAAGCCTGGCTGGCAAGAGAATCTCGTATACGTTTACTTCATTGTATCTTTCGTATGTGCCCCCTGCGACAACTATGAGAGCCATATGGGCGTGACTAATCTTTTATCAGAACTCGAATGTCTTCACCTCATTTTATTTGATCGTCAGCCAATATTTTGGCAGCATGATCTCCCCCAGGAGTTCCCCTGTCGCCAATCGTTATGGTGTCGGAGGAGTGCTGACAATTTCGTCCTTGTATACCAGTCTGATCAAAGTGAGCTAATTTTATTTGTTATCGCCCAGATATCTCCAGGATTAACCATAACTTTTAGATCAACTACAATCTCCATCTACTCAACTTGATGTCAGAAAAGCCAGTGAAATAATGGCGGGGATGGATGCTTATCGCCGAAGTCTCTACATGCTCTCTCTTTACACCGAAGAGAGACTGTTCCTTGACAAAATGTCATATTCTTCCATCTGGAAATCCAGCCTAAGCTCTCAAAACCCTAGCCTGCCAGTCCAGGAACAATGGGCCAATATTACATCAAACCCTTCAGCTCTGCGCGGGATGATGTTTCAGTCGATGGACGAAGTATTTGCCGCCATTCCCATCTCAGCCAAACCCGACTATATTGCTGCTCGAGATGTGATTCATCACGCACTATCCCTACTTCGGCTAGTATCACTTCATATGCTCGAGTCATTCTCAGGGTGGCAAGGCAATGACGCTGCTATCCATATATCAGCAAATAACCTGAAGCATTGGATGGAGAATGATGCATCTAGTGCCAGGAAATGCCTATGGCATGCTGTATGTGTTTACAGCACATTGAAATTGAAGGAGAAATTTGCATGTCATGATCCTCTCTTTTTCCTCATCTCTTTCTTCTACATATGGGCATTCGACACCCTCGTGGTTGCTCCTGAAATGGAAAACCCCGAGGCTTCAACCACTGAGGTCCGATTGTTAACCACCAGGGAAATTCACATTTGGATCGCTGAAGGCCCAAATACCCGGCTCAATCTGGTTGGTGTTGGTAGTCTGACCGGCAGGGAAAGCTCTTTACGTCTAGCCACTGAGGTGTCCCAGATCTTCTCAAAGCGCAAGTCCTGGGCTGGGCTTTGCCGCGGCCTTGCATCTGCAGTTGATGGAATCATAAGAAAGCTGACAATTCCTCAAGGAATACCTCAAGGAGTACCCCAGGGAATACCACAGGGAATACATCAGGGGGTGCCTCAAGGAGTACCACAAGGAGTACCCCAGGGAGCACCCCAAGGGCTACCTCAGGGACCGCCTCAGGGACCGCCTCAAGACGTGCCTCAAGAAGTGCCCCAGGGAATGCCCCAGGAAGCACCCCAAGGGACCCGTCAAGGTACCAGCGATAGCGAAGTGGCTTGAAACCTTTCTTACTTGCATATGTATATTCTTTGAAATAATGTATTATTCATTGGGATCTGTGTACTTCGATGATACCCACAGCCTGTTCCCTTCGAGCGCACAATCCACCGACGTCTCTCCTTCGCAGTGTCTGTGCCTCATGTGGCAGCTGAACATCTCAACATTTCGGTTAATAAGTGACGAAGCAATTGAATTTCTTAAGGGCTTCATGAGCCAGTGTTTCGACACATCCATCTTCATCTTGAAATTACATATCAATATGATATTTAAATAAGTACTAAACAAGCTATTATATGGTAAAATTTGGATTATCTACCGGTGGATCTACGAGCTCTCCTGATCACACAAAAATGGTCCAAGGTTTGATCCAAATGGCTAAGTTCTAATCGAAGCTATCCCAAACATTTTTAGATCTTGCTACCTGCCTTTCTTCGTGCCTCCTTCTCTTGATCACGGAGCAATCGGCGAAGGATCTTACCACTTGGACTCTTGGGAATTACATCCACAAATCTGATACCTCCCTTCAACCACTTATGACGAGCCTTGTGGTCTTCGACATGCTTCACGAGAGCTTGCAAGGTTGATTCGTCCGACCCTGCCGTGGGGGATTTCACTACAATGGCCTTGGGAACTTCTCCTGCACGATCATCCGGAATGGCAATAACAGCACAGTCCGAAACATCGGGGTGGGCAAGGAGGTGGGCTTCCAGTTCGGCAGGTGCGACTTGCAGACCCTAGGAGTGACGTGTTAGACTGTGAATATTTCCATCAATCGACTGCATTACGAACCTTGACCTTGATCAACTCCTTAATCCGGTCGACAATAAACACATGCTCGACGCCGTTCGGGCTTACGCGAACGACAGCCTCATCGCCCGTAAGCATCCATCCATCCACAAATGTCTCCTTGGTGGCTTTTTCGTTGTTCAGATATCCCAGGACGACACTGGGGCCTCGGACTACCAACTCGCCCGGTGTATCGTATGTCGTGATTTCCTTGCCTTCGGGCGTCATAATGCGTGCCTCGAATCCAGGGAGCAAGGCGCCGGATGAGCCGAGCCAGACATCTTCGTGGGGCGTCGAGCTTACGACGGTGGATGTCTCAGTCAGGCCTATCGGAAAATGTTAGCTATGTGTCTATCAGAAGAAAAAGTAACCACATACCGTATCCTTGGCGGATCAAAACGTTCGGGTAGAATTTGAGGAAATCAGCTGCTGTCTCCATGCCCAGGGGTGCTGCTCCTGTGAAAATACTATGCACGGAGCTCAGGTCATACTTGGAACACACGTCTTGAGTGCTCAGCATATGGATGATGATCGGAGGTACCTAAGCGGTTATGGTCAGCATCCGATGTCATATTCCCATCAACAAAGAAATGCTCACCAGGAAGAGTGCGGAGATCTTGAACTGTTGAATAGCGTTCAGGTAGGATGTCAATTCGAACCTGGGAAGAACGATTGTTTGATCGCCTCGGTATGAGCCAGCATGGCCAATGACCACAAGAGCATAGATGTGACTCTGCGGAAGGAGACCAAGAGCAACTTCTGTAATAGCGGGCTTTGTGCCCCGGCCATCACGATAGCTCTTCTCAAATGCCTTGATTTGGAGGGTATTAGCGATCACGTTGCGGTGTGAGATCATCACTCCTTTCTGTTTTCCAACACATTATTAGCCGAAGTGTTCTACAGATTGTTGTGACGCTGCTTACCGGCATTCCAGATGTTCCACTCGAGTAGCATAAAAATGCTGTTCGTCGGGCTGCCTCGCCCGCGCTCCATCTCAATTCATCCACTGGCGGTAGAGACTTGCCCGTCTCGATGAGTTGGGCAACGGTCTTGTATTCTGTTGGAGGCTTGGCGCCCCCAAGAAGCTCCTCGGGTACATCAAGTAGGTAGATTCTGCTCTTAGGGAGACCGGCTTTGGCTGCAGCTTCCAGTGAGATCGATAGGAGAGGGGCGCAGGTGACGAGGGCCTTGGCCTTGGAATCAAGCAGCTGATGTGTCAATTCCGCGGCGGAGTATGATGCGTTGGCGGGGCTGAGAACACCGCCTAGTCTATGCACGGCCCAGAATAGGGGCAAGGAATCGATCTAAAAAACGAAAGAATAAGCTCCTTGCTATTCTTAAGATAGAAATTCACCTACAGTGTTCAATGCAAACACAGCCAGTGCCTTATCCCATTCCGTTCCTTCGTTCGGCGCCCAATCAAATTCCTTTGAAAGACTACGAGCCAGGGAGTCAACACGGCTGGCTACCTCTTGCGACGAGTATGTTTTCCCAGTGAGGCCGCATGTGTATGGATCTCTGGAGCTGGCGTGCGGTACTCGGCCATATTTCTCATTGAGCATAAACTCGCTGATAGGGATATCGGGAATTGGAGTCAATTGGCCGGAGTCTTTTGCAGGTAAGAACACCATTTTTCCAAATTATCACGCGATCGGTAGATGTCTCCAGAATAATAAGAAAATAAGGCGGCTTGTTAAAAGTGCAGTTAACAAAGCGTAAAGGAGTTCCCAAAGCACTGGTATGTAAATAAGGCAGCTGAGGGGAGATTTATGGATGCGGGGAAATCGGTAAAGATTGCGACCTTGGGAAGATTATACGGTCCAACTTCATGCTTTTAACCGAAAATGGATAGCCGGTGGCCTAAATTAGCGTCTTAGTGGATATCCTTGTTCAGCTTATACAGTTGGGAGCTTATGCCAAGACCAGAAATGCCTCGGTCTCTTAATATCCGAGGGTATCTATGACAATCTCCTGGGTTTAACTTCTATTGTCCTACACTACGGTGTAGTACATAATCTGATCAGGTTCATGAAAAGAAACATACAGAAACATCGGGAAATTGAGAAAAAAAAACGAAATCACGAAATCCAAAAATAAAGAAAATCCATCTCCTCAACTTCAAACGCAGAATGACAAGATTTAAAGTGGGCTTGGCGTGCAGATCATTAAGTCCCCATTCGCCCGGCTTACTCCTTTTGGACTGTGCCGAAATACCTACTTATATGTTGTAAACGCCTTTTTTTCTTTGTTATTATCTACATTGCTTGTTAGATCTGGGAACTTACTATGCCTAGGTTATATTAATACTACAATAAAAAGGACATCTTGAATGGTCGTCGGTTGTGGATTTCGAAGATAATCCTGTGCTATGAGATCAAACAGCCATAGATTAATCGACTACCTAGGTATATCTTTACTTGTATATGGAACATGCGGCTACATTAAGGTTATGGAATGCATATCATAGTAAACTACCTACATCTCATCATATATGATCCATCATTTAGCCTACCGTTTCCCTATTTCAGTCGAGTTCAAATACAAGCCACCAATAACCGAGAATATCATGTCTCGAGTATATCCTACCCCGTATAAGCTCAATGGGATGTATAGTATCAAAGTAGGCTACGTGGGTTAGTTGCTCTCACTGCGCTACACACCTTGGGAGGTTCTCGGTGTCTAGCTCATACCAAAACATAATACCATTACTCGTAAATTGAAGTTCATACATACTAAGCAATGAAAACCCTTGAGAGTAGTTCATACTATAATGTTGATGTCAAAGGTTTACTGCCGCCTTCGCCCCGACCTCGACGCCGCTCTGGCAAAATATATCTTGGGCTCTCACCCCATCCTCTCAGCTTTCACTTCATCCCATCTTTTCCCACTTCATTCCATTCAGCAATTTTCAACCCTACCCATTATTGAATGAATTCTTGAAGTATAGTACTATCTCAGAAATTATATTGAGCGCAATTGAAACCCCAATTCACCACGTATGATGCTATTGAGTCTTCTATACTGTGAGTATGACTATCGACCTCCACCAGCAAATATGGTTCTGTTATGGTGTAAATATGTTCTGTGATATATCTAAACATGATACTTACTTAATTCATAGCAAATTAGCTTGATTGCACCACATATTGTGGAATATGGCACCACGCCCTGCTGTCAATCGCCGCCAGGCGGTTGAAAGACCCATGCGAGCAGGCCGCATTTCCAAGACAAAGAAAGAACAAGCCATCATCAAAGGTGACAATGTCTTTGTTATGTTTTTCTATGGAATAGCACATGCTGATACCGGACAGTCTCATCGAATCAGCTGGAAGTTGCGGTCAATGATCAAGCTCTTGAGCCAGTTTATGGCACACCGCCAGCCTGGGCAGAGGTATGCAACTACACATTTATCTCATAATCTATACAGTATATATACTGAATTTTGCGCCAGGGCCGTCAACAACTTTGTGATGCGATTCCTTGGTTTCGCTGCACTCAAGGTGCAATGTATCACACCGAAGGTTTCTGCTATGGCTTCCTCGTTGATGCCGATGGTGGCACCCGCACTTATATCGACGAGGAAATCATCATTACCAGAATGTAAGCATTGCGCCTCCAGAATAACATGTCTTTACTAACTTTGATCAGAGGTGGATGTTGCACCAAAGACTCGGGGGGCAACCTAACTCTCGAAAAGAACCAAGACCCGGAGAATGCACTCGTCCAAAGCATCATCGCCAGCCAAGAGTCCAAGCTTGCCGTTGGTCTTGTTATTGGTAATTTATCAAACATTCTATAAAAGAGAACCCCGCTGATCGCCGTCATAGGGAGCAAGAACAAGATGCTCAACCGAGAACTTCCGCATCGGTACAACATTATGGACTGGTTCCGTGTTACCAATGTCTGGTTTGAAAAGATTGGCAAGAAACACGGAGTCAAGGTTCGCTTTGAGAAACTGAACCTCGCGGAAAAGAGCTGGTGGGCTGCCAAAGACTCTCTCCCTCCGCTCCCCCTTGATAAACGGGATTTTGAAACAAAGCCCGAGACACTCAAGTGTGAGAAATGTTCCACGGAAAGTGTTCGTTTGTACGAGGATGGTTGGATGTGTCTGGACCCTGGTTGCGTCGACTTCTGGAAGATTAACAGCGCCTCCCCTCCCGCTGAGCTCACTTTCAATCCTGATTTTCTGAGCTTTCGCAGTCGTCCGGATCCAGCAATCCAGCCACACTACAGTCTAGTTCCTGATCTTCTGTCCACACTGGATGAGAATGCTGCAGATGTCAGCACATCTCGTATCGCATGGAAGGGAATTGTGTGCCCTATGTGTTTCAAATGTACCCGACGAACGTTCTGGCAAGGCTGGAAATGCGACGATGATACTACCAACGGTGAAAAGCCTGCGAATAGTTGCCCGTTCCAAAAATTCATGAACATGAACCCCGTTTCGCTCCGGGTCGTCGTCGACCATTTCGAGCTGGCCCCGATCAAGCGAGCAATCCTTTTTGACAAGAAGTTTAGCATTCCAGACATTGACGACAATGCCTTCTTCCCTTACCGGAAGCTGACTTACAAACTCGACGGAGTTGGCTCGATTACCCACTTTGTGTCTAACAAAGCAATCAATAGCCGGGCGAATGGACCGGATGACCTTTTCATCAGTCTCCAACGTGGTGATATTGGTCTTAAGCGATTCCGGCTCCAGGCCAGTCTAGGTAAGTGAGTCCAATGCAAGTCTCAAATATAATTTCTCACATTGCAGCAGTTGCGGGTACACTAACCTCACATTTCGCGGTCAACTACGTGAGTGAAGAGCACTACCTTGGAATTTTAGTGTCCATGTTAGCTAACCAATTGAACAGGGTATGCCCTACAAATACGTTGTGTCTGTTGATTCCAAGGGCTTTGATGAAGCACCCAATGACATGCTCCACGCTCTGGGCCGTTTGTCATGGGCAACTGAAAAGGCAGTCGTCTCTTCTGGTGATCAATATTCACCTCCAAATGAGCTACTGACGCTCGGCTATTTCGAGGAAATGAAGATCGGAGTATGTCAAACTTGTGATATTGGCAATGGCATATGCTAAAATATCTTCTCTCAGTTCCACGATGATGGCGAGTCCTCGCTGGGCCCCAGTATTGCCACACTATCCCTCGGAGCGAAAGCAACCATGTTCGTCCGTATGAAGTATAAGTACTTCAACGGCTCTACCCGAAGAGCTGAACCCAAGCAAATTGGCACTCTCCTGGAAGATGATCCCGTTCTGAAAGATTGCATGTTTGAGGGCGAGCGCCGAGCACTGAAGGAGAAGTTCGATGCTGGTGAAATCTCGCAAGACGAGTATGATGACTCTCGTCGTGCTCTATCGATGGGCCGCAAAGGAAAAGAGGCCCCCATTACCATCAAGATGGAACTCCATCATGGTGATCTAGTTGTTATGCACGGAGAGAACCTCCAGAAGTACTACGAGGTTTGTGTTTGTTCTCTTTGCCCATATTGAACATCAGATCTGACTATTATAGCATTCCGTGGTGCCTGAGAACAAGTTGCGCTTTGCTTTGACCGCGAGATACGTTAAGCCCGGCCATGTTGATGCGAGAGAGATCGAGAAAGGCCATTTCTCACTCACACCTGATCAGATCTACGATGGGAAGTGATTACGATTTGCCGAGCGACACGATTTAAAAACATCTGTCCCGTTCTGCTTTGCTGATTTGACTCGAGTACCCCGACCTCATTTATATTTACCATGGTACTAATTGCCGGGCTAACTTCTCTATTTTTGTTATGAATATCTCTAAAATATGCCCAGGCCATGTTTTGCTGTTTTTGCTATATACCCTACTGCTTATACTTTTTATTGTGGATTTTTTTTATCAGTTATAGTCCCGCAGCGCGGCATTTGATGGCTATTGGCATGCTACCTTAAATTATATCGCGTTTCCAATTTTGAGGACTTGTCCAATGTGTAACCTCAATCTTAGTGTAAGACAGATTCACCTTTGCTTTAGCCTTTCGCATAAGAACATAACGTTAGCTCTCGATAATACAGATCCTGCTAGAGCAAGCATTTATAAGTTACACTCAGTGATGAAAACTATTCTACTGAGATGATGTCTACATTCCTAGTTCTCGTTTGTTTCTATGTAAAGTATACGGAGTACCATTTTATAGTATTGTCAGCCAGGAACAACTGCTCCCCAATTTTAGAAGCCTCAAATCTCGTTTTAGGCGAGAATATACTGTTGCCCAAGTTTGCACATGTGGTTGTGGACACAATATATATGGGGGCCAAATACGAATCAGCCTCTTAGCCTTGCGAAAAGAAAAACGCAATGGGGGCCATAAATATTCATCATTTATGAAAATACACGTTCTAGGATTTATAGCCTATTAACGACCCATTAATTACCTATATATAGTCTCCTCATATCCTGTGTTTGACCTGAGCAAAGAAAAATAAAGTATGGGGTCCGGACCCCCGGATTCCGGGGAATAAACACCAATTAATAACATGTAATTATATGTAATAATATGTGATAAGCTGAACGTAGACATATATATGCTGTACACCCCATCTAGAGTTCTCCATATATATTCGAAACCATTTACAGATGTTCGTGATATTATTCCGACAATAAATATAGTGCGCGTGGTGAACCCCGTTGGCGGTGGAGACGATCCCTCGACTTAGCGTGGGCGCAGGCTGATGTGAATCCCAACACACTTCCCACATATTTCCCCCCCCCCCAAAACAACAACTTCTGGGTTTGCATTACAGGGCTTGGTTTCCCTTATATCAAGACTAGTATATCGTGTTGAACGGGAATGCCCAGAGCCATCTCTCCGACAGCGTGTCATTGACCCGCGTGGTCATTCCCCTCATTCAAATCACTCTGATTTGCTCTGAACTAGTCACTCGTTTTGCCGTTCACTCGCTTGATTGAGTGCCCGAGCTCTTAAGTTTCTGCCAAATCCCTCGCGCAATCCCGGGCGACATCTGGCTAGAGCCTCATCCCCCCGCAACAATGTCGCAATATCCAAACGGTCAACAAGCCTACTACGGCCAATCTCCAAACCCCCAAGCCTCTGTCCCACCCTCTACCAGCCGCTATGATGGGTATGCGCCCCCAAACCCCGCGCCGGACCAACACCTGCCTCGAAGGATGCCGAGCTACAATGCTGGGGATGACTCTGGATTCTTCAACCCTGCCCAGGCCCACAATATGAGAGCGACCGAAGAAAACAGACAGTATTCTGCACAAGGAGGTGGTTATGGTGATAGCGCAGTAGATGGTGGTTACAACGCTCCGCAGGGAGCCTTTCAAGACGACAGGGACTCGAGATATTCGCGGACTTCTTCGGACACCATGTCACACATGGCTCCGAGTCGCGCCTCTTCGCAAACCTCCAGTATGTCTTATCAGTACCAATATTCTGGAGCAGCATCATCATCCCAGCCGGCCTACAACCCGCAGCAATACGGCCTTCCACACACGCAGTCGCAACCTGTCCTCGCTTATAACCCTCAGACGTACACTGGCTCCAGCGCTTCTTACGCTGCTCCAGCCTCAGCCCATCAACCATATAATCCTGCGGCATACCAGTCTGCCACAGTTTCGGGAATGAGCTCCCCGGTTCTACCTAGAAGACAGAGCGCAGCTTCACACTACGGGCAGACACCGCCAACTCCACAATCGTACGGCTTCTCCCCGCACCAACCACCGCTTCCACCGCCGAGGAGCGCTGATCACCCATATGGAGGACGCTCGTACCAACCCATGTCACCAAACCCCTTGTCGCCGAACCTCTCGCCTTCTTATGTGCCGTCAAGCTCCCCGGGCATAATGCATATGCCTTCGGTCACATCACGTCCTTACTACAGCAATTCGCAAGGGGCCGCATATGACCCTCCAGTTCCCCAGTACATCCCAGCAGTTCCAAGCGGTTCCTTCGAAGAGCAGCCTCCGGCGCCTCCAGTTCATCAGACTCATGCAAACGGCCTGTACGGCAATCGGCCAAGCGTATCCCATTCAGGGGCAGGGCGAACCTTGCCGACTCCTCCTGTGCAGTCGGAATTGCCAATGCGGACCGACACTTTGACCCGACACCCCCAATCGCGACCTCTTCCTGGACCACCGGTTGATGAATCCAGGACAAATGGCAACCGCTTACCAGCCGAACCTCCCATGGCATATGAAGATGTACTCAGAGAGGATGAGGCGGCGGCATTGGGCTCTCAGGACTTTGCCCGGCGCCACAGCTCTAGAGCATCCCATGCTAGCTCTGTTTCGCGCATGCACTTCTCGCCTGATGAGGAGCACACCCACACCAACGATAATACGGAGCCAGGTGCAGGCCATATGGTGAATTATGATGCGTACAGTGACGGAAGCGATCCAGAGGCTACTGCTGGCTTGATTATGTGGCAAGAAGACATAGCGCGCGAGGAGCGTCTTCAAGGGCGGATGCGACGTGAAACCAATGCATCAGGGTCCAACATATCGCCAGGAGGGCATTCACCACACTCCGATCCTCACAGAGATTCCGATTACGGCGGTCAGGATCTAGCACAGCTGGAAGGAGGCTATCAAGCAAACATCCACTATGGTGAAGAACACCCATACCCCGCGGGCAACGGATTTTCAGGCACATCTGGTTCATTCAGAAGCCCTGTGTCTCTTGATGGCCGTGGTGAGTATTACGATGAATACAGGCACCCGTCTATTGCATATGACTATGCAAATCGCCTCCACCATGCGCCAGCTGATGCCAGAGTAGATGCCAGTGGTACAGGGGGATTGACAGCACCTGATGCTTACTCCCGACGGATGAGCTTTGACTATGGCGATGAAGGAGAAACACCATATCAGACCCATTCTGGAGATCAATCCGACGATGAGAGCCCTCACCGATCCGCAGCCGAAGATCTGTTCTTCCACCCTGGAATGCGTCCGTTACCACCAGCACCTGTTGGTCCTGCTGGAAATGTTGACCTTCAGTCAATTTTGATGCCCGCGGGTACATATAGCCGCGACTCGGAGCAGCAGGATGACTTGGATAGTTATTCACAGTATAACCCCTCCCTGCCAACCTCTGTGGACCATTATGGCGATGCATTGCAGAGCCAGTCCCAAGTTCCGCGGTCGTCATCTTTGTCGACTCCTATTGGGCCGCGCACTGATGCGCCTATGAGATCGAAGACCGATGCGGACCGGATCAGATATAGACAGCAGCAGCAAGAACTCCTCTTACAACTTCGACAAAAGGAACTACCTCATATAGATCCAGCAGCAGCGTCCGCGGCTATGACGCTGGATCTGCCAAGCATCCCAGCTGGCCGGCGCAAGAAGTTCCATCCCGCGAAGCTGTCATCAGAGCAATTCAAGAAATGTAGCGAGCCGTGGGCTTTGAGTTCTCTCTTGTCCTGGATTAGAGACCTGAGTGAGGATGAAACAGACCTTAGAGAACAAACAATCGCCGATGCCATGGTCGCATTGTTCACTCACAAAGTTCCCACAATGAATATTGCTGATGCTGAGACGCTGGCGGCGCGAGTTGTGAGCGGTATGCTTGAAGAGGGAGCATTGGTAAAAGAAGAAGAATGGGTCAAATTCGGCTCAGGCACTCTTTCGGGTATACTATTCCAGATTACCGGCACTGGATGCTACTCTCCTAGACTCCACTTACATGAGATGCACATTGAGGATACTGATAGTTTCGGTCGATGCTACTCGCACCACTGTATGCGGACACTGAAGAAGGTCAACCTCAAGGCACAGATGATGGCACCGCAGAAGAAAATCGAGGACTGGGTCACTTTCTACAAGGTGCCCAAGGAAGTCTGGGAAGCTCATCCGAAGAAAGAGGTCGATCGACAGAACAACTTGCACGAAATTGTCACTACAGAAGACTCCTACATCGCGCAACTGGATGTGCTACGAGAACTTTATCGTGACCAATTGGCCAGAATGAATCCTCCGATTATCCCGGCAAAGCGATTGCCCAAATTCTTGGCTGATGTGTTCGGTAAGGTTGATGCCGTGAAGAGAGTCAACGAGGATTTCTTGCTGGCGCAGCTTAAATACCGTCAAAAAGAACAAGGGCCTTTCATCTCGGGATTCAGTGACATTTTCCGGGAATGGATCCGCAAAGCTAAGAATGTTTACATCGACTATGCTGCAACTTTCCCAACAGCAAACTATCTTGTGCGCAAAGAGGCCGAGCGCAACCCGCACTTCAAGCAATTCCTAAACCAAGCGCGGGAGCATAAACTATCAAGTCGACTCAGCTGGGATACTTTCCTCAAAGCCCCGATTACCAGAATTCAACGGTATACTCTTCTTCTGGCGACTGTGCACAAGAACATGGTCAAGGATACCGAAGAAAAGACAAATTTGGCACAGGCCATTGAAGAGATCAAGGTCGTGGCGCTGGAGTGTGACAACAAAGTGGGAGAAATGAACAAGAAGGCCGACTTGATGGAGCTGGCATCCAAGCTGCAATTGCGACCCGACATGAAGAAGGAAGTTGAACTCAACCTGGAACACTTGGGTCGACAGATCATTCATCGAGGCGAGCTGCAACGTCCTGGAACCCGCACAAGATTCCTTGTCGATACACACGCCATCCTGTTCGACCATTACCTTGTGCTTGCCAAGATATTCACAATGCGTGACCGTGCAGTGAAGTATGAGCGATACGATATTTCAAAACTTCCTATTCCAATGGACCTATTGGGCCTTGAAAGCACCGACGATGACCCTGTGATCAAATCATCGGTCAGGGGTGTGGCGACTGTGACACCCTCCCAAGCGGGTGCTGCCAGCCCTCTTGCGCATTCAGGGTCTGGTGCATCTGGAGGAAACGGGACTGTTGACAATTCAAAGGACGACAAAATCCTATACCCTTTCAAAATCAAGCATTTAGGCAAAACTGGAACATATACCCTCTACGCTTTCTCGGCACAAAGCCGCGTGGAATGGTGCCAAAAGATCATCGAAGCCAAGACAAAGCATGCTGCTGCTCTCTTCTCGCAGAACGCCGAGCCTTTCCGACTACGTGTGCTTGCGGACACTGCGTTCGCATACTCTGACCATGCACCCGGCTCTAAAAGTGTCACCATCAAAGGAACCCCTCTCCATCGTGCGATCAAAGAAGTCGAGAAACAGTATGAATCCTCGAAGACTCGCCCTGCAGCGGTATGCAGGACTGCAGTCAACTGTGCCACAGTGTTCCAACAGCCGCCTGGGCGCATTATGTGTGCAATTGGCACAGACTATGGAGTGTACATGTCTGAGCTCAATAACCCGCGGGGCTGGTACAGAGCTATTCCCATCACACGTGTCACGCAAGTCGCTGTGTTTGAGGATTTCAATTTGCTCTTGTTGATTGCAGATCGGTCCTTGATTGCATACCACCTCGACGTGGTCTGTCCCGCTAGTGGGAAAGCCTCCCAGTCATCTCAGGATTCTGCTCGACGAGCCCCGCAGAAGCTGTCTGGAAACCGTGAAGTTGGTTTCTTTGCTGCTGGTCGTCTGAAGGACCGGTATTTGGTCCTATACAAAAAGCGCGAGGGACTATCATCTACATTCAAGGTACGTACAGTCGGAGCGAACTCGATACAGTAACAGCAAACTCATACAATACAGGTTCTCGAGCCCGTCCTGCAAAAATCATCCACAAATAAAAGCCGCCTGTTCTCTCGTCGTTCACAAACGGAGTTCTTCCGCGATTACGACGAGTTCTACATCCCTGCCGAGACCTACCGAATTAACATGTTCCACTCATCTCTTGCCATCTCGACCCAAAAAGGCATTGAAGTCCTCACCCTCGACAAGAAACATTCATGGTCTGTCCCAGACTTCAGCTCCAACGATACCCAAGATGCCCACGATACCCTACACAGCATCGCCAACCGCATCAGCGGGCTTAAGCCACTAGGCATGTTCCGTCTCAGCGAGAGCGAATTCCTAGTAGCCTACCAGCAATGCGCTGTGTACGTCAACAAGCACGGCGACGTCTCCCGCAGTGTCGTCATGGAGTTCGTGGGCAGTGCACACACAGCCTGTCTCTATGGCAAGTTCCTAATTCTCTTCAACGAGGACTTCGTCGAAGTCCGCAACGCAATGAACGGCCGTTTACGGCAGGTGATTCCCGGCCACAATGTCGTCTGCATCGACGACGGCAGCAAAGTACCTGGCTCGCTCAATGGAAATGCTCAGGCCAGCACCGGTGGCTCGATGAGTCTTGCCAGTGGTTTCTCCGGCGCCGGCAATGGCTCTCCAGCCCCCACGGGCATGGGCAACACGGTCAAAATCTGCATGCAACATCCAGAGTATGAGCGGAGCCAGATTGTCTTGGAGCTTCTCGAAAATGAGGGCCAAAAAGACTGAACTAAAAATACTAGTTGACCGTTTTTGGGTCGCCGTGATTCACATTTTGTTTGTGTTTCATACTTCTTCTCTTGGAGCTTACGCACCTTACCCTTTTTTTTCTTCACCTTTTCATCCCTTTCTACTCTTGGGCCTTTTATTCGCCGCCATGGTTACACCTGTTGTTCATGAGCGGTGCCCCGATTCTCCATGCCTATGCTTGTTTTATACCCTGTTTCTTCTTCTTTGCGTCGTCACCACACACTGCCATTCTACTTCTACTTCGAAGGTTTTGGTGGTGATTGATCGCCTACATCCCCTGGGGTTGTTCCAGCCTGCTTGATGATAATGCTTGCTGTACATAGAAAACGTCATTACATCTCATGACTTGACGATTCTCTGAATTCAGAACACTTTTGTTTCATGGGCTACTTTGCCCTTAACGAATTTTTGATTTAGTTGGTGGAAACACATAGGTCTCAATCTATTTTTTGATCTCGACATATTTGCATGAATCTCAAATATCCTGTAGAATTCGGTGCATCCAATAAACAAGAAATGATCCAGCAGACTCTTTCTAGAAGTGGTCTAAAAATCCATGATCTAATCCGAGAGGAACCACGCAATCGGAAAATGAACTCAAACATCCTAACCCAAGTGTTGTAGTACAGAATAGCGCGACAATCCACAACAATGGATCGGCAATGAGAAAAACAGATGAAATGGCCGTATATGACATGAGACAGTATGCAAGAAAATCATGACTCAAACTCGACGACCTTGCTGATAACCTCGCCATCACGGGCTGTGGGAGAGCCACGGCCCTTAACAGAAGCCGCAGAGCCAGAGACCTTACGAGGAGCATGAGCCGCATTTCCGTCTAAGAGAGAAGCTCTCTCTTCCTTTCCGCCGTCGAGGACCTCGGCTCCTTCTAGGAGGTCACGGTCCGCTTCACGGACAACGCTACGGCGCTCCGTATCAGCACCGTATGCGCCAGCTCCCCAGCTGGGGATACCTCCAGGGATGGCGGCAGCACTGTGCTCACGACGGGGATAGTCGTCATCGTCTTCGTCGTCTTCTTCTTCCTCGCGGCCAAGAGCATTGCGCTCGAGGTCGCGCTGCGCCTCGTCCATTCGCTTCTTGACTTCGGCTGCCATGCGGATTCCGTCTGAGACGATGTTGTCGAGGACGCCTCGCAGCCCCTTGCCCGGGGGCACGATGCCTCCTGAGGCCCCAGCGATAGGCGCTGCTGAGCCGGCGCTAAGTCCGGAGGAACGGATGCTGCCGAGGTTGGAGAATGTTGTGAGGTTGGATGACATTGAGGAAGATGCGGCCAGAGCCGCGGGGTGGGGATGGTCTGAAAGGTGGAAAGATTGGGGAAAGTAGGACTCAAAAAACTGCTCCAGAAGTTCGTCGGCTAGGACAACCATTCGGAAAGTAGGGAGAGTTATATGTAGGGGGTTATTAGGGTCGAGGGCTGGATTGGCAGACTCGGATGTTGAGTGGTTATCGCCGTGACTATCTGACTCGGCGATGGTAGACTTAGCTGGCTGGGGAATTGCGACTGGTGCTGGAGAAGCAATGGACTTGGCATCATCAATATCAATCAGATCTTCTTCATCATCGCCGATAGCAAATGAGTCTAGCTTTTCAGTTGCCTCTGCCGTTGCATCTTGCTGGGCTGTTTTTCGGTTTTCTGGGTGGCTCGGGTCGGCGTATTCGAAACAGCGACGGATGAACGCGCTGACACTTCCGAGGAATTTCTCGTCAGTGGTGAGCGAGTTATCAGCATGGTCCCGGTCTCCCGAGTTCAGATTTTCCACAGATGGAGTGGCTGTGATTGTGCCCTCAAACCCACGCCGGGAGAGAAACAAGAGTGCCTCGGACATTTTGAGGATCCCCTCGCGATCAACCTGGCCATTTCCACTGTCGTCGTACAGGTTGAAGAAATAGTTGATGTTATTCATGATGTCAGGGGAACCCTTCAGGCGGGCGAGACCATTCACTACATTTTGGAGATCCAATCCCTCCTCTGGGTCTGTGGCCCACTTGCGGTAGAGACGCTGCATGAACTCGTGGTCTGCTGGCTGCCTGCGGTTCGCCCAAAATGCCGATTTCCCTGACGGGGATTCTTTTCTCGATGGTCCAGGGGAGTCGGCGACCGCCCATTTGGATGTGGCGGCTAAGAACTCCCGGAATGCATCGTAATCCATATGTATAGGGCTAGGTCCAAGACCAACACGGCCGACTTCGGTATCTGCAGGAGGAGCAAGCATGGAAAGGCGTGAGGATTTCTTCCTCTCTTGTCGTCTTGTCTCTTCCTCGATAACTCTTTGGTGCTGTTCCCACTGGTATAATGTTTCATAGAAGCGGTCGTATATCGTTCCAAGATCATCTACGCTCAGGCGTTTGCTTTCGGGTCCAAGATTGCGGATAGAAGTACGCTTTGCAAACGTCTCGATATTCTCTAGCACAGCACCCTTGTGTTTTTCGCGCGTCTCGGTGATAGTGCTATGAGTGATGCCAGAAAACTCCTTGAAAGCAACCACCATCAATTCTTGGAATCTAGTAATGGCCCGTAGCTTGGGATTCTCTGATCTCGGGTGGGCAGATTCGTCCAATCGTGAGAAATAAGACTTCAAGACAGAGATGAACGACCCATCATCTTGTGTTTCGAGAAGCTCCTCGCCGTTAACACGGAGAATGGCAAGACCGACCTGGAATAGGACTTTTGGCCCTTCTAAGAAAAACACATCCAGGACACGGAAAGCAAAGACGAGTGGCATGGAGTTGATATAGAGGGAGAGAAACCATGGCAACGATACCACAGAAAGTTGAACATCTGATTTGGTGAGATGATCCCAGAGCACCGGCATGGTTTTCTCAACTAGAGACTCAAACACCTTCTGATCGAGTAGTGTGCCGTACATTGTTGTTGAATAGTAACCTGGGAGGAGACGGTCACATAGCACAGAGAGAAGGAAAAATGCCTGGGCCTCGGACATATATCTAGGCAGGTTAGCAGACACCCTGTGCAAATTGAGATTTTAAACATACATCAACAACGCGGCGACCACGATGTTCATGGCTTGGCAATACCCAATTTCTGGGTCAACCCAACTGTAAGCTGTGAGAACTCGTCGCAAGCGTCCAATGCCTTCTTCACTCTGGAAACCAGGATACTCTGGTAGGCTGCGGTTCAGATCTTTCTCAATCTCGTCGATAGCAAGGGATTCTTGTCCCTCAAATTTGGCTAATGTCTGTTGATACTGCATCGGAGAGTGGAGACGAAGGAACAAAGAACCGGATGTAAGCTCCCATATTTCTCCGCGTAACCGATTGGGCAAGCCAACTCTGATCAGCTTGTGGAAGGTTGGTTGGCGAACCAAAGTGGCATTGCGACCATTTTCTAGACGGTATCAGTCAAATGCTGAAATAACAATGATAACGGAAATAGTCCTCTTGTTACCTCTAAAATATTCGCCCCAAAGTCTCATCTTGCTACGATCACGCAGCTTGCGTGCATCACCGGGGTAGCGGAAAATCAGACCCAGCCCGGCATCCGGGGGTTGACGAGTGTCAGCCTCATTCCCATCTTGTCCCTTTCCTTTTGCACCTGAGAGCAGATATTCCGAATAACAATCCGAGACGACAGTCCGCAAGCTGTCAACCTCCTTCATTCCTTCCCGCAAGCCTTTTTTCAGCGTGTCACAGAATCGCTCGCACGCCTGTCTGCTACCGACAAGCTGCAATATGAGGCGTTGAGGGGCGAAGTTGGGTTCTTGTTGCTTATAGAGCAGACCATTCCATGTTGTGAGTGCCAGGGAGAAAACATGGCTGGCGCTATGAAGGCGTTCGACACGTCGTATGCAGGACAGCGGAAGAATGAATCCATTGCCTGATGGCCCAGTGCCGTGCGTCTGGCCAGTCCAAGCGGTTGAGGCACTTGCTGTGGCAGAAGGAATAAAGCTAGTAGGCTGGGTTGAAAAGCAGATGAAACGTTCACTCAGATGCAGACGCCCGGCGTATGTGTTTCCTGCTCGGTCAACCCTGCGGGAGCCATCTCCATGATTTGCCGACGAGTTGGGTAGTGGGAGAACGAGATCAGCGGTGATTTCTTGGAGCGGGTTCTGGGAATCAGGGAGGCGGAACTGTTGCCGGAACAGCGATGCCTTGGAAGGATTATGATCGGGCGAGGATAGGGCGGGGATGTTGAAATTGGCAGGGTCAATCAGGCTCTGGGCCTTCTGGACGAAGGATGACCACGGTATCATGTTGGAGAGGTGAACGTGGGAAGTTGTGAGAATGCGTTGGAGCCGACAACCGATGATGTGGGATCAAGCTACAGTTAGGGGCTTCGAGCAGATCCGGGCTAGGAATAGGAAAAAAGAGCCCGTGCGTAGGTGAAATTGAAGCTTCAAGGTCATCGTACAAGCTAAATCATCCTTGGCCGAGGACTAGGCCTGCAGAACAAGAGGGTCAAGTCGGGTGTTGTTGTCGGATTGATAAGAGGGGGCGTGATGATGCCGGCTTCACGTGACAGTCCTCAGCCTTATGCATAGCTTGGCATCACCCGTGGACAGCATTCTTCGAACATGAGCAAGTCTTTTGTAGGAATTGTTCTTTCCCCTGTACTTGACTTGCGTATTGTGCAATTCGTGTTGTAAGCCGATAGCTGCAGGGTAATGACATCTACAAGATACATCGTAGGATTGAATATTTATATTCGTGTTAATATATGACCACTGTTGCATAGCATAAACACGCGCAATGCGTATACTTCAACTCTAAGGGAGCATATCAGTGACTACATGGGTTACGACCCTACACTACATTAGAATGAAAGCTAAGATATTTCAATTTATGAGACTTGATTCACACTGCACAAGAAAGACTGCACAAGCCTGAGATGGGAGGGCATCAAGAATACAATGGAAAAAGGACAAATCGAGACGAACAAAGATTTGAGTAAAACCAAGCTCAAGGCAACATTGGCCATGGAAAATTGGCGTGGGATAGACTCGTCCGGGCGAACAAACATAGAAGATTGACTCAACACTGTGCAGCCTGTGCAAGTGGTATTGGCCCTTGATCAGAAGACGGTAGAAGTGATTCTAGTGCCAGAGGGTCTTTTAAGAAGCATTGACCTTGGAGAAAACGAGAAAAAATGTAGAGCTTAGTTGTGGCTAGTGATAGGCGTAGGTCGAAAGACAGCGGAACTTTTTTGTTCATTGGTTTCGTTCTTGTGGAGAGGCCAAAGCTTCAACATTGCGTGAATGTGGATTTTTTGGACGTGGAAACAAGTGGAATGTCAAGTACGACTGGTGATGGCGATAGGCCGGACGACAGCTGAACACTTATTTTGATTTTGGGTTCTTGTCAAGTGACCTCAAGCTTCGCAGGGCTAGTTGCAATCATGCGGATTGCCGTAGGAATGAGTGGAGAGCCTGGTGTGGTTGGTGACAGGTCGTCGAGTGGCCCAAAGCTTTAGCGTTGCACGTATAGGTCTGGCTGCGGATAAAGTGGAAAGTCCAGTTTACACTGTGGCTGCCACATGGTAATCGACAGCGGAACTTTTTGGGATTTGCTTTGATATGTTTGTTCTTGTGGAGTGACTTCAAGCTTCATAGGGCAAATTGCAATCGTGTGGATTGGCGGTGGAGAATAATTTGAGAGCCCAGTATAGCTGACGATGGCCATAGTCTGGGTCAAACGACAGCGGAACAATTTGTTGTATTTCTTTTCGGTTCTTGTCGATAAGCCTTGATCGTGAGAGGGCTTGGTGTTTGCTAGCCCATTGGCCTAGATAATGAGAGGAAAGGCTAATCTGGCTGGCAATGGCCGTTGATTAAGGATGGCGAAGTGTGAGCACTGTCCGTAGGACGTAAAGTCTGGCTGAATGTCTCATATGAGACTGGGCACCATGAAAATAGCCCGAGACTCAGACAAAAGATAGCAAGCCTCGGTTGAAAGACGACATCAATATGTTTGTTTTTTTTTTGTTTTTTTTGTTTTTTTCTTTTTTTCTTATTTCTTTTTTTTTGTTTGTTTGTTTGTTTGTTTGTTTTTTGTTTTTTTGTTTTTTTTTTCTTTTTTTTTCTGCTGTTCTTTTTCATTTTCAATGTTTGGTATTGGGTTGGTATTTGTTTTTCTGTTAATTCTTATCGAGTGATCCTCGGGCCTGAGAAGGGCCAGTGTATTCAGGAAGAACCTCCTCGGAGGAACGAGGGATGATCACGAGGCCCTGCTTTTCGCAGGCCTCGCCGTCTTCCCAGGCGGCCTTGGGCTCCACAGAAGTGGTGCTGCGGTAGCGTTGCCAGAGGAAAACCACAGCCTGGCCGACCAGCATTCCAATGGCACTAGCAGTCAATCCGGCCAGGACACCCAGGACAGCTGGGACAACAATAAAGTGCACAATGCGAGAGAAAGCGCGAGCGAAAGCGCCGTGGTATAGGTGATGCTGGTGGGGATGAGTGGAGCCATGGGCATGGGCATGGTGGCCTCCGGGGCCAAACATTTCACTCCCAGAGCCCTCTTTCCCGAAAGAAGGCTGGGGAGAGAAAGGCATACCCTCATGGCCTTCTTCGTGGTGGCCCATTGTCTTGCCCTTGAATTTGCCATGGCAGCTCTTGCGGCCGGCTTTTGCCATGCCCATCACGCGAGCCTTGGCACTAGCCAAGAGGCCCCGAATGCGAGAGACCAGAAGTTCCTGAAGGCATTTGGCTTTGCCATGGCACTGCTTCCAAGATAATCGGTCGGCAGCAGGAGTGGTATTTTCGATTTTAGTCCGAGCGATGAAGAGCTCGCCGTTGGGATCCTGTAGAACGGTGATCGCAACGGTATCGACGGGGACTGGGTGAGCTTCCAGGTCGAGAACAGTAAAGCGAATGTCCAGCAGTTCGTAGCCCGGCTCGTCAGATGGTGCGGCCATTGGCATAATTTCAAGCGCATACCCAACAGGCATGAGAGTGGAGTCCTCTCCCTCTTCATTTTGTTGCACAGCAAGAATTGGAATGGGCGGGGCCGGTGGGAATATTTGACGACCGTTGGCCAGTAGGCGGTTGTCTTCGATGGAGAAATCCAGATTCTATGGGGGGTTGTTAGCCAGCTCGTGTGAATAAAATAATTCTAGCATCTTACCAGAGATGATGGTTTGCCCTCCGTCCAACTAACAACACCGTCGTTGGTTTCACGGAGAGGACATTCAGAGCAGGGTAGGTCAACAACAGCATGGTGAACGTCAGGCATAAGCAGATGATGAACATTCACAAATTCATCTTCAATCATATCGACTTTAGGTTCCATCTCGGGGACAACCAGCATGGCGCTAGCGCCAATAGCAGCGGCGCCACCTAGCAAGACGGATCGCACAAACATGGTGGAAGGAAACGAAGCCCGAAGCAAAAGCAAGTTAGGAGCACGTCGATGCTTCTCTCCTTAAAGTAAGACGATACTCAATAACGATATGATGAACAATATCTTTGAGGGTATGGTATGGAGATAAGTGATCTTCTTTCAGCGGGAAGTGGAGTGGGTGACGCCAGCGTATGCGTGGCTCATGTTTTCATTGGTGGATAGTGGACAGTCAGCTTGCTGACTGTGTAAGTGGCATCTCCAGTCCTGTTTGGAAAGTCGTGTTCGTATTCGGATCCACAAACGACCCTCTCAATACAGTGTTGTATGTTTCCATGAGCTTTTGAAAGATCAGAATGGCAACCAACTCCCACACATGTTGGATATGCGTTCAAAAATTAGGATGAGCGCGATATGAGTATTGCTAGCCTAGTGAACGTCGAGCAGGCCAATTTGTGTTTGTGCCATGCCGAGACGTATACTTCAGTGTCATGTTTTTTCCAGCTCCTGGGAGGTAGAATTGTGTTCCCAGATCTCAGGGACTGGCTGTTGCTTTGAATTGGCATGTTCAACCCCCTTAACACTCAGGTGGCATGGTTTCATCTCATGTGCTAGCCCCTGGAAGATCGTATAATGGTCCCCCGCTCCCAGGAGCTGGCATGCTGTTGCAAATTGGCATGGCTGGCCTGCTGAATACTCAGGTGGCCTGGCTTGAAGCCATGCTGCCAGCGCCTCGGAGATCATAAAGTGATCCCCCGCTCCCAGGAGCCGGCTGATGCTGAAACTCGGTATGGCTAGCCCCTGGGAGGTCCTAAAGTGGTCGTCTTCTCCTAGGGGCTGGCGGTTATTTTCTGAGGTATGCCCAGCAGGCTGGCCGAGGAGCCGGTTCCTGGGAGATCATAAAAGTGGTCCCCCCACCCAGAAGCCGGCTGATATTGCAGCTCAGTGTGGCCAGCCTGCTGGACACATATGTGGCAGATTTTGTGCCATATTGCCAGCCCCTAGGTGGTCCTAAAGTGGTCCTCTTCTCCCAGGGGCTGGCGGTCTGGGTTAATGGACATGCCCAACAGGCTGGCCGAGCAGCCGGGTCCCGGGAGATCATAAAGTGGTCCCCCGCTCCCAGGAGCCGGCCGCTACTGAGGCTCGGTGTGGCCAGCCTGCTGGGCATATGTTGCTATCCCCTAGGAGGTCCTAAAGTGGTCCTCTTCTCCTAGGGGCTGGCGGTCTAGGTTAATGGACATGCCCAGTAGGCTGGCCGAGCAGCCGGGTCACGGGAGGTCATAAAAATGGTCCCTCTCCTAGGACCCGGCTGCTTCTTAAGGTAGTATAGCCAGCCTGCTGGACATATGGTGCCAGCCCCTAGGAGACCACAAAGTGGTCCTTGTCTCCTAGGGGCTGGCGGTCTTAGTAGGTGTCCAGCAGGCTGGCCGAGTAGCCGGGTCCTGGGAGATCATAAAAATGGTCCCCCGCTCCCAGGAGCCGGCCGCTACTGAGGCTCGGTGTGGCCAGCCTGCTGGGCATATGTTGCTATCCCCTAGGAGGTCCTAAAGTGGTCCTCTTCTCCTAGGGGCTGGCGGTCTAGGTTAATGGACATGCCCAGTAGGCTGGCCGAGCAGCCGGGTCACGGGAGGTCATAAAAATGGTCCCGCTCCCAGGACCCGGCTGCTTCTTAAGGTGGTATGACCAGCCTACTGGACACATAGGTGGCAGCTTTTATGCCATATTGTCAGCCCCTGGGAGATTACAAAGTGGTCCTTGTCTCCCAGGGGCTGGCGGTCTTGGTGGGTGTCCAGCAGGCTGGCCGAGCAGCCGGGTCCTGGGAGATCATAAAGTGGTCCCCCGCTCCCAGGACCCGGCTGGTGCTGAAGCTCGGTGTGGCCAGCCTGCTGGACATATGGTGCTAGCCCCTAGGAGGTCCTAAAGTGGTCCTCTTCTCCTAGGGGCTGGCGGTCTTGGTGGGTGCCCAGCAGGCTGGCCGAGCAGCCGGGTCCTGGGAGATCATAAAGTGGTCCCCCGCTCCCAGGACCCGGCTGGTGCTGAAGCTCGGTGTGGCCAGCCTGCTGGACATATGGTGCCAGCCCCTGGGAGATCACAAAGTGGTCCTTGTCTCCCAGGGGCTGGCGGTCTTGGTGGGTGTCCAGCAGGCTGGCCAAGCAGCCGGGTCCTGGGAGATCATAAAGTGGTCCCCCGCTCCCAGGACCCGGCTGGTGCTGAAGCTTGGTGTGGCCAGCCTGCTGGATACATGGTGCCAGCCCCTAGGAGATCACAGAGTGGTCCTTTTCTCCTAGGGGCTGGCGAGGTCTTGGTGGGTGTGTCCAGCAGGCTGGCCGAGCAGCCGGGTCCTAGGAGATCATAAAAATGGTCCCCCGCTCCCAGGACCCGGCTGGTGCTGAAGCTCGGTGTGGCCAGCCTGCTGGACATATGGTGCCAGCCCCTAGGAGATCACAAAGTGGTCCTTGTCTCCCAGGGGCTGGCGGTCTTGGTGGGTGCCCAGCAGGCTGGCTGAGCAGCCGGGTCCGGGAGATCATTAAAGTGGTCCCCCGCTCCCAGGACCCGGCTGCTCCTAAAGCTTGGTGTGGCCAGCCTGCTGGACATATGGTGCCAGCCCCTGGGAGATCACAAAGTGGTCCTTGTCTCCCAGGGGCTGGCGAGGTCTTGGTTAATGGACATGCTCAGCAGGCTGGCCGAACAGCCGGCTCCTGGGAGATCATGAAATGGTCCCCCGCTCCCAGGAGCCGGCTGGTATTGAAGCTTGGTGTCGCCAGCCTGCTGAGCATGTCTCGGGAACAACCGCAAACCCTAGGCGATGAGCCCTTTATATCATCTCCTGTGGGCTGGCAGCATGCCACAAGAGCCACCACCTGTGCCTTCGGCGGACTGACCATGCTACTTTGCAACAACACGCCTGCTTCTGGGAGCGGGGGACCATTTCATGATCTCCCAGAAGGTGGCTATTGCTGAAAAATAGCATGATCAGCCCGCGAACACGCAGGTGGCAGCCTTTGTGCCATGCTGCCAGCCCCCAGGAGATGATACTAAGGTCCCATCTTCCTACGGGGGCTGTTGTTCCCGCCGCGTGTTCAGCAGGCCGACCATCCAGATGGCGTTGTCCGTACCATCTCGCCAGCTCCTGGGAGATCGTATAATACTCTCCGCTCCCAGGAGCTGGCATTTTATGAAGGTGGGATGGTCAGCCCGCTGAACACACATATGATAGCCAGCCCCTGGGAGATGATATAATGTCGCCATCTCCCAGGCGCTGGATGTTGTTTCTGCCGCGCACTCGGCAGGCCGACCATGCAGATGGTGTTGTTTATACCATCTTGCCAGCTCTTGGGAGATAATATAATGCTCTCCACTCCCAGGAGCTGGCGTATTGCCACAAAATGGCATGGTCGGCCTGCCGAGCACGAAGCCAGCACGAAAATCGTACATCACCCAAAAGGGTGCACAACAACCAAATCGTACATGTTGTCTTTTGACAACCGACACAAACAATCATACAACACCCCGAAGGGTGGGCAAACAAGAAAATCGAACACAACTCAGAACAGGTGCCCCGACAAGATGCCATGGGCGTCGACAATGATAATCATCCATCACCCTCCCGGGTGAGGGAAACAAGGGTACTCCAACAATGAGGTCTTGTTTCAGTGTGTTCGGTAACACACACTTGTCGCTGTAACTGTGCAGGTGAAGCGGCAATCATCGGACTTGCCAGCTTGCTGCATTATCGCTTGCTGTATTATCGTGGGCGCGGATTCAAGAGGTGGCCCATTCGTCCCTCCCCTCGACGAGGTGCGCATTGTACCGCTTACCGTTAACCGAACAAAGTCCGGTCTCCGGCAAAGCACCGTAGGAGGAAAAAGATAATCTGCTCCACGAATGGAACACCATATCCATGTTCCCAGCGCAGTTCCTCCAGGAACTGTTCAGGACCCTCCAAGGCGTAGACTAGGTGTCCGAGATGACCTGCCCATAGGGGGAACGACAGCAGAATCATCAACAGAATCATCATCACCATAGCGAATACACCGAAGGAGAGCCGACGAGCTCCTGTCCACAACCCCCTTAGGAAAGCCGACCCCTTTTGCATGTCGGACTCGTCAGACGCAGTGACCGCGGGAGGGTAGGAAGGCCACGCTCCTGGCATTTGAAAACCAGAAGTCGCTGCCTCTGCTCCTCCCATTTCCACGCGCTGTTCTTCTGCTGTCTGTTGAGCGCTGCAGGGTAGGGGTTTGGCATACTCAACCTTCTTGGCGCCTTTCGAAACCCCCGCACGGGAATCTGTCCCTGTTGCAACGGCATTCTTGACCGAAGCGTCTTCGGGACTGGCCACCATGGAAGAGGTAGAGATGGTTGGAGAGGTTGCTGTGACCTGCAACCCCTCAGAAGACATAATATCAGATCGAGCTTGAGTCCTTGCCGCGCGTCTCGTAAGCAATATATCGAGGTGCGAACGAGTACCGGTCCGCAAGCTCGGAACAACAAGCTCATCTTCTGGCTGCCACGTCGCATCTGATTGATTCGGAGTTGGCTTAGTTACAGCAGGCACACTCGGAATTTTCTCAGCCGACGATGGCTCAATAATCTGGGTTGACTCAGTTGGGGTTGGCTTGCTGGGAGCAAGTGCACCCGCAACTTCATCAGACGTGATAAGAACAGTAGGGGCGACCAGAGTGTCCCCAGGGGCAATAGACCCGTGCAAAGTGGTCTCAGAGGCAGCTTGAGTTGGCTTAGGAACAGCGGGCACACTCACAGCTGCCTCATTAGGCACCTCCACGGTCGACACAGTGTCGATGCACTCCTGAACAGTCTGAGTTGGCTGCGAAACAGCTGGCTCACTCATGACTGTCTGGGTGAGAACAGCTTGAGTTGGCTTAGGAACAGCGGGCACACTCACAGCTGCCTCATTAGGCACCTCCACGGTCGACACAGTGTCGATGCCCCCCTGAACAGTCTGAGTTGGCTGCGAAACAGCTGGCTCACTCGTGACCGCCTGGGTGGGGACAGCCTCTATCGAAACGTGCACAGATTGAGCTGGCTGCGAAACAGCTGGCACACTCACTTCCGGCACTTTCGGGACTGTGTTCATCACGTCTACCCCAGATTTTGGAAGCAGAACCGAACCGTTGGCTTCCACGATTTCTTGGGTGACCCTCTTTTTGCGGGGCGGTTGGTCGTCGTCGCTGATGTCGACACCTACACGCTTGCGCACAATCTCCCAATCCATAAAACCGTAGTTCAATTTTGCCAGTTCTAGCTGCCGAGGGGTGAACATTGGCTCATATACTGGCTCCCAGTCCATGAATTCGTCAGTTTCGATATCAAAGCAGACGCTCATTGGGGACCCTTCTCGTGAGGTCTGAGTGCAGACACTCATTGGGGACCCTTCCCGTGAGTTGTCAAAACAGACACTCATCGGGGTCCCTTCTCGTGAGGTCTCCACCCAGACACTCATCGGGGTCCCTTCTCGTGGGGTGACATGAGAATTAGTTGGCTTGAGCTCGCTAAACTGTTCGAAATCATGGACTGGTCGCTTACCAATCGGGACCAGGTTCTCATCACACTCCCATTCTTCGCGGGGGAGGACTCTCGGACCACGTCCTTTCCCCTTGTCCACTTTCTGTGGTTGACTGTCCAATGCCTGGCCATGGGAGCTTGGCTGTTCGCTTCCCACGACCGGATGGCAGACAACCACAGGTTCCTTGACCGTGGACACACTTGTGGGTAGTGTGTGAGATGGGGCCTGGCCCGCACTGGTTTTTTGAATGGCCACAGCAAGCATGTTTTCCATGCTTCCGAGGAGCCCTTGGAACCGGCTCTCCACGGCTCGGAAGCGAGCTTGCTGCTCCATGTTCTTTGCCCCGGCAACTAGCACACGGAGCTCCCTTATGTCTTCTCGGTCCTTACGGACTCGACGCTGCCAATCTCGCAGCGCAGCTTTGTCGCCCTTGGCACGGACGAGGTCTTCAGAGACCTCGTCTAGCCGGCTGGTAATTGTTTCCAATTGGGCGTCGATCTCCTTGGACCGGTTGTCGGTAGATCGATGGATCATACGATCCATCTCATTCTGGTCAACGAAGCGGGTGGTGCTTCGCTGCTTCGTCAGTTGGGCTTTGAGGGCAGACGCCTGGGACCTGACGTCAGCAAGCTCGCTCTCCTGACGATGGACAGTGCTCTCTGCGTCCGCAAGTCTTTCGCTCAACGCGCTGAGGTCGCGCTGAGTTTGACTTGGGGCGGTGCTCTGTCCCCAGAATGTGGAATGGGCTGTGTCGGGGCCCACCAGGGGGGTGATCCTGTGCGGAGGACCATGGTTGTTGGAGGGGGCGGATGGAGGATTGGGGGTTGGAGGGATCACGGGGGTCGGGGCACCCATCATCGTAAACCCAATAACCCCGTTTCGGCGGGAAGGTCCTTGTTGCGGTGCCATAATGAACCTTGAAAGATGTTAGAGATGATGATCGAGAAGAAAAGGTTGATTAGAAAGGCAGGTGAACTCACGAACGAAGCAAGGACAAGATGTTAGTCCCTTAGAGACTTCAGAGAGATTATTGAAACTGCTACGTTACAAGTGGCTAGAGACCATGCGATCAAAAAGAAATGAAGGCTTGGAAAGACTCACTCGAAACGAAACGAAAATAAACGGGATGAACAATGTGAAGGAAGACGCTTTGTGGATAAAGCATGAAAAATAAAACTGGGGACGATGGGGAAGAGAGGGGAGAGAGGAGAGGAAGAAGGAAGAGCAGCTGAGATCGAAGGGGAGAATTTATAGGCCTCGACAAACGGCGTGTTATTGAGGCTCTGGGGGCCTATTGGTCAATGACCTTCCTCAATGACTTGGTCTCACAGCTCTTAACCAATCAATGGGTTCCCCCATTGTTGACTGGTGACAAGACCTTTCTTCAACAATGGCTATTATGAAATCGCCAATAAAGAGAACAATGAGTTGTCTCATCGGTCCCTTGAATGCTCATTTCTAGGAATAGAACGTCTCTTTCAACAATACAGCCCCCATTAAACTTCTAACTATATGTCTATTTAATTGTGTTTTTCTATTTTGCGTAGAATGGGCTTTTGCTTAGACAATCCCAATGGCTGCTCAGTGATATGCATGTAGACATGGGATCTGTCTCATGTAGTTTTGAGGCTGAATGTTCTCGGCTTGCCGAAGGTCTGTGCACTCCGGCTTGCCGAGTACGTTGTTCTTCCAAGGCTTAATACAAGTCTGGGCTATTTTATGCCACTATATCTACTGCATTCTGGAATACAGTCGGGCTGGGGATTACTAGGGATTACTACCACCATGACTCTTTGTCGAAAGAGCGGTCTTATCCCTGATTCTATACCCTCTGGAGTGTCTACCCAGTGTCAACCATCGATGTGCAAGCATTGGTGCGTTTCAACTACTTTATGATGTGAGTTCATTCAGTCCTAAGCCTCCATACCCTCATTCTTATGGCTCACACGAAGATCATATTCCCCAGAGCCGCTCCTAGGGATAGTCCCTCGGTCCCACAGGTGACAAGCTAGCCACGACAACCAGCGACCAACCAGCATCCCGTCGGTGACAAACCTATATTGGGTCAGAACAGCAAGGCGACTATCAGACCCAGTTCACATCCCGAACAATGGTAGAATGGCCTTGGAATTCGCTTTGTGGAGGAATTCCATGAAGAAAAAAACGACAACCGAGTTTGGACCAAGGTATGGACACTTTGCAGCTATTTCAAAACATTTCACACCGCGTTTGACACAACTAAGGACTTGGTAACCAAATGGGCGTTCAGTTATAAGGTTGGACATTTGCAAAAACCGCTATCTACCTCTAGTGCTTTTGCCGAATGTTTCAACCCTTTCAAGGTTGGACCTCTGGAAGTGTGGCATGTTACGTGAACAAGGTATGTGTTCCCTTTACCTCAAATTACTCGTGGCCATCCAAAGGGACTGACACCATATTTGCTTTAGATTCTCCCAGCAAGACGTCAAAAATACCTCAAACAACCACCAGCTTCTTACACCGCATGTGCGTCAAGTTTTCCGATCCTCAGGGACTATGGTTTAAACTGTCTACTGTCTAGCATCCACTGAGTTCAATATCTCAGAAACCCATCCTTTTTGGAAGCAAATAATACAAACAAGGGGCGTCTGGGAGCCTTAACATGGTGCGACAGCAAATGGGAGATGGTACGGAATATGCATGGTCAGCTCGATATCCTTCACGCAGTTCTTCTACCGACAGCAGCTTGCGTATGTCTTTTTCTCTTCTCGGTTGGAAACGGTGGAGGATGCCATTGCTGTATTGAGTGACCATGGAGCATGCTTTATCTGACTGTAGTCCAGTGCCTCGACAGGTTATTGGGCTTCGAAATGATTTCGATATAGACCATTTTTACTGATACAAGAGTCGGAAAAACTAACTTGTAGAGTGAGGACACGACACTTTGGCATGCGACGATAGCAACCTGTGTTGATTCGAAGGCGACAATATGAGAAATATAACGAATGAACACAATACCTATCTACCAGATCCAGTGTGGCTATATGTAGTAGAATTCATCCGAAATACAACGCTCCCAAAATCCCTGGTGCATCATAAAGATCTCCTACATTGTTTCCTTTACTTAAAGTTTAGACTTCTTGCCAGTCACGTTGGGCACATCATCTCCCGAAAGCAAGAAGTCCGGGTAAGACAAGCTCCCACCGGAAGCACCGCCTGCCGACATGCGCCAGTTTGCACCATCCACTGTATTTGTCAGTATGGACCCTTCATGGTGCTTTTTATCTGATAACTCACCAACAAGCGTTTGACCACTAACATAGCTACCAGTGTCTGAGAAGAGATACACGGTGGCGTCAGCAATGTCGCGGACATGACCAAAGCGGCCGAGCGGCTGGGCCTTGGTGTAGGCCTCCAGGGCATCCGATGGCAGCAGACGCTCCAAGCCCTGATGAATGGTAAGCTGGTCAATTCTTTAAGATGGGGCTATTCGGACTTATACTAACCTCCGTTTGGGCAATAGGGCCCGGTGCAATGATGTTAGAAGTCAACCCGCGAGGACCGTACTCGATTGCGACACTGTGCGACAAGGCATCGATACCGGCTTTGGCAACGGATACATGGGTCTGGAAGGGCATACCCCTGTAGTGAATGGTAGCACTAACGAAGATAATTCTTCCGCCAGTTCCAATTGGTAATGGTTGAACTGGGGGATTATCAGTGCCAATGATAGACAGAGGGTCGTATTCCCCGAATGGTGCACTCACGAGTCTCTGGGTCCATCCTGTGCTTGCTTGCTGACTCCCTTAGGTACGGAAGTGTTGCCTTAAGGGTATTATAAGAGCCCAGAACGTCAATATCCATGACTGACTTAAAAGCATTGACTGAGAGTTGCTCGATTGAGGCAAGGAAGTTACCCGCCGCTCCAGCACTGTCAGATACTATCAGTACGAAAATCAAGGACCAGCTTCAAGGAAATACTTATATAGACATACATGACGAAATCAATTCCTCCGAGCTCCTTGACACAGCGATCAACTGCTTGCTGTAAATTTTCGAGCTTACGCACGTCCACGGAGCCAATTCCGATCACCTTGGCACCGGGTCTGGCTGTGGCGATGTCCTGGGCAACGCGCTCGGTCTTCTCTACATTGCGGCCGATGATGCAGGCGTTGGCACCAAGGTGTACTAATGCCCGGACCTGGGCACTGCAGATGGTGCCGGCGCCACCTGTACAGAAGACCACTTTGTTTGCTGGAACAAGGAGTTAATGTGGTTGTGCGGGGGACAATGGACTCGAGAGCTCACCGAAAATTCCATCCTTCCAGGAGTCACTCAAATATTCTGTCTTAGAGAGCGGCATTCTGATTAATATGATCCTAGATAGATCCGAATGTCGATTTAAAGATTGTAGTTAGGGGATGTTCAGGAGGTGGTTTAATGATACCCGTGGGTCTCCCCCACAGTCGGACCTCGGCTGCACGATTTTATGCACTTTATGCATTTCTAATATTAGCTGCATAGGTAATCTTAGCTGCATAACATATTAATTATGCGAAAATATGTTGTACAAAGCCCTGTAACTTCGGAATTATCTTGTGAAATAGTAAACAATATGTTTTATGGAGAGTATGTTGAGAGAATTAGCTATATCTAGTTCACGTTATTGGTATATAATGTCTGAAATGCCCTCTCGGGATAATAAAAGACAGATTTTACCAACTAGCTACGCAATGTTTCGAGACTGCAACGCTTCCACTTCCTTAAGTAGGTGAGCAAGATTCAAGAATATTGTAGAGATATCCTGGACTGGCCGGGGTGATGGACGAGCACATCACCATACCCTCCATTTGCGCTTTGGTGTAGAGATAAAGTTGGCGCAGTGGATAGATGATGAATAGTGACGATTGACGAGTGTGAGGCGAGCAAACTGACCAGCAGAAAGGTACTTTCATTGCATCGCTTCAATTGACAGTACATATCCTTGCAGGTGTCTATGAGTACAGGGACATCAGGGGGGAACCGTCTCGTAGTTTATGGATGAAGCTGCTTGAGTCGTATCGTGGTACTGACAAGTCTGGGTTTATGATGAGAGTTGAAGTCCTTAGAGTGGGGGCCTTGTTACAATGAGAGTTAAGCCCGACGTTTTCCCGGCGACATTGGATGGGCCACTAAATGTCATTTAGGTGCTATGACATCTACACATGCAATGGCATCCAGATTAACAAAGCCAAGCTACAGTATTATCACTAGCAATGATAAGCCTATACTTATCGGGAAGAGCACAAACTCGGTAGAGATGTAATAGAGATAATAAGATGTTGCTGGGTAAGGCATTTGGGAGTACTAGTAGCATAGACAATAATGAGCCAATGAACCTCTTCCTAGCAAGCCACAATAAAGGTCAGTTCATATCTTCACCGTCATGTAAGAAAATGGCCTGTCAAGAAAAGCTACACTTTAGATACTCCAAGCCCCACAATTTCTTGCGAGATGCCCAATTTCAGAATCCTATGTGAGTAGGGAAACGCTGACACCCTCATTTGGTCGGCTTTCAAGTGTCTATGTAGGTTAACTAAACTGACCCTGCTTACATGTTACTCATCTAATTGGCATATGTCCTTCTATGGGTAGGCCCTCATTTGGGGCATCCACCACTCATTGGTTTGGCCAATATCTCTTTGCATTTGATTTGCCCTCGGCCATATGCGAGGTATCAAGAGACATGGGCAAGGTATTTACTATTCTGTTGGCTGCCTTACCATATATCCAAAACCACGTAACGCAATACAATATTTTGATAATTGGTTTATAGTACTCAGCGAATAATTTGTGCCAAAATATACTAGATGAGGGTTCGAGTGGTATATAGATGTGTAGATGTAGATGTCGATTTATGTCCTATATTTTACATAGTACTGCATAGATAGAATATGATATCAAATAAAGGACATATTCTAAATAAGTCTTATATTCAAATATATACAAAGTCATTTTACTGTAGAACAAATATCTTTCTCTTTGTGATGAAGAACAGCTGCCCGCTGATTGGCTGACGCGTTGGCTGGCCCGCGACGTCACCGAAAAAGAATGTCTTGTCTTTGCATTGTTAACGTGAATCTTCAACTCATTTCAAAATATATCATCCCCAAATAAACCTCTAAAGAAAGGTGATCGTCTTTATAATTTGCAACATGGCCTGCCCTATCAGCGTCAGCAAGTTTGTTGGCACTGTCTCGCTCGGTCTTCTTACTGTATGTCAATTAATCTGTCACACCAAAGATAATCACCCAATACTAACAAATTCTTTACAACCGATAGGGGCTCTCCTACTCCACATCAGCTATCACAATCCCAGCTCTACAGCTCCTTCCAACATCTACAACCGCCGCCCGCTCCCTAAACGAAGTGAAGCGCCTAACCCGCCGATATGCCCTGCGCCTATCCTTCCTGACCAATACCTGTTTCTGTTTTGCCTGGTGCCTCTCATCTCCACGCCGCCGACACCCATATATGATCTGGCTGGGAGTATTCTCTACAATTGGCGCCCACGGTATTGATTTCTGGTTCAATCGTCACCTCGGCTTCAAAAGCTGGGTGTCGGCTGTTATCCGCGACGTCTCCCACCTTTCCCTCGTCCGGGACTCGAACACAAGTAAGGATGAAGACCTTGTCATGGTTGAGCCACAGGACGATGTGAATGGTGAAACTGTTCAGCGCGAGATGGACCGGGAGCGCCGGCTTCAACGAGCACGCACCTGGTTGTCTGGTATTGCGCTCTCGATTGGCATCGTTGGCCTTTGGGGTGACAAGAGGTGATTCTTCTTCTCTTTATTCTAGGGCCTGAAGGTCTGTCTTCGCGTGAAAACACCGGTTGTTGTTTCATCTGTATTTCCTGGAAAAGCCTTTTAACTGCTCTTTCTTTCATCACGTCTAATATGTTTCATCCCTGATACCTTTTTGTTCTATTCTTCTTCTCCGTTGCACATCTTTCCCTATACATCATAATGGAATCAACCTAGGAATGGAGTAACTTCCGAACCTGAAGCCGGGATATCCGAGCCGTGCTGGAGAAAGCGACAATCCGCCTAGCCGAGTTGAACTTATCAACTCTTGTGTGTACCTGGCCTTGACAAATTCCGGGGAGGGAGCTGATATGCGAATTGGCACTGCACTTTCTTGCACTTTCCGTAGTTGATACAAAACGCACCCTGATAATAGGCACATCAGCGCAATATAACGCCAAGACAATAACAGAATATAGACAAACAGATATACCATCTGAAGTAGATGGCTTCCACTAGCCTTGGAAGGAGTTATATATATGATGACGTCATATGGGACAAGCACGTTGCCGCCAATAATCAATATTGTTGGCGAATGAGAACAAGAAGCAGAGTAAAGATCTGTATTGGTAACCTGGCAAGGACTAGGGGAGGAGAGAAGAAAAGAGAGAAGCAGAGAGAGGAAGGGAGAAGAACAGGTATAACTAGTTACTACATAGCCTGACAAATCAGGGAGCCGTCCAGGTCGCATGAACATAACCTCTAATAATGTTGATAGAGATGGTTGTAAAATGTAAGGATCGAATACATGATGTTCTCTCTGTATTTCTGTATCGGCCCGCCTATCAATTTATACCTATGGAATTTTTGACCACTTTTTATACCTGTACAATCAAAGGTTATATATAGAAGAGTCGTTTGCACAAAGCCTTTTTCCGCCTTTTTGTTGCCTTCGAGCTATCAAGCTGACACATCTAAAAAGAATGATATCTGAGGAGACCACTGAAAAGACCACTGAAAAGACTACTGAAAAGACTACTGAAAAGACTACTGAAAAGACTACTGAAAAGACCTCGGGAAGCATTATACTTGCATAGTCCGTAGGCATATAAATCCCGTCTCCTCCTCCTTCTTCTTCTCTACTTCAGCCACATTCCTTGGAACTGCCTAACGCCTAATGGTATAAGTTAGGTCTGTCTCGTTCGACTCCCCTTTCCTTCATCCAACGCAATTAACACTCATCACAGGAAAGGCCATATATATATATATATATTCACAGCCTATTCTACATTCCTGGGATAGAGCACTACCGCAAGTCACACGCAGCGCGCTGCGAGATTGGCAGCGTCGAGTTCGTAAAGACCAGGTTGATCTTAAGGAGCTCCGTGCGATAGTTGCCGGGGCAAAGAATAGGGAGCAGCAAGCTCGCTTCCGAGCCGTGGAGAGCCGGTTCCAAGGGCTCCTCGGAAGCATGGACAACATGCTTGCTGTCGCCATTCAACAGACCAGTGCGGGCCAGGCCCAGTCTCATACGCTACCCACAGGTATGTCCACGGCCAAGGAACCTGTGGTTGTATGCCATCCGGTCGTGGGAAGCCAGCATCTGGATGAGCTGGGGTGTTAGTGGAGGAATTCTTTCTAATGATCCAGCAAAGTAGAAGTATCTGTGAGGAATGAATGAGAGCTCGGGTATTTCTGATTCTATCTACAATGAATGATATAAACTAGTAGTCATAGGTAGTCCTTGTCGCTTCACATATTCCTGCTAGTACCCCTATTGGCTACCATTGATTATTAATATCAATTAAAAAGAATAACCAGGAGCCCAAGACTAAATGAGGATCATAGCCAGACCAATGACCTGAAGAAATAAAATTAATCCCAATACGCTAAGGATGAATGGCGGAGTTGTCGGAAATGAGCCCCTTGGCGCAAATAGAATAAAAAGGACATGACAGCGCAGCTATTTCTGTGAACAAAATAACGTTGACTGAGACTGATTTGCAAAATTGGAAAATATGGTTAACTTCACTATCGTCAATGGCCAAATCTACACGCCAGGCCTGGCAATTGTTGATGCACCACAGCCTAACACACCCCTCGGAGGAGGCAAGTCAATACGCCAAAAATTATCCACTCCTTGCTAATTTTTTAGACAACCTACAAGTCGCAATCGATGTGTCCGGCAATGGTCAACTACCATGGCCAGCATCAACTGAACCCGACTCATCTACTCTGTTCCACAGCATCACACTTTTCTTAACCTCTGAGTCGCACAACTTCACCATCTCCAACGGCACGAATCCGACGTCTAATACAAGCTATGTCGGTCCCGTCTTGGACCTGGAGCCCTCATCCACTGTCAAACATGTGAATTGGATTTGGCCCAAATGTCTAGTGGGGGACAATTCTGACTCGGAAGACTCGGCACGCGGGGCATACAACATCTCTATGCACCAATCTTTCCGCTGGAATGGGACAGACTATTATACTATCTTTGACCTTCCAATCTCCATCACCAATAGTATACCTGATGGTGACCGGATTGACTGCGATCTACTGGAAAACAAGCTTCTTAGCGCAGCGGAGATCGGCGAAAGCTCAGATTCACTGCCTGGGCAGCCGTGGGTTGAGGGTGGAGCTACGATATCGAGTCCCGATTCGACTGGGACTGGGAATCAGGGCCATTCGGGTTTTAAGAGAGTAGCTGGCCTTGCGATTGTCACGACGGCTATTTTGCATTTCCTGGTTTGAGACTTGCTCCTGAATATAGGTTGCACCCCTTGTATACTACTTTTTATCCTTGTTTTTGATATTAAAAGAAATAACTATCTTTTTTCTACTTATGCGACCGGCCATAGATTAAAATATGGCTGTCAGGATTTACTCATCGCCGATCGGCGAATAACGCTTTTACCCCTTCTATCGATGATCATCGTGAATTTTTCTGTTTTGGGAAGGAAGTATACATTCTCATGTTGATTTTGTAGTATCCCTTGATTGTCTTAGCTTTCTCTCCTAGCAATCCTTTAGGGTTTTCTCCCACAACTTCAAGTATGTCAATATTATATCGTGTACATCGCAACCGACCTCGACGTTGACACCGAACTCCCAACTCACTCACTTCCCATGACGCTTTTGTCCGTTCGACGAGTCCTCCGGTATCGCATCGCCAGAGCGCTAATAATAATTTTCACAATATGGAATCTGGCCGAAATACATCTGATTCAACACAGAATTTACGAAGCCGATTACACTGTGCTCCGACACCAACCACAGAAGCGAGAACGAATATATATTGCAAGTATCAATTGGAATAATGAGATCGTTCTACGCAGTCACTGGAGTAAGGCACTCAGGCAGCTAATATTGAAGCTTGGCCCTGAAAATGTGTTTATCAGCATCTACGAAAGCGGGAGTTACGATAACACAAAAGGCGCGTTGAGAGAACTGGATTGGGAACTTGATCGGATGCGGGTGCCACGGAATATCACGCTGTCGCCTGTGACACATGAAGATGAAATAGCGGCACCACCAAGGGGTGAGGGCTGGATTCGCACTCCCGATGGGAAGAATCAACTCAGAAGAGTGCCGTACTTAGCGCGGATACGCAACTTGAGCTTGCTGCCTCTTGATGATCTTGCACGACAGGGCATCACTTTTGATAAGATCTTGTTTCTGAATGATGTTGTGTTCACGGTTAGTTTGGGTTATCTCACCTTCTGTTTGATATGGATCCTAACTAAGACGTTCTTTCATTATTTAGCCGAATGACGTTCTCAAACTCCTAGATACTAATGACGGCGAATACGGTGCTGCTTGCTCGTTGGATTTCTCCAAGCCTCCGAATTACTATGACACATTTGCCCTCCGGGATAGCAATGGCCATGAACCCATCATGCAGACGTGGCCCTATTTTGGCTCTGCGGCATCGAGACATGCAATGAAAAAGATGTCCCCTATTCCCGTGTCGAGTTGTTGGAATGGCATGGGTATGATGATCTCTAATCTAAAAAAACATGTTGCATAAAACTCACATATCCTTAGTGGCGATGCCTGCAAGTCCATTCATCGCCAGACCCCCACTTCGCTTCCGAGGTATCCCCGATTCACTAGCGAGCTATCATCTTGAAGGCTCCGAGTGTTGTCTCATTCACACAGACAACCCACTGACGGTGGAAAAGGGTGTTTATTTGAACCCTTTGGTGAGGGTTGGATATAGTGGTGCTGCATATACAGCTGTTAATCCGATGATGAACTGGCTTTCTGTGGCGCGGATTCTAGAAGGATTGTGGATCAATCGACTGCGCCGCTTGGGTGTCACTTCATGGTTGAAAGAAGAAGTAGTTCGAAGGCGAGTAGAAAGATGGAGGGCCTTGAGCGCTAGAAATGAAGAGTATGGAAAACTCTGCATTATCAATGAGATGCAAATTCTGCATCGATATGGATGGGCCCATGTGTAAAGCAGAGTTAATGGCGTATTGTTTGTATATATCTAGTCTCACATTGCCGTCCTACTATTATGCTCAGGGCCTTATGATATGCATAATATCTTCCTCTAGGACAATATATAATTGAAGGAATACAAAAGATCAACGCCTGGTTTATAAATTAAGCTTTTTAACAAGAGACTGATATACGATATATAAATAGATCAGCTACTGATATAGTCCGTGGACACCTTAGAAAATACCTTCTACACCATAAAACAGAGACACAAATTCCAATCATCTGAACATATAGTCAATTTCTGTCTAATTTCTACTTCTCATCTTTTCTCAAATTGACTTTTATACCTCCGAGGCCGGCCCACCTGTGCAAAACAAGCGATTATGTAACCACCGAGCGAATCATCCATTGAATTTGGGACTGTATCAAAGAGCAGAACCCCCCACTTACCCTCCATAAACCACCTAAATCCCCAAATACACATAATGGCAACAATCCAAATCCTAGACGGTGGCCTCGGCACCTCTCTGGGCGACCTATACAACATCAAATTCGATTCCGAAACAACCCCACTCTGGGCATCACACCTGTTAGTGAGCGACCCAGCAACGCTACAAGCATGCCAACGCGACTTCGGCATCGCCGGAGTAGATGTTCTCCTAACAGCAACCTACCAAGTCTCTGCTGAGGGCTTCGCACGCACCAAAACCACCCAATTCCCAGATGGGATCCCACGCAGTGCAGTAGGACCATTCCTGCAGAAAGCCGTGGACATCGCCGAGCAAGCGAAAATGCGTGAAAGCGCAAGTGTCGCGCTCAGCCTTGGCCCTTACGGTGCGTGCATGATTCCAGGACAGGAGTATAGCGGCGCATACGACGCCGAGCATGACTCCGAGGAATCGTTGTACCTGTGGCACTTGGATCGGCTGCGTATGTTTGCTGAGGCGGATGGGGATCTTGTTTCGCGGGTGCGGTATGTTGCGTTTGAAACTTTGCCGCGGCTTGATGAGATTCGTGCTGTGAGGAGGGCGATTCGGGATTCTGCTTTCAATGTGCCGTTTTGGATTGCTTGCGTTTTTCCGCGCGATGATGATGCTTTGCCTGATGGGAGCTCGGTGGAGCAGGTTGTGCGCGCGGCTTTTGCGCCTATGAAGGATGGGGCTGTTCCTTGGGGAATTGGGATCAATTGTACTAAGATGCATAAGCTTGCTGGACTTGTTGACTTGTTTGGTCAGGCTGTTGGGCAGGGTGTTACTGAGGGATGGGTATCTGCTGTGCCGAGTTTGGTCTTGTATCCTGATGGGACGAATGGGGAGGTGTACAATACTACGACGCAGGTTTGGGAGAAAAATGATGTTTTGATTGATAAGGTGAGTGTTAATGTGAGTACTACCGTGTTCAGCCTTTCGGGTGGGAATGTTGGTGATTATGCTGACGTGAAATTTAGCGACCTTGGGAGGAGCAATTGGCACAGGTGGTCAATGAAGCCTACGAAAAGGGCCATTTCAATTCGTTCCTTGTGGGCGGGTGCTGCAAAGCTTCCCATCACGACATTAAGAAGCTTGGGCAGCAATTCAAGAGTCAATAAGCATTATCAGTGCGGAGTACAATTTATGAAATGAGGTCTTGAATGAGGTCTTGAATGAAGTCTTGAATGAAGTCTTGAATGAGTCTTGAATGAAGTCTTGAATGAAGTCTTTGATGAAGTCTTGAATGCAAAATGGAATGAAATCATGTACATCGCTAATGTTGAAGATATTGTACAAACGCTAATGTTGAATAGCCGGCCCGGCATGCAAATATTTATACATCGTAAAGTCATTTAAAAGAGCCAGTCGGTGAACTTTGTCCACGCGTTGTTATGCGGGTTTTTGACCGGCATGATCTCCCCATCAAGGAGACGGCCCGACCATAGGTCGATATTGGCGGCACGCTCGAACTGTACATGTAAATGTTAGCAACTCTTGGTCAAAATAGAAAGAGTAAGAGGAAATGAACTAACCTTAGTGCGGTGCCAGAGCTTCCAGCAAATAATAGGAACGATGAAGATAGGGATACCGATGTACGACGCAACAAAGCTCGACGTATTCCAGTTACCCTTCAAGAAAACGGGGAAGCCAGCAACGAGAGTGATGATAGTGGAACCGATAAAGCCAACCCATGCGGCATAAGGTTGAAAGGGTGCCTTCCATGGGATGGTGTCTCGGCTCACATTCTGTCTCTTCATTGCGGCATAGAAACGAATATAGCAGAGGCAAAGGGTTGCCCAAGCAATCAAGCCAGCAACGGTGCTCAGGTTCAGAAGCCAGCTGAATGCCTGTGATGCACCACCGCTGCCGAGACTCAGATACGCCAGCGGCCCAAAGAGCCAGGCGGTAATGACAGCTACATATGGCACACCCTTCTTGTTGACGCGCCCGAAGATCTGGGGCAGCTGGTGGTCTGTAGTCATGGCGACAATCATACGGGATCCGACCCAGCAGTATGAGTTACCGGCGGACCAAGCAGCAATGAGAATGCATGCATTCACGATAGAGGGGAGAGCGCTGATGCCGGCGTTAGTGATGGCAATAACGAAGGGCGAGCTGTTGGCGTTGTTGTCTCCGGAGACAAGGCCTGCGGATCGTGGATCCACGATCATTCCGATGAGAAGTGCTCCGAGGATGTAGAATAAGGCAATGCGGTAGGTCACACGACGCGCGGCCTTGGGAATAGCACGATGAGGATCGACCGATTCGGATGCGGTAATTACGACGGTTTCGACGCCAATGAAGCTGAACGAGGCATTGACAAACGACGACAGGAAGCCGAGGAAGTGTCCTGTGGGGCCGGTGATACCGTTGAAGTTTGTCCATGGCCCAGGATTATTCCAGTAGCGGAATCCAATGGCATCGCCCTTGGGACCGCCGCCTGCAGTAATGACAATGGAGACAACGACCAAGCCAAGGAAGCAGAGAACCTTGACGGCACCTCCAAAGACTTCTGTTTCACCATAGAATCGCACACTCATCAGATTGATAGCCAAGATGAGTACCAATCCAACAGTGATCACCACGGCCGGCGTGATGTCCGTCCAATATGAAACAATAACTGCGGCTGCCGAGACTTCCGAGGCGATGGCGATCGTGTAACAGTATCCGTATGAAATAGCGAGGGAAAATCCGACGGACGGGTCAATAAATCGAGTCGCCCAGTGAGGGAAAGATCCAGCAGTCGGGAAAAGCGTTGCGAGTTCGGCAATACTTTGCATGACACACCACAAAACTCCCCCCACAATAATATACGCGAGCAGCAAACCGGCAGGGCCAGCTTTGGCGTAGGCAGCGCCTGTTCCCACGAACAAACCGGTGCCAATACCACTGCAGAAGCCAATCATAGTAACCTGGTAATTGCGTAGGCGTCGCTGCAAGGCCGCACGACCGCCGACGTTGAGCTCGAATTCGCCCTTGGGATTTTCATTGTAGTCATCAAAATCTGCGCCGGGAGCTGGCTGGACCTTGTCATTGTTGAAGCCAGACTTGTCCATGTTGTCATGTGTAGCGCCGATCATGGTGGCCAACTCTTTCCCCGTAGATTATACCCCGGAGAGTTGAGAAGTTGTCAAAGCGCTTAGTGGGAAACACCTTTCTTTTTATCCAAAATATTCTGTCGCGTTCAGGCACGACACCGGTCGCCTTCGCCGGGTTTATTCTCCACAGTGGGGGGACTCATTGGGCTACATCGTTCGCAATCCGGCCTCTCTCCACTTTTATGGGAGGCGATTGACTAAATTTTTCTTCTTTGCCATAATCCCGATGGAAGGCGAATCTTCAATGTTAATTTGTTGGTTTCATATTTTTCCCAAGGGTCAGGGCCATCCATATGGCCAATAGATCTTATGGCCAGTGAAAATTGGCCAGTAAATTGAGTTGCTTTCCAAGTGGCAGTGAAGAATGTATCCATGGATGCATCTGGAAGGATGCCACGTGATACGCCGGATGGATTGCGAAGAATTTAAGCTTTTCGCCTCATTTATTAGGCATAATTTGCCTTTTAAGGCATCAGCTTCATCGGACAATTTATCCATCTGAAGACGATATACTATTTGGAGAACCTAATATAATATAATTCCAAGTGGTAGAGCATAGACCCCCCAAAAGTCTAAGATATGTTGTATCTTTTCAGCCTTATTTTACCCCGCACCTTCAACACCACAACTTGCCATAAACCATGCCGTGGCCCTGGTGCTTTCCGTTCAAACAGGGTAACTCGAAGACCACAAAGACAGTACGAATCCATTATAATGAGATTGTTACATCTTCTTTTTTTGATATGCTAAGACTACTTATAGTCTCCACTTCCATTAGGTGAAGAGACGGGCCTGAAGCTGCTCTATGACGGGCTAGTTCCAAATGTCGAGTTCGTAAGCCTATCTCTATATGAACGTTTCAATAATTAATAATTGTCGCAGCATAATTGCTGTCCATGGACTGGGTGGCCACCGCGAAAATTCATGGACAGCAGCCAATGGTGTAAACTGGCTCTATGATCTGCTGCCAAGTGATATGCCTGACACTCGGGTTCTTTCCTGGGGTTATAGTTCACCGACTGCGGAAAACTCCCAGCAAAGGATATCTGAACAACTAGTCTATGACTTGTGGGAAATGAGATCGTCAACATACGTACGAACACACCTGACCTACTTATTAACAACATTGAATATACGAAAGATTCCTTTAACTGATACTAACAGATACAACACAGACAGCTAATCGTCCGATTATATTTATTGCACATAGCCTCGGGGGACCCATAGTCAAAAGCGTAAGTTTCACTATTCTACAGAGAGCGAGTTATCGTTGATCACCACTAGGCCCTGCTTTATGCCGACTCAACACAAGCAACTCCTACTTCGGACTTTCGCAGCATCAAACTCTCAACACGAGGAGCGATCTTCATGGGAACACCTGAACTAGATTCAAGGCTCTTTGGCCTACAAAGCTACTTAGATATTGCTAAAGGGTCTGAGCAGGAGTCCAGCGACATTTATAAGGAAGCACACTGGTTGGTGACTGTATTACAGAGCTACCCATCGATCAGTCAAGAGTTTTTGACTTTATTTGTTCACGAGGGACGACCCACCTCCCTATCAACCGACAGTACATCGAACCAGGTAAGAAAATACTCACTACATAGTTATGTAGTTAGCCGTGCATTATATGCTTACAATACGTCGGTTATCTTAAACAAGATTGTGTCGTCCTCCATACAGAATAATTGGTCACACGTGTTTATTCAAGCTGACCATGGTGAAATGATCAAGTTTGAATCATCGTTGGACGAGGGTTATTTGAAAATCAAAGAGCATCTGGTTTATGTCGAGAAGATGCTGAAGCAAGAAATTGACACCTGACCAGACAACAATATAAATTCATTATTAAGATCATTTCAAGGTTCATCTATCTAATTAGCGTATTTTCCAATGCACAGATAAATCAAGGCTATGTTTTGGCCTACCCGGGCGCTCTTGGTATTAGTCTCCCGCTCAATAATAAGGCCCCACGCGCACTTTCTTTTGCCTCCTTTCGGATTCACTCAAGCCTAATACGGCAAAGGCGTTCAATAGCGCCAGATGAAAGTAGTAATGTCTCGCAATTGTTTTAAACTTCCCTGGTATACTCCGCAGTATCATTGGCCCTGTGGACAGCTGTCTACGCCAAGGCTCGGATTTTATCTTAATTACCGCTCCCACAGGTTGCCAAGTGCCAAGTTTCATCAAAATCCAGGCTTATGCAGCATTTAATGACGATCCAAAACAGTAGGGTAGGTCAGTCGTCGATCATGACATGACAGAGAGTCATGGTTCTCTACCATCTCTCAAGGTGATGTTGCTATGTTGTATGTAAGTACAATTACAGTCAAGCTCATTCAATTGGAACAATGAGTTTGCCTAGGTGCACGCCCTATCTACTTAATTTCCTCTGCCACTTCTTGGCCTTCCTTTTCCGTTTTAGTGCTCAGATCTTGCCGCCTTGAGGTCTGAGCATGTGAGCGCCCGGGGCCGCCCCGATCTGCCCACTAAGCATGCTCTGATTCTGGGCAAGGTTAGGCTTCCGTAGAGCCCACAAAGCCTAAAGCCTAACCCACGAACCTTCCAAGGTTTGCGTTAGGCTTGAGCCCCGGTCCTTAGGCCCACGATAGGCTTGAGGGGTTTTTTTTCAGACTCACGGTCGAGGCGTTATTATCTTTGAAGCACTCCATTTCGTCGCGATCGCGGGAATGGGCTCGGCATTGCCCATTTACACCAGGCAGGTAAACGAACTACGACACAATTTTTTGACTGGGGCCATGCGAAATAGTGTACGGATACATACATGGTACCCATGCGGCCCACCAAATCATACGGTGATGTGCAGGGATCTAGGTACCCGCCTGTGCTTCGAACTTGCGCCATCGACCCAGAACCTAACTGGCTCCTCTAAACTCCAAATCGCAAGGTCTTATCAACCGTTGTAGGAGGCTGTTTAAGATTAAGGTCACTCCACCTCAAAGACACGTGGCGGATATAGGTTTAATGATTACACTGCCTGGCCAGCTCGGACACTAATAGCTTCCGGGTAATATACCTACCCTATCTCAACTATATAATCCACCTTGGTAGTCGACAATAATCAATATATTTCTATTAAAGTGAGGCACAAGCTCTGATTGGAAACAGTCTTTACCATTCCGTCTTGACAGCCCTCGCGCCCACCCTAATCACGGTAAGTCACCAACACTCAGGGATAAGGATAACAAAACAAAACTCTATTAAAACAATGGACTAATCCTATACTTTCAGAACAATTTATCACTACTTCACTCTATACGCTGGAAGTTTTCAAAAATCAATTCCGAAGACGTCATGCTAGACTGGCTCCGAAAAATCTTCGGCGCCGACAAAGTTGCCAGGAAACAGCAGCATCGGAGTCGGATGCGAAGTAAACGGATGCGCGCGCGTGAACGAGAACTGCATTTGCAAACCCAGAGGCAGGAGTTGAAGGGCGGAAAGCGCAGAACACCGTTCTTTTGGGGGTCACCAGGTGTTACTACCCCTTTACACCAGACAAGGATTTTTAGTGATTGAAGGGGTTTGCTTTTCTTTTCTTCTTTTGGTGAGTTTTGTTAGACTGCCGAGACCAATCACGTAACTGATCTGAGCAGCTTAGCTATGGATCAGTGATTCCTAGACCCAAACCTCGGGACTCGGGAAATCTACATACTCAAGTGAGCTTGACTCTGAATTATAAAAGCGGCAGCTAATATAGGGAAGCCCCACTAGACAGAGGAAATCAAGGACGTGTATGTTGTACTCCGTAGGTACCTGTGGACGGCCCTACCTATATTAGATAATAGCGCCAAGACTACCTAATTAGGCCTAGATCCCTCAATTTTGACATGTGATTCTGGCACTTTCACATAACCTGCAGTCTCTTATTGGCTCTCTTTTATATTCCGTCTTTTTTGGTCCAAATTCTGCCCTATTTCCAATTTTGTAAAACATTTGCCATCCGACGATCCTTCGATTTTAATGGGGTTGATATATTATTAAATAATCAATAGCGCCGATCGCTGGTTTCCACGTTCTCCTGGAATACTGCTAAAATCTTATTCTATCCCCTCATTCTCTCCCCTTTTCAAGGAATGTCAATTCTATTTGTCGCTTTTCGTCTAACTGCCTCCTCTCAGTAAGCTCACTTGCTTGCATGTGCATGTTGGAATAACTGAAATGGAACCTTCTCAGCGAGATGCCCAGCCGGCGGCGTCCCCGCTTACCTCTAACGGGGAGGGGTCTCCCTCACCCGTAAAGGCCGCGCCGGCTCCCAAGGCCGGCAGAAAGCTCCCAGAATGGCTGGATCACTTCAATGCCCGCGATCTTAAGGTGCTATTCCGTTGCTCGCTGGCTGCGTGGGTGGCGTTGCTGTTGGTCTTCATCATGCCGTCTGTGAGCGTCATTGGTACTGCAACTTTTTTTGCAGCGTAAGCACCTCTATGTATATCCATGCGGCATCAATCGCTAATCCTACTACGATCAGGTTGGTACTCTTCATGGTGCCCCCGACTGGCATTGTCTTTATTTTCCTTTTAGGAACTCTGACTCTCGTAATTGGTATGGCTTTGGGCTGGGGCTGGGGTGTGGTCGTCATGAAGGCAGCTATGGCAGCCAGACCAGCGGCCGAGACCCAGGCCAAGATTCAAGCCCTAGGACAGGCCGCATACAGCCAGGCCAATTCCACCGGACGCCCCGTGGCAGCTATCCAGCAGGAGCTTGTCTACACCGGCTGGATGCTTGACTCTCGTGTCACGGCTGTCTATTATTGCCTAATCTGTTTGTTCATTTATTTAATCGTGAGGATTTCTTGACCCCTTATAATCATCAATACACTGACCATTTTGCGCAGTCTCGTCTTCGGGCTATGAACCCCAAATTCATGCTGATGCAGATTTTCGGAATCATCATCATCGATGTTTCTCTGACCATTGGCCCGCTGCTTCCATCATTTAGCGGTACTATCCCTAAGGTCTTGATCGAGCCTGCCGCTATTGGAATTGGATTGGGCCTGGTCTCCCATTTCATCTTCTTTCCTCGGTCCACCTCCCATGTCGTGCTTGGTGGCATGGAGGGACTGGTGCAACTACTCAAAGGGCCTCTAGATGTCACAGAGAACAGTCTTCTAAAGGGTGAAGATTTAGCTATGGCAGATTTGCAAAAGATCAAGGTGAAGGCTATTGCTGCTTACAAGAATCTCAAGCCGGCACTGAGCTTTTTGCCGCTGGACTTCTCCGTCGGTTGGTGGGGTGCTGATGACGTTAAGAGCATGAAGAAACCAATCCGCCAGGCTTTGATAAATAGTCTGTCCCTTCTGGAAGTTCACATTGCCCGCATCGGGGGATACACGAAGCTAGAAAAGCTGCACCAGCTTACTGTGGATCGAGATTCGGACTCTGAACCCCAGGTCAATGGAAAGGAGAAAAAGCGTCCACGGGAAGTTGGCATGCGCCAGCTGATGGAGAGTATTAATTTGGTCCAAGCACTCCGGAGCCCGGAGCATGAATCTATGCGATCGGAAACTATCGAGGTATTGCGCGAGTCCAGCAAGGATATTATTCCAGCGTGTCAGGAAGCTGTTGGGATCATCGCAGAATCCCTTAATACGGTTAATAAGCGTTGGTTCGGTCGCCCTTCCAAGGAACATCTCAATCAGTTGCACGAGCGCAGTCAGACAGCGCTACAGAATCTCCAGGCCCTACGCACATCCTTTGCGACGGAAACCACCGAACGTCTAATTCAAATACATGCGGAGATCTTCGATGAAAAGGGGATGCTCAAGGCCCTTGACGAAAATTCATTGCCCAGAGTTCGAGGTATCACCATGGGAATGATCTTTGAAGAACAGTTACTCAATGTTGTCGACGGGTGGGAGCGAGTCCTGGGACAGCTTGTCGCTCTCCTGAAGGAACGCCAGAAGATCCGTCTGTGGCTACCCAACGGCTTGCGATATGCAGTCAACTGGTTTCGTCGAAAGAATGCCATTGCACCTGTGATCGCGGCTGGCAACCCAGTCATCGACCCTGAAGTCGCAGAGACACAGTCCAAAGCGGCACAGCATCATCTTCGCATCAGCAGAGGATATCGTGCTAAGAGAGGCAACGGCTTTGCGCGCGCCGTTATAGGCACCTACCATTGGTTCATCAACCCGGACGGTCTTTACGCAATGCGCATGGTTGCTGTCACCATCGCACTATCTATTCCTGCTGCGATTCCTCACACTGCGGGCTTTTATTACCGCGAGAAAGGAATCTGGGCCCTCATCATGGGACAGACGACACTGGTCATATACATGGCCGATTTCACTTTCTCCCTTCTTTCTCGAGCCATTGGCACCATTTTTGGCGGTATCCTTGGCTTAGCTGCATGGTATATCGGTTCAGGCCGTGGCGAAGGTAATCCGTACGGTCTTGCCGCTATCATGGCTGTTGTCATCACGATTCTGATGTGGGGACGTATCTTCACCCCTCCTGCCATGCTTCAGGCCATGATTATGGCTGGTGCGACCTGCATCCTGGTTATTGGTTACAGCTTCGAGGATACGTAAGTAAATTACCTCATTACGAAAAGCAACATGACTGACACACTTCCCAGGCACATCCCAACTTACGGCAATCCTGGTTGGGGTTATAATGTTTTCTGGCGACGACTTGTGCTTGTTCTTATCGGCTCCGCAGCAGCACTAATTGTGCAGCTATTCCCCCGCCCACCATCCGCGTCGCGACACGTCTGCAAGTCCCTTTCTAACGTCATTCGGTCATTGTCGGATCACTACGCGCTTCTCTTATCCTGCTGGGGACAAGGGCGCGAAGAAGGCCTGGCTGCAGAGAAGTTGGCTCTTAACGTCGCTGAAAGTCTCACCGCACTGGACGGGCCGATCGCGTTGCTGCGCTTTGAATTTTCTAGCTCGCCATTTGACAGCGACCGTCTCGGCCAAGTACAATCGCTATGTCAAGAACTCAACCAGAACATTTCTCGCCTACTTTACCTATCTGCTTCGCTGCCAGAACACCTACAAACCCGTCTAGCTCGTCAAGCTGGTCTCCTTGACCATCACAATATCGGCGACGTCATGGCTGTTCTAGGCGTGGTTGAACAATCACTTAAGACGGGTGACCCCCTGCCCGAGGTGCTCCCAACACCATTACTTAATCGTTGCCACGATTTCTGGACAACGCGACAGGTGGATATTATGCTAAGCAAGGATTTAATTCGCGACGAGAACTACCGCCGGTTCTGCGTTGCCGTGAGCGCATACCTCAAGTTTCTGGCCGCAGTGGATGACCTCGTGCTTGTGATGAAAGGTACATTGGGCGAGTCTCACATTGTCAGTCGCGACTTGTTACATGAGCAATATGTATAAAGTGTGTATATTGTAAAGATGTGTTGTATGTTGTATATAATTGTGCATATAACGATGTGTCATAAAAATTGGTTTCCTCCGCACGGGGTTTTCTCCAATTTTTCCCCCTCACTCCAAAATTCTTCTAGCCCTTTTTAAATGGCTTCCTTTCGATCCTCTGTGTAAACAATAATTTTAATATTCAAAACTACTTTCCTATGGCCTCTCGCCTTGCCCGTCTTCCCCGGTGGATGAGCCACTGGCTCGGCTATCGTCCAGAGGCCGTGAAGCCACGCTCTAAATACGAAGTCGCTCTATGGTCCTTCATAACCTCATTCTGCGGTCTATCAGTCGTGCAAGCAATTTTTCACTATTCCGACTACTTCATAAATCGCAATGTACCGGGTATAGTCGCATCCTATGTAAGTGGCAAATATCGAAAGAATCGCATTCTCAAAAATATCCACATTGACTCACACCAAACAGGGTGCATCCGCAGTCCTCGTCTTCGGCGCAATCGAAAGTCCCCTTGCACAACCGCGTGCTCTAGTCTTCGGTCATTTCTTCAGCGCCTTAATTGGTATCTGCGTTACCAAATTATTCAGTCTGATGCCCGATCAGGCGCGGTTCGAGTCCCTCCGCTGGCTGGCTGCTTCGCTCTCAACAGCTATTGCTATCGTCGTTATGCAGTTGACCGGAACTACTCACCCGCCTGCTGGCGCGACTGCTTTGCTCCCGGCTACTAGTGAGGAGATCTGGCGGCTTTCTTGGTACTACTTGCCTGTAGTTCTGCTGTCTTCTGTTATGCTCTTGGTGTGTGCGCTGCTCTTCAATAATTTGCATCGTCGATATCCTGCATTCTGGATCGCGCCTACTCCGCCAAAGCCTGTTGTGCCTTCTCCTGTGCCCGTGCCTGTTGATGTTTCATTGGCAGATGAGAAGACTGTGAAGTCTCCTGTTTGATTTGAGGACTCGGGAGGAGGAGGTTGTTCTTAGAGAACTTGTAATACAATTTGGGGAATGGTTGCACGGCATATACCGCTATCCGTTTGGTGTGGCATAGTGTAAAATGTATATAAAAACTCGTCTCCACTACTAATACATTGAGACTGCGAGAAAAAAATAATTTTAATCACTTGAGAACCAGCATACTATGTCCTATTCAGAATGTTCGCAATCCTAGTTTACACCGGTAATATTCAGAAGCAACCGCTCGGTAGTATCTGGCCAGGCATAATTTTGCGACACCACAAGTCGCCTTGGGGACGTGGTGGAAAAAGTCAGCGTTGTATAGGGTCGCAGGGTGGCAGGGTAAAGCTCGAGGGTAAAGCTCGAAGGGCGAATACAATAGCGGGTATCTTCGATTATTCTTTAGTATAGTTCAAAAGAGACTAGTATAGTTGGAAGTTTTCTAATTTCATCCTACGACCGATGAGTTTGGCCCTGTGAGGTTTACCCTGCTACCCTGCGACCCTATACAACGCTGACTTTTTTAACTCAGATACTCATAACAACCAATGATGAACTCTTTATGCTCTTCAACTTACGAATCTGGACCTGATTGTGTAGGGCATCCGTTTCGTCTCTTTTTCTAATTTTTCAAAGCATTTACAATCTCAAAATGTTTTCTTTTCAAACATGGCACCATATACCAATTTGATTTTCTCTATTTTTTTCCTATTTGTTCCCAACCACAATTTGCCCTAAAAACTTCAAAACCTGAAGTCCAAACCCAATTTCACCCCGAAAAAAAAAGCAATTTGACCTCCAAAAGAAAATCCTCCTCCAGAAACAATTTGACCCTCAAAAAGAAAGAAAGAAAATAATAATAAAATAATAAAAATCACCAGAAACAATTTGACCTGCAGAACAGAATCCTCCTCATCCACGAATAATTTGATACCCAAAAGAAAAAAAGAAAAAAAAGAAAAACATCGTCCCCAATAACAATTTGACCAAAAAAAAACACAATGTCAGAAACAATTTGACTCTCCAAACTCAACCAAAGAAAGATTTCCGCATGAAAACACCATGAAAGATACCAAATTCTCCGCACTCATTCCTCCTCACTGGAAGTCACATAATCAGTTGAGAGATCAGGGAGAGGGGGAAGTGGAGGCGACAGAGATGGATCTCTGTGCTGCACATAGACACCCAGGCACTGTCCGCACATGCAGCCGTCAACTTTGAAGTAGAATCGATTCCAGTACTCTCGCAACATTGCCAGTCGCCAATCGTCATCAGATGGGGATCGACGTGTCCACTTCTTTTGCTCCAACTCCACAAGTCGCGCGTTTGCCGACGCTTCCCTGTCATCGTTGGACAGACCTTGCAAACTGAGGCTTCCAATTTGGATCGAGGCCATCCTGAAGATTTTCAACATGTGGGCCTCTTCCTCATAGAAGTCTTGATAGAGCAGAGAATGCTGTGCACAGTCAACAAGAAGTGCCAGCTCTTTCATCAGAATCCTCAGGTTGTTGCAGCGTGCCTCGAAGCAAACTCCATCCTTCTTGGTGCCGTTTCTCATAAGCGCCCACATTGAGAGTGTGTTGGCGAAGGATTGTAGCTTCGCTTCGATGAGATTGAGCGTTCCTTGACCACCGTTATCGCCGTTAGACAGGCCTTTAAGGTACTTTGCGTATTCATCCCGGGTGGTCTTGAAGCTGGCGAGGGCGGAGGACTGTATGATAGCCCGCATCTTGACGATGGTAAAGAGGATTGAGATTGTGGGTGGGAGGTTATGGTATGATGAGGCTGGTTACCGATAAAGTTAGCTGCTGATGAAGGATGAAGATGATACGGTGAAGCTTACTGTGTAATGATGTGTTGTAGACGTTGTAGATGTTACCAGAGTACGATACCCAATATGGTAGGGCTCTAGTAAAGTTAGATGCTGATGAGAATGAACATGAGGATGATGAGGATGAAGATGAGAAGGATGGTGAGAAAGAGGAGAAAGGTGACTATGGTGAGGAAGGTAACGATTGTGATGATGAGGATGGTGATGAGGATGGTGCTGAGGATGGCGATGAGGATGATAAGGGTGATGAGGGTGATAAGGAAGGTGGGGATGGTGACGATGGTGACGATGAGGACGGTGATGAAGATGGTGATGATGGGTGGGGATGATGATAATAATGATGATAATGAAGCTTACAATTGATGATGGTGAGTGAAGATGAAGCTTGACGCTCGGTGAAGAGAATGTGAAAGATGATGAAGGAAAAGGAGGAAGAATCGTGAAGGTGAGGGCTTTTGTACTCGAGCAATTGGATCTAATGGTCCCAAAATGGTATACAATTGTCACTTGCCTCCGCCTGCGCGCAAGAGACAATTGCCCGAGATATGTAGGCAATCAATCAAAGCCAATTGACTAAAGGACTTGTGGGCACTAGTCCTTCATGCGAAGCCGGAAGTTTCTCTTTAACTTCTACAAACATCAAGTACAGATTAATTATCATAGTGTTATCGAGACTATACGAGGGATTAGTATCTATAACTAAACTGTCGTCGATGGGTGATCTATCATATAGAAATTGTGGAGGAATTTGGGTTGGAGATCATTATGAATCAAACCATATCTGTAAAGTCAATCATCCGTACATCCGATAGGATTATGTGTCATTATACGAATGGTTAAATGATATAATGGATCTATAGAAATCATTAGGCGAAGGAGTCGAGCGATTAACTTTGGGGAAGAAGTTCTCCATTTGAATTAAGAATCCAGACCTTTTATCCGCTACCCTCACAAACACTAATTAAACAGAGATTAAGTATCCCCTATTAATGCGAAAGGCAATTGGCAATTATAAATAAAGTCTCGTCGATGCTTCATTTGTCGCGTATAAATTAGGATGGATTGGGTTAGACATAGTAGGTTTATAGGAAAAATGAGCTGAAGAAATTTAGGGCACAAGTCCTTCATTCTAATTGGACCTTTCATTGTTTACCTCTCCGAACACTAGGTACGGATTAATTACCATAGTGTCATCGAAACTATAAGAGGAATAAATATTCATAACAAAACTACTTGCGATATTCAAGCTATCATGTAGAAATCGGAGAGTAATTGGGTTCAGATCTTTGACTATGTGTGATACCCTACCTATGAGACACATATCTGCAGATAAGTCCTATTCATTTAGCAAAAGGACTGCAAATATATTAATATATAGTGTTGGATCTAATGGAAGGAGAACGAATGTCGTCTTTGTTCGCCCGGACTCCACTTCCTATTTATTTAATATTTTATATCACCTAACATAACGATAAAAGGTATTATTTTAGACGAAGTAATATGAATCTTCATGGATCCAGATTTCCTAGCTTAGGATATAGGATTTAAGTCGAGCCTTTAGGATGCTGATACCAACAAGAACATAGTGCACTGATTAGCGTGGTGAATGAGTGAGTAACTTGCAAGATAATGCTATAAGACATACATATGTAGGTACTTGTAAAATTTTACCTACATGTCCACGGGTATACATGCCCCTTATCATTCGCATTAAAGTCTTGTAGGCAATGAGCTCGAGTCTGCGGATAGTACATCGGCGGACTCCAGCTCATTTTTGCTTTTGGCGTTAAATACCTCAGAAGCAGAGCCTGCGGTTTCGTTCCGGCGCGCTGTCATTCTTTTTCATTTTTATTATCAGGTTCCATAAGTACCATCAGGCTGTTTCACATAGCATAACGATCTCAAGCTTCTATCAGGCAAAGGAAGGCTGCAGCTTCCCACAGGCTCTATCTGCTAACCTCTCTTTAAGGAGCACCTCATAGACATACGATGCCCATGAACAGCAAACCTTCCGCGTATCCTTCGGGTCGATAATCTCCTCGATCCCAAACGCATTCGCTGTACGCACCGGATTCATCAGCCGTAGATACTCCTCTTCCAACTCTTGATATCGCTCCTCCTTCTTCCCAACCTTCTCAGCTTCGCGTAACTCATGTCGATGCCCAACCTCAATTCCGCCATCCAGAGGCAGGGAACCCCATTGTCCAGAGGGCCAAGCAACCTGCATGACTGGATCGCGGCAACCCAACATAATACCACCCGCCACACCAAACACACGTCGCGTGATCACACTGAATACCGGCACGGTAGTGCTGAAGTAAGCTTTGGCAAGCTCAACACCCCAACGCATTGTCGCCGTACGCTCAGCAACAGTTCCAATGGCATATCCCGCTTTAAGCAACATGTCAGCCCATTGCAAATTAGTGGAGATAAAAGAATGTTACTCACGGACGTCCAAGAACTGCAGAATAGGCAGGTTCATAACGTCGCACAACTTCAGCAGCCTGGTTAACTTCTGACTACCAGCGGCATCCAGTGCGCCTCCGTTCACTTCACAGTTAAGCGAGATAATGCCAACAGGACGGCCGCCCAAACGTGCAAGTCCACCAATTGCAGTGCGACCCCATAACGCTCCAATCTCAAACCAGGAGTCCTTATCAACTACAGAGGTGATGATTGAGCGGGCATTGTACATCCGTGCTTGTCGTCGAGGGATGATACTCCGCAATGCAATATCCTCGCGGTCCTCTGGATCGGTGCAAGAAACTGTGGGAGGTGCATCGCTCCCACTGTTGGGGAGATATCCCAGAACTATCCGCAGCTGCTCGTAGCACTCTGCCTCATTGGCGGCGAGGTTATCGATCGTGCCATTCATACAATGGACCATCGGCCCACCCAGGTCTTGGAAGTCGAGACCTTCTTCAAATGTTGCGCCCTCGACAACCTTCGGGCCTGCATTGAACAGTGCTCCAATGTCGGCTGCCATCACGGAGAAGTGACAGGATACCACTCTCGCGGCACCTAGTCCAATCTACACCACCAGTCAGTACACCTTATGTAACCAATACCAAATGGATTTGAATAAAACACAAAAATCAACCAAAGATGGAAAGAAATTTCCAGAGAAAAACTCACCGCAGGCCCAACAACAGCCCCCAAATTCGGAATCCCCATATTCAACTGCTTGATAACATGGGGAAACGACGAAACATGGGGAAGATAGCTCCACCCCTCCTTTCGAATCGTCGTTACACTTCCACCTCCCGAACTCCCATCAACAAGCTTAACAACCGGCAAGCGAAGCGCAATAGCAAGCTTCTCCACATAAACCGTCTTACCTACACTCGCACCGTCGGCATGTCCGGACCGGATACTGAAATCATCAGTTGTAAGGAGGACTTTTCTGCCGCGAAGCAGTCCGGCGCCTTGGACGTTATTGCTGGGCACGAAGGAGACGGGCTTTTCGCGCATCGGCGCCGTCTTTTGCCATGTTACCGTGCCGGACACGGACCCAATTTCTTGGAAGGTGTTTGGATCTAGGATTTTCTCAATGCGTTCCCGTACCCATAGCTTGCCTGCTTGCTTTTGGCGTATGTAGCCTCGGTTGTTGGGGTCTGGCTTTGCGGCTATTGCACGGAGCGTTGCTAGTTGGCCTAATACATCTGAATGATCTGCTGGGAGACGGTTGTCTGTGGCCTTTGACTTTGATTTGGCCTTGGGCGTTTTTGTTTGGTTTTCTGGTTGGGATATATGAGATGAGACCTGGTTCAGGCGGTCGGTGGCTTGGTCCTTGCTTGTTCTAGCCGATGGCTTGTCATTGTCTTTTGTCATGATGTAATGTAACAATTGATATGGATTGGTGTATGTTCCTTGTGCGCGGTGTATACAACATCGTCTGTGTAGAATTGGAGGTTGTTTAAGGAGTTGATCTACTGAGGGGGTGGTTCCGAGGGCCGAGGTCACCCATGGCGAAAGCTATAATACCTTGTTGAATGGAAGTGTCTTGTAATCAGATATCTTAGAATATTTTCATTGATCTCTATTGAAAGATATTATAAATTGCTTCGTTAATCTGGGTTGCTTGGGCTTTTTCATACAACTACCCCAGATTTTCCCCTTTTACCCTCAATGTCGTCCCCGCACTCACGGCCCATCAAGCGATTGTTGGTCGCCAACAGGTATGAACTTCTACACATAATTTTATAACATACTCTGATATTTGCTAGAGGAGAAATTGCCGTTCGTATTCTCCATGCAGTACGAGAGTTACCCGAGCCAGTTGAGACATTCGCTCTCTACACATCAGATGACCGATCGCACTGCGATCTAGGGCGACCACAGCATGCGATTGAAATCCCATCGGCGTCATCATATCTCGATATTTCCCTCCTTATAGAAATAGCCCAAAAGCACTCCATTGACGCCGTCCATGGGGGGTATGGATTCCTCAGCGAAAGCGCTGAATTCGCATATCGCATGTGGCACGAAGCTGGGTCTCTCGTTATAGGACCTGGATGGGAAAACCTCGCCCGAACAGGCGATAAGCTGCAAGCAAAACAGCTAGCGCAGCAATGCGGCGTCCCTGTTTTGGAAGCCATGGGGCAACCTACCTCCAACGTGGATGAAGCACATGCGTTTGCTACACAAATTGGTTTCCCAGTCATGATCAAAGCTGTTGACGGTGGAGGTGGTCGTGGAATTCGCCTTGTTCGCGAGGAGCGTGAGCTGGATAATAGTATTCAGAGAGCTATTGGCGAGTCACCGTCTCGGTCTGTCTTTGTTGAGAAAGCAGCCGTGGACGGATTTCATCACGTTGAGATTCAGATTATTGGTGATGGCACGGGTCAGGTGCGACATCTCTGGGAAAGAGATTGCAGTGCTCAGAGGCGGTTTCAGAAAGTGGTTGAATGTGCCCCAGCTTTGATGCGGGATAGAGCTTTGGTTGGTCAAGTGATCGATTCTGCGCTCAAGATGGCAAGTAAAATCTGTTATCAATCATTGGGAACGTTCGAGTTTCTGGTCAGTGAACAGCGCGGGGAATTCTACTTCTTGGAGGTGAACCCGCGTCTACAAGTCGAGCATACCATTACGGAATCTATCAGTGGCATAGATTTGGTGCAGACACAACTGCTCCTCGCCCAAGGATATACTTTACATCAACTAGGCCTTGGTGCTGAGGTCAAAGCAAGTCATCCTCCGCCAAATGCCTTTTCAATCCAACTTAGACTGTGTGCTGAAGACCCAAGCAACGAGTTTTCCCTAAGTATTGGCAAAGTTACTGGATTCACCGTTCCTAGTGGCCACGGAATCCGGGTAGACACCCATATCAGTGCCTCTGGCTCCCCACTTGTTGTGGGATCCAACTTCGACAATCTTCTAGCGAAGATAATCGTGACTGCGCCAACCTGGGAAGCATCGGTTAGAAAAACCCAGCGGGTCTTGGCTGATTCTAGGATTGACGGTGTGAAAACTAATATCAGCCTTCTACGAGGGATCGTGGCCCATCCTGATTTCATGGCCGGCAAAGTCGACACCCAATGGCTTGGGCTCAACCTCGGCGCAGTACTCCAACAAGGGGAGAACATATCAAAGACTGTTCATGAGCAGGATATTCCTAGCCCTTCACAGCAAATTCACACCCAAAGCGGGCTACCAGCCTCAAATCTCCTGTTCCGAAAAGGAGATGCATGGTCGATCACGTTGGAACCTCTGTCTAAAGATTCCCAACAATCAGACAAAATTGCCCATCATCTGCGCCTGTCACGGGTGCTACGCAATGAGTTCCCTACATCACTGACTGCCGAAATCGAATATACAACGCCAACCTCACAGGGTGCAATCCCTTATCGGATGCAACTTGAAACTACTACGACTGCTGCGTCGGCATTAGTGTCCTCCTCGCATCGACGAGGTGATCCAAAGAACCCGCACCACATCATCCTCCCCCTTTCTGGCAAGTTGATTGAGATACTGGTCACGGATGGAGAAGATGTTGTTGAAAACCAGGTCCTAGCTTTCGTCAAGCAGATGAAGATGGAGCTCGAAGTACGAAGCCCTCGGAGTGGTCGAGTCAAATGGGTTTATGAGATGGAAGATGAAGAGGAGGATGTTGCTGAGGGTATGCTACTAGTTGAGTTGGAGCCAACCAATGGCAAGGTGGAAGTTCGGGGCAAGTTATGATTCTTCGTATAGACCAAGAGCTTGAAGTATAGGATGAATAGTATTCAATCCCTATACAAATCAATTTGAGGGGTCCCAAATATCACCAGCAAATCAGCTTGCAGATCCACCTGGTTCCTCAGCATCATTGGTCTAGTGGTAGAATTCGTCGTTGCCATCGACGAGGCCCGTGTTCGATTCACGGATGATGCACAAGAATTTCTTTTTTTGATGTTTTTGTATTTTGGCCCTAGAATCATTTGAGATCAATAATCAAACCATAATTGAATGTGTTGTTATTTGCACGTACCTGTAAAACATTGAAGGTTGTCTTAAATCTATTCGAGTTTTTTGTATTTACTTTTTACAATCCAAGGCAGGCGGTCAGAAAGAGCGGTCACTTGTACATGTGACGTCACCGCTTCAGCTTCCCCATCCTCAACTCTGTTTTTATCCATCTGTCTTGACCTCTGGATTGATCCAGAGTTGAGCTTTCAGTATGGATGCCCTCGGTGTCTATGTTCTGACCTTTAACTGTGCAAGAAACCTTGTCGATGTCGATGCATTCGCGAACCACTTTTTCGACGCACTCCCCGCGTCTGGTGCGGGGAGCTCCGCACCCGATCTAATTTTCCTCTCGCTTCAAGAGATCGCACCCATCGCCTACTCATTCCTCGGCGGTTCCTATCTTTCGCCCTATTTCGATGCATTCCGCCGTGCCGTCCAGAAAGCCTCGGCACAAAAATGGAACCACCACTATGTGGACTTCCTCACCGACAATACGGGAATGACCGGCCTGATGCTTTTCGCGCGCGATGATACTTTGAGCAAAGTTGCATGGATCGATACAGCCCATGTCGGCGTCGGGGTTCAAGAAATGGGAAACAAGGGCGCTGTCGGGGCACGCCTGGGATACGTTGTTGAAGGGTACCCATCCAAGACTGTGGACCTCACTTTCGTCGCAGCGCATCTCGCTCCCATGGAAGATTCCTATGAGCAAAGAAACAAGGACTGGAAGAGCATTGTCGAGCGACTTGTATTCACACACAGCAGCAAGAGACCAGCAGAGAGGTCAAGTGTGGATGAAAATACCAGCCTTCTTGACGACGCAGCATCGGCGCACGCGGAAGGCAGTCGCAGAGACCTCTTCGCGCCAAACGCCTATCTATTCCTTGCTGGAGACCTAAACTATCGCACGTCGAATATCGGACCCTCGGCTGGGGAGATTGAGCAATTCCCTCGGCGCAACGTCAACCTCGATGACCCATCGCACTATTCCCACCTTTTGAAGAACGACCAGCTTTTGCGCGAGATGAACTACGGCAGGACCTTCCACAGCCTGTCCGAGGCGCCTATCGATTTTCCTCCTACCTACAAATACTCGGACGCCGCGCGCGAAGCTGTCCGCCAGGGCTTGGATACGGATAATCTTGAATGGAAATGGTCGAATCACCGCTGGCCTAGTTGGTGCGATCGAGTCCTTTACCTCGATAAGCCGTCGTGGGTTGGTGAAGCTGGAAAGGTCAAACCGCTCGCTTACAATGCGCTGCCTCTGTTCGCTCAGTCTGATCATCGTCCGGTTGCGCTCGTTGCATCGGTGCCGCTACCGTCCTCAGACGCATCTTCAGACACTGAGAACACAAGATCGGGTGTCCGAGCTGTGGCTCCATTCTCTATCGATCCGAGTTGGAAATCCAAGCGAGACATGGCGCGACGAAAGGAGATTGTAGTGGGTGCAGTTGCGTACCTGGGACTGACCAGGGAAGGAAATGGGCTGCTGCTCGTGTCCCTGCTAGGTATCTTCGGAGCGTGTTTCATTCTTCGATCTATGCTGGAGATTTAAGTGATGGTGTGATGGACGGCGCTTCTCGGAGGCTTTCCTTTTCCTTTCTTTTTTTTAATATCTCTCTATCCTGTTGCCCCTTGGGTGTTTTCGGAAGAATATCATGCAATGCTATCAGTCGCCAAAATCAGGCACTGGATGAAATGACCATCTATTTCCTTTTCTCTCTACATAATCTCCAAGCTTCCAAGGTAACACGGTTACATTGTCACCAGCCTCAAATGAACGTCCTGTGACGCTACAGGGGGTGAAATCCCCGCATTTCTTCAAATAAGACCATCAGATAACTCGACCGGCTGCAGTCGCAATTATGTATCAGATTTTGCTAGCAACAACCTAAACTAGGTAGTACTCTGGAATCACATGAACCGAGATCCGAGTCATGCATTCTGCAGGTGAGATGTTGAAGTCGGGCTTGAATTTCCAAGATTCTATTCTCAGATGAAGTCATATCTGCTTCTAGCTTCTCTCCGATTATCGCTCATTTTTGATTTCCCATGACTGTGATGACTGGACTGAGACTGTAACCTGCAGGGAAACTGCACAGGTCTCCTCGGATATTGCCGTCACTGCTGTCGTCGTCATAGGTTCCCACTCTTCATAGTCTTCCTTTTTTTGTTACACAGGGTTTATTTATTTGCCCTGGCTGTAATGGTCCAGATTCTGAGGTAAATGTTCGATCCTCTTCTAGACGCCAGAATATTTCTGTTCCTGAGTTGTGGGCCATTCTTTTACGGACCGGAACATCCGGCTGCGGTTGTCCTTGAAATACAGTGAATGTGCTCTACCTCCAACATATCCCTGTAGTTAAATTAGTATGTCACACCAACCATTAACATGCGATAATGCATGGAAACAGGCCACATGAACCAGTCAAGTGACCAGTAAAGAGCCTAATAGCTTTCTACAGGCCACGTCTAGCCTTCACCGTGTGTATCACCTTACGAAAACGTTGCCAAGGGAAAATGTGAGGTTTCGTGAGAGGCGGTGTATAGTCTAAATATTTTTATAGATCTGGACTTCTGGAATACGTTTCTGGCTTGAAAAAAAAAAAAATGAAACAAAAACTCCCGGGCTCCACAGCCTCCACAGTGAAAGGGAGAAACCATACAAAATGTAGGACCATCAAGGGTTATTGAATCGGATTGAAGTTTCAAGAACATATAGGAATGTCATTGGTTTAAACTGAATATATGAGGTAACGATCATCCATGGAGTATGTATGGAGTATAGAATGGAGGGATAAAAGAATAGGGGTACAATCGCAAAGGCAAAAAAGCAAAAGATGTCATTGACAGGGCTGATCAGGAGAAAGTGGACAACACAGAAGGATCAGAATGTTCCATGCAAACTTACAAACAGGCCTGAAAAGGAAAATTGAGGAAATCCCCTGAGTTCGGTGGAGATTCCAGAAAACAAACTCCATATGGAGAGAGGCCCAAGACCCAGAATTCGGAATCGAGGGGTGTCTTTAATATGAAACTAAATAGAAAAAAAAAAGGTACCAGTTTCCACTATATATCTACAACTCTACTGTATATTGAAATGTTCAAGCGCAAATTTACTTAATCTGAAGCTTAACAGTTTGGATTAGGCTGCTGTTTCGAAATCTGCACTTGTCAGCTGATCCACTTGTCCCTGCAATATACAAGACTGCGAGTCATTCCTTCTAATGCCGTCTTTTTTTTTTTTTGTATAGCCGATCCTTGGCCCTTCATGCACCGAAGACCAGCATTTGAGCCGATCATCCCGCATCTTCGGGACAAGGGATCATGATCGACCGATCTCTGCAATATTAGGTATTGGATGTGTAGTAAAGTGATCTATCGTATAAAGTTTACACAAAAAAAAAACCGTTGGAAAGATCCGGGAAGCAGTTGAATGTATCCATGGAATATACCCAATTAGCTACCCAGAGATCTCTCTACCCAAAGGGAATAAAAAAAAGAGATAAAAAAAGGATGATTCAGATGGTTCAAGTTAGAGAGAGATTAAAGAACAAATAATATAAAATAAATAATATACAGTAAAACATGTAAAATAGGTATAAAAAATACACAATAATATAAAACATAAAGAATGAAAAAAAATAAAATAAAAATAAAAAATAAAAAATAACCAAAAAAAAATCAAAAATAACCAACCCCAGCAAACGGCCGTAATAATGGAACCCTAAAAATTTTAATCCTCCTATTTCACTGCCTAGAATTGTAAATGTTTTAAATGTCTAAGCCAATATTTGAGCCTCTAATATAAACCCCCTCTTCTCCCTCTCTTTCTTCAATTATCTAGACCTTGTGGCTGAATTTCTACCTTGATCCTCCGACGTCATTGTGTTGTACACATTCTAGGCCTTGCTTATTCTCCGTTACATTTAAGGTCAACTTTTTTTTTTCTTCTCTTTGAGATTCTGAAAACTATCATCTCATCATGTATTCCTGCGCAAATTATCCCCGTGGATGCCGCGGTCGTGTGAACAGACAAGGAGCGAAGTGTTCGGACTGCGTTGTATGTGATTCCGATATTTTTGAATCTTTAATACAAAACTAATTCCCTTAACCAGTCTCTAAATTTGCGCCGTCCAGCTTTCGCTTCGCCATTCGCTCAACCACGCGAATACAAGCGAGCGCTACCCTCAGAGCTCTTTGGCGAAAAGACATCCGAGCCTGAGCTGTAATGAATGCAAAGCACACTTCCCGGGACGGTCCGGAGAAGAACCCAGCTCCTCGCTAGGTTGCGTCCTGCCGGCTGGGATTCACCTCGCATGATCAACGGCCGCTTTGTTCTTTCTTAATTGCCTCTCTTTCTCTCTCTCCACATCTCTCATATGCATCGCCGGGAGTTTCTTTGTTATATTCGGCGGCCGCCTATTTGCTTTGTCCAGTTTCCCGGTTTTCCGCATATTACCTCAACTCTATGATTTCGTCCCTCACTACATTGGCCGGGCTAATGAGTGAGCTTTGACGAATCTCCTTTTGGAAACCGGGAAACTTGGCATGGACTTCGCGAACATTTCCTTTTTCACTCGCTTGGGTTTGTTCCTACAAAGAACGGCCCGCTTTGTTTTTGCATGGATAGATCGCTTCTTTTTTGCATGGATACCGGACATGGATCTGCCACTGGAGGGCAGTGGCGCTGATGGATTGGGTTCTTTCAACTCTCTGGTTGATCGTTGATCGACCCCTTCTTTTCCTTGCGCATACGTGTGCTTTGATATTTCTTGTTTTTTTTTCTGGTTTTTATGCCCTATTTTTATGTTTTTTAACTGATGTCGACCCTTTTCTTTGTGAACGGTGATGCCATACCCCTCTGTTTTATTTGCGCTTCCTATCATATGACCCCCCTAGTGCTATATACCTATTTACAACATATTGTTATGTCTTGACTATCTGCTGCCATCTCCATCTAGAATCTAGAACTAAATCTAGAATACTCAGCCTTGCAAAGTATAAACCCGAGATCTATTTTAGATATCTTACTACCCAACCTCTAACAATGACGCGCTTGGGTCTTAATGACTAGACCCTCAGCCCCAATACCGGGGGCTGTGAAGTTTCGGCCCCAAAAACCCCTCCCAAACCCGTCATGGGGATTCGGTACCCGGCTAACCCTCTTGTCATTTTCAGCCGCAAGAGCTCCCACGTCTCATGCTGAAACAGACATCTGCGCCCGGAAACACCAAACTAAGTAATATAAAATACTCTATTAGAAATATGCTCATGTACCGCACTCTGCGCACCCAACCTTGCACGGGTACCCTTCACCACAGCCCTCTCAGCCCATTTCGCCCGTGTCGCATCGCCCCGATCCCCTGCGCCATGCCGAGACAACACCTCGTAGATCCCCGTCTGAATCTAGACCTTGCTGGTCTGAATCTATAGATCTTCGCCTAACGATAGATGCGCGGATGGCATGTTCTTCTAGTAAGTGGCCGAGGATATGTTACACACGAGGTTAGGCAATGGCATTTGTGCGATGCTTAGTACGACATGCACGGTCGATCGTTTATCGGCTTGTCTTGATAGCTCACGCTATGCAGGGGTGATCCCTGTCTTGGGCGCACACACATATATAATACACAAGCTCTTGCGGGTGGTATTTGGGTGATTTACCGGAGGATTTGGTTTTTTTTTTCGCAGGTTGTGAAAGTCATGTGGTCACCACATGTGGTTTTTTGGGGAGGATCTAGACTGAGTGGCTGGGCCTGGCCTTTTTCGGAGAATTAACGGTTCCGAACTGTTGTATACGGAATAATATAAGACCTTTTTACAAGATAAGGCACGTCACACACACTATCCGAGGAACAGGGAGGGGAAAAGGGGGAGAATACCGAGGAGAAAGAACTATGTCGATCGCTTGTCTCAGAGATAGATAGTTCCACTCATGTTTTGTCCACATCTGAAACTATTGTCTATATGTTTAGTATAATTGTAAGCTAGACATTCTTGGGGTCAAAATGAGAAAAAAAAAACCGTAAAGAATTAAAGATACAAAAAGAGACTAAAAAAAGATTAAAAAAGAAAAAAAAAAGAAAGACAAAACCCACATTCCATAGTTGTCGGATATGTAAAACAAAGCCCAGTAAGCTAAGGAGGCTAGTGTTAAAACCGCTTCTAGCCGCTTCGAATGGCCTTCTATGCGGTTTCTCTTTTTAGATTTCAAGCCCCTTTTTTCTTCGCTGTTTTCTCTCGGTATTGCCGTAATTTTCGACGCTCAGCCACATGTGATTGTAGCGGATCACTGTTTCAGGAACTGTGGGGAATTTGGCACGTTCCATCTGAGATGCCTTTGGGAGTTTTATCTGTTCGATGGACGGAGTAGTGTGGCGTTTATTCCATTGACACTTTGTAGATATTCCGAGTGTTCGATGTATTAGTATCTAATATTGTCAGATATTGATGGTTACTTTGCTGGGCACTATATTTTACACATCTGATATATTATTGGGGTCCTATCCCTGAATCTCCCAAAGTACAGGGTGAAAATTCTAAAAGATTACTTTCTTAATTACCTAGATTAATACTATATTAACTCGTCTCGCCAATGTCCCGACGCAATGGTAACATGTTGTGCAGTGCATAGAACAAGGGGCCAAGCATCGGAAGATCAGAAAATATACTGGATTGGGAAAACAAAAGGACAGGGGATGACCCAAAATTCAAATCAAAGACTCGTGAGCTTGTTTATATCCAACAAGCCAAAGTGGATATCGTGCGTTGTTACATCTAACCCGAACACGAACACTCAATATCCACCGTGCCCTATAAGCGTTCAAAGAACCCCCTCTCAACCTCTAATTCGATACAGATGTGTCAAGCTATCAAACAAGCCGGCGTGGAGATATACCCGATCCGATCGACAATATATGATTTCTCGGCTGTAGTTACCAACTCGTTATTAGTTGCGTTCTGGAACACGCCATCGGGATAATAAGCGCGGGAAGTTGACCGGCAAGTTTGGCCCCCTGGTCAAAGAGCCGCTTTGGGGCGTAGATCCTTTAATCTCGGGTTCTAACGTGGGTAGGCGCGTTACGTGGACACCGGCACTTGGCGGAGAATTTTTGCGACAGATTGATTTTTTAGCGTAAGTATTACCGTGTTAGGGTTTGATCAGGTACCGACATTTTATATCTTAGGCCTTATTGGTAGATCATTGAAAAGCTCAAAATTCAATTCGTGCCGGCATCGCCGATGTTTCTCTAAGTGCAGCCTTTTAGATACCCAACATCTGCTGACATACCCACTGTGCGGTCTTCGTGTGAAGTGTCCAATCTCGCTCGTCTTCCAAAGTTTCGGTTGCTTCGGTCTCATACTCGCCTGGGTGACAGACCTTTCCAAGTGCCTCGAAAACAACAACTTGATCTCTCATATGTGCATCTAGACAAGCTCTCTTGCTGGTGGAAGGACTTTTCTGGTCTGGTTGGGTATTTGGGCTCTCATTTGAGATTTCCCGTATAAATCCTTCCACGCATCGGTGGACTAAATCTGCTGCTGCAGAAAATGCTAAGTTGTTTTGAGAACCACGCCGAGGATCATGGGCTGGCTGGTGTTTTTGTTTCCCCTTGTACTTTGGCCTAGGCAGGCGATCGCTGCAGATAATATCGTGGCCAATTTTGAACCCTGAGGAGGTATGGGCCACAAGAAGGATATATATGTGGCTACGGTGATATGTAACTTCCGATGTGTGGATTCTGATAGGAACTGGTGTATCTTCGGCTGATGATTTGCCGAGGGTGTCCTCTTGGAGTGGAGATGACGGAGAGTATTTGCCGAATATAGTCTGATCGAGCTTTCTGGTTTCCAGGCAGAGAGTGCGTTGGGTGACTTTTTCGATAAACTGGCGAACAGTACTCCCTGTTCCCTCTTCTGCGTCTCCGCTGATGATCGGTTGATCAGGTGCGAGTACTGTGATATCAATTTGCGTGACTTTTCCGCGTTTGTGATCCATTAAATTCATCCGCGGGAAGCTGCATAGAGCCTCGGCTGTCCGATTCCGATCTCTTTCCGATGACCCCTTAGGCTGATGTACGCCATCTGGGTTGTGTTCGGATGCGAGTGTATATACAAGAAAGGTGATTTCTCCAAGGTCAACCGGCCCCGTTGTCCAGCCACGCTTGTGAAGGACAATGGATAAAGGAGGAAGTCCAAGTTTGGCGAAATTTGGCGCGATAACTTGCGCTGCGTAGTCATATGATGGAGACCAAGTAGCGTTGGTTCCACCAGTTATGTTTACTTTCACAAAAGGAGCAGCCGCCTGCGATCCAGCATAAAGCAGATAGGGGTAGAGGGTCTCGAAGACAAGGAAGATGGCACCGGCAGTCGTGAGCTTGATGTTGTATTCGGACTTTATACTCACTTGCGACAACTCCCGGAGAGGTCCGTCTTTTGATTTGGTTGACTGAGGAAAGAAGTTCAAGTACTCAGAGCCAACCTCACCTCCCGATACTTTGCTGTCGCTAATCTCGGCTAACAGTTTCACTGCTGCTGCATGGGTTCTTTTCAACCCCTTCTTTCCCTGTCTGTTCGCGCGAACATGATCAATACTAACTGGACGGCCAGTCAATGCAGAGAGTCCGATGGCAATTCGGACTAGCTGCCCACCTCCTTCCAGGGTTCGGCCGTTCAAATAGACATGGTTGGATGAAGTGGATCGTAAGGCCATTTTAGGTAATCTGGGGGTTTTCTTTCGCACTGAGATCTTGAACTCTCTCGAGAATTGTGAACAATTAATATATTCATTTTGACCAGTCTCGCCGTTATGTCTTGAGTCAGAACGAGTCAGACCAGAAATGAGGCTGAGGTGCATCTTGGCGTGAGTCACCATTTTAGGGGCTAACCCTTAAAAGTTTAGATCTTGTCCCTAAGGGTGACTATATTGCTATTGGCTTGAATTTGGAGACATTAAACCCGATGAGCTGAAATTGCCATGAAGTTGATGAAATGGAAGTTGCTAAGTTATTTCCAGGAGGGCACCTTCCGTTGGTGATGTACTTCCTTCCAGCACGAGTACTTCCAGTCCGAATATCTTAAATCTTCTCTATTCAAACTCTTCCTCTCTAAATCCCTTCTCTCAATACTTCTGTAGTTATACTCCCTGCAGACATTTTCGTAACATGTTTTCCTCTACATCCAATACACGCAGCCTAAGAAGGTCCATGTCCACCCGCTCAATACGAAAACCCAGACGACCAGCCCCAGAGATCCCCGATGCTGCTACACAGCATGCGGCCGCTGCAGCTGCAGCCTCCCGGGCAATGCGCTCTAGCCAAAGCTCATCTCAGGATTCGAAAAACCCATACGAACGACTAGGTGGCCCAGGAAATGTTGCCATCCCTCGGAGGCGTCCCGGATCGAGCCTTCGGAGCACTGAAGATAGTATATCAACCGGCCAGGGAGACTTGACAAAATTTCCAGCCACTCGTCGGTCCAAGGAACTGACCGGTGTATCGACCCGAACCCATTGCTTCGATGACCCTGCCGCCCTTCCGCCAATCACAGAGCTCAACGGATTTGATGGGCGGGACAGCTCAGTGCCCTCTTCATATCGCCGATTGCGCAAGGCCAAGTCAATGTTCTCGACCAGACAGCGAACTTCGCAGACCCCGTATGGAGTCCCTTCGATCCCTTGCGGTGATCCCCTTGATCCAGATCGCAGTCCTGGATTTCAGCTGCCACGAACAATGAGACGATCTATGTCTTTTCTCCGAGGAGGTTATCAATCCCCACAAGTTGATCCAACTGCTAGGGGTCGCGATGCGGCTATTCAGCTTGCGCGTAGCCAATTTTCACGGGATTCTAACAGGGAAGGTGTTCAGGCTCGACGGTCATCTTTCTTTCTCAGACACAAGAAGGAGCACAGGCCATTTCGAAAATCATTCCGGGCGACAAGTGAATGTGGCGTCGATGCCTCTCCCGAGTGCTCTAAATCTCGGTCTTTTTCAAGTTCCATCAAAAATAAATTCAGGCGTGTGTTTGGGTTTTCCAAGGTCGCGGATCAACAACCTGCGCCACGTGGTAACCCAAATGGCGCTGAGGTCTCTGAGGTAGCTCCGATTGGGAAAGACACGGAAGAATGCTCTCCTCGCAGATTGACAGCCATTGAAGACGGCATTGATTCCAACTACTTCCAGTCAATGCCCCAGTCCCCCAGCTGCGATAGTATCTGCACTTCCAAGTCGCGCGTTACCAGTTGGGCTGATTCAACTATGTCAAACACAGTTACAACCCGGAAGACAGGGCATCGCAAATCTCTCTCCTTGATTAGAGAGGATGGGGACCTGGACCAGCAACTACCAAGGACTCCTACAATGGATGATACGGAAAATCAATCTCCTTTGGGCGTGAGAGCAAGCACCCCTAAAATTAGCATTATTGACAGTCAAGATTTGTACACAGCTTTGATGAAACAGATGGGCCGGAATTCCCTGTCTGATCCCAACGAGGAGATGGTCTTTGGCAATGTGCCGCAGCATCGCGTGGTTCCAGAACGGACGAGTTCTGTCTACTCCCAACATGGCAAACGGACTATCCGCCATGTCCCAAGCCAAGAATCCTCGACCTCACCCGGTTCATTCGCAACAGCGCGTGGTGGTGATCAATCCAGTCCAAGGAAGTATCCGCGCTCAGTTAGGTCGATGCAAGTTTCTCGGGGCATGCCACCTCGGGCAAATCAACATATGACTGCTGTTTCAGACAAGATGTCGCCACAATCAACGTATGGTTTGAGTGAGGAATCTGATGAGGACAGTGGTAGCGTTATTGTTTCTCGCCTTCGGGCCTCGAAAAGGGATATTATTTCCCCAAGTATATATTCTCGGACCGCCAGTGGCAACACCTTACCAAAATCTGACAATGCCGACACGGGCGTTCATGATGAACCAGGAACAGCGACTATATTCACCCCACAGAGGACAACATACAGGTCACGCAAACGTACCAACCGGGCTTCATCTCCCGCGTCTCATGTAAATCCCAGTGCAGATTGGCAGCAATGGATGAGCTCACAGATTGAACGAATTGAGCAAGCAAGCCCCACAAGGGAACACATCAGGGAAGATGCACAATACCAGGATGAGGATGAATACTTGACCAGCATAGCTCGACGAGCTCCTATCGCTGTCTTTGCTCCCGCTTCGGCAACCCTGCCGAAGGTTCCAGACAACCAAAGTACCACCGAGCGCAAATCTTCGGTTGAGAATAGAGTCCCGTCACAGAGCAACTTCTCCCGTCCGTTAATCCCGGCTTCCGGCATGCGAACCACGTTGCCATTGCAGACAACTAAGTCGGAAAATACGGCGCAGATTCATGCTAACTCATTGGTCATGGATATCAATGCTAGGTCTGATGAAAACACCTCACCTAAGCCCATCCCCATTTCTTGCAATCAAGAACCGTCGCCAATCCGACTGAGATCCGGAAATATGCAGCCACCAGAGTCCCCAACTCCCAAGGGAGTGAGATCCAAGCGGTCCTGGACCAAAGAGCAGCAGCGGCGCTATTCAGCCAGGCGTGCTCCGATTGCCCAAGATAGCAGGATCAATCATTTCCGGTCCATGCGCACCCAGCGTGGCCGTGCAAACAATGAAAATGCGAGGGAGCAGGCTGAGTACAATGACATTATGGACAGCTACAGCCAAATTCAGGACATTCATTCCACGATCTCTAGCAAGCGCATGGTGGATCTGTTCTTAGACAGTCGCCGTCGACAAATGGGTGAAGTCACAGACAACGATGCAACCACAGAGGCTTTTCTTTGAACGTGAGGGACTGACTTTTTGCCATTGGAATACCTTGTGGGCTTTGCGTTTTCTTGCTCTGTCGTATTCTTTCGAAGACCACTCACTCACTCATTCACTCATCCATCACTTTTGGGATATGTATTCTATACTAAAAGCTCCTGGTCAGAGTTGGGCGGTTTGTTTATTTGATATGGAAGAATGGAAAAGGTTATTGTTATCTTTATTATTTCCACTCAATAAAAAAAATTCCCTCATTCATTGAATACTCACCCAGTCTAATGAGATATAGGAAAGAAGGTGAAAGAGCCAAAAAAGAAATCTCTCCCTCGGGGAATCGAACCCCGGTCTCCCGCGCTTATCGGTTTTAATGACAAGCGGAAATCATCACCACTAGACCAAGGAAGATGTTGATCGAGTTACTGCTCGACCATTGGCTGGTTGATATATAAATTGGGGCTGTTTTACCTTATGACCGAATCTCCCGACCGCAGTAGTCAAAAGCAAAAAAATTGTAAGCTTCAACAATTTATATGGATAAATGTTAAAAGTAACTCCTTTTCCATTCTAATGTGTCCATAGATGACCTTTGATGTGTTCACGAGCGAAACAAAAAGGTTGGAGTAAAGCGCATGAATCTCGATATATATATTTGTCGACTTGTGCTGGTGATAGCCACAGATGTACTCATGAATTATTTGAGCAACGCAGATTATACTTTTTTGATGTAGCCATCTGCTATTATATACATATTATACAATATTTCTTCCACTATATATCACTTCACATGAATGAATTCACGCAGAAAGTCCTCCCAGGGAGATAAACTGCAGCATATATATTCAAGTTTTGAAATAGTTCGTCCAGCCACTAATATCCACGCGTGGAATTAAGTAGATAAATGCGTGTTATAGCTATGTGGGTATTTCCCGTGTGGGTATTCGCCGTGTAGGTATTGCCCGTGTGGATATTAGTATAGACCAAAGGCAATGTAGGTATTATCCGAGTAATTAATAGCCATGTAGGTATACCCCTTGTAGGTATTACCCACATATAAGAGGACAGAAATGTGCTTCTGCGTAAATCGAGGGACATAACACATTTATCAAACAATGGATATCTTCCTAGACATTCTAGATACATTGATCCTCGATCGGTGCTATGCATTACTTTCGCCGGACCCAACAGCAATCTCCAAAAATGACAATCTAGCCAGTGCCAATTTGAACCGACATGTTGGGCTTTATTACCCCATGCAGCCTTCAAAATGGGCAGAGGCAAGTCTTTGGAAGAGAGATGACATTGCCAGGCAAGCACTGTCGTTATACTTGATTATATGGTGAGCTTTCCAAACAGATGTACAGCAGTACAGCAACTGAGATACGCAACAGGCTTTTTGCAATGATAACGTACCTCCTCGGTAGTCTCCTACTATACCACACACTATTCGACAAAAGACTACTCCAACACCCGCGATTCCTCCCAAACCAGATCAAACTCGAGATCAACCAAGCCATCTCCGCAATCCCCGTGATGGCTCTCCTCACCGTTCCCTTTTTCCTAGCAGAGATCAGGGGATGGTCGAAGTTATATGATTTCACCACTGACTCTCCTTTCTTCGGATATACCTTATTGCAATACCCATTGTTCATCTGCTTTACAGACAGCGGCATTTACTGGATACACCGTGCTTTGCATCACCCCCGCATCTACCGCTGGCTTCACAAACCGCACCATAGGTGGGCTGTACCGACGCCGTTCGCCAGCTATGCATTTCATCCTTTGGACGGATGGTCACAAAGTCTGCCTTACCATATTTACCCGTTGATTTTTCCGCTGCAGAAAGGTGCATATATGGGGCTGTTCATCTTTGTCACAATGTGGACGGTGCTGATCCGTGAGTTTTCTGGTCTCCATGGTCTGATAGTTGGATAACTTACATTAATTCGTACAGACGATGCCGAGTACATGCCGACATCGGAGATAATTAACGGCGCGTCTTGTCATACGATGCATCACTTGTACTTCAACTACAATTATGGCCAGTTTACAACGGCATGGGATCGTCTCGCAGGGACATACCGAAAACCCAAGGGTGATAGCTTTATGGAAGGCCAGTCAACGGATGGGAAAGAGAAACTTGCAGAGAAGTGTGATTGAAAAGAGGACGTCCAAAGTTTACGGGAAAGGCAGCTGTTTCTGGCCCCCAAAGCGGTCTTTTTGTCAATTTCACAGGTCCTCATATTCTAGTTATAAACAGAATGATTCCCCAGTCAGTATGCTACATTCCATGAGACTCTCTTCGTGGGTCCCCTATCTTGTCGGTCCTCGGGGAATACTAGCTCGAGTCTCTGGTGCTTCTCGACCTCTCTCACTGTGACAAGTGTCTGGAGAGTTTCGGTTCTGCTTATTCCCCCACTTGTGTTGTCCATCGAGGGAGTAGGCATTGAGTTTACCGCTAGAGCAACAAGCTCAGAAATGGACGACCAAGCCATAGAGCTATGACCAGTGAGAAAAGTGTATAATACGTAGACTGATACGTAGACACAATACAGTACTAGAACAGCCACTGAGAGTTTCACTGGGGTTCCATCCATAGACCATGCATAGCCTTTCGAGCTTCCCTGAAAGACAAATACTCGTCCAGGTGGTCCTTTCGCTTCTGCATACTCGCTCTGCGAGCCGGTGCGCATCCAGAGGGTTTCTTTTGCTTTGCCGAGCTCCTGCCATTGTTCAAATGCTCCTGCCGAGTGAGCCATACCATTTGCAACGAGAGAAGAAATAAGAGCCTCATGCATATATGGCCTCCCTATGGGGTAAGAACCTTGAGGGACCATTCGATAAGTGCCATTTTCAGGACAGATATTGTCTGTTATCGGCAGAGCACGAAGCAAATTATCCACGACAGTTCGATCTTGTATGCTTGTCATTTGGTCGAGGCTATTGAGCCAGTTTTTGGAAACTTGGACCAAAGCATTATTCCATTCTAGTCTTTCCGTGAATGATGTGGTTGAGAGTGCATTCCTTATATCCCCAGACACCGAATTGAGTCCGTTTGAGGTAATCTCCACCTGGGATATCGCATTTGCCCACTGAGTTCCAACGACACATGCCGATGTAGTCAGGAATGTCCGACTGGAATTGCAGAGCTCTGGTTGCACCACTATTACCCCGAGACCATTTGGATGCGCTGAACCGAGAGGTATGTCGTCAATCCGAATCACTCTGCCCCGCTGGTTTGAGGCCGTTTCGTCCCAAATTTGTTGTCGTGTGATTCCCGTGTAGTTTACTAGGTCGACTCGGTTGTAAGAATCTTCACAAAACTTATCGCAGCCAGCGATGAATGACGTGGGAAATTCAATTGGACGGGTATCATTGCTGTCTGATATAGTGTTGAGGTGACAGTAGGTGCTGACATATGGTTGTAGAGTCTCAATGCTAGCATTTATTGTCATTTGCTCTGAATATGGCGCCATAAACTGTTGTGCGGCAGTAGACAAGGAGACAGCTATCGGGACATGCTGTATCGTTGCAAATGTGCTGTTTGGCGCATATTGTACGTATAGTGTTCGAGCCACTTGATTAACACCAGGGAGGTCTCCCCACCAAGGAGTTACCGTAGGAACTGACACGGAATATAATTGTGGCATGGCCCAGGATAACCTTCCGTAGTTGTCACCCAGGTTGGTCGACACAGGCTGTAATCCAGTCCTTATTTGTTTGTCTTCGCTTACTGCTGGAAGGCCGCGAAGATACTCCCAGCCTCCAGCAAGAGAAAGTTCATTCCCTACAATAGATAAATTAGATCAAAAGACTACGTACACCTATGCGTGGAAACTCACTCGTAGAAACTTGGCTATCCAAGCGCAGCCCAGGGAGACTTAGAGTTGCCGGAAAGAGATTCTGATCGGATAGGTTCAAGGCTAGTCGCGACTGCTGAAGCTTAAAGTCGGCCAGTCGCGGCTGCATCGCAATAGCGCTTGAAGGACCTACCGTCGATGCAAGCAGTACATTGAATGGAATCAAGCAAATGAAGCCGATATGTACAAGTTTCGGTAATCTCTTAGTGGTAACGGTAGCCCAAAAGTCTTTAGACCACAAAATACTCAATTGAGAAACTTGTAAAGTCGCAAAGATAGCGCCAAACGGGATTGCAGTCTCTTGGGTAAGCATACGTTGAAGGTAAGCCACCATAATCGTGAGAATAGACCCTTGCATTAGAGCTTCGTGTACCTTCGAGACGAATTGAAGGAGGTGAAGTATTGACCCGTTGCTGCCATAGAAACGAGTTCGGATATTGAGTATGATCAAAAAAAGGGCAGACCCTAATGGGACTAGGTGGAAAAGCAGGAAGAGAGAAAAGGCTCTGAGCCTATCCCGACGTAAGATTACTTTGGGTTTTCCATGCTTTCACCTGGGTTTTTGACAAGAGGTTTCGACAGAACTTGGCTGTCATGGTCGTCACGAAGTGCTTCTGCGGAATCGCTGGTGTGCAACGGCTGTAGCTGGATCTCTGCTGCATTGTTAGGATTATGATGCCGCATCACGACTGCCGTATAAGAATTATAAATTGAGAGCTGAGTTTTGTCTGGCTTCGTGAGACCCGTGTTTGCCAAGAGACAGGCGCTGTCCAATTTAAATTGTCACATCCCAAAAGGGTTAGTGATTCTGCCGCTATTGGCTGTTCAAGACTTCTAGCATCTCTCCCTAAGCGATGAAGACCCGATGAAAAAATTTCATCTCATTGGAGGGCCGAAGCAAAATTACATCCAAATGTAGCGATGGTAAAAACCGTTTACAAAAAGCTCAAGGAAAGCAAGTTTTAGGCGTTACTTACACCGCAGGAAGAATGACTTACCCGTGTGATGCTCGGCCTTTTCCTGCCATTTTTTTGTCGTCGACCTTGAGAACCGAGGCGGAGAAAATATCTGAAAGACATCTAAACGAATACCTGAAGAAAACCTGTGCTTTCATTGGTCATGTACCAGTAGTCGAAGTTGTATTGATCGCATCTAGGAGATTCCTCTCTAATTCTCTCTTTATAGTTACATATCGGAGAATTTTTCCCTCATGTGCTTCATCAGCTTGACTTTGCAGCAATTCGTTGAAACACCGCCGATGGGTCCAGGAAGGTCTCTGCCCGATAGCATTTCACACGTCCAGTATCATCCCTCCGGACAAAGAACACAGCAAAACCGGGGATGGTGATTTCGTCTGTGTCTAGGCTGTCACCTTTGATGAGATATCGGATAGTTGCTGCTTGATAGATACGAGGGGCGACGTAATCGAAGTAGCGGATTTCGTGAGTCATCATATCGAGTTGACCGAGGACAGTCCTAAACATCTGCCGTACATCGCTGCCCTTAATCACAGGGTTATTCGAATATTGCATCTCCACGTCGTCGGTCATGAATTCGCTAAGCCATCGATCGGCGTCAAGGGTAGCACTCGCCCGATGGAACTGAGTATCGCTATAAATTAGTTGTACTGCAGCTCTCTGGAAGAGAATGCCTTACCTCTTCTAGCCACTTCAACACGGCGCCATTGTCAAGTTCAGGGCCAGCTGACATTATGAAAATGAAGCAACGAGGGTTGAGAGTACGGGATCTTCTGGGATATGAAATGAGATGGGAATTTCGAAACCCGAAGATATAGTTATATAACTATTAAATATTGCTTATAAATTCAACTTCGACTAGCTATCTAGGCAGGGTCGCATCTCATAAATCCCCGAGAACATAAACACCTTACCAAGGAGGTATGGAGATGCTTCCCAAAAAGGAAAACAGATACTTCCTATTAGGGAATGGCAGACGCACTTGACCATTTACGGTTAGTGTGACAAAACATTGACCAATCATCTACTTGGAAGCAAGGACTGGGGTAAATTACCAAATGTCCCAACTTTCAACGGCGCGAGGGCTAGTTATGAGGTCTAATTATAGCGGCATTCTGAGAATGTCAAATGTAGGCCGACTCCCAAAGTAGATAGATGTCATGATTACCATGGCATTTGCCAGTAGTTAAAGTTTTCAGACTTTTTTTTGGATCAAGTCCGATTCAGTTTTTAAAACAAGTGAAAACGAGAATCTTACGGGCCCATCTCAAGCATCAAAAATTAAACACCAAGATTCAAACTTGCCATCCTCTTCACCCCAGAACTCACCTACTAAGCATACACCTTCCAACCCAACTAATATGTTGATAGATGGCGAAAAGACTGAAACTGAAATCAAGCTGGAAAAAAATGGAAACATCAACGATCTCCAGCGATATCGACATATAACTTGTCGCAATAATGCCGTACATCCTGAAGTCTCATGCGAACTTCTTGATATAGAGGAAGACCTCCGAGAGGTTGTTCAAGAAGAGATATCTATCAAAGAAGGAACCGCTACAGGAACCGATGCTCAAGAAAGACTTCGTATCTTGAATACGCAATACTGGGTCTTGGCTCAGATGTGGTGGTACTGTCGTTCCAATCTAGAAGATGTTCAATTAAGGGGCTTTGACCTTTGGCGATCACATCCTCGGTGGTATATGCATCGTATGCTCGTCGAGGAATGTGCGGGTCGGCAAGGATGCTGTGCCCGTGAATGTGGCTGCTGTATTAACCGCAACATACCACCGTCACGGAGTCTGGGCATTGGACATTGTACGCTCGAATGTGCATGTTGTCGGAAAGCGAGAGGCTTTGAAGTTTCTCCCACTCAGAAGAAAGCATTGAAGAAACAATTCAAGAACAACGCCGAGAAACGGAGCTACCGTATAACCAGATACCGACAAGTTTCGATTTGGGGGCTCGTCGGCGATAGCCGGGAGGAACCATTTAACATGATTGATGCGCCGCCGAGCTACGATCAGATTGAAAAGAAGGGCATGAAGGGATTGATTGACTAGGTCCCATTCAAGATTTGAAGTTGGAAACTTGAGTTATTCTTATCATAGCTGTATTGTTATTGTGGTTATCATTATTCCAGGACCCTTTTACCCTATTATTTAAAATCGAAAAATCAAAGCCTTTTGGCCGTTTCACAAAATATTTGCACATATTACTCTGTAGAAGCCTTGGTGTTGAGGAAGTCCCTCGGGGTTCAGGTGTAAAGCTCATTTCTTCAGTAGTTTGGTCTCTTCATCTTCATCATCAATTCCTAAGTCTCTGTATCTTCCATATTAGTATTGCACTTTACCTTCTAACCACCGTCTAAGGCTTCTTCTAAAGCATTTTCTTTTTTCATCTGGAGATACTCGTTTGCCTTGTGTAACGCTAAGACAAGATACCCTTTTGTATATCAAACTTTTGCGCCTGCCGAACGGACAATGTTTCATTTGTTTCATTAATATTTTACATAAATACCATAAGAGCCCCAAGACATATAAAACTGGTCATCCAACCAACAGAGACAACGCGCAGGCCAGAATTCGGTACCCATGCAACAAGCGGCTGATCAGGCTGCCGCAGATTCAACTTTTCCGTGGAATTGTCCCCGTCAAACACACCCGAAAAGCTCACGCGAAATTCAGCGGACAGTTGATGCTTCTCGCTTGTCACTGCCTTTCCGCTCCCCGAAAGCGTCAACTCGAACGTCGTATTCGTAAAGGAGCCATTCATCGCTAACTGTTCCGGGGGAGTATTGAGCAAGTAACTCAGATCATTTGAACATATCCGCCCAGGGAACCTAAGAAGCCATTGGGTGTCATGATCAAGTTTATCGGGCATTGTCGCGTTAAAGTGCACCCTGTCCTGGTCCTGGTCCCGGTCCCCCTGAGCGAGAGTGGGGGCCTCGGAGATAGTCATATTCATCACGTCCATAGCCTCGTACGACCGCGCATCAAAATCAGTCCATCCATAGGTCGTCGTAATCCTGAAAAGGTCCGGGTAACCGGGACAAGCAATCTGACTCTCATCCCACTGAATATAGCTATACGAGTCCGAAATTTTGTCCAACGACCTGCGCGATTCCCATGCTTTGAACCCTATAATTATCGGGTTGGTCGGGCCAACGGGGTACGGTGCCTGCGGGCCAATCCAGACATACCCGAGCATCTGTATGGTATTCTCGGCATCGTCCTTGTACCGGTAGCATGTTTCACCCTCAGTGATGGTGTAATGGAGAGAGGCTTCCCCCTTAAAGAAGGACCCATCGTAGCTTGTATCTCGGCCCGAGATACCGCCAGAGGTGTAGTTGTCTGCATTGTTGGGAATCAGGTCCCACTTCCAGATCGTTGGCTGTTTTGGCGTGGCGCAGGAGTCGGTGCTGCCGCCTCCACTATTTTCGCCGGAGTCATAGTTGTCTGAATCTCCGCTTCCATCACCTCGCCTTCCCTGGACGCCTGGTGTTAATGTAGAGAAAAGGAGATACGGTAGAAATGGGATCCAAGTGTGCATGGCGATGAGTGCTCTGTACCCCGTCTCTTCTCTTAGTCTCAGTTAAGGTCGTTTCTTTCTTTCTTTCTTTCTTTTTTTTTTTTTAAAAAAAAGGGAGCAAGGTAAAAAGATAGAAAAGTGACCCTCTTCGAGTTTTCCAACCCGCGGAAAGATGTGACGCTAGGCAAACAGCTTGCCCGCTGCCAAGGCGTTAACGCGACCAGAACGCCATTTATTCTCGTATTTCGCTAATTAAAGCTGTTTCTAGGGTTTGTCCCACCTTATCTGACTGTGTCTTCTGGGAATTGGGTGCTGTGAGTGGAGCATGTTGATAGAGGGAGCAGAGAGAAAAAAATGTTAATTCTCTCCAAACGAGCAGGAAGCTAAATAGCTACATATGTTGTACATCAGACCTGTTATCCTAGGCACCAAGCATGTGATACCACAACACATGTTTCCACCGAAGAATAGACCAGTGCCTGGCCAAACCGTTGGGGCTGTTTGCATTTGCCAAGTACTGTACTAATGACATCTACTCCTGGATTCCCTCAACAACACTTCTCTTTATATCGTGACCTAGAGAAAGAAGCTACTTACTCTACATCGATTCGTGTCTTTTTCTTTTCTTTTAATGATCTTTTACTTGAAGCGGGCATAAACTCTAAGTGAGTCGGTCACTATCACCCCGGTCTTCAGACTTTCTTTCACCTATAAAATTCCTGGGTTTGTCAGATTTACGCTTTTGATAGACAGCATCAAGGTTAAGTATTTCACACAGCTCGCTTGGGATATCAATGAGAAGACTTGCCTAGATCATGAATCCTACGAGAGCGCTGGAATAGAAGCAAGCTGACTTAATGATAGATTTATAGAAGCTAAAGATAAAACTGCTTGCTACCATGAAGCCATTTTACGTGTTTCATGCGGACAAAGAGAGAGGTCTGACCATACTGTAGACAACCTGGCAGCCCTGGAGGTCTGACTGCATCACCGACTTCAAGCTGCCATGAAGAACTTCCAGGTCGCATCAGGGGCCAAAGAGCTCTGAACACCCAGGGGCGCACCAACGTGTCCGCCGTCATACGCAATGAATGAAACTGGCTTGGAGCATCCTTGGGCGTCCGATCGAACAGAACCACCACTTCCAGGTGCAGGCTTGCCAACACTTCCTGGCTGACACTTGTTGTTCTGAAGGAACTTGTTCGCCAGACCAACACCACCATCAAATGGCAGAACTGAATCGCTGATGCCATGAATTCCCAAATAAGCAATAGGATCGTGGCCACCTTCACATCCACTAATCACACCACCACTCAACACACTCACGGCCCTGAACTCCTTTGCGCGGGAACAAGCAAGCGCATAGCTCATTCCACCGCCCCAGCTGAAGCCAGTCGCGAAGCGAGAGCTCTGATCCACACAGAGGTCGCCCTCGACTTGCTTGATAATGGCGTCGATGAAGGCCACATCTTCGCCATTGACGTTAGCCCATCCAGCAGACTTGCCGTTGGGTGCTACAAAGATTGCGCTGCCCTGGGCTCGGCTTTCAAGACCGTACCAAGGTTGAATGCTGTCACCGTTGACGACATTGTTCATGTTTCCGCCTCGCCAATGAAGGCCGAAGACGAGGTGATGCGGCTTGGATGAATCGTAGTTGGCCGGGACTTTGAGGGTGTACTCGCGGCCATTGATATTGTGTACTCCATTGTTGAGAGTTGGTTGTTTGCCGCAGCCCGGGGATGCGGCGGCATCGGCAGAGGCCAAAAGCCCCAGGGCTAGAAGGGTAGGAAGGAACATCATCTTCAACGAAAAAAGTGATATGACAGATGAGGGATTCTTTCTATCAAGTGAAAGTTTGGAAGGATGTCTTGATACTCAGTATTGATCGTAGACAAGTGAGACTGGGATTCATGGTCAAATACTGGGTTTATATAGTATCTGAAAGTGGTGATTTTAGCCGGCAACGCGACCTAGGAATTGCCGAAGATTGAGCTCTCCCACGAGCAGTGTCCAGTCTAATACATTGACAGCTTTGTTTAGACCCTTCCCGGGTAATGATGTGCAGCGACTATGAATAACCGTCACGGATTGATATTGTATGGAGTGGATGGTAAGCAAAGATGCGGGAAATGTAGACCCTGTTTCTGCAACCGGAGAATTTCCGAAAGGGGATATATACTATTCAGGGTCCAGATCGCAGCCCTGCTTCAGATCCCTGCCCTGCTTGATGAATGGGAATATGTGATTGGAGCTGGGGTGGCCAAGCATCTCAAGTGTTCCAAATAAACAGCCCTAAGCAAGCCTCCAACTGTCCCTTGTTTCTAAAAGCAGACGCATATTCCTATTCAGGCTATATTCTGACACACTTTGTAACAGACTAAAGTGACTAAAAGCCTAGTTCACTACGCCAAGACCTTTCACTTGCTAATTAACCAATCAGATCGCTTCCCTCTTTGTGAAACACATCTAAACACTAATACGCCAAGCCTCTACCGGCAAGTGGGACTATAATTTCTACCGACATTCATTTCTTCTTGCGTAGGGAGGCTGTCAAGTACATAGCTCTGGTTTACAACTATTATGGTATATCTAGATACTATTCAGATTTTGCCCAGGAATTACTACAAGAATTACTACAAGAATTCTCTGCCCTAGGGCTCAGCAGCTAGCCTTCACCAAGGCAGCTTTAGGGCATGTCTTAAATATCCTTCCAAGGTTCTAAAGTAACGCCTTTGTCATTCCTGACAAATTACCGTAGACAGCCTTGTCGCCGAGGGTATCCATTAGATTTGTTTCATAATAAAACCTCGGCATCGTGCCACTAACCACTGAGATGCGTGAGAGATCAGAAAGTATATAAGTACGACATGCTTCCTTCACTGATGGCTTCAACACAGTCACTTCGAGCATTCCCTTTCTTTCAATTCTAGCTCAGTTATTTTCTTTCTTTGGGCCGGTCCCTCAATCCATTCTTTACACAAACCAACCAGTTCTTTCATTTTCAAGATGAAGTTCTCCCTTATTGCTCTCGCAGCCATTGCTCCAATGGTCTCGGCCCATTACTTCTTCGACACTCTCATCATTGATGGCCAGGAAGCCCCTGGCTCTGTCCGGTCCAACACTCGTCCCGCCAAGTACAATCCGACCAAATGGATCAACACCCGCGACGACATGACCCCGGATATGACTGACTTCCGCTGCAACAAGGGAGCTTTCACCTTCGCTGGCCAGACCAATACCGTGGAGGTCAAGGCCGGATCCAAGGTTGCGATGAAGCTTGCCGTTGGTGCTAAATTCCAGCACCCCGGTCCTGCCCAAGTGTACATGTCCTTGGCCCCTGGCGCGGCCAAGGAGTACCAGGGCGAGGGCGACTGGTTCAAGATCCACCAAGAGGGTATTTGCGACAAGAACAAGGACATCAAGACGAATGCCTGGTGCACCTGGGATAAGGATCGTATTGAGTTCACGATTCCTGCCGGTGTGCCTGATGGCGAGTATCTGCTTCGTCCGGAGCACATTGGTATGTCTATTACACCATTTTTATTAGCAAATAATACTAATCTCCGGAACAGGTGTCCACGGTGCTCACGATGGTCAGGCTGAATTTTACTACGGGTAAGTAGAACGTTCTTATGTTTGTGCTATTTTATGAATGAATACTAATAGATCTTTTAGCTGCGCTCAAATCAAGGTTGTCGGTGGTGGCAATGGAACTCCCGGACCTACGATCAAATTCCCCGGTGGTTACAAGAAAGATGACCCCTCGTTCAACTTCAGCATCTGGAATGGCTACAAAGACTACCCCCTGCCTGGCCCGGCCATCTGGACTGGTGCATCGGGCTCTACCCCTGCTCAGGTGCCTAACGTCGGTGCTGCAGCTCCCGCCAACGTTCCTACTTCCGATGAGGAAGAAGAGAACATGTGCGCAGACCACCATTGGCGTGCGCACCCTCGTGCCTTTAAGCACTAAATTAGTAGACTCATTTCAGGTTGATCGTTGTTGTGTTGGGGGTGGATTTTGATAATTGTTGGGCCTAACGAAGCCCATGCTATTGGTTCTTGCTTGCCAGGCCTTCTCTATCATTCATAGCTATGCTATATGAGATTGCTGCATAGTTCTTAGAGAGTGAATCGCGCCACTTTGTTTCGAGTTTGTCGATCATCTTTATACAATGTGTGGTAGCTTGATAATAGCATTTACTCTTTGACTGTTGTGATTTATGGACTTCAATTTTGAATTACACAGAAGTAACAAGACTCCATTCCCCATATACTCCGTATAGATATTAGCGGGTATAAAAGTGGGTATACGGCGCAGTGGGATGATATCATTGGCTAAATCTCGAAATGATCCCAATCTGTGCTCTTAACTATCGGTTTCCAAGTACGAGCTCCTTGCATCACTAATTTGGACCTGTTCTAATTGGTTCCAAAGGCTAGACAGGTCTAAACCGGTAAAAGAATAATCGATCGTATTCGATACGGAATTGCAAAATGGGGAAAAATAGAGACTTACCCCGCCTTGGGCATTTTGAAACGGCTAAACCATTTGGCAGGCTATATTGCTGTACAATGAAGTGCATCTTCTTCCATATAAAATTGTTTTGTAGACAGTTGGGGGCTGTAGGGAATGTAGCCTGCAGTGTGTAATAAAGTGACATACATACTCTGTACATAAGCAGTGGATGTTATGTTGCAGAGCAGACATTTTATTATTCTTCCCACCTTAGGCTGATCAGATCGCACCTATTTTCAAAAAGCTGGGGTAGGTCACGAGCCTTGCTACCCCACAGAGCTAAGAGAAGTATCAAAATAACATAATATATGTTCATTAACCCCCTGACGCTACGGTGCGCTTTGACTAAAAGCGAGATCACCGCCAACCCCACACCTTTGAAACATGTCACACGTCAATAAATATTGATCACCCCTCAGCGTTGACTACACTAAAGTTAGCCTCGGTGCGAACCACCGGCAGTATTTAGCCGGCAGATGTGAGCGCTAAAAACCTTCGATAACCTCGGAAGGAGACAGCAGTCATCGATACCCTTCGTGGGCTACACAAATTCTACGAATTATCTATGGATTCTGCGAATCACAACAAAACTCAATTCTGAAGTTTATCTCGAAACCAGTATCAACTATCGAAGGTGGGTAACATATTGGTTTAGTTTAATTGGGTTACCTTTACATATGGATATATTCATACTGTAAACGGCGGACCTGTGAATCACTACATCGGGTTAGTTTTGCCTTTTTGGGTTTAGCGCCCCAATACGCTGTCAACCAACCTTCAATGCCGACATAAAAGACCCGTCTCGGCGTCCTGTTCTCTTCTGCACCTTCGGCACAACAGGACGCTAACCCCACGCGTCCGCCACTCGAACCCAATAATCGTTCGGACAGTGGGTCAAGTGATCAGCTTATGCTCTCGCCACAGGTCGATGGCACGGGAGATTCAGTGTATACCGTCCCATTGACCAGTCCGTTCAGCGTTGGGACATTGAATATTTCCCGCACAACGGAAACGAAGATGATGGCTCAGCTGTTATTGTGTCAATTGCAAAATTTACATCAGGTATGCTAGGGTCTTGATCGACGGGTCCAGGGTGCTGAGAATATGCGGGGAGAGAAGAACCTATGTGCAGGGTCCAATGTGCAGCTCCTAGAGAAGGTGGGAGAATTGCAACGTGTGTTGGCGGCGGTCTGTACGCAGACACCGATGTAGAATATGTGTGCGACTTTTCAAGAAACAGGAGTGGCATATTGATGATCTGGTCTTTAGTCTCCAGGCTTCCTCTTTATAACTTTCTTCTTCTTTTAGGCTGTAGTCATGGTCTCAATCGTTGGCTATCTGCCCCGGATTCGGACGCCTTTTGGCCACCTGCGCAAACCCGTTTCATTTCATTCCTGACAAAGCCGCGGTCAATCCTGGACACACTCCAGTTAGCCAAGACGAGCGTGGGAAAAGAGGGACTCGGCACAACGAAAGTGCGTTGGCGAGGGCTATCTCGTGTTCTGGCTGGGTTTAGCACCGCTCGCGTTGGCTGTGACTTGGCTGTGACTTGGCTGTGACTACTCATATGATGAAGACGCCGAGATCGAACCCCCATTTAGACTGTCTGCTTCTGCTCATGGAATAAGACTCAGCCGCAATGGCGGCCTCACTGCGCAAGCTCATGGGACCAAGGCATTTTGGGGCGAGGAACAACGGGAGATGAACTCAAGTAAGCTCCATGTGGCCTTGGAACTACGCGAGAGACACCTACGGCAGCGATGGAGGTGTCGAATCGAATTTGGTGGCTATACTTTCCACTGCAAGCAAAGCTAGCTAGGTAGAGCAAGGATGACAGGTATATATCTCTTCAACCTCCTACTCCCACTTTCTCCTTTCTCCACTATATCCATGGACAGCTCGTCCTTCTAGTATAACAGCGACACAAAACTGGGAACAGTAACAGCAAGTATGACTTTCTGAAGCAGCTGACCGGCTCTTCCTCTCGGACAACGTTAGCGTGAAGATCTCCGCAAATAGTTCTTCCAGTTGCTCCCTTGTGATTCCTCAGAGGGAGTTGCATATCTTGGCGGCAAGTCAACGATGAGATCCAAAGGGTTTTCGTAACTACCGGCCATCAACCCTAACAGAGAAGCGGTCTTTATTCGATTGTAATACCATGCACGGATAGATTTGTAATCAAGTTTAAAGGCCTCCCGGATTTGGGATTTCTGCTCAGGGTCGAGTGCAAACCCCCGGGCTCTCTCGCAACAAGAACATTCCACGGTACAATGACCAACTGCAAATTTCCGTTCTGACTGGCGATGAGAACAGCATCCACAGTCTCTACCACAACAGCCTCCTCTTCCTATGCAATCTTCCACAAGTACTTGATGCATGTACCATTTTGGCTGTGAGCGCCAGAAATCGATACCTCTGGTCAGCGGGCCGTCGTGATACGAAGACCTAATCTCCCACCAATGCCGTTCTAAGGTCCAATATTCCGTCGAAAGTGTCGACAATTCCTCCTGTAAGTCCTGAAGAACAGTCACGTATGTGTCTTCCTTAGAGAGATGCCCTATTTTCTCTTTCAAGGCTATCTCGCGTTGAGTATTCTCCCGAAGTGCAACTTCTGTCTGCAATAGCCCCCTTAGGTTAATGGGGCACATGGATGGATTATCTTCGTCGGTGAAGGTAGCGTATCGGTATCTTTGAAGAAGACATATATCTCCAGAGCTTTCTAGATCAAGCTCTTCGTCGGATTTGTCACCCCACATGTAGTAGCGCATCTTGAAATACCGTTTTACTCAAGAATGTTAGGATGTTGGGTCTGCTAAAGGACCTTCGGATTGGAGGTTGATGTGAAATCGAACAGATTACCTGTTGAGTCCTAATTGCAGTGGAGACATTTCCATGGAGATCGGCTAAAAGTCAAATCGCCGGGCTTAAGAAAGGAACCGGCCGTGGGCTAGTATTACCATGAGAGCAATCGTCAGGATGACGGGTATATAAAATTGAAGCCAGTGGTGAGCAGAACATACATTAGGTAGGTTTCTGGAACTCTAAGACAGAAATTTGAGTGACACACACGTAATAACGAACCTATCTATCTATCAGAAGTGGCGGCAAACAGACACATCAGAATGCATGATGTGAATACTGATGTCTTTTCTTTCTCCTTCATGAAAGGAGAGAGGGCACTGCCATGCTATGGGAACTAAGCAAAACATGACATTATCCAACATCGTCAAAGACGAACCCTACCCAGGTAGTGAGATGCCTACATAGCAGGACATCCTCTAGTCCGGATTACGGCTACACCACGGTTTTACTTCCTCGAGGGTTGTATACTTTACTAGACCGAATATTACTCTATAACATAAACGGGTAGCTACTATCAACCCCCAAAATACAAAGTGATTACTAGTACGGTTAACAGTGGTTTATGTGACTCTTATCACGATTGGTCTCACTATGGTACAAAGGTAACCTGGACTAGTGGACTTAACGCTATGTACAAGTAAGGGTAAGAATGAAAGAAAGACTATAGAAGTCAAAATAGAAGTAAGAGAAAGGTGAATAAAAAGTATAAAAAAGTAATGAAAAAGTGAATGAAAAAGTGAAAGAAAAGTAAAGAAACACTGAAAAAACTTGACTTTCCGCATTGACGGCTCATCGAACTCTAGATCCAATGTTAGTCGTTTCCATTGCCAGGCAATTTCAGATAGAGGATTTCGCCGTGTTTAGACCTTGGTATGTATGTTTTATAAAATGCAAGTAAATGGCTTTTATATCTGTTTCATGTTAAGGGCTTAAGTGTACTCCTTACTTACCATTCAGGCCAGCCTTCCTCCATCGGAGCCATCTGGTTAAACCGGCGATTGCAGCAATCTCCGCAGTCGCAGGTTACAGAGTGGCCGAGAGTTATGGCCGGCAGCTCTTTAATGCGCCGGAGGCGATGTCGGAGGTGGCCAGAGGTAGATGCAGACGCCCGAGGTTCGTTCCGGACGGCGTCCGGACGGCGGATGGGTGGCACTGGGGGTATGTCGGCCACGACAACGATGTCGGAGCACTCTGGTACTGGTCGGGTTGGGGGGCGCGGGCCAAGCTACCTATGGACAATCAATCAGTAATTATGCACATGAAGCTTGAAACAGCCATCCCCAGTGTGACAGCGCACATAGGCTTTCCGTGTACTTTACCTGAAAGCCCAAGCCCGGGCGATTTCTGCAATAGTCATTGTCATGTTGCAACAGAACAAGAAGACCAAACAAAAAACTGCTTGTAATGTCCTGGCCTTCCAACTGGGGGCCAAAAAAACTTCGTGCAAGAACTCAACAACAGACTTTGGTGGTTCTGGGGCTGGCAATTTGAAGAATGTTGGTGGTTTACAAAGTCTACTATTCTGCGCATTTAAGATCTGGTCTTGTCTTTTCTAATGGCGATTCTAGGAAGGAGCCAATGGAGAAAGTCTTCCGGGTAAATTGCGGTTGGCAGGGAAGGAGCGTCTCGATGAATCTGACGATATGCAGTGTTCTCACCCACAATATATATCTTTGAACCTGCACCTTCCAAGGTTTCAATGAATGGATGAGTAAGACCATGCCACTATTTAGAATGGAAAACATGATTAGCTGTAAATTGCAGCGTATGCGGTGAAAAGTGAAATCTTGACGTATAGAAATTAATTCATATATTATATTTATATTTTATATTCATGGCGGGCTCTGGTGACACCATTGAATGAATTCATTCAAATTCCCCAGGTCATCGGTAGCAGTGCTATCCATATACCGAAGGTTGACATCAGACCTGCCAGTGGCATCTAGCGTGGCATTTAATAACCACCAAAGCTCCTGAGCATGTTTCGGATACCCAAGGTGAAGGAATTGATCCTTATCTAGGAGACCAATAACAGAATCCCAGATGCGCCTCCAATTATCAGACGCACAGCGTATTCTATCGAGAGATAGGTATCTTACCAAGCCGGATCTCGCCTGGAATGCGAGGGAGTTGATGGCTGTTGTGATATTCTTAGCGATCGAATCAATTGGTTTTCTTAGGCCATCGACATACCATAAATCAGAATCAGGAGATGCTGCACTGACACCGAAAGAGCCCATGGTATCGGGACATTACTAAGAGGTGTCTCAAGTAATTGTGTGATTACATCTTTCAGGGAAGGAAGTGGTAGTTCTTTCGAGTGGGACATGACAATTCTGCTGAAAGAAGATGCGTTTTCGGCTTCCCATAACCCGGCGCTCCAAGGGAAATGACAGTCCATCTCAAAGACTGATATTGATGGGTGGTTTTTGAAGCAAACTGTGAGGAATCCATCCGCTAGAAAGACCCAACAAGCGATTCTAGGAGCTGGTTAGCGATACCTTGAAAGAAAAGACAAGATAAAAAGAACGGGGGATGTAAAATACCGTATACACACTTCCTCCGCCACTAGATCTCTCCAAGTTCTGTCATCACAAACAGTGGGAGCCATTCCTCGCTTGAGGTGAAATATCTCCAGGGATCGTATGGTGGATACTAAACATGGATGTCGGACGATGCGAATGCGACGTCTTGTTTGGGAATTGTCTTGCCCAAACTGAAGCATTTCAATAATAAGAGCACTTTGTATTAGCTGTACAGTTGATAATAGATGTGACTGGTCTTTCGGTGAAGCGACTGTTGAGAGATTCGCGATTTTCCGAAAGATATACTCTTCCGCGACGTTGAAGAGACCGGGTGGTAGGGCTCCTCCATCTAATGGAGTAGTATATGTGGCACCGGATAAAAATATCGAGAGTAAAAGAGGATTGGAGATGTTTCCTGGGTCGAAAGTCGGAAAATGCACCACCGGTAAATGCCAGTGAAGAGAATGAAAGAAAGCAGAGATAGAAGCAGAGATATTGGAGACCGCAAAGAGAGTAGAAAGTTGTGTAGAATCAAGGAGTTCTAGCGTTGCGGTACTTCCGAGACCCATTGACTTCGAAGTATCGATTAATTCTGTTATAATCTCGGATAATTGACTGGAAAGCTTCGAAGGGAAAAATGTATCAGGAGAGAACTGAAGTAGATAATCGTCCGTGAAAGAGGGAGCACTGGAGGGAATTTGGAAAGAGAAGTTGACAAGTGGAAAATCACTTTCAAAATCTGGTATAGGATCAGTGGGAACGAGAGCATTTTCGATATGAGAGTTCAATGTTTCAAGGTTTCTCCGAACTGAGCACTTTGCAGTCTCCCCGATCGCCAGTCTGTCCCTTTGGAATGACGGATTTGCAAAGTGCTGGAGAAAAGAAAATGACCCACTGTCTCTCGAGCTGACGTCGGACGTGGTCCTCGAAGGCGAGAGCGAGGCTACTATAGAGCAACTGGGACCCCGAGAAGGTATCTCTCGGGCCACGAAGTTGCATTCCCGTCCAAGGGAGCGACAGCGAGAGCATGGCAGATTCCTGTCGCAAGATGTTTTGGCAAAGAAGCACAGCTCACAGGAATGCCTTTTCCTGCCTGGTTTAGCTGCAGGGGGCGTGGGTTGGTTGAACTTTTTTGCACAGTTTTTGATATGTCTCCGGGTGACCTCGCTTTCGACGAATTAGGCAATACTCAATTATTTATGGGGAATATAATTTACACACGGCTTTATAAATGCTTTGCTGCACAAAGGGCAGCTGGAAGAGAGCTGCTGTGTATCTGGGAGGTGGTAAGCCTACCTGTATTTTAAGATCAGGATCATTGGACCTTACGGGTAGCTTCATGGCGATTTAAATGAGTCTTCCTCTGATAAGATTTTTCGCATAGTGTGCATTGAAACATGACGTCGAAATCAGCCTTGGTTGTCGCCGCGAGAAAGAAAAAGAAAGGGGGAAGGAAGTGGGAAGGTCAGCGCGTGGACGGATTCTATCCGTGCGTGGCCGGATACTTGATACATCGAAAAGCTTCACCTGTGCAACGGGAGGTTTAGGACTGCTCCGTAAAGCTGCAGAAATTCGAATGAATCCAATTTAAATCTGTACCTTTTTAAAATGAGGTCTTAAGAAGAACGCACGAAATTGGTCATTGATTTGGGCAATGCAGGTCTCAGAAGGGGGACTCCGCCGAACAGCCCTAAGGCTTCAACAAATCACAAATCATAAATGGGGCTGGGCTTGGACCATGCCATGCGGGGCTCTGCAAGGGCAAATTGTCAACAGATCTAAAAATGCTGCGTACTGTGATTTGCCAACGAAACAGAAGTTGTTCCTGGCGGGTCTGGCCATCGGGGGAATATTGCTGATCTTATATTTATGATCAACAGTTCAAACGTGGAGGGAGCTTTAGTTCTCATAGTTAATATGGCATACATAAGCGACGATATTTGAAAAAAAGTTGCGAATATTGGGGACTGAACGCCAGAGGCGTTGAGTGGTTCTGGGTTATCAGTTATTTTCCTAACGCCGTTAATAGTAACTAAACTGATTTTTCGGGGACCTATTTGACCGAGCAAAGGAACCGAACCTTCCGGACTTTACGAACCCCTGGCGTGCATGGGACCTGAGTGCATCGCATTCGACCATTAGTGGGGCAATACCAAATCCTTCAACATTAAGATATCATATCCACTCAGGAAACTCTCGTTCAAAAACACGGTGTCTTGTATAATTATTCATTCATATACCCACGATCGTTGCAAGTCACGGAGTTATTAAAGACTCCAGAGTACATGCACGAAAGACTGTAGATCTCGGTCAACATGGGGAAATAGACGTTGTGGGTCACAACAAGATCGACAGGATCCGAAAAGATCGAAATGGCGGTGGGGTTAGTGTTTTTTAGCGCAGCCAAGGGAATCAGCCCCCAAAGAGTTAATGAACCATGGAGTACGGAGTAGTAATGTGGAACTTGGGCGCTGAATTTTAATGTTTATGCAATATTCCGATGCCTGGGTATGTTATGTAGTGTACGGAGTAGAGAGTATAAAATATCTTATCCTGGAAAGAAAAAGCGATTAGGAATGATTGGCTTCAAGCTTTCTTCAAAATGCAGCGTACCTGACTAGAAACCCTTGCATTATGATAGCCGGGGTTCTGCATTAGGTAGGAGGCACATGACTGGTCTGTTGGGAATACGGGGACTCGAAAATTGAACAGGCATTTTGCTGGTTTGATTTAGGATTATTTTCGGCTTTCTCCGCGAATAGCCCTATATTGAAACTGACACCTTGCTTGGAGCCCCTGAACTGAGATATCAACACAAAGCCTGCTTGAGATAGCTTGTGCATATGGGGCTATGTGGTTGGACTAGTTCGGACTAGGCTCCGAGCGGGAGCAATCAAATTAGGCGCTACTGCAATTAGCGGCCCGGGAGTGAAGTGATAGGTCCAGCGTAGGGTTCGAATATCAGGTTTGGTTCATTGACCAACTCAACGAAAAAAACGAGGCAAACTAGAAGCAGGGGACCAATCGGGAACTTATTTACAAGTAAAATGGGCTGGTCTAGTCCTGGCTTCTCGCTTGGCGTTCTTTTTGGGCCAAGTAATAGTTTGTGATGTAGATAGACGTTGCCTCCCCTATTTTTAAGATTGCTATAATGGCTGATTGATGGGATTGCACATATAAGGCGGCCTACCTCTCTGGTTGATTTGTTTTCTTCATATCTTCATTGTTAGTTTATTAACCGATCACTCGTTTTTTGCTGGTATCATTCAGCGTCCATTCTTTATTCCTTTGAATATACTTCCGACTAGCAACGATGAAGCAATCTTTGATAGCTTCCCTTGCGGCTCTCGCAGCCTGTTCCGTAAGAAAACCACCGTTGGTTGCGGTTGCAATTCGATACACAGCTAACAGATTATGCCGTGTTACAGGGAGTTCAAGCTGCTGATAGCTTGATTAACGTCCCCGTTAATCTCTGCGCCGCCATCCTTGGACAAGCCGCTTGCGACCAGAAGACTGTCACCAACGGCTTGATCAGCGTGCCTGTTAACGCATGTGTCGCTGTTCTTGGACAAGCCAAGTGTGACCAGGTCTCTTCCTCTTTGACCAAACGTGGCGGTTCTCTGATTAGCGTGCCGGTTAATCTGTGCGCGGCCATTCTTGGAGAAGCTGAATGCAAACAGAAGACCACCAGTGGTGGTGGTTTGATCGACGTGCCTGTTAACGCGTGTGTGGCAGTTCTTGGACAGGCCAAGTGCGACCAGATTGCTTCCACCACTGGCAGCGGCGAGGGATCTCTGATTAGCGTACCCGTTAATCTTTGCGCAGCCATCCTTGGCGAGGCCGAGTGCAAGCAGAAGGCCACCACTGCTGGCGGTTTGATTGACGTGCCTGTGAATGTATGTGCGGCAGTCCTCGGACAGGCCAAGTGTGACCAGATCGCTGGTACTGGTACTGGTACTGGTACTGGTGGCGGCAGCGGTGGTGACAGCGGTGATGGTTCCCTGATTAGCGTCCCCGTTGGACTATGCGCTGCTATCCTTGGCGAGGCTGAGTGCAAGCAGCAAACTGCAACCCCGGGTGGTTTGATCAACGTGCCTGTTAACGCCTGTCTTGCCGTCCTTGGAAAAGCTAAGTGTGACCAGGCCTCTTCCAGCAGCGGCGAGGGTTCTCTGATCAATGTTCCCATCAATGTTTGCCTGGCTGTGCTTGGTGAGGCTCACTGCCACCAGAGCTCTGACTCTAATGGCGGTCTGATCAACATCCCTATCGATCTGTGCTTGGCCGTGTTGGGAGAGGCTGAGTGCCATGATGGTTCATCCACTCCTCCCCCAGCTGTAACTACCACCCCTACTGGCCCCGGCGTTGTTCCTGGCGAGACCACCACCCCTGGTGGTCCAGGTGTTGTCCCCGGTGAGACCACCCCTGCTGGCCCTGGTGTTCCCGGCGAGACTGCTACTCCTGTTGTCCCTGGCGTTGTTCCCGGCGAGTCGTCCGTCCCTTGCCCCGAGTCCACCGCCCCGGCCGGAACTATCCCTGGAGGACCTGATGCTGGTTTGCCTTCTGGTGGTGCCTCTGGCTCCGTTCCAGGCTCGCCTGCATACACCCATGGTCCTTCCCTCACTGTGGGACGCCCATCTCAAACCGGCGCTTTCACCCGCGTCACTCCCTCCTTCACCAATGTCGTCACTGCCTGCAATGCTGCCTGCCATGCATCCAAGACTTCAGCTGGCCTGGTGGCTCACACATCCCCTGTCTCTGGAGGTCACGGCAGCGGTCCCCACCCCATCCCCAACCCCAGCACCATTCCGTTCAACGCGGCCGGCCGCGCAACTCTGTCCGGCTTTGCCGTGATATTCGGGGCCCTCTGCGCTATTGCCATGCAGATCTAAGTGACAATATAAACCGACATATTGATAAAGGTGGTAGCTACCTATGATAGTTGGCCTTACTCAGTGTTGCGATTTATGGTTCCTGTTGCGTTGGACATATCAGTCCGTCATTTCTTCTTCTCCTTCTTTGTTCAATGGTCTAAATCAGCATGGGTTAATATAATTCCACGATATACGTCTCTCAATCCAGCTTGTTCTTGCGGTCAAGGCTGCCTATGTGTATATGATGAATTTATTGGTCGCGCCACTTTGATGGAGGATGTATCTTGATTTGACTAGCAATATCCCTCCAATGATATAACATCGATTTTCTGTTTATCAATTTCCACGAAATTGGAGAGATATAGTTCATGTAAACGCTGCATTGGCGGCATCATAGGGGTCAAATCCTTCATCTGCCAACTACGTCGTACTCATTTTCCTAGGGTGGCCATAGAAAAGCAAAAAAAAAAAAAACCGCATTGAACGTGTCACGAATCACTGATTTCCCAGATGACTCATTAATGGGCCATATGATAGATCATACGCCAAGTCTTCAGGGGAAATTCGGTTAGCGTTGGATTCGAGCCAATTGGCACTTCCTCCAAATAGAGCTTCAAAAATAATCTAGTTCTTTCATCACCCGAACTTAAATTCCCTCCGTAGACAGCTTATAACGTTAAGCAACACCAAGGATAAATTAATTGCCTGGAGGACCGCAACGCTAAAAGTGGGGGGGCAAAAAAGGTCAAATGAAAAAATGGCAAAAAATCCTCTGACCCGGGATCGAACCAGGGACCTCAAGATGACAGGTTCTATTTGAACAGGCAATTACAGTCTTGCGCTCTTCCAGCTGAGCTATCAGAGGTGATTATTGAGCAGCTGGCAACTTTTGAGCTACATCACAGAAATACCAGGAACTGTAATCTCTGCATACGGTATACCAGGGCTACTCCTTCCAATACCCAAGAAAAGGGACTCAAGCTGCGAAAGTGACCCGTCGACTCTACAAGTTGGATAGGTAGCATCTAGTTGATGAAGCCGGCGACATTGCTATCCTAGTCAATTATGATGTTCACTAACACAAATGAACAAAAGTTAGCGCAGAACACCTAAAGGTGTTGGTCGGATTGATAGGGCTAAAGACGGCAATATTTGGCCATGAGAACTAATGAAAGCACCGCAAATCTATACACTAAACCGCAATCATTCATTGATAGCAAACATTGCAGCGGTGTGGTTGCACGATGGTTGTATAGAGCACCCCTTATCAGATCGGGAACAGCTACGTTACCCATTTTGCAACACAAAGCACCTCCTATCGCCGGAAGTTATACAAAGGTGATACAGAAGAGGCCTCAACAACTTGAGTGATACCTCGATGCCCATAACGGGGTTGATCCTGATTTTTGTATAAGCTTAATAATCCGGCCGCTGAACCTCGGATATTTACATACTATAGAGACATTCTCCGGAAGGTTAATAAAAGTACCATATATTTATCATTGGCCCCTGCAGAGATTATGATAGGAATGTTCTAAGAACTGGGACCAAAGCTTGAGGCTGAATAGTAGCTATCGCACTTTGTGGGGAAGATTTGAGAATTTCCAGGCCTAGATTTGGAGTTGAACAACCTGTGAATTGTCTAATAAATCTCCCATTCCAGCATAAGCAATTTCATATATAGAGACCAATGAGACCACGTAGCCACACACCTATGCCATTAGAAGAAGAATAAGGGTTTCTTTAAAGATTCACTTTACGTATTGGTCATGAGGGTACTTATATAAAGACCCGATTAGAGCCCGTTCTCTGGGTGTTAAGGGGAACATTGATGCTATAATCTTTGACACCGTACCGGGAAACAAATTTCCCATATCAATAAACTCAAAGAGCCTGACGCGGGGAGTTTGCCTCGCTTATCTACACTGGTTTCACAATGTTGCGAATTGATGGATTATGTGAATATGACAAAAGAGAAACGAACCCTAAAATTCAAAAGCACAATGTTAAGCTAAAGAAGAACGATGGACTACTCCTGGTAAATTCACGATTTGCATTGTGGGTTGGTAGAGGTCAAAGCTAACGTAGATAAGTTGGATATACCTCACCATGGTCTAGTTAGGATCCCACTCCAGGCAGACTTGTCTACTGGAGATATATACCCCTCGGAGCCCTTGAAAAATCTATTGAGTGTCCATAGAAGTTTCAGGATTGCGATGCAGATATGGACTAAACAACAAAACGAAGATGCGATGGAGCAAGCGGCCAGCGAAGTCAAAGTCATTAGCCTCTTTTTCCCAGATGTCCGAGCTGAGCATCTCCGGATCTGCATGACTGCATGGCTTGCAGTACTCTGCGCTGTTGATGATTTACTCGAGTTGATGAGGCCCTGCGAAGCAGAGGATGCTATCCAAGGAACTATCGCTGCTTTACAGAGCAATGGAAAAAACAATGGAAGCAGTAAGTTAAAATATGAGGAATGGGTGGTAAATGCTTACAGAAAATATTAGTCGGCGAAGTTAATACTAGTGATAACGTTTGTTCACTCATGTCATTGTTTCAGAAGCACTGTTGCCAGTATCTCTCAGCGGCGGCTGCGAAAGATTTCTTTGAAGAAATCTGTACTGTATTCTGTGGCTTCATGCAGGAGATTAAATTTCAACAGGGCTACCTGAGATACAATTTGCAGAACTACATGGAGATTCGAACGCGGACAATCGGAATTGCGCCTTTTTTCAGCCTTATCAGAAGTGATCTCTTTCCCTCTGGTTATTATCCAGACAATATTTTAACTATGCAGAGGGCAGTAAATGTTTCTATCGGTCTTCAGAACGACCTTATTGGGCTAGAAAAAGACCTGGACGAAGAAGAGTCGATGAATGCCGTACTTGTCAGTATGGAGGAGTCATTGAGAAAAGACGAAGCGAAGGGAGCAATTCTTGCCGATACTATTACGACTGTTTGTGCATTGCATAACTTCACTATTTCCAAGTTGGCACAGATGCGCCAGAATATTGCGCAGGGAGCAAGTGAGGAATCGGAAATAATTGTTGCAAATTCTCAACTCCTCTTTACTGAGACCCACTTCAAGTAGTGCACGACAGCCAAGAGGTACAGAACGCAGTTAGAATAGGTTGTGGCGCAACTTGTATCTTAGCTGACAACGCATTCGACGGTGTAGCATTTAAATAATTGCATTATTACTGGCGTATTCTTCGTTATGGCTTTTCTGGACAAGCCTATCTCAAACAGTAGTAGAGAAGCCCGCATGGAACAAATTAAGCTTTAGCGATATAATTAATTGAGCTTTTCTAGCCAGTTTTTGAAATATTTAGAAGCAAGTCATCTCTGCTGTGAGGAACAGGGACTCTTGCTTTCTTCTAGTTGTGCTAAAAAGAAGATTATTGAGCGATGGGCAGTTTTTATACACGACCATGAAATACGGCGAGATATAAGTGCAATAGGGACCACAAATCGACAAAAGCAGCCATCCTTTATATTTCATTTGTATAGCTGAATTGTCTGTGTTTGAGAGTAGGAGAGCAAGCCTTGGTTCCCCCACTCGCCCCCCATCCCACTCTCCTTCCAGCCTGAGCAGTAGCCGTGAGGGTTAGGGACTTCCGGGCTGTTGATCCATACTGTTCCAACTTCAAGTTTTCGCGCAATCCGCTCTGCAGTGCTAATATACTCAGCCCACACGCACGCCCCTAGGCCGGTATCTGTCTGATTGGCCCTCGATATCACTTCATCCTCTGTAGACCACTTTGTAAGTGGAATGATAGGACCGAACTGCTCCATTTGGACAATGCTAGAATCATCTGGAGGTTGGTCTACAACCACAGGTGCGATGAAGAGGCCTGGCTGCTTGTCGTCGGTATTCCCCCCACAAAGTAAAGTATAATTGTTCTCCTTGCAATCAGCGATGAGATCTTCGACCACTTTGTACTGTGGCTGGTTCTGGAGGGGACTGAACAGTGGTGACTGATCACCAAAAATGTCGATTTTGATGTCCTTGACTGCCTCGATAAACGAGTCCCGGAACTCTTCGAAAATAGTTTGATGCACATAGATTCTTTTTGTAGCAACGCACATTTGGCCTGAATGTAAAAATGCCCCCGCAGCAACCTTGGTAGCAACGGTTTTGACATCCACATCGGGGCAGATGACACTAGCATCGTTTCCACCGAGCTCAAGTGTTACTCGTTTCAGAGTCCTAGCCGCGCTTTCCGCAACCTTTTTTCCAGTCGCAATGGATCCAGTGAAACTAATCTTGTCGATCCCGGGATGAATGCTAAAGAGCCTTCCTAGATCGCTGTCTCCGTTGAGCGCCTGAAACACACCCCGCGGAAGCACGGATGTCGCAAGCTCAGCGAATTTTAAAGTGGCACATGGGGTGAATGGCGATGGTTTGACAATGATGCAATTTCCCATGACGAGCGCTGCAGAAATCTTGCTAGCGGCTAACACGAGTGGAAAATTCCAAGGGCAAATCGCACCCACCACTCCTATAGGATGATGGGTAGACAAAATCCTGAGTTTATCGTCTTCGTATTCCACTTTACTGGGCAATGACTGGGATGCTAGACCGGTGAGCCTTTCCAGCCAGTCAAGATTTCTAGATGTAGATTTGCAATACCGTTAAATGTGATGAACGCCAAAGTATCATCAATCTCCATGTTTGCGAGAAGGTTCTGAGATGTTTCTTAGCAAGAGGGCGGATATCTATATGAAGGGAGGATTTAGTTACGGATTTTCCGGTCTCCGCGGCCAGAGGAGTATGTATTTCACCTCTTCGCCGTTCCAGTTCATCGGCTAGGTTGAGTAGATATCTCTGTCTGGTCTCGACAGACAAGAGCTTCCATAATTCAAATGACACCCTTGCAGCCTTGACTGCGTCATTAAGGTCTGTCTTGTTTGCGACTGTCACCTCTAATGTGGCTTCGTTTGTCCTGGGGTTCTTGACTGTCACACAATCTCGGGCCCGGCGCTCCGAATTGATGATATTATGGAACATTGTGATGTCTTCGGAAAGACAAAAACTTAAACTAGGAACCTCATTCAGCTCACTGCTGAATTAAATATTGAACGCCAGGTGAAAAGTAAGCCAATGGGTTTCTCCTACAGCCGTGACGGAATTTCTACATCATTAGGGACACATATCCGAGGTGTGGAGAATTGCCGGTAGCGATGGGAATATATCCGGAGAAGGTCACCAATTTCATAAAGTTTCAATTTTATGTATAGATACATAAACCACGCGTCAAGGTGGGCTCTGTTTCTGCACCGAGTCCGAGCTCGCCGTTGAATGTCGAGCATTCCCATTTCTCTCGCAAACTTCTAATTGCTATGAGCTCCATTTCAGAACAAAAAGCACTATCAGATCAGGTAGCCGCGGTCCTTCATAATGTAAGAGCCTCTGTTCCCTCGATGGTGGCGGTGGGTAATTGTGTCTGACAAAATGCATTCTAGCAAGGCCCCAACTTCTCTTTCAGGATACAGAAACTCCCAACCCCAACCATCAAGCCTCAAGAGATTCTAGTTGAATTAGAAGTTACGGGTTTCTGCGGAACCGATCTCTCACTTGCTCACGGATATCTTGGCCCATGCCAACCGATAATAGGCCATGAGGGAGTAGGGCGAATTGCCGCCGTAGGCTCTTCGTGCGCAAGTGAGGCAGCCACAGTAGGCCGCCTGGTTGGTGTTGGCTGGATTCGTGATGCATGTGGATCTTGTCATGTATGTGAGGATATAAAAGATGAGACACGATGTCACAAGCAGGTCTTCAGTGGGCGTGATGTGCTGGGCACCCTGGCTAGGTATACCGTCGTTCCGGAGAGGTATATCACGCCTTTGCCCGATGGAGTCCCTAGTGAGATACTAGCGCCGGTAATGTGTGGCGGTGTTACAGCTTATAAAGCACTGAAGGTGGCGAATCTCGCGAAGGGTTCGTGGGTTGGTATTTCTGGCGCTGCAGGAGGAGTGGGATTGTTAGCATTATCATATGCGAAACAGATGGGCTACCAACCTATCGCGATCGACGGGGGAGAGAAACGAAGACTTGCCTGCATGGGTGCAGGAGCAGGGGTCTATTTGGACTTTGAAAAGGAGGACAACCTAAGGAGCGCCATGCACCTACAAACGAACGGCAAGCTTTGTTCTGCAATCATTGTATGCGCCGGAGCTACAGCAGCCTACGAAGAGGCACTGAATTGTCTAGATTACCACGGAACGCTGGTCGCAGTAGGCATCCCGCCACCCACCGCAAAGATATCACTTCATCCCCTCCCTTTAATCGACTACGGGATTCGGATCGTTGGGAGCATCGCGGGCGATCGGGTGGATATTGCAGAGGCTGCAGAATTTGTTCGAAAGGATCTGGTGAAACCTAGGATCACAGAAATTGGCGTTCACGAGCTAGAGAATTATGCTGGCTGAATAAATGAACTGGACGGGAAGCTTCTTGTGCGGCTGGGCGCAAAGGTTGGGTGAATATTTCTTAGTTGCATGTCCAGAATTCCCGAGGTCACACTCATCGATTAGCGAATCATGTGTAGGAACGAAGTAAGACACAAGTGGAAGTAATACACTGGGATTGGTCCTGATAAGAGATATGGAGATATGGACGGGAAAGGAGAAAGAACCTTGGAAGGAGAAGACTTCTACTAAGCAAACAAGTACAAGATGATTGATCCCTTGCCTAGATATCGGGTGCGGCTTAGTGTACCAATGTCAGACTAGAATATTCATGGCCCCTTCAGGCCCTAAATGATCACCTAAGTTTTGTTATAATCTTGTAGCAAAGTAGGCTGTTTTCCATAACGATTACGACCCCTGGTATGCTTTCACTGCCATAATTATCATTTGGTGATGGTTAGACACAGATCGCATAAATTATATTCCCCTACCTTAGCACATCCTATAATCTGCTAGTATGAGTGGCAGATGCACGTTGAACCTGATAGCGACCAGTATAGATGGAAGAAAGTAGGGAATTCCAACCCTAGGAGGTATGTCAGATTAGCATGGCCCCTTCTAGACTTAAATTAAGAAACTTTGTTTTCGTTACGGCTAAATGGTAATATAGGGTGCAGTTTCTCTGCATATATGGATTGTTGTAATATCAACCCTGCTGTTTGCTATGCTGTTTTCTAGATTTACAGGAGTATTGATATCCTGTCCCTTCAAAGATTATATAATACAGATATTTCTTCCTCCATCATCCCTCTCCCTCACTCTGTCCTCAACAATGATTATATAATATAATGGGCTGGTGGCCTCTTCTAGGCTTATGACTTGACTGGGGGTAGAAATTAAGTGTGGGATGCAACTGAAACAATATAAGGTGACGGCCTTTGCGCCTGCATAAACTATTGGCTATTGATTGGTGGAGCAGTACTAGTTTATAGCAAATCCCTCAACCTGCAGGTAATGCCCGGGATTTGTTATCCAGGCTTGGCCCCCAGGGAAAAGCTAATAGTTACATTCCAGACCAGTGCGTATACCTAAGGCCGCTTGTAGTAATTCGTTCAACTAAGCCTCATGTAGGGTTGTGAGTGTTCTGATTGGTTTATAATTGAAACGTTCGTCGGGAACACGCGACAAGGTTACACAAGGTTATCTCGGTAGAGGTCCGTAGCCTTGTCATTATCATCATCCTGTTTGATTATCCTGTTCCAAATATTCTACCATAGAGAATTTAATGCCAAAGCCATTGAAAAGTAGTTTATTCAAAAGATAAGGCTCATAATGGTGGATTTGAAGTGATAATCATGGAAAACAAACTTTTATGGGGGAAAATGTGATATTGCAGATCACTGACTCAGTTTGTAGATCGTCCATGCACTGACCATATTTGCAGATCATCTGCTCTGACTCGGTGCCGTATCATCAAGTACTACCAGTCTAATGCACAAGGAATCCCCCAATTAACGTTAAGCCCCATGAATCGCACTAAACTGCAGGAAACCAGGTATCTCTCATAAGTCCATGGAGATTAGCGGTACAAAGCTGCATCTTTATTGGGTTTGTATTTTGGAGTCCTAGAGGGATTCTTGGTGGGTTCTATGGTTATTCGTAGTACCAATGCAGGTTTGAGAACGTTTCTAAGGCTCAACTTCACCCCAGACCACGTTTCGAAAGAAAAATCGGACATTTAAAACCCCTTGCCTGGAAGGATGGTGTCGGCATTCCCACGTGTATCGAATCAGGCACTTGCTTTACTGTTGGGGCTACACTTTATGACGAGAACTGGAATCAACCTAGGAAGTATATATAGTACCATTGCTGAGAATGAAAGAATGAGTGCAAATTGGCCGAGCCTTTTTTTTTGCTTCTCTGTAGTCGATCTAGAAGAGAAGCCTTGGATTTAGTCCTAGATGCCCAAGACAAACAAAACATAGCCTAAAGAGCACTCGAGAATGAAACTTCGGGCTCTATGACATGCGAAATTCTTGTACGGGGAACTTTACGTAAAATAAGACAGTACCATACAGGGTGATATCGCATATAAGGCGCCCTAATATAAGTAGGGTGACACCGCATATAAGCCATCCTAATATAGGGTAGCCCCTCCATACTTGATCTTTGCCAAGAATGTTACCGGCAACTCATCCCGAGAACGAAGCCCGAGGCCGACCTGATAGCGGGCTGACCCGCAGAGCGCAAAACGCCCCCACCCCCACCCAAAACCACCCTCAGTGGAATGTCAATTCGCCAAAAAGACGTACTCATGGACAGACTAGTGTTGATGTTATCCAATGGCATTGGAAAGATAGTGTTAACATTAAGGTCCTCCGCTCGACGTGTCACATGCATGGTATTTTCACTTACCTCTTTGATGACATGCACAACTGATCACACGATTGGTCTATAGGCCAGGTCCTTTAATCCAAAAATCGAGATTGATACTGTGCTTATTTATGGAGCCGCTCAAAATGAACATAAATATGGCCTCAACCCTGGTCATACACTTAATCTTTACCTGCTATAACATCACGGTTACTGAGATATAGCTATACTGTCAACAGGCGATAAAGTATGTATGAAACATCCTGGGTATTGGAGCGTGCCTAGGAAGGATTAGTCTTGCATCAATTCTACTGCTCTGTATAGCTGATCCCCACCCAACTGGCAGGCGACAGAGATCCTTCGCATATATAATTTTGCAAGGCGGTTGCATATCTGTGTGATGCAGCAGTATTGAGCATAGCTTGTTACTGTCGAAATGCTCTGCACCTCATGTGGCTTTGAAATGTCGACACAAGATTCCAGCTCCTCGAGAGCCAAGGCAGCGGTGGCGGATCGCCGTCGTGAGCAGAACCGTCGGGCACAGAAGCGATTCAGACGTTAGTGGAAACGATTCACCATAAACCGTTGACAATATTGACATTTCCTTCGCTTGTGAGTAGAGAAAAATCGTGAGCAAAAAGCCACCCCAGAACAAGATCAATCACATCCGCAAAACGGCGCTTCAGATACCCTGGGCGACATTAGCCAAATATCCTCAAGCGCATTGACGCCACTCACACCACCCAGTACAATGTGTATGAGCCACAGTCAGTCCTCGTTAGCCCATTGCGAGGAGATTCAAGGAGATAATATGATTGATTATGATTTCCTCTTGAATCCCAACGATCGCTGCGAAACGAACAAAGGCACGGACGACTTCTGGACAACAACACTGAAACAGACCGCTCCCTTTTCTGCTATTTCCCTCCTCCCCCCTCCGGAACTGAAAGACTGTCGAGAAGTTCACACAAGAAACCCGGGTGGTTCTGCCAATAGCAACGAAACTGGCAGGGCATCAGCAGGACCGACCGTGCTTCACCAAGCAGTGCAGACTGGAAACAGCAAAGTTGTATGCCTTTTACTCGAGCACAACGCAGACTGCAACTCGAAGGACAACACTGGTCTCACTCCTCTGCTGTATGCAGTAATTGGAGGCCATGAAGAAATAGTAGAACTATTGCTATCCCATGGGGCCGGTATAGGACATGTTGATAATGCTCACTGGTCTGCCCTTCACTGGGCTGTGTTCCATAATCGTCATAGGATATTGGAGCGGCTTCTTAGCTGTTGCGGTGGAGATGATTCGTTGCTCAACATACGGAATAAGGACGGACAAACACCGCTATCGGTCGCAGTTGGCGCGGGAAGTGAGGTGGCTGTGAAGCTGCTACTAGAGTTTGGGGCCACAGTCAATGTAGGATGAGTGAGTATTTGTATTTAGTATAGAAAATCATCACCATCATCGTAAATAAACGCTTCAATTTCTTTGACTCTAAGCCTAGAATTGTTTAATTCCGTCTTTTGGTGGGTGTTGCGACTAAATGTACGGACGACGTAAAATAGCAGCTAAAAACTGCATGTAACCTGGTGATTTTGAACCGACTTAGAGGCTTCTGACCTTGACCTTGACCTGGACGCCGCTCTGCTTATTGAAAAAATAGTCATGAGTCGTCCAGTGTTTACTCGAGTCCACTAAAACAAAATCGAATTTGCGAATCAATAGTGGTACCACTTTGTATATCTCGCTAAGAGCAACCTATGAGACGGTTAGCCCGCCAATACTCCGACTCGTGACGTATTGGTCAGTTGTCTGAATAGACTAACCTGCTTGCCAATACACGTTCTAGTTCCCGCCCCAAATACCAGGTTGTTGCACCTTTCCATGTTGGAATCAGTGCGCTCGATCCATCTTTGTGGACGGAAAGTATTGGCATCCGGGCCGTATACGCCCTCATCTCGTCCTACGACAGCTGCGTTCATACCGACTTTCCATCCTGGGGGGATGTACATTCCTGATAACTCAACCCCAGTCTGATCCACGACTCGAGGCATAGTGAATCCCACGCCAGGGTGTAGCCTCAATGCCTCTTTAATTGTTGCCCTGAGAAGCGGAAGCTGGACGGCTTCGGAATAACTGGGAAATTCGGATAGTTCTCCACTTTCCGTGGCTTGGTCAACCTCTTTTCGAAGCTCTTCATACACCGAACGATCTTTTGCAAGATAATAGAAAATTGCCTGCAGCTCAATCATAGTTGCGTCTGCACCTGCTGTCCTAACAAATCAAAAATATCAGCAGATTGTATGTGAGTTGATAATTTATGCAGCGATCACTTACAGAGCTGCAAAGGCCTCATTTTTGACATCTTCAACGCCGAAGTCCAATTTGTCACCTTTGGAATTGACAATGGCCAGCAGATTATGCAAAAGATCCTTTCTCTCCCGTTTTCCAGAGTCTGCAACAGCGGCGACTCTGTCGTCCACGCTCGTGCGTGCGGTCTCGATTATGTGATTCATTCCTTTAAGCCCTTTTCGTGCGGTAGAGCTGAGCGTGAATAAGCCCATGATCAGCCCACGAACCGAAGGCGAAGAAGACGCCGCTATTGTCAGAACAGGAAGCATTAACTCCAAAGACGCGAGAAAAGCGCCCTGGTCGCCTTGGTTCTCGATGAAGTCGAGCGAGCGACCAAAAAAGAGCTCCCCAATAACATCATAGGCGTACCTAGCAAATATATTTCATTCAATATTTAGCCGCTATAGATTAGGAAGAGAATGAGTCTCACCATAGAAACCAATCCCCGAGATCAATTGCTTGATCGGGCACCGTGCGCTCAGCCATACACTCGACAAACAAGCGACTACAGTCGTCAATGTATGACTCCAAGGTCAGGACAGTAGACATGCTGTACACGCTGCTCACTATGCGTCTTCGCTCAAAGTGCAGCTTTTCGTCGACGATAGCAAATGCGTTGGGGTATTTGGAGAACGCTCCCACATCCCAAATATGATAGAAATCAGACTTGTTGAGTGGTGAGGTTGTGCTGTATATCTTGCGAATCGCTTCGGGGTCTGCACAAGCGACCTCATCTGGCGCGATACGAACAAGTGGTCCGTATTTCCTGTGTAATTCTCGTTGCACCACATCCAGGTCTCCTCTCGAGACGGCATATGTTAGCCATAGTCTGGTGACAGACGGCCAAAACGGCCCAGGAACTTTGCTGAGAGGATGAAAAGTCCGGCAATAGATACACCAAAATACGATATACCCAAAGGCGGCAACGAAACCAGTACCGAGAATAAAACCAATACTCATCATCGTCCTATGGTTTTGGCCCTTTGAAATTTGGGTCAGAGTTTGTCAAGCTCTGTAGGGTCTTGGTTCGATATGGTCCGGGAATGCGACCAGGTTTAGGTAGTATTCACGGGTAAGTTATTTTCACCCATAATCTGGAGGTAATCTGCATTATGATCAGTCATTTGCCTAATCCTAGTAAGCCGTGATTATGCTACATTACGCCAAGCCTCAAGGGGGTGTGCTTGCAGATCACCCGTGCAGATCACGGCAACAAAACGGCCCCTTGATTGATCAACGTAGCCTAACTGCTAAAATGTCGGGAGAGAGGGTCGGATTTCTGTAGGCTAAGCTTACACTGTAAATCAGGTCAGCGTGATGACAGTCCCCTTGCCATATCGAATTTGTTGACAGGCGAGCTGCACGACTTTCCATAGTCCACCTGGCAGAAAGGTGGTCAGCAAGATAAACAATGATATCACTAGATCATTTTCCACCATGGTTGTGTACTGCTTTCTATTTGGCGGTCACTAGTTGCATGTCACAATATGGCAAAAACAGCGTTCGTTACCGGTGCCAATGGCCTCAGCGGTAGCGCGATTGTCGAGCATCTCTGCAACACAACCTCAGATGATTGGGACACCATTATTGTTACGTCAAGGAGTCCGCTCAGCCTTACAGTCACAGACCCTCGCATCAAGTTTATTGCTCTGGACTTTACAGATGACGTTCCCTCCCTAGTGGAAAAGATGAAGCAAGTCTGTGGTCCCGTCAGCCATGCTTATTTCTGTTCCTACCTTCATAAGGACGATTTCGCAGAGTCATACGCGGCCAACAAAACGCTGTTCGAGAACTTCATAACCGCCATCGATAAGACAGCTCCCAAGTTGCAGAACGTTACGCTCCAGACTGGCGGGAAATACTACAATCTTCATGTTGAACCGGTGCCATCTCCAGCGCGAGAAGATGACCCACGACGCTACGGACCATTCGAAAACTTCTATTTTCCTCAAGAAGACAAACTGGCTGAGATGCAGTGTGGCAAAGCTTGGTCGTGGAATGTAATCCGGCCGGAGGCCGTCATTGGTGCAAATTCGCAGCCCTACGGTCTAAATGAGGCCCTGACCATTGCCATGTACTTCCTGATTTGCCGTGAGCTGGGCACCGCGGCTCCAATGCCGACTAACCAGCGATACTGGGAGGGCACTGAGGACGTGTCGTACGCACCTTTAATTGCCGACCTGGCTATATTTGTTTCGACCCGGAAGTCTTGCGCTAATGAGGCCTTCAATGTTACCAATGGAGATTATTTTTCCTGGCGTTATATGTGGCCGCGTCTGGCTGCAAGTATCGGCGCCAAAGCCGACCCACAACAGCATTTCGAAAAAGCAGTACCAAGAGAAGGCGAGTTGCAGCTAGAGTGGAGCCTAGCCGAGTGGTGTCAGGACAAGCGGCAGGTGTGGGAGGAGTTGTGCGATCGTCAGGGCTTACCGGGTGCCAAGGCGACATTTGACCTTGCCGGCTGGGCGATTGGGGATTTCCTCTATCAGCGGACATGGAGTGCGACGCTGAGTGTAAATAAGGCACGCCGGTTTGGATGGACTGGTCATATCGATTCTTACCAGTCGTTCGTCGACACGTTCGACAAGTTTAGACAGCTCGGGTTGATACCGAAATAATGGATGCAATGCTATTTGTCAGGTCATCACTCGTTTGTTCCCATTTATAATATGACAAGAATAGTCAGCCGCATAAGAGGCCTTATGGCCAAAAATGCGCAAAAAGGCTTAAATTGACTAACCTTGGAAGTAGACACTTGATCAAATCGAACAGTTGAGCTCTTATGGGAAATGAATCAAGGCCTGCCAATCCCACTAGGGCAATCCCAGGTATCTTCTATCTTCGTTGCTTCCCTCCATGTCCCAATGAGATAGCTGAAGGAAGGTGCGATGTCTCCATTTACAAGTACAAACCCAACAACCACAACACCACTCAACCAAACACCCACCCCCTACCACACAACTCAACCCCCCCCCCCCCCCCCCACTACCTTGAACTTCAACTTCAACCTCAAAATAATGTATTGGATCTCAGAACTCACTGAAAGTTTCTACGTAGTCTACATGAATTTTAAGGCACATACGCCGGATCCTGTATCCCCTTATTACAACCCCCAGGCTGTCCAAAGTTGAGACAGTGTTAGGAGAGTTGTTCCCATTGAGAATATGCACCTTTATCTCCACTGGCCTTATACCAACTCATCAAAATTACAAACATCGAAATTCAAAAGGTGGTTGGTGACTTAGACAAACATATCCCGTGAAGCAAATAGTGAAACTACTCCCTCTTCAATCTGGCCTCCATAATGGACCAGTCTCTGGGTGTACTCATTGTCCCCAATACCTCCAATCCGACGCTCTCTAATAATGCCTTTTGCTCTGCCTCAGACCTCTGCACACCTCCACACGATGCCAACATACTCAGATCAAACCTCGTAATATTCTTAGTTGGACTAAGGTCTGTCGCTAAGGCCTCATGAATCAACAATCTTGACTCGGGACCCATAGCTGCTGCAAACTGTGAGAGGAACTTGACGGACACGTGGTCAGCATGATTGTGCAAGACACCACGAAGGTAGTAGACACGGGCGCCTTTGACAGGCTGTGGATGTGCCATGTCGTGGTCCATGATTTCAACATCAGGTAGCGAGTCAGCCGTGATCTTGTTAGTCACTTGGGGAAGATCTTGCAAGATGATGCGACCACGAGAACGCGGAAAAGCGCTGCGGACGCGCCTAGCTTGGTGGCCGAGACCGCCGCCGCTGTTTGCGATAACGTCAGTTTGACCTTGCCTTCTTTCTTCTATTTGTCCAAGGAGGAGGGAGGTCTTACATATCAACAAAGAGGATGTCATCGGCGTTAGAGTTTGCGAAAACAGTCTCAAACGGATAGAAGCTAACAAAATCTTCCTCTTGGGTGGTACGAGGGAGTGACATGTAATCGTTGAAGTATTTGCTCAGCCTTGGGTCCTCTGACATGCTCTCCCAGAACGTCTTGGTGGTATTGGTCCCAACCTGCCAGGCGCAGTGTTTTGCATCAGGTAGAACTTTGTAATTGTTGTCACGAAGCCACGCCGGAAGAGCAAAATATGAGGGCATCAAGGCAACTCTGAGTTCATTACGATCAGCACCTGTACTGTAACTAGGAAAACGTGATATACTGACTGTGTCATGACATTGCCTTTTCGGTACGGTTGTACATAGTCTCTAGTAATTGCATTTGCTGCATACTGACCCAATGAGACTTGATCGACCATATAATGTGCATCCAGCAGACGCATGATTCGAGCGACCAAGGCTGGGTCGGCATCGAGCTCTCTGGCAATATCGGCTGTGCTGAGAGACCCAGACTGCTTGGACAGGATGTCAAATATGCCCATCTCACATGCCACTCCGGCGCCAAACAGCTCGAGTGGTGCCCAAGTCTGTGCTTCAGCAAAAGTCATAGGGGTATGGAGCTGATGTACAGCCTTTTCAGCCAGGCGCAATGCTCGGATACGAACATTCTCATCATCAATTTCAGAAGGAAATAAGGTGGATACTCGACTACAGAGTGCCTCAAACTCCTGAAGCCATTCCTCTGTGGTAGACATAGTGATGTGGATGAGTTATGATGCTGGCTAGCTAAGAGGTGAAGGCCACGGACAGACTCCACATCTTATATACTTCGTGAACACGAGGCTGAACACCACAATTAGTTATGCATATAAATTGAAGTAATACATTTGCACTTACAGATGGCATGCTTACATGCATGCAAACATGACACCACGTGATTGAAACAGCTTGCGCCGGCTTACATCGCTGACATCCATGACAGTTCCATCCATGAATATCCACCGGTAGAAGCCGGTGAATAACAAGGATAAGACGGAATGAAACACGCTGTCAACCGGTACACACACATAAAGTCTTATGACTCCATGTCTGTAATCCCAATTGGAAATCCATCTACTCTCCACTTTCAACTTCGTTGCCATTCTCACCCCGGCTCGTTTCATCAAATTATTTGACATGACGCTCCACCAGGTCACTAATATTCAGGCCTGTTCGGCAGAAATTGCGGAATTGAGCAGGACCTTTGATGGTTCTTCCGGACGGTTCATGGTCGACAGCCTGCCATTATTGAAGAAATCTGAGGAACTTGTCGCTCTTGTGCAGTCCCCTGCGGAGCATGCCACGTCGTTAATTCTCAGAACCATGGAAACGGCTGTTATTAGAACGCTCTTGTCTTTGAATGTCCTTCAGGCTATTCCAGCTACAGGCTCCATCTCTCTTCAAGACCTTGCAGTGGCCACCGAGACCCAGGCAGCCCTCCTCGAGCGTCTCCTGAGAGTATTGACAAGAACGGGATTTCTTATTCGCGAGAATGGTGCATACCGACACACACACACATCCTTGGCCTACGCTGGTCCGCTTGGGGCGCTTTTCGCACCCTGTTACGACGAAGGGATTCGGGCCTTGACTAGGCTTCCCGAATATCTGTCGATAAAGGAGAAAGAAGAGGCAAAAAGCGCTAAATACAGCCCTTTTACGTGGAACGAAGGTCAAGAGGGCAAGACCACATTTGAGATTCTGTCTACGATGCCGGCAAGAACAGAAGGCATACACACTTTGGCATCTAGCGTCCAGCATTTGCGCCCATACACTGGATTCTTTGACTACAATACACTTGTCTCTGAAGATCATGAAAGGCCAGTTTTCGTGGACGTGGGAGGTGGTAATGGGCACGTTATTAAGGAGATACTGCAAGCATTCCCTCAGATACGGCCTGAACAGTGCATTTTGCAAGATCGTGCAGAAACATTAGACCTAGCCAGGACGACGGGCTTGCTTCCTGCTGGCGTGCAGCTTCTCGAGCATGACTACCTTACTCGTCAGCCAATCCCAAATGCGAAGGCATATCACCTACGTGCAGTAGCTTATAATTTGGGCGATACCGAACTCGTTCAACTGTTGAAGCAGATAGTGCCAGTTATGGCCACTGACTCCAAAGTTTTGATCGCCGAGAATATTCTGTTTGATGATAACGGTACTGCCTTCAGTACAGTGTCAGACATGATCATGTTGTGTATCGGCGGCAAAGAAAGAACGGAGCAAAACTTCCGCGAAGTCCTCGATAAAGCTGGCCTTAGGGTCGATAGCATTCATCGTGCGCCTGGATTGGAGTATGGAATTGTAGAGGCGAGCCTGAAAATGTCCTGAGCTCGCAGGAGCAAGCTGAATGATTTCTGCTCTTGCCATCCTATGATGTGAGTGGAAGTTTGAAAACATCTTGGGGGTCATTAGCCTCTACTTGGACCTCACGCTGAGATACTTAGGAAGGAAACTGGGAGAAGACGTTGATGGCAAGCCAACACTACGGACACGCCAACAAGCATACTTGATATGGGTGTTGATACATACACGTGTGGCTATGTAACAGATGAGCTACTGTCTTAGATAGCTTTATTTGTGCTTTTATTTATCTTCATGATCCGTACAATAGGTGCTCCTGCGCATGATCTAATATCATTCCAGATTTGCTAGTCCTTCCGAGCCCCCTTTCCCCACTCTACATTCCAGGGACACTAACAAACGTATACATCCCGGTCTGTAGCCCAACTGTAATCATAAAAGCTACGTCAGAGATAGGGCTAGCCACGGCTTTTGAGTCCACTTGTCACGAGCAACGGAGCTTATTATCTTTCACCTATAATATGTAGTAATCATACATTGCTTACCCCTAGTAATCATGCGTTGCTTATGTGTATTGGTGAGCTATCACGAATTGAGTTGGCTCAACTTACTCAGCTCGGTCCAGAAATCCAGGGATAATATGTCGCTCCCATTGGAATTGGTCTCATTGGAATTGGGGACTCCTCATATAAATGATATCCAGCGCGTCTCTGAAGCATGAGCTGTATATTATTTTCCACTTTGAAGTACCACAGTAATAAACATGGCTCCCAATACAAGTCGGTCTGCTCAACTGGTGAAGATAATCACTGATAACTCTACCAAAATTGAGGCATATCGTCAGGAACAGGGATTACCGCCCCTCAGTTTGGGGCCCGATGCACCACTTGACGTAAAATACCCACCTGATGTGGAAGAATGTCGACGGGCGCTTATCGATGCTAGCCTGGAGTTGGGAGACCTGGCGACAGGTCCTGTCGAGCTTCGCCTCGTTCCTGGATGGGCAGTTATGACAATGTTTGGTGTGACCCAATTCATCTGCGACTTTGATATCGCCCACCAGGTGCCTCTCACAGGAGATGTGTCGTATGAGGATCTCTCCAAGACTGTCAATGTTAGTGCGTCTGTACTCCGTCAGGTTCTGCGCGCGGGCATGCCCTACCATATGTTCTACGAGCCACGGCCGGGCCACGTGGCGCACACGGCAACAACCAAAGTTATAGCACGGGAGCCACTGATTAAAGACTGGACCGGCTTGTCTACGGATGTCTTGTATCCTGCTAGTATTGGGTTGACCGAAGCCTTGAGGAAAGAACCTGCGGCAAACGACCCCGCCAAAACCGGCTTCATGTTCGCCAAAGGAGACGGCGAATCCGGCATGTTCATGTACCTTGAGAAGCACCCAGAACAGGCACGAAGATTTACAGGTGTTATGGGCGCGTTTCACAAGGACGAGGCGTATTCGCCACGACATCTTATCGACAGCTGGCCGAATGATTTGCAAATTGGGAAACTCGTCGACCTGGGTGGATCCACGGGCGCCGTGGCCTTTGCTTTGGCCGAAGCGTTCCCGAGGCTCGATATTGTGGTACAAGACTTGGCCGGGGCGCTTGAAACTGCAGAAGTTCGAGAGGGCAAGAATGTGTCGTTCATGGCTCATGACTTCTTCAACGAGCAGCCTGTCCAGGATGCTGACGTGTATGTGAAGGCCAAAATATTGTATCATTGAATCCTGTGCTGACTGTCTACCTTGGTGATCTTAGATTCTTGTTTCGCTGGGTTTTGCACAACTGGCCAGACGATCACGTCAAGCGCATCTTAAGAGCTTTGGTCCCGTCGCTGAAATCTGGCGCCAAGATCATCATCTTCGACGAGATTATGCCTCCTGCTGGCACGTTGAGTTTGAGCGTTGAGCGATATCAACGGTAAGCTATATCACTCAGTGCATCTTCTGTGTTGGATAATGCTGATAATGAGTGTTTCAGAAACATTGATTTCGGCATGTTGACACTATTCAATTCTAAGGTTCGTATAGCCAGATAGACCAACATGCTTTTCTCCATTCTAACATAGGAATGCTGATTGCAGATTCGTGACGTCGAGGAATGGAAAGAAGTTATTACTCAGTCAGACCAGCGGTTCAAGGTCGCGGGTGTCAGGTACCCTGAGAATTCGCGACTTTCTCTCATTGAAATCGTATGGGAGCCGTAAGGTTCTAGCGTACATCGCGTTCCATTGCTGGGAATGCCTCACATACGGCCTGGAGATTTGCTTACACACAGAGTAATCGGTTACCATGTTTGCTATATCTCCCGTCAATACTATTATTTTTCATATCTCTCTTATTATCCCTACCAGTACAGAAATCATTAGCCAATAAACTATAGCTACCTAGGCATTAATCCTTATTTTCAAACGATTCCTACTATTTATGTAAAGCTCCGAAAATCCCATAAATGGGCCCGACATCTAAAGCCCAACCCAACCCCAGGCCCATTGATGGGGGGCCTTATAGGCCCCATTAAGGCCCATCTCGCGCTAACAGATAGGTCTCTATAATTGCTGTATTACGACCTTCCACTGATCATATGAAGTCCAAACTTGAATAATGTTGAATTTATAATAGCAGAATAAGAATACATTTCAATTTTCAACAAACAGATCGGCGGAGGTCAAAATGTTCCAAAAATATAAAAATTGATGTTTGATATAAGATATATATTTGGGATATGTATAGGAGTAGTACCACTTTCTAGGTAAACTTCCATAATCTTTGAATCATCTAAATCACCGCGTTTTTCGCGTTTTTAAAACGTGATATAGAAATATGACTAGTGATTGATTCTAAATCATTCAGATTAATAAAATATTACCTTAGGTATAATAGTACGAAACGGTGCTAAACATAGGGTAATTGAATTGTTTGGTGCCCATTGGGCCGATTGGGGCCCCATTGAAAGCCCAGTGGGCCCGAAGACAAGCCCAAAACCCAACCCATTCGTGGGTTGGGTTAGGCTGGGCTTTCTTTATAGGTTTTGCGGAGGTCAATACTTAAGTGCGCCGAATTGACCTTCTAAGATATGTAATAAGAGGTGGTAAAATTCCCCCTACGACTTGTAAAGCTTTCGGACAACAAAAACTTACCGAAGTTGTGAGTAACAAGTGAGGATAAGGGCAGCTAGCAGTGGTGAGCCTACCCGGGTGGGGGTGCCTTCGGGGGCCGGCCCCCCAAGTGTATTAAGAAATATGAGGTGGGGTTTGTTCTTATGTCTATAGTTTTTTGGACAGTGCATATGGATTAGTTCTTTTGTTATAACCACTAGCTAAAGATTTGTCCTTTGCAGCATCCTCTATCACATATAACCGCCCAAACAGAAATACCATAAACCAGGATTCCCAGGAAAACAAAAAGAACATCTGTTTATGAGACTAATTTCTTCAAATCCTGGATCGTTTTCACTTCGAGGTAGAATGCATCACGAATCTCAATTCCAAGGTTCTCTCGCAGCTTCTGGGAGATAACAAGCGACATCAGCGAGTCAAGCCCAATATCCGCGATTTCACACTCGTCAGTCAGCAAGCCAATATCGACAGCGAGCTCTTCGGCCAATATATCTATAGCGCGTGACGCAGTGTCATCAACACCATCAGGCTCTTCGTAGCCGCTGTCACTGTCCGTCTTTTCTATCAGTCCATTTGGAGGTGGCGGGCCTCTTGGCGGTAAGAGATTGTAATCAAGCTGAGGCATCGTCTTTGGAATATCACTAGACTTGTTCATCATTCCAGACTGCGGAGGAGTTGCAGTACATGTAGGAGGTTTCTTAGTCGTCTTTCGATCCACCGCCGTAACCATCGCCTTTGTCTTTAGGGAACTTGCAGACGGTAGTGGGCTTGGAGTTGCAGATTTGTTCTTTTGAGTGGAAGGAGCAGGAGCTGCACCTACTGGACGGAAGAACCGATTAAGCATCACTCTTGGCCACTCTCGGAACAAGATGGCTTCGACCACGCCCACAATCTCGCCGTCCTGTAGAATGTAGACGTCACCGACGTAAGAGCCAAGCTTACTATTGTCGTCAATAGCCTCTGGTACCATCCTCACGTATGCGAGATATCGACCCCCAGGGACCAACGGTTTGGCAAAACGCATGGACTTCCATGACGGAGTGATGAAGAAGTTGTTGATATTGTCAAAGTGGGTACCGCCATTTAGAATGAATCCAGACAGAGATACGAGACCGTCGATAAAATGTGGTGGCATAGCCCAGTCTCCTTGCGTGTCTGCAGGGAAAATGACTTCAGCCACAGCTTCGTCTTCGTTGAGTATTACCCATTTCATGTTGCGATACATGCGAGAGTAATTCACCAGTTTTCCAAAGAGACTGTAAGCAAGATCGGTGGTGAGCTTGTCGGCCGTACCCTTGGTTGACATAGCATTGAGTGCGTCAATCCGACTGGTAACAAGTCTAGTCGTCCGGGCCCAATTTGACAGCCAAGCCGAAGCATCTTCATAGTACGCTGTAGCATGGCAGTACCATTTGTCATTGGCTGGGTTAAACCACTTGATCTGGACTTCTCCCTTCTCGAGATTGGCTTCGGCATTGACGAGAATGGGATGTGGATCAACAGAGGTTGGGTCTTGCACTACCGGATCGTGATATTCGAAGTTGGCCACATTAATGCCCATTCCACTGAATGTCGATGGAACTGCCTTTTCTTGGATCCTTTTGGCTAGCGTAAATGCCATGTCGGCATGCAGAAACTATTACAGGTTAAAAGTGTCGAGCAAAGTAGGAGTTAATCATCAGCTTACCGACGACGCGACACCGTAACCGTTCATAGCATGTCCTTCTATGACATCTTTGAGTGATGGGTCCGTAATATTGCACTCGGCCAAGACGTTTGCTGTTAGTGAGTCGTAATCTTCGGAATAGAGCCGTTGGATGCTTGATGTCCGGAACCCGCTGGCAACATGAAGCGCTGGCTCTGGTAAAACCTGGCCCTTGGTCAAATTCCAATCTCCTCGGTACTGTATCCAATAGTTCTTGTTATTCCAAGCGTAGGTTGGCAAGGAGACAAGTCGGAGTGCGTGCTCAAATGGACGATGGTAGTCATTCCAGTCGATGTCGAGACCAACCTCGTATAGACTGCTCAGCATCTTCACTAAAGATGCCCAGTTGTCGCAGTCTCGATGTAGGGGTGAGCATGCTAGACGAGTCTCGGGGAGTGTGCGGCTGATGAAACCGCTGCATACAGGATGAGGGCCCAACTCAAGCCAGACAGTGGATTTCGATACCACGCCAGCATCGAACGCTGCATTAAGAGCTCTAGCGAAATCAACCGTCTTTCTTAATGAGGTGATCAGGTATGATGAATCAATGTTAGAGCCTGTCTCGATAACTGTTGAGTCTTGTGGAGACATGATTGGGATGTTGGGCGCATTGTAGACGATATCTTGGGTTCGGCGACTGAGATCATTCATGACATTGTCCATCTGAGCCGTATGATACGCGTGTGGCACATCAACTCGTGTCGCTCTGTACCCTGCTTTGGAGAGACGAGCAGAAAAGGCATTTAGATGCTCCACAGTGCCTCCAATAACAGTCTCATTGGGGCCGTTGATACAGGCTACTTCGAATGGCGCGCCATCTGCTTCACGTGCAATGTCTGCCACTGAAGCGCGAACGGAGAGCATTCCATGGGTGTAAGAAGAGCAGTTTGACTCCAGAATGGCTGCTCGTGTTCCGACGAGGAAGACTGTGTCACTGTCGGACAGCACACCAGCCACGGCCATGGCGGCATATTCCCCCAGGCTATGTCCAATGACAGCACATGGCTCAATACCAAGCCCCATGCATAGTCGAGCGAGCGCAACTTCAACACATACAATGGCAAGATGTATAGAGGCGGCTGGCAGGTCTTCGCGAACACTCGTTCTGTCGATAGCCGGTAGGAAGGATGGGAAGTTCTGGCGACGCGCAAGGCTATCGAACTGATCAAGTTGAGTGCGGAAGAAGGGAGAGTCTTGGTAAATCTGTGCTGCAATTCCCACATAGAAAGTACCTTGGCCACCAAAGGCAAAGGCAACTGGGGGCCGCTTCACTAAGGTTGGAGTCTGAGCCAGAGCAGTTTCAATGTGCGGTTGAAGCTGTTTGACAGCATCATCCAATGACCTTACTACAACAGATTTCCGGTATGCGTAGTGACGTCTCCGGGCTGAGAGTGTGTAGGCAATATCGGCAAGAGACAACTCCTGCGAACCCTCAATATACTCAACAAGGCGCTTGATATTTAAGCTGAGAGACTGGGCCGTCTTTGCTGAAATCGTAATGGCATGAGCTTCCCGTGTATCCTCGCATAGCCGTGGCCTTGGGGTAGGCTCTTCGATAATCATAGCCGTGTTACCTCCAGCGGCGCCAAAGTTGTTGACCATGGCAAGCCTCTTCTGTGTGCCGACCGGGCCCCAATTGGCGGCTTTAAATGGAATAACAACGCCCATCTTGGCTAAGTCCGGTAGTGCAGGGTTCAGACCTGTCTTCACGCCGATGTGAGGCGGAATGATGCCATTCTGGAACACTAACACGGTCTTGATGAAAGCCATAATTCCGGCAGCAGCCTCTCCGTGGCCCATATTAGATTTGACTGAACCCACATGCAGGGGTATTGGTCTGGGTCCACGAAGGCGGGAGGGCGCAAACACACTCGTTACTGATCTCATCTCGGTAGGATCACCAGCTTGCGTCCCTGTACCGTGCATCTCGACGTAACCTACGTCCAGGGGGTCGATCGCAGCTCGTCGGACGATCTGGTCGTAAAGCAGAGCTTGTGCTTCGTCGTGAGGATGAGTGATGGAAACGGCTTCCGCGGAATGAGAAGTAGCTGCCGACAAGATTACCGCGAGTATGTTATCGTTGTCGGCTTCTGCATCTTCCAGCCTCTTCAGAACCACGCTTCCGACCCCATCTATTCAGCAATCCCAGTTAGTAGGAACGACTGGAGGAGAAAGGGTGCCGGCATACCTGATCTACAGTATCCATCTGCTCCCTCGTCCCATGTCTTACAGCCCCCCGTAGGGGAGAGGAAATGCCCTTCGCTGAGCCCTGCATAGACATCAGAATTGGTGAGGATGTTCATCCCTCCCTGAAGTAACAAGCCAATATTAGATCGGATCTCAAAATATTATGACACTTTATAGTAATCATAAAACTCACCGTAATGGCCATGTCAACATCTCCACTCCACAGTGATGAACATGCGGCTTGAATGGCGGCTAAACTCGAAGAGCACGCAGTGTCGACACTAAAGCTAGGGCCCCAAAAATTGAGAAAATAGTTGATACGCCCGGGACCAAACGCCCTGCATCCACCGGGAATGAAATAAGTGCCTACTTCTTGTCCAGAGTTGACTTCGCGGTAGTCGTCGCTGGCTTGACCGTAAAAAGTGCCAACACGCTGGCGATGGATGACGCCTCGGGTGTCGACGTATCCCGCGTTCTCCAGCGCCTCGTATGCGGTCACTAACGCTAGACGCTGCATTGGGTCCGTTTGCTCAGCCTCTCTGGGTGACATGCCAAAAAACATAGCTTCAAACATTCCCGGATTATCAACGAAACAGCCATAGGAAGTCTTGGACGTGTTATGCCGTTTCCCTGTAGGATCTACGTGTGTTTCGACGTCGAATCTATCGGGAGGAACCTGGCGGTGCATGTCTTGCCCCTGCATCAACCGTGCCCAGAATTCTTCGGTGGTGTCTGAGCCCGGGAAACGACATGCCATGCCTACGACAGCAATTTTCGAGGATTTCGTGTCCTTCGGTGGACTTTTCCCGAGCACAAGATCTAATACAGCTGGCGCCATAGCGATATCTGACACTGTTGCGGTGGGCAATTCAATCTGCCAGCGCTCCACCAAGTTTCGATTATAGTGCGACGGCAGTATGCTAATCAGTTGCGCAGATTTGGGCATCAGATGCCTCAGTTGATTGGTGACAGAGTCAATAACCACGTCCCACCGCACCGTCTCGGTCAGTATCTCTTCCATGATATGCTCGAGCAGGGGTCCAGCCGCTGTTTCTTGAAACGGCTCTCCGCTCACAGGCGATATTAACGGAATGTGCAGCTCCCGTGCTTGTTCAATATCTGGGAGGACCTGCTTCAAGTGCTCCACGCCATATACTCGGTCGGTATGCCACATCCCCTGGATCTTTCTCATTGCCACATTCGTCGTCTTCTTGAATCCATCGGACTCAGCGAAAAGCGCCTTCAGCGTGTTTGGCGGACCGCCTATACTGATTGAGCTCCCGGCGTTGTCCACGTTGAAGACAGACGCGCGACTGGTTGGAGGATATGCCTACAGCATTCATTAGAATATTATCAGCACTCGTATCCTAGTTCTGCACTCACTTTGTCTTCGTTGAATTTGTCCACCGCATCGCGCGCCTCTTTCTCACCCATCCCGTGGACACAATATACCCAGGCACCGTTGGCATTGATCTCATCCTGAGAGACCTCCAACGATCGGCAAACTCGATCGACAACCAAACCAAAGCGAAATGATATTCGGGCAATATTTCCGGCGATGCTTGGGATCATCAAAATGCTCGGCGAGAGACCTATTGCAGCTGCCGAGAGTAGGCCAGAGCCCCTTCCGATGAGTGACGTGCTGGCCGGTGTGAAATTGTACTCCAGTGGATGGGCCTCATGATATCTTTCCAGAATATGAGCATTGTTATCTCCATTGAATGGTTAGAAACGTACGCAACAAAGCTTCCCACTTGAAAAACCAAAACCAAAACTCGCTCGATGGCCCCACCAAGTGGCGTTTTTCTTAATTTCACAACATGATCTGTCAAATCGAGGACGCTCTCAAAAGGTGGGATTAGATCTCGGTGGTGACGGCTTAGTCTGCTACACTCGTCCTTCAATGCCACTGTCACGCACTCTAGCATTGATGCTAGAACCACATGATCTCGCTCTTTGCTAAGGATCTTTAGCTTTCTGAATAGGATTCTTTGATCTCCCTCTGGGTCTCCTTGGGGAATCTCTCCCGAAAAATACAGGACTTTAGCCGAAACCATTAGGATAATATTTGCTTGTTGAGAAGTTATGATATGTGATCCCAAACTTAGCAGGCATATAAGACTTCTCATGCGAGTATTTGAATAACATTCAAAGTCTATATATTACTCGACATTCTGCTATTACACGTCAGCATATAATATATTACAGCATCTGAAGTGCTTACTTTGCTTACTTGGGCGGCTCCGGGGCTTATTGGGGCCAAAATTCCTAACTGGTCCCGGTGGGGTTACAGTCTCTACCGCCAGTGCACCATAACAGATTTAGCCTATAGTATAGTATACCTTGAAAGATAATGATTTTATACCGCTAGATACATTAACATAATTATTCACACTCTGCCTGTTTTCAATAAATATCCTTTAAAGAAATAGTATTTGAAAATATCTACAGCACCACTGAAAAGACTGCATAGGGACGCATAAGTGGCCGAGGATACTTTATCTAACAAGTCGTCGCTATTTTCATCACGATAATACTGCGCTGAGAACTCCCGTATCCGGGTTGAATATAGATCAACCCTTCCACAACTATTACATCACTGCGAGTTAATGCACTTGAGATAGAAATTCTCCATGACTGGTCGCCTTGATGTAGAATGAGTATACGGACTAGAATACGGTATATATATGCCCCATAGGGTATATGACTAGTGGAATCTCATTCATGGACTTAGTTTATTCGGAAATATCATGGAGGTTTCTCGCCCATATTCAAGTGCTCCTGTTATTGTATATGAACCAATACTGTGGACATGGATAACTTCTGGAATTCTGAGAAGACAGCTCTAAGCTATACCTCCAAATCCCCTTCCCCATCACGACAAAATCCTGCGTGGTCACGGGAAAGTCCTAGACTTCCATGCTCGAGTCGAGCTTTTAGACCGTCTATATTGCTATTCTCAAAGTCCTTGAGCTCGCCCATGGGCAGAATTGAATGCATAGCGCGCAAGCGCTGAAGGGCTGCCATCTCATCTGGCGAAAGTTTCCCGAGGAGTTGATCTTGCTCAGGTGTGCCTTTTGCCTCCACAATATTGGTTAACTTCTTTTGCAGCTCCGTGTCGTGCAGGTCGTTAAGCGCATTGAGGCAAAGATTGATAGTTTCGGTGATTGACTCCCCCTTAGCCTTTGGTGCTGTTTCCTTGTCTGCGGCTCCTTGGATGACTGCGCAGATTTGTGACTGTCAGCACCGCAATAGCATAGATGGAGAAAGTGGCAAAAGATAATAACCTCAGGGGGTGATCTCACCTGGCCTAAGGACCGCGAATGCTCTATCAAAGCCTTCCTCGTCAAGGTCGGACAAGATCGGCTCTTCCTGCATACGTATTTGCTTGAGAGCAGCCATTACCACAACGAGGAATAACGTGTAACCTTCGTCAACCTTCTTCGCGTACCACCTGGAGGCATCTAACTCGTTGCAATCTCCCCGTATGCACGCATTGATGGACGTCGCCGCTGCTAGAGCACTCGAGAGGGCCAGATGATGACCAGACGAGAAGAAGGGATCAATGAAACATCCTGCATCGCCGACAATACGGAAGTTTGGACCAGCATACGCGCTGGCACTATAGGAATAATCCGTGGCTTGTCTGATACCTGAAGCCAGTTCAGCCGGTTCCAAATACGATGATATCGTAGGGCAGAGTGCAACTAAGCTCGCCAGGGCTTGAGCCTCCGTTGTCCCTTCTGGCAATGCCTTCTTCTTGGCAAGGAAAATGTCCCTGCGAACAACAGCTCCAATTGATACTGTACCATTGTGTAGAGGCAACATCCACACCCAGCCTGACCCATCTACATATGGTCATACAAAATTACCCGATCAGTAACTAGCAGGCAAGATTTGTATAATATTCATGGACTCACCTCTCATGCCTTCGGATATGGGCTGGTTTTCACGATCTGTTCCTGGGCTTGGCGGAATATTACCCTTGAAGTACCCCCACATGGCAATGTTTCTGAAACTTTCGTTGAACTTGCGATTTTTGAGGTACTTGGTTGACAGAATACCAACTCGACCCGTTGCATCCACCAGATAATCGAACGAGATGGTACCAGAGCAACCATCTTTCGTCTTCCATTCGGCCGAAACAGGTCGTCCAGGGTTGGCCAATTTGTGCTGGCTGGTGAACATATCGTTCTCATAAGACTCAAAATTTACCGATTTCAAGGAGACATTCTCGAAGGTCTTTGCACCACTCTTTGTAGCATGGCGAAAAAGAATCTCGTCCGATTCGGATCTCACAACATTCCAGGAGTAACCATTTGGACCGTTAGCCCGAATGAAGTCGGTGTCTGTGATGGCATTACATCAGAACGTATTCCGCCTTATTAAGGGGAATTGGCTGTACTAACATCCCGCACTCTTTGCGTTGAGCTTGAAAAATGCACCGAGCTGCATCCGATGTCAACTTATTTGACCTTGTATAAGATATATTCTCCCTTCATCCGCCTGATGACCTTCTCACCTTCTTCTGAAATCCATGCTGCTCGAAAGTATCTTCTAGGTCAATAAACCGTAGTAGATATCTCATCGAAGGGAGCAGACTCTCTCCAATGTGGTATCTACACATGTTAGCTGCTAAGTGGGCAATATGCGAGGAACGGCACACATATTCGTACCGGGGATGGCTATCTGCTTCGAACAAGACAACATCAACGCCCTCGCGTGCTAGAGCAGCCGCGGTATAAGACCCACCAGGACCACCACCTGCTACGAGAACGGTGCAAGATTGAGGAATTGCCATCTTTGCAGTACAAGAATATGAATACTGAATATTCTATTTAATCGTAGTTGGAGAATGCGGAACCTATAAGGGAATCTATAGGGCCCTTCCGGATATGGATTTTGTTTATTACGTTCTAATTAACTGTCCAGGTGATTAGATTACCTCAAAAGAGTCAGCATTATGCTTACCTGGGATTATCGGTGCTTACCGAAGATTATTTCTGCTTATTTCCATGGGTTTCTGCAAAGCCAACTGGGGAATGATCAATGCTGTTCAGTCGATATTTTCTCGTGCTGGCAGTCATTGCCCAAAAACGATCAGCGCCAAAAAGGGTGGGCAGTCATTAGAATAAACCCGCCTGACGCAGCCCAATCAGGAAGTGGACAGCAATGTAACCAGTTGATGATACTACCATGTCAAATTACCACAGGCCCAATTTATACCAGTAATGTGGTTTTAAAAAACTGATAAATACATGGCAAATAAAGCTCCTGGTTCAGAAACCCTTTGTAAAGCAACTCGAGAGGCGTTGCCCTTCCACGTATGATATCAGTCAGGTTAGCTAGAATTGTGATTTATTGATCAGTTGATTTTGTGAAGATATCTGCCCGTATAGAAAAATTACGTGGCAGTACTTTATTAAAGGTTCTAGTAATACATGCCACCCGGCTGAAAGTGCAAATTGAGCGCCAGGCGACTCTAGGTCTCTGGACCCGACAACTGGGGTCAAGAAATGACAGCCCCTTCCACCCCAAGGCTGTCACCCATTATTCTAAATATAACACCGTAATACTGGATCCCCACCAGACACGCAAATGATATACAGGCGGTCATGCAGCTCCACCAGCCGCCTTCTTCAGTTCCTGGCCGTTGATCTTCTTCCAGCTTCCAAAGAAGCCAGTGACAGTGGCGACACCATATGCGGCGACAGTAATCGCAAATACAGCTTTCAGACCAACCATGTAGGCATCAATGATAATGATAACTTGAGAGGCCGTGAAAACTTTGCGGACCTGAGTTGCACCGGTCCCAATAACTACCGCAGGGTCGAGTTCGGGGAGTCTTCTGGTGACTGTTTGAATCAGCTGATTGTTAAAGACACACTGCGCTGCTGAAAGGAAGAAGGCCCCGCCAACGGTTGTGAAGACTAGAACTACGGTTAGTATACGCCTCGTGCAAGGTACAGTAGAGTGAGGACCCACAATTGACGATAGCTGTCGCCTGCGACATGTCCTCCGGTGAGGCATGGACTTGAGCGTTTGACATGGCAATCTGGAATGTCCAGCCCGCGCTGAAGCCAACAAGAATCTGGTATCCGATCCACTTGCCAGTAGATGTTCCAATATCAAAAGTATAGAATAGGCCACAGCCGACGGTTCCCAACACACCACCTATAATCCAGAATAGGGGTACGATGCCAACTTTGGATAGCGCGAATCCCTGCACGATGGCAGCGAGAGTCAATGGGATGATAAGTGCGAGCATTTTGACACCAGACCCGATTGGGCTGCTGTTATAAACGCTCTGGAAATAGATCGGAAGAAAGTAAAGGATAATGAAATAGGCGCCACCGAAGAAGAACATGAACACGGAGCCCACAGAAATGTAACGTTTCATGAACTACAGCAATCGCTATTAGTTTCCGGGCAGAGCAGGATGGGACACATGTCGTGACTTACCAGCCGTGGAACAATCATCGCACGTTCCTTTTGGTATATTTCCCAGGCCACAAAGGCCACGACCATCAGGAAGAAGCCGACCAGCAATCCTATAACCTCGCTGCTCTTCCAGGAATGGGTTTGACCGCCATACTGCAGCGCCAGCAGAAATGAAACGATCAATCCCATCATGAGGGCTCCGCCGCCAAGATCCATCTGCAACAACTTCTCTTTGGGTGTAGCCTTTGCCGGGGCTGCGCTACTTGGGGTCTTGAAGAGAAGGAAGATCGTCCCGGCCGCTAGTCCCCCGATGGGCAAATTAATGTAGAAGCACTATCGAGTGGTCAGTGATAGTCTAATATTTCAATTGCTGTCATCTTACCCAGCGCCATGATACTTTATCAGTGAAGGCGCCGCCGATGAGCGGCCCCAAGACTGCGGCGATACCGTAGGTTGCTCCGGTGAATCCCAAAAGCTGCGGACGTTTGTCAGGCGGCGCAGCAAACCCGATAATGGTGAAGATTCCCACGCCAACTCCAGCTCCGCCAAAGCCGGCGATAGCCCGGCCGACTATGAGAGTTGTAGGGTCTTTCGCCACGGCGCAGATGAGGCTGCCCAATTCAAAAATGAATACGGCAACGAGAAACCAAAGCTTGATCGGAAAGTACTTATAAAACTTGCCCCATGTTGATTGGAAGCCTGGAAATTATTAGCCATTTCGTGTCGATGTGGGTTTAGGACAGAGTATTCAAGGATTCGTAAATGTAAAGTAAAGGTGAAACTCTGCGTAAAGGTCAACATGCCATCCAGAAACTAATGCATCCATGAAACTAACCACTGCCATATGTCATCAAATAGGCTGCTCCATACCACGACACTTTGTTCAGGTCATGAAATTCGTCCGTTATTTTAGGAATGGCCGTGCCGAGAATAGTCTATTGATGGCCTTGGTTAGCTTATGTGATGCATCGGAAACGAGAGACTGACGTTGTCAAGTGCCACCAAAAACATTCCCAACATGAGTGAAAGCATAACAGCAGCTAGGCGGGCACCATGCGGATATTCATCAGTGACACCAGCTTTGGCATCGTGGTTGGCGAGATCCACGTCACTTCGGTCTGAACTTGACACAAGTGTAGACGAACGCCGTGAAGGGTGTTCAGCCGTCACCTGATTCTCTGAGTCGATGGTCTGCTTCTCCATTGTTGAGTCCATTGTTGAGTTTTCAAATTGGTACCCAGGTGATATGACAGGATTAACAAATTGCCCCTTTTCACATTACGAAGAAGGTAGCTTGTTTATGTATGTCGGCATCGGACGAATTATAGCCGCAATAAACAAATCCAGACAGACATATGACATCTCCGAGCTAGACAAAGGAGGCAGACAAGGGGTATCATTAGTTCGGCCGAATCAAGCTCGGCCTCAGTTCAATCTTCTTCTGTGATCTTAGGATAATATATCTGATGAGTGGCATTTATCCATTGCTTTGGATACTTCAACATGAACCATATAATAAAAGAAGTCAAGTTTGTATTGCAAGTTGGACGTTCCCTTGAACATATCTCGGCTGAATAGTCCGAAGGGCTGTTCGGACGAAAATACGTTAGTCATCAGGAACATGCGATGGCGCCCAACGCAGGTGCCCCCCACGGGCCCCTGCCCAGTCGGGAGGTCCCGAGGTCGCGCGACCGAGAAACCGATATCTAGAGACCTTCTCATCTGTACCCACAAGAAAGTCTCGGACATAGTACTAATCATCTCGGTCCAAACTTTTCGACAGGGTACCGCCACACTTGCGTACTCGGTCAAACGCTGATATCTCTTCCCGCGGTCGTTGCGAGAACTGACCGAATGATGAGTACCCCCTCGGACGAACGCGCCGCGAAGCGCAGAAAGGTCCGCAAAGGTACACACAGCTGCTGGGAGTGCAGGCGAAGAAAAGTCAAATGTACCTTTTCGTTGCCAGATGATGCGATCTGCATCACTTGCCATCGTCGAGGCACGAAATGCATCAACCAAGTAATCTTGGACGGCCCGGAAATGGCTGAGAACGATACAGGAGATGCTCAGCCAGATACTGTTGCCAACACGCGATCAATGGAAGATAGTGGTGTGCGTCCTCAACCAGGTGCTACTGTTGGCTGTGTATCACCGGCTCCGCTTGCAATACATACAACACCGGCATCGTCATTCCATGGCAAAGTTAGTCAGTATCTCCACATAAAAGGCCATTTACTAATTATATCATAAAGCAAAGGATTGTGCCGAGTCACCTACGCACCGAGAAATCACCAAGCCAGCTTGCGACACCTCAATTACCACCAACGCCCGTGTCTGGTCATGGGTCTATCTCGGAGGCCTCCACATATCCCAGCATCACTCAGGCCCTACGAAACTCTCTCCCTCCTCAGAAAGATGTTAAGATTTTGCTTGAAAACCTCAGCAGCATGTCCATCTTTTGCTACCAATCTAGCTTCAAGCTATGCAGCTCATGGCCGAGTGAAATGACGAAAAAGCAAATACCAGTAGCCAATATCCTATATTCAGAAAGCCACCCAGTTTTGTTGGCAAGGCAAATGCTACTTTTCGCAGTTGGATTGCAACACCTGTCCCCCACAAAAGCGATACCTGGCCTCACCAAACATCATCGCGCTATAATGGAGCAGCTAGCGGACTCAGCCATCAAGCTAGTGAATACGAACGATGTCTTGCTGGGCACGTTGGAGGGTCTCGAGAACCTCATCCTTGAAGGCTTCTATCACATAGATGGCGGCAATATCCGACGATCCTGGATCACAATGCGCCGTGCTATCATGACAGCACAGCTATTGGGTTTGCATCGACCAGGTCACTATCGCTTCAAAATCATCAACCAGCAGAACGATCTCGATCCTGCAGTTATGTGGGCCTGTGTAGTTTCCACGGAGCAATTTCTATGCTTGCTACTAGGTCTTCCCACAAGCACCAGCGGTGCGAATTTCACAATCCCTAGAGCAACGAGTGCTTGCGTTGAGAGCGGTAATTTGCCTGTACTTATTCCGGATGTGGTACGCAAGATTATTGAAAGGAATCAGATGCACGCACCCCAGGAAGCACTTGACGTGACTCAAGAGATTGATCAAGAGCTCTTGAGGGTTACCGAGCAATGGCCGCCTTCGTTTTGGCGGCCATTGCAGCTTGCGGGTCTCGAAGTAAATTCGGTTGATGCATTCTGCGAAACTCGCCGAGCTTGGGATCATATATTCTATTACTCTTTAGTGAACCAGCTCCATCTGCCATATATGCTAAACCCAAGGCATATCTCGCAGAGGGTGTACTCAAGAATCGCCTGCGCAAGCGCTAGTCGCGAGATTCTAATCCGGCAGATTGCGATCCGTACCTTCAACCCGATCACGGCCGGCTGTCGGATGGGCGATTTTGTGGCTCTGATCGCGGGAATGACACTAATGCTGGCCCACATATTGAGCCACTGTAACAAGGGTACAGAAAACCTGCTCGTACACCACCGTGTTGGGGACCGCGCGACGGTTAATCGGGCACTTGAGTGCATGGAATCTATGTTGGAGCTACATGAGGATGTTCTCACCGCGAAATGTGCTGCCCTTCTGAAGAATTTGTTAGATATTGAAGCGGGGCCTACAGATAGACATTCGGATGACGGGCAAGAAGACAACCAAGACGTGTTGATAGTCAATGTGCCGTACGTCGGTGCCATCAGAATTGCGCGAAACGGTATTTCTATCACGCCGCTCGACACGGAGCAGGAGCAAGTTGCCTATGAGGGTGTGACAATTGGTGGCTTTGGATCTATCCATGTCGGAACACCACGCGACTCGGACCATTATGCTGATGTGGTCACATCAGATGCTGCAACCTCACAGGTAACCAAACAGGCTGTGAGGCCATCATCAGCACGGAAGCATGGGGGGCACAATGTCCAGGCTATGTCGGAAGATGCTTTCGCACTGCCAGAAGAGCCATTTCCCGATGCTTCTGCCAGCATGGAAGGATGGCTTTTCCAAGGCCTTGACACTGCCTTCTTTGATGTGCTGATGAGCGGAGCTGGGGGGCAGCCACCGAACGGTACTGACCCTGAAGGATGGAATTTTACAATGTCCCCATGAATTAGGATCATATCATGATTATACACCGTTATACCTCTTGGAGGTTCTCTGGGCGGTTCGCGGTTGCTTACCTTGAAACCGGACCCAGACCATCTCGATACCGAAGAGTAGGAAATTAAGTAGTAAGAAAGGATTTATATTGCAAGAGGAACTAGTCGTAGGGTCCAATTCTGCAGCGTTAGACGTAATAGTCTGCGGATATTCCGCCTTGCTTCGGATCAAGCCTTCTCTTCCCTGCCAAATTTGCGCGACTGATCTTTAAAGCAGCAATAACATATGCATCTTGAACGTATGAGATACCATGTAATATCTTTCCTGTCCAGATCCGGTCCGGCCTGTCTCCCATTTCCCAGTTCTCTAACAGGAACTGTTTCCCCCGTGCTATGGCCAACTCAATGTGACTGAAGTCATCTCCAAGGGCAGTATGTGAGCCCAGATTTGCAAGGGCAATTATTGAATAGGCAGTTTCTTCCTTGGAATGTATATCACCCCAAGAGCCATCCGGGTTCTGCTGTTGCAGGATACGTGCGGTGGCCCCCTGCAAGCAGGACGGAATTATCATCTGAACAAGATCTTCTGGTATCGAGGGTAATCCTCCTTCGTGCCAAAGAACCAATAATTGTACGAGTGACTGTGCCATGTGCATGAGGCCATAGAACTCGGATAAATTCTAGAAGTTATTTCTATTAGCAAAGTTCATCTTTATCTTAGAAATTTTCACTACAACGTACCCAGTGATCTTCGAATCTGCCTTCCTCGTGCCATCTCCCGCATATGAACCTTGCAACCTTCTCGATCTGAGAACTAAAAGCACTAGGGTCTGGGGAATGAAGCAGTGAGCTTAGGACATTACCATTCACGCTCACACTTTTAACACGGTTAGGCATCTTCGCGTCGAATGTCGCGAAACATTGATCAACTTCGAACTTTGCCGTCATCCCTGCTGGGCTGATTTGGTAACCGTGGATATTCAATATTGTAAGGGCCCTTGAGGTGTCGTCTGCATCCGGGAAGAATGCGTGAGCTGGGTATATGTCAGTCAAAGATGAGGTTCGAATGTATAGTATTGTTGACCGACTGCACTCACTGGCTCCAGTTACCCCATCCTCCATTTTGCGATGGATTATGTGAAGAATGCTGTCCACCTTTTCACGCCCCAAGATATCCGCTGTGAATCCATTTTCTAAGAGTGCGGTGAGAATCTGAGAATTTGTTAGGAAGTTCAATACGACCGCCATTTTTATCGGAGAACATACCCAGCATGGCTCAAAAATCTCCAATGGGAATACACCACAGACAGCGCCAGTTCCTCTTCCTTGACCATGTGATACAATATACCGTAAGTAATTTTCACATTCCTCGCTCCAGGTAGGTGCATAGATCAAATATGCTGCAGTGGAAGCAGGCGAGGCAGCTATGCCTGCCATAGTGACAAGATGACTGAGCCTGCTGAAGTCAAGCTTATCAAGGAACCCCTCCAAAGAAAAGAGAGGAACCTTGCAAGGGCCACTATAAACCCAATTAATGTCAATATCAGAGGCTTCTTGGTATTTCTTCATCAAGGCCTCCTTCGCCGGAAATTCGAACGTCACACCTTCGTCGCGCAAAAGGCGCAAGAGTACCGGAACCAGCAGCTCATATCCAAAGTGGGTGGTTCCATCAAGCTGCCACATCTGCAATTTACAATCAAGAAATTGCTTTGCACGTATTATCCTAGCCAGCGAATCATCAGGAACATCACCTCCTCTGCGCATGGCACGGCGAACATGGCGGCACAGAGCAAGTAATGCAGCCATGGAATGGATGATACAATCTGGCAACCAGACGTTGACCGGATATTTAGTGGTTCTAATGGCCTGTTCCAGGGGATCCCAGCCCCCTTCCACGTTTTGGTGCTCAAGGAGGTATTCAAAGCACTCAGGGAATAGCCACTGATCTGTATTTTTCTCGATCATAGCAAGCCATGCTGTGTCATATATCGACGGTGCCATTGAACACAGCCCATAGTCTGACTCTATCTCTGAAGCAACCTTTTGGACAAGGTCACTAGCACACTGAGTTAAGAATGCAGAAGACATATTTGCAAATCAAATGGACATAAAAAAGAATTGGACGGTCTGTCAATAATATTGCTGGCCTCATCCACATATTTGAAACGGACTGTAAGTTATATATATCATTTTTGTTGGGCAGCATGTATTCCCAACAACCTCACACCCTTAGGCATCATTGTGTACTGATAATTGCGTACTTTATCGCTATATAGGCTATATAGATGTAGGATACTAGTTTCCTCCCTTAATATAAGCGGTCAGTACATTGCTTGAAAGAACGAGGTGCTGCTGTATGCTCTATGTGTGACATAAAACCGTCTATTAATTGATCCTGGCATCCAACTGCTACACAACGTGTAACATCGATATAGTCGAGTCCATATTTTCAATCCATCATAACTATGCAGCAGGAGCAAACTGAACTAGGTAAATCTAGTGAGTAAAGTCCCAATAGATGTGCCAAGCGCCCAACACATTACCAGTGTTGGTGCGCCCTACTTAACGATCAATGTCCAACTAGGTATATCATACAAAAGGTACGGAGTACAAAGGTTCAATATTCATAATATCTATTTTTCTCAACCCCCTATATAGGTATGGAAATTATAGGTAGTTAACTTCCAAGGTTAGTATTGATTTTAATCAGAAATATTAACGATAAATATCGTAAACATTTCAACTCCTATGTATAACCTTCGTATAATTTCTTACTACTCCTTACACTTCTATGCTATATAGAATCAATTTTAATATCGGAGATAGTTTAATCTATGATATCGTAGTACTTCTATTTATTTTTACCTAATTTGAGGGTTGAGAAAAATCAAAGTTATGAATTTTAAACCCTGTGTACCTTTTGTATGACATACCCATATAAAACGTACCTAGTTGGCCGTTGATCGTTGACTGGGGCGCACCAACACTGGTAATGTGTTGGACACTTGGCAGATTATAGGTAAATCCACACCTATTCAAAGGGAAATTATGTTTTAGGAACGTTCCTCTTTTGTTTCTGGCGGAAAACACGACGGCGTCTCCCATGGCGAAAAGAACTGCATTGCAATCCCATCCCGAGTTCCGAGACTCGCTGGGAGGTCAGCATGTACACCTGCCAAACCTTTACTCCCTTTTACCGGAGTGGAATATGAGAATGCATCCACAATACCAGAGAGCTCGCGAAGAAGTTCTCAATCCATGGATTGAACGGTTAGTTAGCTCATGTGGGTTTATATATTGGGTGATATACTGACCATAACGAAGTTATGTGAAAGATCCCATCATCTGTCGAAAACATCAAAAGGCAGAATTAGGGATATTTGCGGCCATTATGTGTGTTGACAAATCATTTGAGAAAATGTGCACAGTAGCAAAGTCTTTTGCCTGGGTATGTACTGCCTATCCATTTGCGAGGAAGGGACTAACAATATTGATAGTATTTTATTTGGGACGACTGTAAGATTGCTGTGTATTCACTATAAGAACACTTTTCCTAACATATTTAATATTCAACTCAAAGTATTTGACTGCGGTTCACTTACCCATGATATGGAAACCACCAAGAGTTACAGGGCAGCAACTGTGGAATACTTTAAACATGTCTTGTGTGAAGATGGCAAATATCCAGATCTCTCAAGGTTTTCAGAAGAGCTTCAGTGTGCTTTGCGTTGTTGGGATGAAGTTGCAGACCATATTCGCGAAGTCTGTTCAAAATGCAGGTTTCACAAACCCTTTCTTCTCTCTGCTTTTTCTATCTCTTTAACCAAGCTAATACAGTCTTATTGACATGCTCAGCAACTCGCAAAATTCTACTTGCGCAAATGATATTCTACGTGGTCAGTGTAGATACAGTCGACACAATTTGCAGTGGTGATACAATTCCATCCTTAATGCAATACTGGAGGCGGCGTGAGCGTACTGCAGGAGTTTATCCTGTGATAGCCACAATTCCGTATGACATCCTGGATTATCAGCGTACTTGGATCGGACTACTCACAGGCACGCAGTTTTATTTACGGCATTGATATCTCAACAGCAGACTTAGCTACTGACTCGATGAAGCTACTGTGGAGACATACATCATACCTTGTGCATATGTGAGTTCACCATTGATATATAGCTGTGTGCATATAACTAATGCTCCCCAGGAAGAATGATATGTTTTCTCTTAGAAAGGAGATAGTAAGGTCACATCGCCTATTGTTAATTCAACCCGGCTCAAGAATCTTTATAGGGAGACAACCAGATCGAAAATCTTGTTACTATAGTCATGCTGAACGAAGGCCTTAGCTGTAACCAAGCAATGCAACTAACTTTCCACCTGGCACAAGAAACTGCAAGGAGTTTTCACGAAGTTGAAGAAAACATGCGGCACATTACTACTGATCGACGTTACGCCGTCTCAAATATTTTCATCCAAGGCTGCAAGAATATTGCAATGGGTCTTACCTTCTGGAGGTATGTAACTCATTTTCGACAACTGGTTCAATACTGATGCTATTTTTACAGTTACAATGGACAACGATACTTTGAAAATTCGGAGGTTTGTGATGGAAATGAGATTTGGTTCCAGTTATAGTCCAGGCGACTTTTCAATTCAGTGGCGGATTGCACAATATCCGTACTGGCTAGTACAAGGGAACCACTTGATTAAGGTCCTGGCTACCATGGGGTATAGCACGTAGAGTCGTTTTCGCAATATTGAGCCCTGAATGCCTAGATTTAGGTCGAAAATTTAGGCCGCTTTTAGGCATCTAGTGCAGTGAATTGTAAAATCGTTCCGGCACAGAATAACCCTAGAGGAACTACTATATCTACGGACGAAGCGTTGATAACTAGCGGATCGAGGTATAGTAGGGGAAGTTATTAAGGTTCTGTACTGGTCTATTCTGCATAAGTAATAATCGACTTAATTCTGATATTATACTAATCTAGAACTTAGACCCTGAGTCAGAGTAGGTATAGCTTTTGGTCTTCGAACTATGTACTCCGTAGGTATAATTTGCTGATCACCTGGGCAGTCTCCAGGCCACGGGTGATCTCTAAGGTTAAGGTTAGGGTTAAGGATTACAAGTAGACCTCGGGACCTCCCGAGGTTCCGGCTCGAAACCCAACCCGGCCCATCTCGGCGCTGACAAATCGGCCTCAGTAACTATTCATGTGAAGTTCAAACTTGGAATATCAAATCATAGTAGCTGTATAAGTATACATTTTCATTTTAAACGCAATCGGATGGGCGGAGGTCGAGATGTCCCAAAAATATGAAAATTGATGTTTGATATGAGATATATATCTGGGATTTGTATAGGAGTAGTACCATTTACTGGGTAAACTTCTATAATTTACGAACCATCTAAATCAACGCGATTTTCGAGTTTTTAAAATGGGATATAGGAATATATCTAGTAAACGATTCGAGATTATTTAAATTAATAAAATATTACCTTAGGTATAATAGCGAGAAACGGGGCTAAACATAGGGTAATTAAAAAAACTAAAGAGGGGGTTCAACTTTATATATTTCCACTGTTTGGTGCCTATTGGGCCAATTGGGGCCTATTAATTACGTACAAGTTGGGAGTGTCGACCGTGATGTATTATAAAACGCCACGTGATTACACACTGCAACATCCCACATCCCACTTCTACTTTGCAAGATACAGACAATTGCACTCGAAATTACAAATTTAAGAAAGAATAGCTCAGTCAATTCTTCACCATGGATACTAAAGTAGTCTTTTATGACATTGCCATGCGCCCCCCTGTCGAAAAGAACAATAGCGCCGTAAACCCTTGGAAAACCCGTCTAGCTCTGAACTTCAAATCAGTCCCCTACTCAACCAATTGGGTCCCACTTCCCGACGTATCCAAGGTGCGGACCAGCCTCAATATCCCCGCATGCCGCAAATTCGCGGACGGTACAGACTTCCACACTCTACCCATCCTAGTGGACCCCGCAACATCCCTCAAACTCGGCGACTCCTTCGACATAGCAGTCTACCTGCAAAAGCAATACCCAGCTGGAAACGATCTATTCCCGCCCCAGCCCTTGGATTACGTCTTCAGCCCGGATGCCGCAATTTTAATTCCGTTATCTGAATGTGACGAGGGCGAATATCCCCAATATGCGCGCTTCAATATGAATATCGATGCTGCTTTCACCACGCATGTCGCACTCATGGTTCAGGGCTTACCGCTTGATCCAGCAACTGCTGACGTGACGAAGGCTGAGTTTGTTCGACGGGCTGGGGTTAGCTGCTGGGAGGATTTTGCTGTTACAAGCGAACAGCGCGAGAAGCTTATTGCGTCCTTCCGGGACATGTTGGGAGGGCTGGCTAAGACTTTCAGTGGAAATGGGCCGTTTTTACTTGGAGAACGGGCTAATTATGCTGATTTTATTGTTGGGGCTTGGTTGAGGATGGCGAGCAAGACTTTGCCTAGTGAGGAGTGGGAGTTGGTTAAAGGGTGGCATGGGGGTGTTTTTGGAAGGCTGCATGATGCGTTGGAGATTTATGCGGTTGTTCATTAGAGAGCGAGGTCTTGGGGTTTGGTCCTGATCCATCTATCCGTAGTATTAGTTTTATCGGTATAGCTAGGCTAGGATTACCTGCCCTACTACTCACTACCTTATAATATCTCTCTTCCTATACATATGTTGTATGACCACATTTATTATATCAGGTCCACTATAGTTTTGAAATAACTATTATATCATAAATTTTAAGAAGGGAACATTTCCAATCAATCCTCTGATCTGCCAAGAATTCATATTATAAATAGACTAGAGCCACTATTCACTGGATATGCATGCAAGTCCGTTTGTGTTTAGGGGCATGCATGCATGGAGCTGAGATTGCATATCGTATACCCCATCAAGCACGTTTTATGCGGGAAGCCAGTATAGCCGAGGGTGCCTCGTAGCTGGCATGTATCGTAAAGCAAGGATAATATATGCATCCATTAAAGATCGATATCTTCATTATTAGATAGTCTGACAGGCCACATACCAGAATTGCACTAGTGGTGTTAAAACAACGATATGCCAGATGACAGTTAGTGCACAGTGCGTCTGTCAAATTTATTATGGATGTGGAAAGACAGGGGGTCGAGGGGACATAGATAATCTCTCAATTTGCTAGCAATATCTGTTTTTGTCACGAATTCTAATAGGCTATGAAAAGGTTTGAATGGACAAAGCACACACGCGGCCAGCTTGACTAAACCGCAGCTGATGTGACATACATGTCTGTCTGTCCTGTTGATTCGTTTTTGCTCACTCCAAATTGAACAGCTCAGCAACGGGTAGTGGGATTAGGTGGAGGAGCTGTGTTAGACGATGACCATCGTGTCGTTAGCTCTCTCATTGGTTTGACTGTGCAACGGTCTCGACCACTCGATTCGTATAGTAGTCCGTTGGTTGGCCTATGAGACGACTGTATGTAGACTACCTCCGCTATATATATGCAACACAACGCTTTTTATCACATTTGACGCAAAGGGGGGCCAGGGATTTACTTTATCTAGCTTAGGCATTACTTCATATGTGATCATGAGTCCTCATACATGTGGCTAGTTCGATATTCAAGCAAGTAGTGGGCACCTACATGCGTACATGACAGCAGGGCGTTTCAGTAAAATGCCAACCAATTTTGCTGAGTGAAAAACTACAAGAACTACCGCCAGAAATATATTCTGAGTGGAATTCGCGACGTAATGAGCATACAAAGGATAGCAAATAATGGTCATTTATTCGGATTCGTATGCACCCCTAATCCAAAGCTGAAAGCAGACAAGCCCCGCTAAACGATTGACGTTAGTTCATTTGGCCGCTCGTTCACCATGCTTCTGCTGTTGCTTCATAGGCGATTCCCGTAGCACAGATGCGGAGACTCCATGCATCAGGTCATGTACTCCACCCCTTTTTGCTTTCGAGGCTGGCTGACTGTCATTGTAGACTGTACGCTGTGACGGCAATGCTACACAATACTCTGCATATCTCCTTGTACTTGCAGGAAATATCTCAGCTTGATACAGTTGAATAGCTTGGCTTCATGCCGGTGGAACTAGCTGCACATGTACCAGGGGCTTGCGTTGTATGAAACACCAGCATGGTTAGGATCAGCCAGCCAAAGTTGCTGATCCTTAGTTATCTGGGGTCATAGTTGGCAATCGTGGCTGGCTGCATCTAGGCTTGTGCGCAAAATTTCATATGGCCTGTGGCCTGAAAGGTATATAATGGCATTGATAGTGTGCCCTTCCAAATATTGTAAACAAAACTACCTTTCACTTGAACCAGCACATTCAATTCAGTCAACCAAGCCACTTTTGTAGTCACCATGCCATCTTCTAACATGTTCGGAGGCGACGGCGGCGGCGGCAGTGTATTTAAACTGCTTTCCGATGATCCGGACCAAACAGTACAAAGGCTCGATGTCTGGCTTGACGATCATGAGGGATTTTGAATCGTGTCCAGAATTGAAGTCTTCTGGCGGGATGGTACCAGCGGTTCCGCTGGAAGGGATGTATCTAACAATCTGCACACCCATAAGTTTGACGAAGATGAGATTATCATCCAGTTTACTATCTACGCCGGGGCATATGTCGACGGCATATCTTTCAAGACGAACAAACTCGCCGGCGGGTTTTCAGCTCGCGGCCCCGGAGGCGGGGCGCATCGGGTTGATGTTGGTAATGGCAAGCTGCGGGGCTTCACAGGGAAATCGGGATACGACATTGACGCTCTTTCTGTCACCTCTAACTAGGTTTACCAGTTTATTCCTTCAAGTGAATATGTTCCACCCAAGTCACATAGAAAAAGAGACTAACAATCGTGATACAGGTAGCCAATGATTATTGGCAACTCTCCCAAGTGCTTATCAAATCTCGCTTTTCACGTTCTACGATGTTACACAGTTATGGAAGTTGACATGATGGCTGTTCGAGTTCATATTAGGAAGGATGCACCTGATGTTGATATTTGCGCCCTGGGACTCTCAGAGATATACCTTAGTATAGGTTTTTACCCCTTGGATCCATTGGGTTTTCCCTATGCTTTTATGTGAATGCAAAGGTTACCATTTTACTATGATTAGGGTCTTCGTAAGATTTAGGGATTCATTATACAGTATGATAAAACATTCTGGTTTGTCTACTATATGCAGCTAAAAGTATCATTCTATAGAGAGTTTGAGGCTCATAGCTCACAACAATATTCTTACAATAGACCTTGTAAGTGCAGGAATCGTGTGCAAATAGGTATATTTAGTTAGTAACATATATGGTGGGGTTTATAGCTAGACAGTAAAGGCCCTGTGTTACAGACCTATCTCATCGCAAGGTTCAATGAAATCTGACTCAATTTTATTCTTTGAATTCTTTCTACCATGTCTGGGACTCCGGATATTTCTCATCATTTTGAGTCTCTTGAAATATAGATGATAGGATGGCGGCTGGTCAGTAAGGTGTGGAGAATTTGCACAATTATGATGTATCCGTTTCGAGAAGCAGCCTCTTGTCAAAAACAACCTGCGAGAAACGTAAGAGAGGGGAAGGGACACGTCAGCGGTTCAGGGACAAGGTGTCTAAAAGTGGGGTGGTGGGGCGACGGGCCGGCACGGGACGGATCTGATTGCGGACTAGTATCAACTATGTACCGAGGTATGTACATATGTACTACCTATGTTCTTTCATTTACTAGTCTGATATTTTGAAAATTGGGGAACTGAGGAAGCTATCTATTGTAATCCAATATTACAGACTCTCAGAATATTTAATGATTTGCTAGTATGAGTAGATGTTGCCTATACGTTATACGAAACTGGAGTATCTATGCTTGGATCAATCTTCGTTCTTTTCTCAAGTCTCTCACTATTGTGAATATCTCAGGCATCAGCTCCTGCGGGATGAATTTTTTCGGTAGTTTGTTTCCTTTCCTCCTCTTCCCCCTTCCCCCCTCCAGAGGAACCGACTACTTTCTTCCAGGCTTTGAGCCTCGAATAGTCGTCTCATCAGTCACCCACTGAAAAGCTCATCCGTACCTTGATATAAATATCTTTGATATAGTCATGTCTCCTTGCATCATGTATTCCAGACAGACGCCATGTGACATAGTATCCTTATATTTTGATTAATCGAGACTATCACCGTCAGGTGACTCCCGATCCGGCCCCTATAGGGCCCGCGTAGGTAGACAAATATAGATTCATGATCTTCCCCCAGGCTTTCAGCGTAACAGAGACTCAATATTTACTGATGACTGATGTAAGCTTACCAATGTATTCATTCTCTCCCGTCAATCCCTAGCATGCTTTCACTTTCAACCTGCGACCTTCCACTTATTCTCATCTCGAATCTATATATCGCTCATGAAAAGTTTATCTACCAAACGCCACCGAGGAACAGGAATAATCTTGATTGCCTCGAAACCACGGAGCAAGGACTCCTTTTTCCATACCATAAACTCGGGGACCTTTGTACGTACTTGCCTAATCATCAAGTCCCAGAAAAGGTTCCACGCTGTTCGATCACAAATTCTATCGATGCTATTGGTTTCATCCATATCTATAGTGTTGTGCATCTAGATATTGGCCCTAGAAACTTTCTCTTGTGGCCGATAGCTTGTCTCTAAAGCTATACGATTTCGCTGGTTCTATTATTAGGAAGATGATATGTATAACTATGCCAAAGATGAGAATGGATATCGTATCGCTTCACAGTCACCTATTTTAAAACCGACATAGTCGCTTTAGGGGGTCTCATGAAGTCTCAGGTGGTTTCCGGCCATATGACGGTAGTGACGCCGAAGAGGTCACCAGGCTATATGCTATCAAAAGCTTCCCAAGTCTAAATGGCTTCAGATACCATGAGGTTATCTATAAGTGTTGGAATTCTGCATATACAACTGCCAGTATGCTTCAACAGGAGTTCCTTCGTCATAACCTACAGGTGTAGGCTCTTATCTTACCCCATTGTGAACGTTCCCTCATGATGTCAATATTTTATGCGATTTGTTTCAGGCCTGCTGTCCTGTAGTTTACTACAAGTGAAATTTGAAATGTCCAAATTTTGGGATTGTCTTTAGCAAAGCCTCAAAACATTAGATAAACGGCCTGTTCAATAGATTGCGAATCTGTTAATTTGTGATATGGACTTTCTAAGCCCACTACAACCTTTGATGCGCCGCTTTAGGATTCCTGTCAACAAATATCTACCTATCGCTGCAAATACAACGTCAAATATGCTTCGTCTGTCACTTTCTTACTTACTTACCTACCAACCAAACAACCAAAAAGTCTACGTATCCCCAATGCAAGTCAAATTGCCCGACTTATTTTAAGCCATCTTCATTGATTATATTATGAAATTTCTTTTTCCAAACATGTACGGGCCTAGCAAACCCTTCCTCATCCCTCTCAAATTCCAGTATCCTCTCAAATCCCTGCGCTTTCAGCTCAGCCTCAAACGGTGGCTTGATCTGGATCGTCTTATACATCTCTCTCAATTCTTTATTTTTCTTTGAAGCTCTCGCATAGTTGCTCATAGGCTGCGGCTCCACGACGAGATAACCCCCCTCATTCAGTATGCTTTGAATGTGCGCAAATAGCTTCAACATCCCGGAGTCCCCGTTGTTGAGATGTATCCACTTGGTCACAGAGAGTAGTAGGACAACGTCGAACTTGCCCAGCGCGGTACCCGTGTACGCAGACGCATCCACGAAATCAAAATGCTCAAATGTGCACGGCCCGTCCGGGTAAGCCGCCTTTGCCTGCTCGACCAGCCACGGGTCAATATCGACGCCGACTGAGGCGGCCGCGCCGCAGTGTGCTATCGCCTCATGGGTCAGTTTACCCGCGTTGCAGCCAAGGTCTATGACTCGCGCGTTGCGGAGGATATGTGATGGTAGAATGGAAAGGCGCTCGTCTGGAACGGTGGGCGCACGGAATTTGGCGTAATATTGGTGGTAGTTGCCATGGCGCGCGGCGAGGTGCGTAGCTTTGAAGCGCTCTGCTTTGGAGAGTTCTGTTGCAGGTGGGGGATGGTCACCGCATGTTTCTGCCATACTTCGTGATAGTGCGGGCAGGGAGGCACGTGTTGGTAATGATATTGATTATCTGGGAAAGAAAGTGCAGTGATGTGACTAACGCCGAGTTTTAGCACATAGATCGGCCATATATTATGACTTCCAGGTCCTGAAATTTTGAGATCAATGCCGAAGTTTTGTTGCGCTCCCGAGATGTTTGTAGGGTTTGCATTCCCTTTATGCCTGAGGCACCAATCATTTTTATTTTTTATTTTTACAACATAGTCAACGCCGGAGATAGGTAACTAGGTAGAGAAATGAGTTTACGAATACCGCCCCCTTAGCCGCGAGTACTAACAAACCATTTACTGCTTTGAATAGACCTCACGATAGACCTCTCTTCTCAGATATCTCATTACACATCCCCTGCAGCCACAAGATCGCCGTCTGCGGGCCTTCTGGGAGCCGCAATACTTTGCTCATCATGACCCTTTTGTGTGTGATATAACTCTCCCAGGACCAAATCACCATAGACAACGTGGATATATCTACTATCCAACCCGCTGCGTTCCGTGCCCAGATCACTGTCGTCTTCTTTCTCCGCGGCACGCTGCGTGAGAGCTTCGACCCAGCAGGCACCCTATCGGAAGAGCGCATTGTCGCCGCTATCTGCAAGGTGGGTCTCTGGGAATCGATTTGCGGAAAGGGCGGGCTGGACGGCACGATCGGCGTTGGTCATAACGAGAAGCAATTGTTAGCAGTGGTCCGCCTGCCACCCCAAGCACTCTGCCCATCTTGGACGAGGCGACTAGTAGCGTCGACTGGGAAACCGAAACCCGGATGCTCGAGATAATCGAGCAGGAGTCTGCGGCGCGTATGGTGATTGCTGTTGTGCATAGGTTACGGCATATCGAGCGCGTTGATATCGTGGCGCTTCTGCAGCATGGGACATTGGTAGAATTTGATTTCCCTGGGGCATTATTGAGACGAGAATCGAAAGCTTTATACTGCATCACAGAAGAGTGCCCAGGTTTCTAAATCGATTAGACTGGAATAAACTTTTCATTTGTAATAGTCACTTGCATTCATTCGAAACCAGGGTATTGAGGCTAGATCAAATCTAATGTAAATAGTAATCGGCAAAACAATATTTATTATACACGCCAGTGCGCCGACCCTCATACCATGTGGCCTTCTTTTAATATTCGAAAAACCGAGCGGCCGGTTACCAGCGAGACGACCTGTAATCTGAGTAATATCTCCCAAATTCAATGGTGAAAGAGCGAAAGGGGATCTTGAGAAGTTTAAGAACCCCAAGGTCGATCCTTTCGGGATATCCACAATATGACGTCAGCTTTGCTTACTGTTTTTTTCCGCGTCTTCGCTACTTGTACAAGCCTAGTACCGAGGTCGTACTCAACATGCCATTCAAACGAGCGCTTCAGGGCATAATCGATAAGGCAGACAGGGCTTGGGATGAATTAAGCCAGAAAGCCCCTCCAATACCGTCGTACAACAAGCCTCCCCCACCGCCTATTCCAACCTCTAGCAAACCATCACCAGCTTATCAAGAACAGCACTCGCAACCCCAGATCTACTGGCAGCCCAATCTACATCCTCAAGTACCGGTGTCCTCAAACTTTCACCATGAACAGGGTCAACATGGATGGGGCAACAATGAATCGCAGAATTATACCGACAGCCCGCAAAACTCATTCCATTCACCCCAGGGTGATGCGGTGATCGTGCGCGCTCTGATCAACCACGGGCATTCCGACCCTGCCCAGAAGTTTACCAGCGCCAGACTGTCGAGTCTCCAGACCCTCAGCCGACCGCGGGGCTGTCTGTCGGCCAGAATTACCGCGCCAGTCGCCCGAGGCATATGGCCGGCCTTTTGGCTGCTGCCTAAAGACCCCTTCAAGTGGCCCGAGGACGGTGAAGTCGATATAATGGAAGAGTGGAACGGTGATGCGGTCAACCACACTTGTCTGCACTGGGGACACTTCAACGGCCAGGACTGGAACAAGCATCGCGTTCTCGAAACCCCCATCCCCAACATTAGCTCGCCGGCGGGAGTGAGATACGATTTTATCTGGGACGAGGATGAAACAACGGGCAGGGGGCGCTTGGTCTGGTTGATTGATGGCAGGCCCATCATGAGGGCTGAGAAGCCGCCTGGCACGAGGAAGATGAGTGAGTTCAGAATCCTCATCAACATCGCTGTTGGAGGAAATGTCTGTCAGGGAAATATGCCCAGCGATGGATGCTATGAGGCAGTGGTTCGTGAGTTGGCCATGTGGGATGCGCCGCCTGGAGGTTGGAATGAGTTTGACAGGGCCTGGTGGCATTCCAAAGATGGCAATACCATGTAACTAAAGGAAAGAAATTTCCATTGCAAAGTAGATCAAATATATCCACATCCCCTAATTTTTACGAGGGGTATCTTTGGCAAGGCGAGCCCCCTCTTGAGTATTTTGTCCGAAGAGAGATTTTCATTCTTAAATATTGGCTGGGATTCCCAGGTCATCGAGGGATTATTAGTAGAGGTTTAACTATTCGTACTTGAGGGTCCGTAGACTTACGGCAAATAGAGAACCATATCAAGTCCTATAACAAAGAATAGAAGCAAGGTGTTACAACCTACACCTGGACTGGCGAGTTACACACTAGGCCAAAAAGACCACTATATTTGAGCATTATGCTCAGATATTCCAGGCTCCGATATATATAGTGCATGACATGACACAAGGATGCCATCCCTAGGGGGGTGTTTATCTACATGATATGGTTATAAGTGATGTCGAACATCTACTGAAGAAAACCAAAAGAGGCAGTTGCATACTCCATTGTATCTAAAGGTAATAAGTAATAATAGTAACATTCTTCCCACCGTCCCTTTCATTTTAGGCACTGAGTGTTTGTGTAGAGCTTATTGACATGGATAGCTCTTATTTTTCCGTGCGACCTCGCCATTCATCAACCCGGAATATCCAATCACGAACAAGAGCCTCAAAAACGCTATTCTCATCGATAGGAAGGCCATGAGTACCACGATCTAGAACAACATAGGTTGATCTTGGATAGAGTTCTAGCAAGCGAAGGCTGTCTCGATAGCCCACGCTTTCATCTTGCCGACCACACACAACAAGCGTAGGTGCAAAGAACTTGGCATTTTCATTATCTAGTGAAAAAGATAACTGATATCGATTTGGATCTGCTCGGATCGGATCCAACACCTTCTTGTCTGCCACTTTGTCTGCTGGAAGGAGTACCTTCTCATATTTGGCCTTTAACGTATCAACGTAAGCAGGCGTTTGAATCAGAACGTTTCCAAGAAGTGTCTTGTCTTCGACTGATAGGTTTGACATGAGTTGCTCGTTTGCAACCAAAGGCTTGAATGCGTCGAGATCGCGCATGCTGTCCTTTGGCTTAATAAGTGGTACGCGTAATAGTAAACCGTCGACTTGCTCAATATATTTCTGAGCTATCGCACGTGCGAGGTAGCCGCCACATGATGAGCCGACAAGTAAGAATCTTGACTTTCCAAGTCGAGAATCAATGAATTCCACTAGGCGAAGGTATATATCGTCCAGATCCCTGACATTATTCGCAGGTGTTGTGCCCATGCCCGGAAGGTCCACGTAAATCCGGCGAAGTCCAGGTGTTTTGTTGAAAATCGGCTCAAAATCCAGCTCCTCTGCTTTTCCCTCCATCTGCCATCCATGAATAATCAAAACGGGAAGTCCTTCGCCGATTTCATGTGCAGATAGAATAGATTCCATTTTGTTGCTGGGTGATTTTGTGAATATATGAGCAGGAACCAGAGCAGTTGATTATATGTACAAATTCACAATGTCCCCGGGGCCCGTTATGGTTCTGACAAAGTGCTGCTCCTTTGGAACTTAACAGGAGTAACAAATGGGAAGAGAAGTTGCCAGATTGTCAACAGTGAGGCCGGCTAGTTTGCTTAGTCTATTAGAAACTAGCACTAGCCCATATCTGTATCTAGCGCATCATGTGATTAGGGTTTGAGGATGATTCTGATGCTCCCCGACCTGGAGAGCGATATCGAGTGCTATTGATGTACTACAAAATGTATACACATATTAGATTCAGTAACCATTCCAGGTTCGCGCCCTTGGATTTAGGAAACGACATTTTGGGACCGCTTTCCTGTTTTGGGATGAAAGATTCTGCCAAAGATTCTTTGTACAGCTTCATTAATTCTGATTCTGATTCACATTGTTCAAAAACGCACTCAACTAGGAAAGTCGCATATTCTGCCCCCTTGCCTTGATTAAGTCCGCAGATCTGCGATGGAGTATTTGCTAAGTAGTTGACGATGCAGCTGCTGATGAATTTGATATAAAGGCGGTATATAGAATCGAAAGGCGGTGAGATTTACTTGTATAGTTGCCCAATTAGGAAGGGTGCATATAACTAGCAGGCAGGGGAGGTGGCTGCGAGCATGTAAGGTGGGGTGCGAGTACGTACCTATGTTGTACAGATGGGAGTTTACTTGTCGGCTAAGCTATATATAAACTGTTTAGTGGCAACTATCCAATTTCTACAGTGCAAAAACACCTAGTACACGAAACCTCATATTACAGTCGGAGCTAAAGTTGCTTACGACTTCACTGTCTTACAACCTAGATGGCAGCTTCTAGAGCTGCACGCGCGGCTTCCTTGGGGTTGCCCGCAATAACGCTAGGGAACGGCAAGATGGTCCATTTCTCACCAAATAAATTCAAGCTAATACTACGAGGCCATATGCAAATGCAGGTCGGCCATTGCGCTGTTACAATCCTTGAATGCGCGTACAACGGACTGACAGAACCGATTGCCTCAAAATACTCAGCATATGTTTCCTTTTTGACACCAGTAACGTTGATACCTGATATATAAGGCATTCGACCATAAAGTGGCGTGCCGCGGTAAGACATGTTGTTGTTCACTGGTGGAACCGCTGGTTTAAAATAGCCGGCGACCCGAAGAAGGTAGAGAATTTCGGGTATCCGAGGCTGCTCATAGGTCAATTACTAGGGCGTAAAGCAATGAGATTGAAGTCTCAAGTCTCCTCTTTATAGGGTCCACTGTGGCATATAAGACATTTTCTTACAATACATGACGACATCTGGGGCTAAAGCACGTTTGCCCTAGCGTGTTTTTGAACAAGCCGTGAGAGAACTCCATAATGATTGTTCTGATTTGACTGACACGAGGTTTGATCCACTCTCTATGGGGCGTTCGAAACAAGATACATATGATAATATGTGTCTGATCCAACCACTGCACATGTGGCTTATTCATTCGACTATATTTAGCGAGACCCGGGACATATTTATATTTAAGCTAATTATACTTCTCGGTAAATTCTGTGTCGGGTCTTTATGTGTATGGAGGGAAAACGTTATGCTTACTTGTTATCACTATGTATAATGTAACACGGAAAACAAGCTTTAGCCACACTGCTCGTACCCTCAAGAATACGAATAGAACAAGCCATGCATCTGACACGTCGTCTGGTCCCCGCACATTCCGATGTCTTTACAAATATTGCCTAAGCATGACAGAAAAAAAAAAAAAAAAAATAAGAATTACCTGATATTTTACTCATCCAAAATTACTAGTAATTCTGTGTGATTCCAGGCCCCGTTAGATAAGCACAAACAGGATAGAAATTTCTCCCGGGAGTGAAACAGGATTCATGGGACGGGATACATAGTGTAGGTGCATATGGAGGGCCCACTGGGTTTGGTCTTATCTAAAATACGAGAGGGAATAAATCGGCGAAACAGGCTCGGAGAATAGCGAAAGAGGCGAATAATCTACAGAGTATCAAACAGGGGATTCCGAGTTCTCAGAACCATTATGCTGTATATCTTAATTTATTAGGAAATGTTGAAGTGATATTGTGACGTCGAAGGCGGTATCCAAAACAAAGAAAAAAAAAAACCACAACCAAGTTTTACCAATATCCAGGCAAATGTGCTCTACGGAGTCTTCCTGTAGAGTTGGAATTATTTCGTAATTTGGTAGTAGAATGATCTCCCATGTCCAAGGTTTCAATACTCTTTATATGTTGTAGAATATATTATTTTTGTTTCAAATATTAATTAGGGTGATTGCATGATGCAACCCAAAAGAACAAAAAGAACTTTGAAGTGCTTTGACCTGAGACATAAACCCATTAAAAGGCGGGTGGTTTTTTTTTATCATGTATGTGCCAGCCACTATGTGTTGTTGATGCAGTATCGCTAAGAACTGCATTCATAAGCGAATTTTCGTATATACGGCCGATTATAAACGCCTTATTATATCTATTTTGGGAGTGTTTGGGATATTTTCTTTGGTTAAGTAGTGACTTGACATAGAGATTGAACCATACAAACAGGCAAATTTTACTATAACCAGGGACAAGAGTAAAATCCTTTGGAAATATCTGAGACATTGAACCAAAGTCCAGCCCAAGCGGCGAAATATCAGTGGATTCGATCTGACCTGAGTGGGTCGGTGTAGACTATGTATAGCCCATTCGGCCCGATAAGGCTATGCTCCATAGAAAAAATTGTAAAATCTTTGAATTTCTTTGTTACTTAGGAAAATAATAGAAGTTTTGTCTTTGATATTTTGTTCTTTCATCTCACTCTCGCTATCTGAATCTCATCTCATTCGTTCCTGAGTCGCGCATCTTTTCCGGCAGCAGGTTTCTGCTGATAGTAATACGGAAATGCAGCGCTCAGCTTTCCTCATACTTTCGTTTTTGAGCGTTTTTGCCTTTTGCTGGCCCTACGATGAACCACTCGCTAAATACAACTTGAATGAGAACAAGTCCGCTGAATCCCCAATCGATTATTGGGGAGCATGGCCCAACCATGAGTACCATCCGTCCCCAGATAACTGGCGACTACCGACATATACGATCTTTTTGGACCGGATAGCCAACGGTGACCCCACAAATGACGATATTAACGGCACCGCATTTGAGCATGTAATCAACTCCAATCAGATGCGCCATGGAGGTGATCTAGACGGCTTGATAGATACGCTGGACTATATCGAGGGAATGGGATTCAAGGTTAGATGACCCAGCCTCATAATAATTCTATCGCTAACTCCCAAAGGTTATCTACTTCGCCGGAACGTATTTGATGAACTTGCCCTGGGCCTATGATGGGTACTCGCCGGTCGACACCACTCTCCTCGATATGCATTTCGGAACACTGGAGGATTGGAGGCGGACTATCGACGAGATCCACAGACGAAACATGTATGTGTTGGTGGATAACACAGTGGCAACGTAAGTCGATGCTCCAGATTTCAGGGTGCGCATACGCTGATCACAAAACACAGACTGAGCAACCTGATCGGATTCAAAGGCCATTTGAACGACTCAGCCGATTTCACACCAAAAGAATATGAAGTCCAATGGGTTACTGACAGACAATACGTCGATTTCAAATTTGGCAACGATTATAACGAAACTTGCAACTATCCTAAGTTCTGGGACGAGACTGGAATGCCATTAACAACTGGGGGAGTTGAAGATCTGAAGGGTTGCTATAACAGTGATTTTGATCAATACGGAGAACTAGAGGCATTCGGAAACTTCCCCGACTGGCAGCGCCAGCTGACAAAGTTTGCCTCCGTGCAGGATCGTCTGCGTGAATGGCATAAGCCGGTCCGTGATGTGCTCACTCAACATTCCTGCCTCCAAATCGCTAGTTTGGATATCGATGGTTTCCGCTTTGATAAGTCTGTGCAAGCAACCCTCGAGCCGCTGAGTGAGATGCTCGCTGTCTATCGTGAATGCGCGAAGAAACTTGGCAAGAAGAACTTCTTCCTTCCCGGAGAGATCACATCCGGCGACAGCATGGGCAGTCTCTACCTAGGTCGCGGCCGCCAGCCGAACCAGCGTTCCAAGAATGCAGGCCAGGCTGTCAAGCTTACAAACAACTCCGAATCGGCTTTCCTGAGAGAAGATGGGCTACAAGCTTTAGATTCCTCCGCGTTTCACTACACCATCTACCGTTCGATGACCCGTTTCCTAGGTCTGGACGGTAACCTGGTTGCTGGCTTTGATTTGCCTACCGACTTTATCGACGCCTGGAATGAAATGCTAGTAACCAACGATTTCCTCAATGCGTTCACGGGAGAACTGGATCCTAGACATATGTATGGTGTGTCGAACCAGGATAATTTCCGCTGGCCAGCTCTCGAGAACGGCACAGATAAATACCTCCTGGGTCTGTACATCATCTCGCTGGAGCTTCCTGGAATACCTCTTATCTTGTGGGGAGAAGAGCAGGACATGTACGTGTTTGACGCTACTGCAGCGAACTATATGTTCGGACGGCAGCCCATGACGTACCAGACTGCATGGTGGACACAAGGCTGCTTTAACTTGGAAACAGAAAAGTTCTACGATTTCCCAATCGGAAAGGGACGCAACGGATGCAACGATATCACTGTCACGTATGACCAGCGGAATCCCGCCCATCCACTCCGCAACATCATGAAGCGTATGTTCGAGATTCGAGCCCACTACCCAGTCGCACAGGATGGCTTATTCCTCGAAACGCTCTCTCAACTCACTGAAGACATCTACCTTCCTGGTTCCTCGACCACTCCCACGGTCACTGGCCTTTGGTCTGTCTTGCGAAGCTATTTCCCTGGGGTGCAAACAGATAAAATCCTGGCCAACGAAACTCTATGGCTTGTGTATCAAAATGGCAACTCATCCAGAACATACGGAGGCAACTGCAAAGTCATGAATGGATCCTTATTGGCTCCATTTGAGTCGGGGACAAAACTGAAGAACCTCTTCTATCCTTACGATGAGCTCACTTTGGAAGATGGCCCTGATAAGTCCGAGAATGTGAACTCCTACGGATGTGTTAGTAAAATGACCCTGCTTCCGTGGGAATACCGAGCCTATGTCAAGACCGCCAACTTCGTTAAGCCCGGCCCTACTGTCACTGAGTTCTTCCCCGGACATGATGCTCGGTTGCTATCTTCAGAAGACACCGGTGAAACCATGCCCGTGCGACTTGGATATTCCACAGAGATGGACTGTGACAGCATCACCAAATCGGTTTCTCTAAATTCTACAACAGAGAAAAACATCGCCGCCGAGCTTGACACATCTAGTGTCAACTGCACCAAAATCCCTGCTAGGACCACTGGCAATAACTACAGCGGAGAAATCCCGACTGTTTGGACATGGTCTGCGAACCTGAAGAATGTCCACCATGGAATCCACCAACTGACCGTCAAAAATGTTTCCTCTGATGGAGTTTACACCAATTCGACCGACAAGTTCTTGCTCCGTCTCGGTTCTCATGACAACCCCCTGATTTCCCCGCTTGCCAATTACTCTACCACCCTAGTCCAGAAGTCTGGCGACAACCTTTACCTCCAGCACAGAGCTGCTGGTGCGGATATGTTCCGATACTCATCCGATTTTGGTCGGAGCTGGAATGAGTGGGCAACATATTCAGGTGGTAACACGACTATTACTATCCCGCCCTGGACTGGCACGGACGCCCAGAAGTGGGAGGGAACTCATATCCGAGTGCAGTACTTCTCAAAGCTTACTGGAAGCAGCGATTATCTCCAAGAAGGTGATTATGGAAACGACAAAGTCCGCAGATTCCCACACATGTGGTTCAACGGTCCGTACAACCAATACGGCTATGATGCAGGAATGGACAGCAAGATGAAGTACGACCCCGAAACGTCTCGCTGGAACTACGACTTTGTCTACGAATGGCCAGCCATTGGCCAGCTGAATGTTTGGGGCACGGACAGTGAGGGCAACCCTGATACTACCGAGGTCTACGGTGATGTCGGAAACTCCTCCTCGGTTCAAAAGCTTCCTCCATCCTATCTCGCATCAAACGTTATCAACATCACCACTCTGCCGCCATTCCCGCATCTTGGCTGGAAGATCTCCCTAAACGATGCCAACCTAAGATATGAAATGATCCCCGTCGGATCTGGATGGGCTCAATTGATCCTCTTTATCCTTCTGTGGGTTGTTCCGATTCTTATGGGTTGTATTGGTGTCTTCATTTTCATTCAAAATTTCTACCGTGTCAAGCTCAACAAGAATGGAAATGTCGTCAAGGCAAAGAAGTTCCCTGTACTACTTTGGGGCCGCGTCAAAGGAATGTTTGCCAAAGATGATGTCGAGGAGATCCAGATGGCACAAAACGCTATCCCTACTGGCATGGCTCTGGCAGGAGGGAGTGACCTGCGACGCACTGTATTGATTGCCACTATGGAGTACGATATCCAAGACTGGGGTGTCAAAGTCAAAATTGGTGGTCTCGGAGTAATGGCTCAACTCATGTCCCAGAATTTGAAACATCAAAATCTGATTTGGGTGGTTCCATGTGTTGGTGATATTGACTATCCCGAGGATACGCCCGTTGAACCTTTCGTGGTCACAATCCTCGATAACCCTTATTTGGTCAAGGTCCAGTACCACGTCCTAGACAACATCACATATGTCCTCCTTGATGCTCCCGTTTTCCGGCACCAGACTAAGGCAGAGCCATACCCTCCACGTATGGATGACCTGGACAGTGCAATTTACTATTCGGCCTGGAATCAGTGTATCGCTGAGGTGATGAAGCGGACACCCTCCATTGATCTCTACCATATTAACGACTTCCATGGCTGCGTGGCACCTCTATACCTGCTCCCGTCGCGAACTATCCCTGTTTGTCTGTCGTTGCACAATGCTGAGTTCCAAGGACTTTGGCCTCTGAGAACGGCACAGGAAAAGAAAGAAGTCTGCGCTGTTTTCAATCTCCCAATTGAAGTAGCAACCAAGTACTGTCAGTTTGGTAGTGTTCTCAACCTACTTCACACCGGCGCTAGCTATCTCCGATTCCACCAACGTGGGTTCGGTGCAGTTGGTGTCTCCGAGAAGTATGGAAAGCGCTCATTTGCACGTTATCCAATCTTCTGGAGTCTTGGCAAGATTGGTAGTCTTCCTAATCCAGATCCCTCTGACACAGGTGCCTTGAAGAAAGACCCCGACGTGCAAGTTACTGTTCAGTCTACCAGCGAGCTGGCCAATGACAAAATTCAGGCACAGAAATGGGCTGGTTTGAATGAGGACCCCAACGCCGACTTACTGGTATTCGTGGGAAGATGGTCGAAGCAGAAGGGAGTCGACTTGATTGCGGATGTTATTCCGGCTGTCTTGTCTGATAGGCCTAATGTTCAGCTGATCTGTATTGGACCTATCATCGATCTCTACGGCAGACTGGCTGCTATCAAGCTGCAGCGCATTATGGAAATGTTCCCAGGCCGTGTGTTCTCAAAGCCAGAGTTTACAGTCCTTCCCCCCTTCGTGTTCTCTGGTGCCGACTTTGCCCTGATCCCGTCTCGTGATGAGCCCTTCGGATTGATTGCCGTTGAGTTTGGTCGCAAGGGTGCACTTGGAATTGGTTCTCGCATCGGAGGTCTAGGCCAGATGCCTGGTTGGTGGTACACTGTGGAATCCGACTCAGCCCGCCATCTCTTGCACCAGTTGAGAACTGCCATCAAATCTGCATTGGATTCATCACAAGAGACCCGTGAGGAGATGCGTGCAAACTCTGCCAAGCAGCGATTCCCCGTTCTTGAGTGGGTTCAGAAGCTTGAAGTCTTACAGCGGACATCAATCCACCTCCATCACCAAAAGAATCCGCTCACTGTTGCAGGCTCGGCGCGAGAGTCTCAGATCTACTGGGAGATGGAGACCCCAGGCTTGCGAGACTCTGCGATGATGACCCGTCCCTCATCAATCCACTCATCAACGGGGGGTGCGGATACGCCACCAAACAGAACATCGCAGCTCCCTCAGCCTTCCCTTCTACAGTTGCAAGCAGTCGAAGCTCAAGAAATGCAACTAGCAGAAAACAACAGAGCTAGCATGTTAGGTCGCAAGCTGTCGCTTGGTCGACGATCTGGACCAGGGCAGGGCAGAAATCGTCTCGTCAAGAAGTCTCAGCGCGCGAGTCAGATACTCGAGGCGCCCACCGACGGCGACACCACGGACGCCGACGATGATGGTACACAGGAGAAATACATTTCCCGGGAAGAGGCTATGGCGGCGCTTAATTCACCTCTCCAAGATCTCGCCACGCATCCTAGGAACAACCATCACGCTCGAGGTGTATCTAGCTCATCGGCTTCAGAGGCATCTCATTTCCTCTCCAGGGACTCCTCTCCAGTCAGAGCATCTCGTGATCCTTCCGAGGCGCCTGCACCATTCACTCACACTCAGAATATTTCCGTCCTCTCTTTGCCTTCTGTTGTCAATGACCATGATCAACCCGATTTCCATCTGCAAAAGGTCGACCCGACCTTTACCGACAGCATGGGCAACTTCACAAGACACTTTGAAAAGCTCCTCACCAACCTCAACAAGAAAAACTCGATCTCAGATTATTGTATTGAGCTTTATCTGATGAAGAGCGAGCGGAAGTTCTTCTACATGTACAACGATGCGCAATTGAAGAAACAGCCTAAAGAACGTCCTATGACAGGAAATAGCTTGGACCAGGTCGAGGCTCAACAGTATAACCTTGTCACAGAAGGTCCCGAAGAGTCCGATCAAAACAATACAGACGAGATTGATTTGTGGCTTGCTCGTCTGGGATACAAGAGACCCATCGCCATCCAGCGCTTTATGAGATGGCGCGTCGGAAATTGGCCTGTTTATGCTCTATTTTTGGGTCTTGGACAGATCATCGCAACGAACTCTGCGCAGATCACCCTGTTAGCGGGCCAGATTGGCGAGACAGCAACCAAGCTCTACGTTATCGCGGCAATCTACTGCGTCTCTTCCATTGTCTGGTGGTTCCTCTACTACCGCTTCCCATCTGTGATCGTCCTCACTCTCCCCTGGTTCATCTATTCCTTTGCATTCATCACCATTGGTGTTTCTCCGTTCGCACTCTCGGACCTCGGCCAAGCATGGGCTCAAAATGTCGCTGCCGGTATTTATGCCGCAGCATCTTCCAGTGGATCCTTGTTCTTTGCTCTCAACTTTGGTGACCAAGGTGCTGTCCCTGTGAAGGACTGGATGTTCCGCGCAAGTCTTATTCAGGGTATCTCACAGCTCTACACTGTTGCCCTATGGTACTGGAATGCCAGGGTTACCGCAGTGGAAGTTGGAGGTGTTTCCACAGCCGCCTTGAATTCCTGGAAGCTCGCGGCTGTGGTGATGCCCATTGCCGCAGTCTGTTTCATTATTGGTGTGCTTCTTGCCCTTGGCTTGCCCAAGTACTATCGTCAAGCGCCTGGAAAGATCCTCTTCTTCTACTCATCTCTCTTCCGCCGACGAATCGTCCTCTGGTTCTTCTTCATGGTCATCATCCAGAACTGGTTCCTTTCCGCGGCATTCGGTCGAAACTGGTCATTCCTCTGGTCCTCCCGACACGCCAAGGCATGGGAAATTGCCCTCCTGATCATCTTCTTCTTTGTTATCCTCTGGGTCGGTGTGATGCTCCTCTTCCGCTTGTTGTCCAAGGAGCACAGTTGGATCTTACCTGTCTTCGGTCTGAGTATCGGTGCACCTCGATGGGCGCAAACATGGTGGGGAACATCCAATATCGGCCACTACCTTCCATGGGCTGGAGGTTTGACTTCTGGCGCTATTGCATCCCGGTGTCTCTGGCTCTGGCTTGGTGTTCTCGATGAGATCCAGCAAGTCGGTTTGGGAATGATTCTCCTACAGACCTTGACAAGAGTCCACGTCTGTTTCGTCCTGCTGGCTGCCCAGGCTCTTGGATCTATCGCCACAATCTGTGCTCGTGGATTCGCGCCAAACAAGCTCGGCCCAGCAGGCATCTCCCCAAATGTTGGATCGTCACTGGACGCAGTTGCCAATGCTTGGTTCTGGATTGCCCTTTTCTTCCAGCTCTTAGCCAGGTTAGTTATCACCCCCTTTACCCTCCTTGCTCTTTTGGCATTGTACTAACTATGATTACAGCTTCGGTTTTCTTCTCTTTTATCGCCGCGAACAGCTCAATCGCCCCTAGAACAAGCACTTATTATTGTAGCAAACTCATGTCCTGGTATATAGATGGAAAGGAGTCGGGAGTTTATTTTTGTTTTGTTCATAAAGTGCTATCTGGTCATCTAATATGAGCTGTGAAACACAGCAACAAACTACATTTATATATACAGTCAGTAAAAGGACCCAAAAGCCTTTTTGATATTATACTCAGAGCTTTCTCTTATAGGTTGCAGATATTTCCGGTTTGTTTCCAGCTATCTTTCTTTCCATCGTTCACACCATTGTTGAATAAATATACACGTACATAATCAAGGGATATCCATCCATGTATTGATAATCTGCACCTAAGGTCACATTCCTCGCTAACAACGATCCACTATTGCGCCCATCCCAGTCTCTCGCAATTAGATTGCCCTCGATAGCACATTAGTATTGCCGATGAGCAGCAGCCCAGATATACTAGTTCGGATCTCAGGTAGCACGCTTTGTTCAAGGTCTTCCTACGGAAGTGAATGGGGCTACTGCCATCGTTGCGATGCCTTAAATAATTATCTGTAAGCCGAGCACCACAGGTGGATGCCCAGGTGGGCACCTGGGCAGCTGAGAAAAGAATCCCTCGTGTACTTAGAGAACTTCAATAAACTCAATTTCTCCAACTTTCTATAATGTTCTCAGTAACATCTCTGGGATCAGTAAGTTCAAGCAAAGGCATATCTTTACTGCACATCCTTCTCATAACGCTCCGCGGCTGACTTCCAATCCGACGGGAGTGATTCCTTGTTGTAACCCAACCATTTCATCAAGTGTGGCAGTAGAGAAAGCCTGTATCTCACATTCGAAGGTGGAAAATGATCACCTGACCTGTCGATCTCCGTCTAAGATCAAGGAGCTGGCCATCTTCTGCCACCCATAAATCTATTGTTGCCTTAATATTAAAATACTGGCTCTCTTTATCTCAGAAATGTTGAAGTCTGTCCTTCAGTCCTTGCCCCGGCTCGGACGAAGATGGACACCTCTCAACTTTACTAGTCCGAATTTCACTCGGATATCAACGAGCCAGGCAATCGAGGAGGAAACCATTCCTGGCTACATCTCGGGTCGGTATTATCCGACTCGAATAGGGGAAATCCTCAAGGACCGGTACCAAGTCGTCGGAAAACTAGGATTTGGAGCCAGCTCAACGGTGTGGCTCGCACGTGACATGGAGTAAGAAGACACCAGTAGCACACTTCTCATTTCCATCTTCTTTTCGCGATTCCTTCGCTAACAAAAGTCATAGCCATCGTTGCTATGTGACTCTCAAGATTTTCATAAAGTCCACATCGATGGGGCAGCAACTGAACGATGAGCTAAAGATATACAAACGTATCGAGGAGGCTCCTAGGAAACATTCAGGTCGCAAGTATGTCAGATCTTTGCTAGACTCGTTTGACGTCAGTAGACCAGAAGACAAGCATCGATGCCTCGTGCATCCTCCATTGTGGGAGAGTGTGTTGGATTTTTCTTCCGCAATCCGGTACAGAGGCTACCTACACCAATCTTGGCAGTGACACTTCATCGTCTATTTCTTGCATTAGACTATTTGCACACTGAATGCAAGATCATCCACACAGGTGCGGCTTTCTGTTTTCTATTTTGAGCTCGAACATGTGCTCATCAACACATCAGATATCAAAGCAGATAACATCATGTTCGGCATTTCTGATGATTCCGTTTTCAGTGATTTCGAAAGCAATGAGCTCCAAAATCCCTGTCCTAGGAAGGAGATAGACGGAAGGACAATATATACCTCACGCGGACTCAGAATGCCTAAAAATTTAGGCGCACCTATTCTCTACGATCTTGGTTCGGCTGTGATGGGCGACGGAGAGCACTCGGAGGACATTCAGCCGGATATATACTGAGCACCAGAAGTGATCTTGCAAGCTCCATGGTCATATAGTGTTGATATATGGAATGCGGGATGTGTGGTAAGGAAGCCAATACTCCTGATGCAAAAGTCTATAGGCTTACATTGTCAGATTTGGAATCTCTTTGAAGGCGGGTCGCTGTTTAGCGGCCAGGATCCAGAGTATCAGACTTATAGGAGTCGGGCTCATCTTGCCGAAATGATAGGCTTACTCGGCCCACCACCCGCAAGTTTGCTTGCCCGGGGGAATATAACCCAGAATTTCTTTTCAGAGGAAGGTAATTCATCTAGATATCCTTTTTTTTTTCCCGCCCATATAAGGTACATTTATTGACTGTTTCTGCTAATCTAGGTGAATTCCGTGCCAGGGAATTAGTGGGAGAACACAACCCCATTGAACAAAGAGAGACCAGTCTCGAGGGAGAGGAAAAAGAGATGTTTATCCGCCTAGTGCGAAAAATGCTACAATGGGAGCCGGAAAAGCGAAGCTCTGCTATGGAGCTCGAACAGGACGATTGGTTGCAAGCACAATTACGAAAATAGCCGTCCCTCCGGTTGTACTCTACGATAGAATTTAATACTCGAATTTACTTAAACTTTGTATTAAGATTTTATACATTCTCTAGATCTTATACTTAGTTTAAACTCTATGCATCAATGCTGTGGTTTCTAGGGCCCCAGACACTCTATATGTTGTTTCTTGAGAAAGTGGGGTGATTATATATAGCCAAGAGGGTCTTGTTCCTGACCTGCACCGGTCTCATATCGCAACATACATGACTGGATTTCAATCCCATACATTTTCGGCGGGTTTGAAATTCGATATAACCTGGTTTTGTGACACAATCCCTAGAAGGTAGCACTTTAGACCTACAGATCGATAGACTCCCTAGCGGCCCTCGGTATGTTAAAAGCTTGTTAAGCAGAGTGCCTACCATGGAAGCCTAGTATAAGGCTCGATACAAACAGGAGGTATTCCCCAAATCGAACCATGCAAAGCCCATTCCGCCAATTTCTCGGGCTTCTTTTCCACCTCATCATGAACAGCCAACAACCATCTATAAAAAGCATCCATATCCTCATACATGTGCGTCCACGCATAGATCCAACCCGAGCGATCTTTTTCCTCACGCTGCCGAATTAACTCTGCCTGGTCTGAAGCAAGTAGTCGTGCCCGTATCTCCATCCACTTAGTATAGCGTCACAAAAGGAATGCCAGCTCTGCCGGCGTGAATATACCGTCTTGATGGAACGGTTTACCTTTTGCAATGCGACGAGCCTCGTCAGCGATGCTGTGAATCTCGTCTTGAATCGACTTGGGGAGCTTTTTCACTTCTGGCTCGAAAAGACCGGGGAAGCCATATCGCAGTCTATATGTGAGACTTTCCGCCTGGGATAGGAGGATTTTCTTCACATCACGCGCTATTGCTACCCCTAGTGGGCCTGGCCCGTACTTTTTCGCGTAGCATTGATGGCAGCGCATTTCGTCGATTTGTCTTTTTGAAAGTAGATCTTTTAGATCTTGTTAGCTTTATTCTTTTTGGGTACACGGGTAGTCTCAGTGATAGTACCAGGGGTTCCTTTTGAGTAGGTAGGGCTGTATTGTGCATTTAACATGAACATCCGCTGTTCCTTCCATTTTTCGCAGTCCGGACATCGCATCATATACATCGTCCAGAAGCGGTCGCGCACACTGACGCGGTACATCGCATATGACGGTGGATGATTGACTGGCCGTTTATTCTCCAGGTTCTCTGAAAACCGGGGATAGTGGCGATCTATGGCTGTTGGAATCCTATATTGACGGCTGGTTGCAAATGCGATCTTGGCCGTGCCATCGCTCCCAATGAGGGTGGGTTTCAGTTCGCCTGATTGGTACCGGCATTCATGGCATTTGCGTAGGTGTCGCTTGTATCCGCAGCGCGAACGTTCGATAGCTTCGACCTCCGCTTTAAAAAGATGTTCTTTTTTATCGGCATCTAACCCGATAAACTCAGCGAGGGCCATGTTTTCGAACGCTGTCCACCCGCAGTCTTGGAGCTCGTAGTAGGTATTCTCGATACCGAGTGAGAAGGGCTTTGCATCCCATTTTTTTGATTTGGCGAGTGCATATCGTCGTCGGATCTGTTTCTCTTCGACGCACTGATCATATTGTGATCGCTTTTCACGCCGTGAGTGCGGTAGAAAAGGGTTTGACCTCGGTGTTGAATCCCAAGTCGTGCGATGCTCCGATGCTGGGGAGCCGGGGATAGGCTTGCGATAGGCAAGCCGGAGGATGGAGTGATTATTGAAGTGTTCCTCCGGAAGGAGGCGAAGGCACCGGCTGCATGCCCAGCGCATCGCCTTCCACTCGGGCTGGGTCCAATCTGGGGTGAGAGCATTGTTCTTTGAATTTAAAAGCGGGCTAATGCCACCTTCTTCCTCATCACATTCTAGTTGAATTAATCTTTCAAGAAAATGCTTTCGGGTTGGTTGGATGATCTTTCGAAAATGTTGGTTGGTTTGGCTGACAGATATCAGGCCAACGGGGTCTAAGAGACGGAAGATAGCACATTCAAGCTCAGTAGGGATCGTATTCAAAGATGCCATTTTCTTTATAATTAAGTTCCTAGCTTCAAGCAAATGCAAGCAAATGCAAGCAGATGCAAGCAAAGTGCAGAATTTAAATTCTAAAATAGGTGCCCTGTGCGAAGATCTTGGGTGGTGCTTACTTGCAGTGGGCGGCTGACTTCTATCTTCTGCCTGTTTTTGTATAAATGCAAACATCGGAATAATTAAGGCCCGGCGGTAAGTTAGGCGGTCAGGATTTATTCTGACAAATTTATCATGGCGAGACAGTTACACCCACCGGTGGTCAACTCGGACCGAGGCTAAAGATCAACAGCACACACAGAAAGTACTTCAAGAGGCCTTTTGAGGCAGCGACATTAAAAAAACACAGAGAGCCCATATGAGGAAATCTACTGGGTTTCACATTCTTGATGATCAGCATGCGAGATTCTGCTTGTGGGCTGTATGCAGGTTACACAGCATCCATTACCTCAAAAGGGCCAAATTTATTCTCCGGAAAGGCGAGGACGCATAATTGACAGCACTCGACGCATTGTATTTGCTGCGAGGTCCCGCAAATATTCCGCTGAGCATATAAATATTGGATCATGGAGGGTGCGGACAGTTCCCAATTCGAGTAGTTGTGCTGTAGACTATAAAAATTGCCTGACATGCACACCCCCCAACAGATAACCCTCCAGGGCCGTTGCCATTCAATTGGAATAATATAAAGTCAATCTCATCCAGCTTGTTATCTTCTTCATAACTCCCATGCTCACGCCTTGAAATTCAGTGTTATTTACATGAAAGATGGATTATCTCTCATTCAACATAACCGAGTACCTGCTCTTCCTGGTATACGCATTCCTTGGCTACAAAGTTGCCAATGTCATTTATCGCCTCTACTTCTCTCCACTGGCCGGCTTTCCAGGTCCACGCTTGGCAGCAGCAACCAGTCTCTATGAGTTCTATTTCGACGTTCTACAAGGAGGCCAGTTCATGTTCCACCTTGAACGTTTACACGCCAAATATGGTCCTATCGTCCGAATCAACCCTCGCGAGTTACATATTAAAGATCCCAGCTTTTACGATACTCTCTACGGCGGGCCATTAAATAAAAGAGACAGAGACCCTCCGTTTATTCAAACTGGAATGCCCCTGTCAACCTTTGAAACTGCACCAAGTGGTCTTCATCGCGAGCGGAGGAAACTGTTGAGCCCTTTCCTTTCAACGCAAGCAGTTACAGGCCTCCAGTCTGTTGTTCGGGAAAAGGTTGATCTGATTTGTGGCCATATGTCAAGAAGGGTGGGTACAGGCGAGTTTATGGACATGCACGCTCTATCTGCTTCTTTCGCCGCAGATGTGATGTCCTCATATGTGTTTGGCCCCGAGAACTGCTATGGATACTTGAACAATGCGGAGATATCCAATGAATGGAAGAAAAATATTAACAGCATCTTTGAGGCGCTGCTTTTCCTCAGGCATCTCCCATACACATTGGACCCAGCACGCGTGTTTCCCAATTTTACCGGCTGGTTATTTCCCACCTATGAGTTCATTCATCGCATGGAACAGGTATGCGCGATCATCATCTGGCATGGTAATGTACTAACAAAGGCTTAGAAAGTCCATCATGATGTGAAAGCTGTATATGGAAAACCAGTCGAGAAGTCGATCATATCAAGTGTTCTCGCCAACGAGAAAGTACCTGCCTACGACAAAGGACTCAAACGCCTAAAAGATGAAATGCACTTTCTGATGCTTGCTGGAACTGATGCGCCGTCCCAAGCATTGGCAGTCACTATGTTCCATCTCCTTTGGAACCCAGAACCATACAAAAAGCTCAAAGAAGAGTTAGATGAGGCTTTCCCTGTTTTGGCCGACGCGGACTGGAATAAGTTAAAGAGCCTGCCTTATTTGGTAAGCTACCATCAATCCTATCATACTCACCTATTATATTAACAATAGCCGTACAAGACTGCTGTGCTGAAAGAGGGTCTAAGGATTTCTGCCATTGTGACAACAAGGCTTCCACGTATTGCACCCGATGAAGCTTTACGCTACGGAAAATGGACCATTCCACCCGGGGTATGTCTTCGCAAGGTTTATATATCGATCCATTATTCTTTTATTAATATGTTGATATAGACGCCTGTCGGCATGAGCATCCATTCCATTCTCCGAGATCCTACAGTCTATACCGAGCCGTTGAAATTTATCCCAGAACGTTGGATGGGCCCCCCTGAGGAAGTTCGTGTGCTGGATAGATATCTCGTTGCATTCGCGAAGGGAAATTCAAGTTGCATGGGTCAAAGGTAAATAGTCCCTAGTTTCTTACCTTTTCCAGAGCGGCGGTACTGATATATAGTAGCATGGCCTGGTCGTGGCTATACGCAGTGATAGGCACTGTGGTCCGCAAGTTCCAATTGGAGCTCCACGAAACCGACGAAAAGAATGTTCGTATTGTTCGAGACTGTTTCAATGGACAGACAGTTCCTGGGCTCAATGTGATAAACGTTAAGGTCGTTAAAGAGTTCAGCTAAGACATCTGATATTTGACTTTTACGCATCTGGAAGTCCTATGACGTACGCCTTTTTCGGGATAGATTCTACTTTGAATTTTGTCTAATTGATTATGTTGTGTTATATAGAGGCATGAATAGGATAGGGAACATGGCATGGAAGAAAGACTATGAACTACGTTACTCGAATCTCATGAGAGTAATTGAAACGTGGGATATGACAGTCAAATAGTGCAATATAACAAGAACTAACTAAATAACACTCGCCTCAAAAAAATCACTCACCTATCTCTTAGGATCTAGGACCGAGGCTCGAAAATATAATTCCGATCGACCGAAAGGCGTCCTGCAGCAATCTCCATCCGGTAGTGCTCAGCAAGTGCGATAACCCCGGCAATCCGGCCAAGATGTGCAAGGTCAGAGTTCATAACTGGGAGCGAGATCCAAAGGGCCTCCTGGTGGTGCATGGCATAATAGTAGGTGGACTTGCAGTCTCCAGCCCGGCAACGGTCAGCCACAATATCCATCAACTCCTCGTCGGAACAGAGGCGGTCCTCAATAGTAAGCTGCACTGAGATCCACCACACCTCTGGCAGGGTGTGGAGGTCCTCGTAGTGGGGTTTTGGTTCTTCGCCCTCTGAACGGAAAACGGTACGTGTGCAGCGCAGGGCCTCTCGGTGTGGCTCATCCATGACTGGGAGAACTGCAGGCGCCGGGCGCTTCACGAACCGCGGGATCTTCGACTGAATGGTGGCGACGGGTGCGGACTTTGATGACCGCGGTATCTATCTAAAAATAGTAAGATGTTGGGGGTGCTGGGGGTTTGGTTTAGTTGTGAATGTGGTTTGGAAGTGCTGTTCTGTCTGATGGTGGCTGATGATAGAGACTAGATGGGGACCCCGAAGCCATTTATATAGGAAACAGTGGGATAAAGGACAGTGCTCTCGAGAAGGCTTTGACCAGAGAACAAAGTCTTTCATAGTGCGGTTGTTACAATGCCTTTAATCGATCCTTTGATTAAGGTACTATAGCACCCGACATCTAAATATAAAGTCGAATGAACAAAGCCTCGAAGCCTTTCACTGCTCACCATTTGAGATCAAAGAGCTAAACAAAGCTCCACGGGTATGGTAAACGATGGCCCTTCGAGTAACTTGCACTGTAACCGACTTCCAGTCTGATGTTCAGTTCTTCTAAGCCGAAATCTGACATCATGGCATCGGCGCGGAGAATTGTCACGTTTCCCAGCAACTAAAGCGAAGACTATCAAATGGCTAGCCGTGACTACAAAGCAGTATAACCAGCAGAATTCATTAAATGTGTACTTGAATAAAGGGCTAAGTGTCCGCCAAATAACCTCCGATGTGTTACTTTTATGCATATTCCATAAGTTGAGACCTCCGTAGAGCTTCCAGTGCCGCCCATTACTCAACATAGTTTGCAGGGAAAGGTCCCTTCTGTCCTCTCAACTCACCCTCCCACCAATCGTCGGTGCTCTCTGTCTTCCGCACGATGCGAATGCGGTCCCCTTCTCGGAAACTCAGATCACCATCCCCTTGGCCAGCAAAGTCATACAACGCCGTGACAAACACTGGACGGGAAGCTGCCGGCGGTGGTGGTGGGGGTCTCTTCTTCCCTATGGCAGCAGCCATGGGTGATACCTTGGACTGGAAAGAGTCTATGTTTGGGCCAGCGGGTGATCTCACCACTCCTGATGGGATAGGGGTGGGCTGTGGGGTAGGCAAGAATGTCGGACGAGGGTCGAAGTAGTCGCCGCCCGTCGAAAGAGGCTTGGAACCTGCGCTATTTCCAGCAGGAATCGCGTTGCTCTTATAATGTATGTTTGATAGTGCCGGAGAGGGAGGGTAGTCAGATACATCGGGTGTCTGGCTCGACGACCCTGGTGTTTGTGATCCTCGGCGGAAAGAACCATGGAGCGAGGTCGATGAGGCTGCGCTGGATAGGCGACCTCCAATTGAGGGACGTTTCTTATTTTCCTGGTCGGCTGCAGCTCGCATCGCCTTGCCATGGGTCAGGCAGCCAAAGGTTTCTATTTCAGCTTGCACGGGTTGGAAGGTAAACTGCCAGTCTTGGACAACTTGTTCCATGGCTGGTGGCGGGGAGGGGAATCCCTCTTCTTCACAGTATGTGTGAAGCACTGTGTAATAGTGCGCAAGCATGCGGTTTTGGATCTCAACCTGTGCTTCAAGGATGAATGGCGTCAGGGAGAATATGAGAGCGATCAATGTTGGAAGTCGCTGTCGTAGATCATGGTCCGCAGCATGGTAAGCCTGGAAAGGAATTAGTATTTCATATTCTATGAGTAGTATCGGGCATTGTGATTTGTACCTCTTTCGTATTGGCAAGTTCTACCTCCGCTTTGGCTAGGCTCACATTTTCGCGATCGGTGCGTTTTTGCTTTTTCAGGAGGCTATCGACGCGTCCTTGAGATATTTCAAAGTCGGTCTAGAGACTGGGATGTCAGCGACAATTAATTCACCAACTGTCATTCATCATTGTGTACCTTCTTGTCATTTCGCTTTTTGATCGTCTTTTTCATCGGTGCAAGGGATTCTTTGGCTTGCGCAGCGGGCTGGGTCATGCGAGTATCGGCCGCACTGAGCTCCTGTATGAGATCGGTACGTAGCTCGTCATAGTCCTTTCGCAATCGATTTGTCCGAGCTAATCTGATGTCGTCTGTTTCCACAGCTTTGTGATTGGTTGTGGTCTCTGAGGAGCCAATGATAGGACCATAGAGGCCGTCGAACTCATCGGCAAGACGACTCTGGTAAGTTGCGATAGAGACCCAGGCATCACGCCAGGCTTGGGTAGACTCCACAATCTAAGAAAGACATATTAGCAAAAATGGAACGTCTTCGAGGTAACATTGATTACCTTTCCCAGGAGCATATCTGCATCGTCGAAATCTTTTAGAAGCACAGCGATTTGGCTGTCATCTGCAGACGACTTCGTCGTCATGCGGCCAAACCGCCTCGTCATATTCTGCATGTTGGGCAGCTTTTGTATGTAGTGGAAAAGGAGAGAACAAAGCACGGGGCTTGAAAAGAACAAGCTTTCAAGTTCATAAAATGTACGAAATAAAGTGATTGAGAGAAAGGGGGGCTAAACATTCCCCTCATGACACATTGGCCCTAAACCAGGTGGAAACGTTTCATCCTTGCGGCTCTCGCCCCGGCCCCCTCACTAATGACCTTTTGGGAAGGTGGTATTGTTGATCCGATCCCTTTTATCCACTTAATATAAGAAATTACCAGAGGACATACATGTAAACATTGAAATTAACATTAGATATTTCAATTCTACAAGATACAATCCTTAGGCCGCAGAAACAGTCTAGTTTAGCCGAGTTTTTAGCGCTTCCCCTAAGCACATTTAAAGAATCTGAGCCTCGGCTTTCGAAGTCATTTTACCCCTCTAGATCGAAGTAATTATTAGACAATTAAATGAAATTCTAGAAACAATATAAAAAGATGCATATATGACGAGAATGCATGTCTCTATGAACCCTACATTTCCTAAATAGGCTAAATGACTTCTAGTAGGTTATACTTATCACTTCTTTCCTTTTTCCCTTTCAGCACATCTCACTTTCCTTCACCTCTTGGTCCAAGATGATAGATACTTGTCTTGTCGCCTCCGACGTCTGATGAAGAAATGCCTGATTCTATCCCAGGTTCAACGCCTCCAGCCAATCTGACCAAACCCCAACCTCTAGTCCAATTTCATAGTCTAAAAGTTAGAAGCCATCTAAACGTTAGAAGCCATGGAAGGCCGTCTATCCTTGTGTCCATGAGTTGGTAGCGAGAGGTGTACAGCAATCCAATGTAACACTTGATGGTAACACAAGTCTAAAATCGTCGAGCGAATTGGCAGGATCTTCCGAGCAGAAACCTGGATTCATTCAACGTGATCATTCGGGGGGTGCCGTCGAAGCCAGTTCATGGGTTATGAACCGGCCCTTCACTATCTCAACCACATTTCTTCGCTTATCTCAAGGAATCCGGGCCTTATATTTCCATGCTTTGCTCTTAAGGCGAAAGGTGACAGTGAAGGCACAGATGCAGAAACACAGCTAGATATGTTATTCAAATTCCAGAAAACTATGAAAATACCCTTCCCAAAATTTATATACACTAATTAGTTCTTAACTTTCTTATTGTCTTACCTTTCAGTTTAGATACCAAGCCTAGTGATTCCTTTTCTTCATTGACAGATGGGATGATTTCAGATTGTAAATCAACTATGAAACGACTCATCTTCCGGGCCACAAACCGTAATGTCGTTTCTCAAATGTCCTCTGGAGCCATCTTCAACAAGCCTTTCTTCCACCACTTCTCCTCCTCTTCCACGGCCGCTATGCGATTCTTCGCCTGCCGGAATCCATGCCCTTCGCCTTTGAAAACCACCAGCTTAGACTCACGACCAGCCTTCGTCATCATCTCGACCATCTCTTCTGCCTGGTTCATAGGAACAACCAAATCCTCATCTCCCTGAAGCAACAGCAATGGCGCAGTGATTTTATCTGCCTTGAGATAGGGGCTGCGTTCGCTGAAAATGCGATTCTTCTCGGCTTCATCCGCATCAGGGTCAAAGAGCAAGGCAAATGCGTAATGGCTCTCAAACTTATGGGTATCCTCACAGAGAGCCTTGACATTGGCTATACCGTACAGAGAATTGCCACCGGAAAAGAGACTGGGGTAGTCACACAGAGCTTGGAGTACGATGTATCCACCCGCACTTTGACCACGGACACCGACTCCGTTTTGGTCAATGCGGCCACTGGATGCCAGGTATGACACACAGCTAGCAGCATCTGCTGTATCGATAATTCCTAATAGTATTTCGTTAGTATTAAGAGAGAATTGAATGAATCTGCCATGGAAGGGTCGTGTTCTCACCCCACTGCCCATTCAAAATATCCCGGTATGCTCTTCCATATCCGGAGCTACCGCCATAATTTACCCAGACAACGGCATAACCTCGAGAAGTCCAGTATTGGTCCGTAGTATTCAGACCAGTTCCGGTTTGAGACGTTGGTCCACCATGGACACAGACGATCAAAGGCGGCAGTGCTCCAGAGGGTGGCTGATAATCTGGGTTCTGAGGTGCGTAGAAGATGGCATGTGCCAACCCTTCCAGGTTATCGCCGTGAACTCTTGGAAAGGATATATGCTCTGGCTTGGAAACAAGAGAACTTGGCATGGGGAGATCGGAAGCTGCCTTGAGTGCATTGAGATTGACGGTGTCGGCGATGTCCAATGTAAAAACAGTGTTGAAGCTTGTCTCACTAGAACCAAGCAGGGCTATTTCTGTGTCTGAGAGGGGACTATCTGCCAGAATGATCGTGTCTGTAACCGGCACATTCATTTCTTGCCAGGAGTCGTTGGACAGATCTATCAGGATGAAGCTCCATCGAGCATCCTTTGTGTACGAAGCGATCATTGAGGTTGGAGTCAAACACACATATGTGCAGCTGGTAAAGGAAAGTATAGGTTAGCAATCAAAACAACAGCTATCTGTTCGAGTCAGAATCAAACGTACTTCCCCAGACGCCAGTCCGGCTGCGAAAATTCCACTTCTTCTAGGCCACGGAGAGCAACCCGTTGGCATTCCAAAGTATCAACGGAAAACCGATAGAGCTGGTAATGCCCCGAAGAATCGCTCGTGAAATACAACGTGTTATCGCAGCCCCATCGTGGCTGGCTAACACTTTCTTTCTTGGGAATTCCAGACACAAGGTGAACATCTGTGACCTCACCATTGTTCCACTTAGCCACATACAGGCGGGCTCCTGTCCATGGCATATCTGGATGAGACCACTGGGTCCAGCATATTCTGCTTCCATCTGGAGAAAACTGAGCAGCAATGTAGAAGTCATCGCCGGAAGCGACGTTGACTATCTCTTTTGATTGCATGTTTATGGCCACGAGTCGATTCCGAACTTCGGATGGCAAGGGCTTGGTGTGATCCTCTTCGATCGCCAAGAGCCATCCCGAATCTGCCTGGCCGTCTGACAAAGAGCCCCTAGCGGAGGTACACGCATAACGGAGAGCAGTGTCTGTCTTGGTAATCTGCTCAACATTACCTGTGGAGGGATCGAGTTTATGCAGATCCTGTGTCTCCTGATCAGAAAAGATGATCTGCCCATTGTAAGCAATCATCGACGCCCCACCATATTCATGAATTTTGGTGCGAGCGTCATATCTGGCGAGTTATCGTTAGTGGATAGTTCACACATAGCTGGATCTGCAGTACGGACTTAGCCGGCAAGATATCGCGTCCTTCACGACCAGAGTATTCGACAATGCAGCCTCGCCCCTGCTCTTTGGGCCGACCTTCAATAACATAAACCTTTCCATTTGATGCCTAAATAGCTGATTAATGAAATTGTTACACTATGAGCGATCTTGCATTGAACATACCGCGATGGATTCAAACTGGACACCGTCAGCACCAAGTGAGATAGAGCTGATTGGGCTCTTCCATTGGCCAAATGGGGCCGTGATAGGAGTACCCATGACAGTTGTAGTAGCAATAGCTCGATTACTTGTAAAGCTGATACTCCTCGGAAAGTAAATGGGTCTAGGTGTTGTTGTTAGGCGAGGTTTGAAGAAAATTCTACCCCGCAGAGACCACAATCTTGACGCTGATGCAGTGTCAGCTGAGATTCCAAAAGAGGACATTTTTCATGCAAAGAAGATGCATATTTTAGTACATCAATTGACTAACCTCTCATCGGCATCTCTAATATTCCTTTAGATGCATTCGTATTTTTTTTTTGTTTTTTTTTTCTATCTTTTCCTCCGGCCCTCTTTGATTTCGTGCGAATTCTTCAATCTTGCTTGTTATGAATCTTGCTCCAAGTTCTATGATATGTTCTTATTGGACTGCATTCATACATAACTTTCGAGGAACTTCCATGTTGTTTATACGACTATTTCCGAGCATCTCTGCCTGAGGTTTCTACATCTGATTCCTTATCAGCTTATCGTGTTTTCCACTTTCAACGCGAGAACGCGACTAAAAACTACATTTCGCGACTCCATTCGATGCAGCCATGAAGGCATGAACAAATTGGGTGTTCCATAATGCTACGATGATGTCCACACCGTCATCCTCGCGTGCTCCCCCAACCTCTCCGCAGATTACTGCCTCGGTGGTGAAGTTTCGCTGCCTATACACTCACGACTTACGCCGGAAGTCCAAACGATGGCACGATGGTCACCTACGATATCACAAATTCAATAAACGTGTTATGGTTTACGATGACCAGGGAAATTTCATCGGCGACCACCACTGGCGATCCCCGGACGAAGTACAGGATGGTGACGAAATGGAGCTGGACAAAGGTGTCTTGATTCAGGTGACAGAGAACATGGGTACGACTGAAACGGATATCACGACTCTGTACGAAAAAAGGATATCCAGTCAAGGATCACCGCAAACAAAAGACCCGGTGTCCGTGTCCCAAGTCCCCCGCGTCACTACCCACACCTCGACACCCGCATCCACATCCGCACCTATTCGTTCATCCGCTTCGTCCCAGCCATTTCGCTCACTAAATGATTTACTGGGCATTAAAAGAACTCCAATCGGGCATTTGATTCCTTCATACGAAGAACGGAATCCTCCACGATCAACCTCCAGTGTTCAGGAGCCCGAACGAGCGCCGAAGCGGCAGAAGACATCCTTGGTGGTGAATCTAAGCGCCGAGAAAGACTCCCGTGCCCAGAGTGAGGTCATTGATTTGACCGATACAACCGATACAACTCAGATATCCTCTGCAAGGGAGAGGCCAAACCAATTAACAAAAGAGCAACCCAGAGCCCGGAGTGGTTCTATGGCCGATGCACTCCCAGAAAATTGTGAGCAGAGGTCAATTCAGTTAAAACAAACTCGGCCACAGAGACCCAATCCTCCCTCATTCTCAAGGGTCTCCGCTTTGACTGGATCTGAGCCGAACTTCAGTCTAGCAACACCAGAGGTAGTCCGTCCAGTCACCAACGGTGTCCAACCTACAAGGCCGCTGTGTAATAAATCGAAAGATGTACCGCCGCCTATCCAACCAAGGTCCCTCGGCCCCTTATCGACAGCCCCTCTTCCCAACGTATCCTCAGAAACAGAGATACCCAGGCCCCGAGAGAAGTTGCGCGTGGGGCAACCATTAATTAACGGCGAAAATCAGCCAAAAGCCGTGTCACGTCCCAACCTACCACAGAGGTCTGAGCCTCCGACAGTTTCGAAAGTCACTCTCCCAGATGCGTCCAAAAATTCGTCTGTTGGTCGATTTACACCACAGGCGCCAGTGCGCGCTATCACCAATTATGTGAAACCTATCGAACCCGCGAACAACCAAACTTCAGCGAACGTTCCATCTTCAGCCAACCAGTCACCTTCAACGGACATGCCACCTCCATCCCGTCCACCGTCGGCACTACACTCTGGGGCACCTACGTCGGCTCTACGCATGGGAGCCGGAAAGCCACGCAGAAAACTGATGTACAGTGCTTTACTACCCGGCGGTTCACGAACTCCATCACCAGCGACCTCAGATACACTGCCTGCTAGTGCAACTCGTGCACCCGCCACAGAACCTCCGGAGCAACAGTTAGTACGTACCGACTCATTGGCCAAGGTTGTAATACTGACCTCTGTGTAGGCTAGCCGTCGCCCTAGGTGATTCCTCAATATCAAACGAGGAGTTTATGCCCTCGAGCTCAACACAATTCATCCTCGACGAAATGATAGATGGATCAGGGTTCAAATCACCCTCCACGATCAAAAGGCTAACCGAGAAAAGATCTTTGGTTTCACCCTTGCGCAAATCGATATCAGACCCGACCGCATTGACTGCCCGCCATGTCCGAGCAGAAGGGTCGTTACACGCAGCCAACATGGAAGATGAGCCCAAAGAGCAAGGCCCCTGGACATCCGAGGCATTAGATTTATTTGATTTCTGGCCTGCTGGACGACCAAAGCCTCCAAACTACTGAAATACTCTGGCTCGGTCTGAGAGCTGTGCATCAGTTCTAAGCAACAATAATCAGGGTCCGAACCAACCCGCTAACATAAAGGACAACCCCCTTCTAAGGCTCTTGGGCCCAACGAGCTCTGCCGTCTTGTGGGGAGCAACCTCCAAGTCGCCGAAATACTCCTCGTCGGCGGTGCTGTTCTCGAAGCCAAAACACTGAGCAGCTTTCTCTATTGTTCTTGCAAGAGAAGACAATTGTTCGGACTAGACCTCTGCAAGACCCACAGATGCGCCCGAACCCCTGGCCCAGAGCCCAACCAGCAGTGGGCTGTGGGCCGAGCCTTTAGGGCCGAACCCAGCCCATTATTGGGCTAGGTTGAACCGGGTTGTGGGCTTTTTGGGCTTTGCGGAGGTCTAGTCGTTTCAATATGCCGTTCACACGTGCGCGCTTCACGAAGCTACTAGTTTCAGTCGTGGAAACCCACGCATTCATCTAAAGACTCCGAAGCTTATGCTGTCTGTTTTCCCGAAATGAAACCTTGAGACTCACAATCATCCCCGACGCGCGACGAACTCATTGAAACAAGCGAAAAATGTGATAGAAACAAAGATACCCATTTGAATTGACGAAGAATACACATGCATGTAGCTCATTTCATAAATAACAGACATACACCAACTTCAAACAAGCTCTTCAACCCCCTTCTTAACCAAAACCCCAGAAATATAAGGCATAGCCGACCACTCAAAAGATCTCTCCAGCTCAACCCTCTCCCACCCACCATCCACATCAGCCGCAGCCCTCAAAGCTGCCTCCGTATCCCTATCCATACGACAATCCCCAGTAAACCAACTCCATCCAAGCATTTGATAAATTCCCTGTACAACCCGCCCAACAATCGACCCCTTCGCCCGTCGCCACGGGTTAACAACATGCTCCGTAACAAGCAACCGCCCACCAGGCTTGAGCATCCCATACAACTCCCCCACAGTGCGCTCCATCTCCGGCACCGAACACAGCACCCGCACGCATAGAATCGTGTCGAAGATGCCCACCCGCGCGTCAGAATCGTACGCATCCACGACGCCCGTGCCAGTCGCCCGCAATGCGGGGATTAGTTCGGCGGCTGCTACACCTGTTGGCACGATGTGGTACTTGGATGAGATGTTCTCTGCTACTGCTTTTTCGCGGATGGAGGGGTGCAGGCCTTTGCATGGCTCTGCGCCGTATAGAGCTGTTATTGCTGGTGAGCTGAGCAGGGGCATCTGTGTGCCTGTTCCTGGTCCGATATCGAGGACTATCCCTGAGGCTGTGCGGAGAAGTGGGGGGATCAGAGCTGAGGAGCCGACTGGCTGGGGGATCTCTGTGTTGTTTGGGTCGGAGGCCATTTGGCGTTGTGCTATGGTGGCTTGATTAGGATTTGTGTTTTTCTCTGTATTTGTTTTTATGTTCGTGGGGATTTGATAGGGCGTTCTAATTTGTTCTCATAAATCTTGTAGAAATTGCTCGAAGCAAGAGTTTCTGCTCTAGATTTGTTGATTGATGTGACGGCTGGTACTCACAGGTGAATTCAATCCAGAATCTTCCAAATGCTTCATCACGGAGTCTCCGAGTCTGAGTAATTGGAGCAAAGAGCTGGCCATGTTTGAAGACTGCTTCAACACAGACTCGGAAATAGTCTATAACATTGCAATTGCAGTTAGTATTGTGCTAATTTAGGTGTCGAAGACGAGGAATTGGTGCTGGCGAGGAATATACACCGAGTATCAGATAGAATGCAGAGAGAGTACTGCCACAAGATAAAAGATGATACGGAAGGTGGATACAGTTTAGGGAATATACAAGCAGGGCAGAATTGCATCCACTGGCGTCGAATTTCATATATTGAGATCGAAGTCATTCGGTGTCTGTTCGGTGGTTGTTCGGCATCTGTACTTACGCGATATCGACCAAGTCATGAGCTGTGCTGGCTCTAACATTGCAAGCATTCGCCCGATAAACGGCGGGGGGGTTTCAGTCGACATGGTGATTGAGAGATATATGAAGCCCAACTTTTAACCAACTCCAATAAATCCTAAGGAAAGATACGGATGGAGATTTATATAAACTTGGGCGGTTTCACACGTGACCCGAAGCCCTTGCGGGGGCCCGGGGATTTCGGCGTTTGAAATAAGACGCTGATATCACGGGATGAGTATTCCACTGATTCCAAGCGCCGCATAATGCATCTTACAATTCAAAAATAAGAATTGATCCAACAAATTCCAACAAATTGAACATAGACTAATATCTAGCATCCTGGTCTGGTGGTTGCACAAATACTCAATAAATGGTCACACTGGAAGAAAGAGTGGAGCCTATCGGGACAAAGACGACGGCATGTAGTGGTCACAGAAATTATCAACATAAAAGGAGAATATAGGAAAAGAGCAGACTCAGATTGAGAGAAACGTTCCAGCAGGGCGACAACTCGAATTATTGAACGAAGGACAGAGACAGTAGGAGAGTTGAGATCTGTAGAGAGTAAAGAAAGGAAAAAGATCGTAGGTGAAGAGAAGGCCAAGAAAATTGGGGTGAAACTATTCAAGTGGTTTCAGGGCCCAAGAATCCATCGCCAAAGAGTATCCCAGTTGAGTCTCGGTTTTGATGTATGAGGAGTTGCACATTCGTGCAAAAAGAAGTTGAAGTGGGAACACTATTAGAAGGGTTGCTGCTTGGACAAGAGACAGAAGAAAAGGAGACTCGTCGTCATTATCTTTATAAGCGACTGGAGCCTGGGTTGAGGACCTGCCCACAAACCCTACGAACAAATGCCAATCCCATAGGGCGATGTTCAGTGACGGTGGGGTGAGTGGATGCGGTTGACCCTCGGGCTGTATCGACTGGTGCGAGAAAGAGAGCCAACATCGTGTTTTCCGTCGCAACAGGCGCGGACATTCTCGAGCCGATCTTGTTCCTGTGTTTCGATCACATGTCTTAGATCGTCGGCACTTTCTTGGCCATGAAGACTTTCATTGTGGACACTAGGAGATTGACCTTGCCGTCCCTTCAAACTTGCGATGGAACCCCGAATTGAACTAGAGATGGTGCTGAGTCTTGATGAAGAACGTTGGCGGTCATCGGGAACTTGTAACGACGAGTTTGGGTTTGGTACAGGTGAGCTGAGGGCCGGTGATGCACGACCACCCATAGTCCCTGAAGATCGCATGGACATCGCTGACGCCGCTCGCCGCTGTTGCTTGTGTGCATTACGAGCGGAGCGGCTATTGTAAGATGAGAACGACATTCGTGCTGTCTGACGAGAACTAGACCGGAAGCTAGGCGGGTTGAACTCGTTGATATCGTCGAGGGTGACACTGTTACTGTCCTCGCAGTTTTCATTGGTCTCTCTTAAAAGGAGATAAGACAGCGCGTTGAACCATGTCTCATGCCTCTGGCTCGTGGAAGCCGTAAACCGAACTCGTCGGCCAGGACTGACAACCTCCAAGCTCCTGCAGTGAAGACCGGGTGGGTACGGGTTGTCATCTGCAACCACTCGAACAGCCTCGATAGGCACACTCTTAGTACGGAGCTCACTCTTTCCGGCAGTTTGCGGGTCTTGCGTACTCCAGTACAGAGTACGGGTGTACGGGTGAACCCAGAAGTATCGTCGGTGCCGTGTCGTGGACATATCCGATGAGCCGGTCTTGCGGGTGTACTTCCAAAGGAATTCACCAATCATGGTTTGAGTAATCGCCTGGATCATGCGCGGATCCGTATTAGGTCCGTAGCCCTGGGGCATGGGGCCGGCATGGGGCGCCATATTGAAACGCTCCTCAATCTCAGACGCAAAGGACGATACTGAGGATCGGCGAGACATCTGGCTTTGACTTCCCCTCCTCATTCTGGCCTGAGATGAACCGGTTCTTGAAGAGCTAGCCCGCGCGGCCTGTTCGCCTGGCGTAAGTGGGCGCTGGGAGTTCATGCGGTAGGCGGAGGCTGGTGCCAAGGGAGGCCCCATGACAGAGGAAGGAGATGGCGGAGCAATGTCGATGGACTTCTTCTCGGCTGCCATAATAGCTTCCCGGTGATCGAAGGGCAGTGGGGGGTGACTGGCACCAGATGTCTGACTGGCGGCACTTGTCGGCCGGCGGGAAGTCGGCGTTGTTGATTTCGCAGGCTGAATCTGCGAAAGGCGAGGTCGCGTAGGAGCCTTGGGTGTCATATAAGGGGCTGCGGCAGTCGTGGTGACTGCGGTGACTTCTCGTGAGTTGTCCGTCACTTGGCTGTCAGACGATAGTGGGCGTGTAGACACACGATCCATAAGAATTTGATCAATCTGTTTAGAGGACAGGATGGTCTGAGATCCCTGATCCATACTCACTGAACTGGATTGCTGTCTAGTAGAGCGAGCAAGGGCGTTGCCAGAAATATCGTTCAAAGCCAGCCCGGCACCAACGAGCTGATCACTATTGGCTGTGTTGGTGCGACTGCGAGCAGCGCCAGTAGCTTGGTCTTCGTGGACAACGATAGCGGCCGCCGCTGCCTTTGACTCTGTCGGCTCCGTTTGAGTAGAGAAGTTTGCCACCGCGGGAATGGCAACCGGAACAGATTTCACTGGGTGAGTTTCCACAGAGCGCACAGAGGATACTGACAATGCCGGCGTAGGAACAAAGCGAGGCTTTGGAATAGTAGGCTCCGTGTATGCTGGATCTAGGCACGAAATCGTCAAAACCGGTGCCTCACGCTCACGTTCAACGTACTTAATAACGTCGACGTATTGAATGACAGGTGGTTCCGGTTCAGGGACAGTTGCCCTGAGTGGCGTGGTGGATTGAGTGGTGATCGAAGAGAAACTCAATTCAGGCACCTCACGCTCACGTTCGACGTGCTTGATCACATCAACGTATTTGATGACAGGCTCCGGCACAGCAAGAGTTGCCTGGACAGGGGCAGTGGACTGGTTGTTGATGGAAGAGAACGTCAATTCAGGGACCTCGCGCTCACGCTCAACGTGCTTGATAACGTCAACGTATTCGATAATCGGCTCTACTTTAGCAAGAGTTGCGTGAACAGGAGCAGTGGATTGAGTGGTGATAGAAGAGAAGCTTGACTCTGGCACTTCACGCTCACGTTCAACGTGCTTAATGACATCAACGTATTGAATGACAGGCGGCAGCGGTTCGGGAACAGTTGCTTTGACTGGCTCGAAGGTTTGAGCAGTGATGGAAGAGAAGGTCAATTCGGGCACCTCAACCTCACGTTCCACGTGCTTGATCACATCAACGTACTTGATGATAGGCTCTGGTACAGCAAGCGTTGCCTTGGCAGGAACAGTGGATTGATTACTGATGGAAGAGAATGTCAACGCAGGGATCTCGCGCTCACGTTCGACGTGTTTAATTACGTCGACGTATTTGATGACGGGTTCTGGTTCAGGAACAGGCGCCTGGATTGCCTGGACAGGTATTGTCGACTGAGCGGCAACAGACGAGAAGCTTAACTCTGGGATCTTACGCTCGCGTTCAACGTGTTTGATCACATCAACGTACTTCACGATGGGCTCTGGCACAGCAAGTGTTGCGCGGACAGGGGAGGTTGCTTGAGTAGTGATAGAGGAGAAGGTTAGCTCGGGCACCTCCGGCTCCCGTTCCACGTATTTTATGACATCAACGTGCTTGATGATTGGCTCAGGTACCACAACCGTTGGTTGAATGGGACTTGTTGTTTGTGATGAAATTGAAGATATCGTCATTTCCGGCACTTCCGGCGCGGGCAGCTGATGCTTTACGGGCGTAGTGGTGCCCCCGGTGATGTATGAGACACTCAGATCAGGCCGCTTAGGTGCCAAAGGTGTGGTCTCTTGGGAAGAAACATCCGCCATACCCATCTCTGGGCTAACCAACTGGGGCACATCATTCGTTTCCTTCGTTTCCTCAACGATATTCCGGTCGGCTGTTTGAGTCAGCTGGCTTGCAGCTAGAGCATGCGGCAGAGCAGCTCCTGCAGCAATACCGGCAGCTCCTGCAACAATGCCAGCACCGACAGAAGGCGTGGGCTCCCAAGGTTCAGTCATAACACCGGAATCCACCATTGTAGGCTTGGGTTGTGCATCCAGCATTGCATCCGATGGTCTTCGTGAACCCGGTGTAGGCTCCATGCGCGGTGTCGAAGCCTGGGAGTTCACTTCATCATCCTCGGTGCTGTCGAACTCAGCAAGTTCGGCAAAGAGGCTCTGGCCTTCTTGGGCGGCTGGCGCTGGCGCAAAGTTCGGTGCTACAGATTCGCGGGAACTCGAAGGTCGGCTGGTGGACGCGAATGTGGCCTCTCCAGATGGACGAATGCGTCTCAAGATGCTGCGTTTAGCCTTAACACGGGGTCGGGAGATATGCGTTTGACTAGGAGAGCC